AGGAGGGGCGGCGGGATAGATCCGATTAAGCTCGGTAGTATTTCGGTAGTAATCTAGATGATCCCTGTCAGCAAGGACTTTTGGGAGGCACCTCTATACGCGTAACTAGCAATGAGCGTCTGGCCAATGACAGGGCTGAGGCTGGCCGGAGCACGGGCCGCCTTGACTGTCCATTGCCTCTGTGTCGCCAAAGCAATCTTACTGCCACAGCCCGCCCGCCACACAAGCTACGTACTTTACTACTATACATATGTACCACATGCGCCTATCGACACACCATCGTATATCCACATCGAACACGAGTCACTCTCTCCTTGACTTCCATGGCCACATGGCGTGATAGGCATTTTTCTTGCCGCCCTTTCGACTTGCCCATCCTCCTTACCAGGCCTCGACGCTCTACTCGTATCAAGGCCCAGCCCTTTTTGCGCAAATCACTCTTCCATCATCCAGGACTGTGCTCAGCCACCTTGACCATCGGGCCGCAGGGTCTCACGACACAAGACGCAGCTCGACCTGGTGACTCTGGTGCCAGCATCGCACCAGCCGCGTCGACGATGCATGTTCCGTCCTATGACCCCCCCTCCCCCCAAGGTCGTCATATGCACCTTGCTGCCGTGTCCTTGATGCTGACCTCATGGGAGAGAGCAACAAAAAGATCTAGATGATGGCCAACATGAATCCACTTCTGTTTCACCACCAGACATTTTGCCACCTTCCCCTCCCCCCTTCCATTCATCTACTCCCCCCATCCCCTTCAAAGGAATACATTCCGTCTGTAGAGCCATGGGTGTTGTTGCAAGTCCCGCGCTGAGTGCCTCTCGCCCGCCTCATTGAGCAGCAAGCAGCGGGAACAAGTGCGCCTAAGCGGTGGTCGCTTGCGATTCACCGTAGAAGCGTTCTGGAAGGCGAATCATTGGACGGGCTACCAAAGCGAGACCTCTGCGTCGTGGATCTGCGCCACTGACTCGCACTCGACCCAAATCATGAGGCAGGAACCAAGAAAAAATTACGGCGCAGCACCATCTTGTCTTGCCATCGCTTATGCGTTTTTTTGAAGATGCTGCGGAGTCACGGGATTGGCCCGGACACTGAAGCCGGACGAGCTACACGTGTGTATGCGTATGTACACATGTTGTATATACATGTGTACATACTTAGACGCATCGAAGAAAATCCTGCGCCCTTTTGGATTGGTCTTGTTGGTACTATGCCACTGCCAACTTCCCCTCGTCCAACTAGGTGTTCTACTAACTAGTAGTCGCTATATTTACAAAGTACTAAATATACTAAAAATGTACATATCTATATACGTATGTAGATATGTACGGTACATGCCGCTTGGCCTACGACATTATTTGCTCACGTTGAAGGTTACAAACCATGGCCGTGCTGTTTTGAGCTGCCACTCTAGGGATCGGAACTATGGCTCCGTCATCGAGAGTGTGTCTGACGGTGCCGTAGTCTGGATTCAAGAAAAAGTTGGTTGCTTTTGTCGTTTGGGGTTTGGCAGTTCCGATTCCCCGACCTAAGTAGCCCCAACCTTGACACGACGTGGGCTGTGCAGAGTACAAGTGTGCAAGTGCGCGCTGCTCCTCAGCCTAGACGTGTATCGTGACAGGCGCCAACTTGGTTTCTTTCTTAGCGGCTGATGACGCGCCGGCTCGACCATGGTGCAATTGCGCTAAAAATTAAGCACAGCGTGCTACTACTCCCGGAACAAAAGCAAATCCACCATTCTTGACTCGTGGCTCTTCGCGTGGATGGCCTTCCGGTATCCCACTTACTGCCTCGCTAAGTTGTATACGGTCGATGAATGGGTCACGGATTGTGGTTGAACCTTGACACGAAGCCGCCCTAGATGATACGAACATGTCCCTTGCAATGTATTCGCATAGCTTTTCGCCAACAGCCTATCACCGTCGCGCGCGGATACGCGGAACCATACGCCCAATTTCGCATGCCCTTGATCATGTTCTAGGGTTGTCGCATCCAACTGCATGGATAATGTATCATCCGGTGTTATCTTTCTTGCTTACAATATTGTTGCTAGTCCAGCCACATCGGCGTCGTCTGGGGAGTCGGGTACGGCCGCTAGCTTTTGCGAACACCAACTGTACAGGGTCCTTACCAGTAGTTTAGTGTTATTTTCCTTTCGTCTTTTTATCTTTTGATTTGCCTTGCTTCCAGGCTAAATGACTGCCCGTTCAAGTGTCCTCCACCCCACCCCACTCCCCCCTGTCTTGAGCTACACCTTTTTTTTTTCAGGCTGTCGATTTGCAGCATACAGATAAATACGACGGAGGAATCTTTTTTCTTCTTCTTTCCCAGGCAAACACTAGTAACCCGCCCAGTAAAATAGCGTGGTCGGCAGTTTGTGACGGGTGTCGGTACTTGTGATGCAGGATTGTGTCATCAAGATGCTTCATTTTCAACGCGCGCAACGACTACCACGACTGGCAGGTGACACAGAGTCGAAGGACATGCCGTTTCACATCCTTTTTGGTGCTCCAGGATCTTCGCTGGACGCCTAATCGGTACGGCCCGAGCTGTCAAGAGATGGATGAGTAAACGTCCCAAGTCTGGCTTGGTTTTGCATGTATTGAGAAGTCTGGAAGCCGTTCTGACAGCGGTAAGATTACACATGCGCCGACATAAGGCGACGAGAAGAAACGTGTATGTACTATGTACCGTATATGCCGCTGATTAGCAAGCCCAAAGTTTGTCAAGAAACTCTGGCCCAATGTGTTTTCATTGCAAGGATTAGGATCGGCATGGCTTGTGATAGGCTGTTTTGGTTTTGGGCAATGGGGGGGAAGGGCAGAGACAGGTATTGTATTTTTCATCATCACAAACCTTCTTTGGACGGCTAGGCTCGGCGTTGGGGAGGGGATGGTTGCACAAAGACCTGGCACGCGACAAAGGCTTAGTACATCAGTACCGGAGGGTCATCGCCGATGTCCAGGTCCGAAATACTTTACAGCAATGCAACAAAAGGTCCCGCCATGGCATGGGCGGAGTAAACTCCGTGGTACTTGGACAGCGGCACTTTCCACCCTTGCCTCAATCTGAGACGTACGACAAAGTCCCAGGTATGACGTGCAGCAGGCTATTGAGCTAGTCGCGGATCACCTCGGAGTTTTAACGTCGGGCCATGCGCGGGTGTGGAGACGATTATTGGAGCACGACTACCACAAAACAGCAGAGCGGGACGCAGAGACGAAATTGGTTCACTGTTTTGAAATATCCATACCTTGATCCTCGCCATATAGGCTCGGCGGACCCGAGTGCCGCCCCCAAAAAACGACACAGATATAGTTGGCGGGCTGACAAAAGTTACTCCATTGCTCGCTCCGTTACAAGGGGCCGGCGGTGCTTCGGTGCAACGCTTCAACCTCCGCACCCCCGCTGGCGCTATCCATGAGAAACGTGGGCAAGCTCAATTTGGCAAGACTAGTAGTTTAATACCGGATCTGCGCGGGATGGCTAGTAAGGTGTGCGTATGGACTCAAGTACATTTGTAGAATAGAAGCTAGGACAGGGTCAAGCATCCCCCCTTCCCTTCGGAAGCATGGAAACGACAACACGAGCCATGCTGACATTGAGCTGCCGCAAGCAATACCGGGATCATTGTCGAGCAATGATTGCGAAACTCATGGCGATGCTGGCGCCATATTGCTTGTGGCAATAAGCCGATCGCCTATTATCCATAGGGCTCGGGTGTTGTAAATGCACGAAAGCGTGCAAAGCTTCCCGCCTCATGTCTACCTCCGCTTTTCGGTGATATCGCCGAAGCGCGCTGAGAATCGAGCAGGGCTTGAGGACGAGGCTGACGTGGAGGGGTAATATATATATATATATATATATATATGTGTGTGTGTGTGTGTGCGTATGTACTTAGTAAGTATGTACGTAGTACATATGTAGATGTAGTATACAGCTGTTTACGTACTGCTGCTAGCACGTTTATGCAGAGTGTGTCTTTTGGTCAAATAATGTCATTATGTTGCAGTTGAATGACAGGTCATGTGATGTGTGCGGACATGCCTCGGGTGACATGACTCGCTATTGAGAAGTGACTGGTCGCCTGAAGTTGTGTACATCGTCATATGGATCTCAGTATCTAACATCATATGCATGTAATATAAATGGTCATTTGTCTGGACAATGCTTGATCAAGTATCAGCCAACAACTGCCTGATAGACAGGATCGACGGGAGCTTTCGGCAAGGGGGTTCCAAGACCAAAAGGTCAGATTATGAGAGGCGGTCTTGACATGATTAGCATATTGCATATGGTAACTAAGTTGTGGTTGCTGACTAAGTGTTGTTCGTTTTGATCCGTATCTCACTCGGTTTGACTCGCAATTCCTGCCGTAGTACCCTGATGTCTCGTTGTACCTGCCTCCTCGCGTTGGGAGAACGGCCGTCCCCATCTCACAGCTCACACACATCCACACGGTACATGCGTTTTTTGGCATCTGCCGAGGGGATGTCTGTGAGCGTGTTTGTAGCTTGACATGATTGTGGATTCACAGTGAGCCTTGGTCAGGCCTTGTCACCGCCTGTAGGCCGAGCTGCAGCCGTTCCAAGATCAAGTAGCTTGCAAGGCTGACCGAATGCAGGATTGGGTGCGCAGTGCTTCGTTTCGGGTATACCTGCTTCGTTGCGGGTGCACATGAAAGAGGAGAAAGATTGACAATGTCGGTATGTCGGACGAGCGTCCGATTCAGGAAGGACGACCCCGTTAGCGAGCCGTCATCATGGTAAGCAATATGCGGGGCCCATATAGGGCTGCATGAGCCGGGAGCACTTATATCAAGGTCTGGCTCTGGAGAAAGAACAAAACCAAAGTAAAACAAAACCACGGTGGTGATAACGAGCGGCAAAGTCCGCTGGCAAGGCGTGGGAAGTTTGAATCTCCCCAGCCGTGTGAACATGTCACTTGCTGACACTCGTGACGCGGGATGCTGCATTTTATGCCGGTCTGCATAATATAAAAGTCAGAAAAGACCCGAAAGGATATGCACGACATGAATGAGATATGTCGGTGTAGGCTATGGCAGAGAGGCCATCCTGGTCAGCGATAATATTGAATTGAATCCACGGCCAGGATACTGCGTGTTGGTTTGGGTGCGTCCATGTCACGAGCAGGTCGGTGCCCTAAAAAGTGCGAATCTTGTTGCTGGGCGTTGAGGACGGCGTAGATGCTAGTGACGGATCAAGACGCATGCATGCAAGCCGTGTGCTTGGTAAGTAGGATATACAAAGCCATGTAAGCAGGCGGTCAGAGTGCAGCCGTTGAGCCAGAGTTGGGGCATGAGAAGGTAAGAGAAAGAGTCTTTTTTAGCGTAGCGCTAGACGCGCCCTGATTGGCCACGACGACGTGTCCCCGAGGCGAGACTGATACGGTGCCGGCTTGTCTTCTCATCCGCATTTAGCATCCAAACATAACATGTCCTTACCACAAGACATCCCAACCCCCGACAACGCCTTTTATGTCCTCGTTACGGGCGCCAACAGGTTTGCAGCTCGAATACGCTAGGCTCGGTGGCACAAAATTGACTCGTTTCGCAGCGGCCTCGGCCTCGGGATTGGAACTCGGCTGATTGATGAGTTTCTCCAGACCCGGCCCCAGACGGAATCCCTCGTCCTCATCATCACCACACGCGATCAGCGCAAAGGCGACGCCACGATTCATAGGCTGGAGCAGCACCTGGCAAACACCATCCGCTCCCACGAGCGCAAGCTCCCAGGCATTGCTCAGGTTCTGCGCAACCGCGTATACTTTCGGCAAGAGCGCTTAGATCTGCTGAGTCTGATCTCGGTGCAGAAGCTTAGCAAAAAGCTACGAGAGACGACGCCTAGGCTCGACGTGTTCATCTGCAATGCTGGCATTGGTGGCTGGACAGGAATCAATTGGCCCCAGGCCATTTGGACCATTCTCACCAATTGGAGCCATGCCATAACCTGGCCTACCTACAAGATCTCTGGTGTTGGATGGCTTGCAAAGCCGCAGATACAGGCGGAAAAGGAGGTGGAAGAGCCGCCTCTGGGCCAAGTCTTCTGCGCGAATGTCTTTGGCCACTACATGCTGGGCCATTACCTTGCACCGCTGCTAGCCAAGCACCCCAAGAGCAGCAAGACGAGGGGCCGCATCATCTGGGTCAGCAGTCTTGAGGCCTACGACCATGTGTTTGATGTACAGGATATCCAAGGTATCCTCTCCGACATGCCATATGAGGTTAGCAAGCGCCTGACAGATGTCTTGGCCATTTCGTCAAGGCTACCGTGTACAAGGCAATCCGTGGCCCAGTATCTGGAGCCAGCCAAAGGAAAAGCCGAAGCTAAGGAGGAGGATGCCAAGGAGGTGACCGAGCCACGACTGTACGTCACCCACCCGGGGATTTGCGGAACGGCAATAATGCCGCTCCCGCTGATACTCGAGTACTGCATGCTGATTGCCTTTTATGTGGCGCGATGGGTGGGCAGTCAGTGGCATACGGTCAGCGCGGAGAAGGGGGCGACGGCCATGGTGTGGCTAGCGCTTGTGAGTCAGAGCACCCTCGACAGCATCGAGGCAAACGAGGGCGTGGGCAAATGGGGGAGTGCAACAGACTTTTGGGGACAGGAGCGTGTAGATCGCACCGAGGTACCGGGGTGGGGTTGGGGAGGCAAGATAGGGGAGGAGGTGAGGAGGAAAGGTAGGGATCCGTATGCAAAGGACCTATGCAAGGAGAGCCAAGAGCGGTTTGTCGAGACTGGGACCAAATGCTGGGAGCAGATGGAAAGGCTGCGTGTCGAATGGGAGGATCGGCTGCGTAGCGCTGGAGTCGGTGAGGACATGTCGTCGTGAGGCAGCAATCTTGTTGGCGCACATGGAAGAACCGGGGCAAACAGACAGACAGGCAATCAGACAGGGTGTATGTTGAGTATATACACACGTACGTATGTATGTAAGTAGACATGTAAGTACATGGTAGAGTATGTGTGTGTGTGTATTGTTGGTACTGTTTCTAATGGGGTGTAATGTTGGTGGTGGTGGGGGAGCAGCAAGGTTTGGGCTAAGTAGAGTCGCCATGCTTGCCCCGCTCCTGCATGCAACAATGTCATGCTCAAAGGCCCAGTCAGAGAGCGCAAAAGGTGGCGGAGATGAAGAGCGCGTATGGCAGGTAAGTACATATACTAGCTGGCGACCGACATGAGTCCGAGCATCGGAGAATGGTCCGATGGGCAACGGCTGAAGATGGATATGGAGTGTGTACATAGCTGCTATGTGGTAAGTACATACTGATTTGCCTGTATGGCCGATTTGAGGCTCGGGCCTATGCTGGCGAGGGTTGACAGGTGAAGGGCGGGTGCCAAGTAGCTCAACAGCCCGAGCCGGTCGACGGCGTGTGGTTCGCGAGCAAAAAGCCCCGACGACAAGTTGCCAGAGCAACTGAGGCGAAGGAAAAGTATATCATGACATGTGTGGCCCGTCGGCCGTCTGTCCATGCCTTGGAGCAGTGTGGATGGCAGCTTGGCAGAAGAAGCACGTGACGGAACCATCCATGAGCGTAGAACCAATGCAACGCTACTGAGGGCAGTCGGGCCAGCCCAGCCATGGCCACGACAGCCACGGCCCTAGGGACGCGCCGCCCGTTTTACCATGCGAGGCGGCCGTCCAACAGCAGGGCGGGCTGGCACGTCCGTGTTTATATGGCCTTGGAGGATGCGTGTGCGAGTATGGGTGGATGCGCATATGTGATGTGGAGAGAGGGAGAGGGGTGTTCGTGACGCCATGCAGGCCTCATGCAGGTTGGGCAGGGAGGCGGCCGCCCAAGGACAAGGGGGGGCGGCGCCCTCGAGGCCCCATCTCCCCACGCACTCGCCGCCGGCGGCGGGCGCAGACGGTTGCAGTGGAAACGCGGACGGGGGAAAAGTGGACAGCGGACGGTGGACAGCTGCTAATAAAAGGCGGGCGCCCAACATGCAGTGGCAGCATGGCAGCCCGTTGGACTGGGCCGTTCGCTACTGGTTGTGCCTCTGCTTTCCACTGGCCCCTTCCCCTTCTCGCTTGACCCTCTAGGGCCTAACTAAGGCGGCTCCTGGTGGCAGGTGGCGGTGGTGGCGGTGGCGGCGGCCCTTGATGCCCGATTCATCCCCCCCTTTGACCATTGTAACTGTACCATTGACCCCAAGTCTGCTCTTGACGTGCACCACCACCACCACCACCGCCGCTCCACGACGTGCGCCAGCAAGCCTCGTACCGTGCGCCCTCATTCCTATTCTTCTTTCTCGTCGCTACTTTGCTTTTCCCACACTTGCGCGTGCCATCACGCGTCCTAATGCAGCCTACACACTAACCCAAATACTCAGCCGCCACCTCTGCCCTCCCACAATCACAAGTTCTGTACATACATACACACACATACACACGTGCGAAGGGGGTATCGTGCAATCCACAGCGACGCGTCTAGCAACCAATCAATGGAACCCAAGGGCGACCCGCTCCCGAGCGACTTCCCTCCCATCTTCACACGCGACACTACACTTGGCGCCCTCTTGCGCGCACCCCCCGCATACATTGTGCTCGTACACGACTCGACAGTTACAACCACCTAGGACCTTTGTGCTAGAAACAAGGTCGTGGTTCTGGTCTCTGATCCCTTCATTTATATTCCCCGCCTGCAGCCAAAACCCACGCCGTCTGTGTTTTAGAATCCCTATACCAACATGTCTACTTCGCCCTCGTTACGCTCCTCCTCGTTTGGAGACATGCCGAGTCCCTCTACGCCAGACTCCACACCATCTACCGCCTCACGGGGAGGCTATTTCTCTGTTGCTCCCAAGTCCGAGTACCTTAAAAATGCAATTCATGCACGGAGGGCCCAACCAAGTCCATCTCTACCGCCCCAGGATTCGATACCCAAGTCTTCTTCGCCTGCGCCAAGCTTCACACAACAAAGTGCCTCCCGAGTCTCACCAGATATCTTTCTCCAGTATGCTCTATCCGAAGAACAAACAGCGCCTGTTTCTCCCGTCCAGCGAAGACGACCCTCCGACTTTGGCTATGCGACATCCAAGACGAACAGGGAACTTAGCAAAGAGGTTGAAAGGCTCAAGGAAAGTCTCATGACTGCCAACCTGCGACTGGAGTTGCTCAGCAGACACAAAAAGGAATCACAAGACAAACTTGCCTCAGCCTTGGAAACAATAGAGCGCCTTGAGCCCATCGAAGACGAGGTCCATGATCTCCGCGCTGAAAATAAGAAACTAAAGCTTAGAGTCAACAGCATGAAAGAGGAAATGGCACGCCTCAACAAAGTCAACGAGGACCATCGCAAGATCAACGAAGAGCTCACTACCATCGCAAGCGAGAGTGCTGCACACTGGTCAGCTCACGAATCCGCCATTGACGAAGCAGCTGAATGTATCATCAAGATGGAAGAGGAGAAAGCTGCCCTCTCCCAGGAGCTTCAGGAGCTCAAGGACCGAGTTGCTGCCATTGAACGTGTCTCTTCCGAAACCCCACTCACCGTTGGCCTTGACAAGTACCCATCGCGTGTCTACAGTGTCGACGAATCGCGGCCTTCGACTAGTCATTTTGACTCGGACTACTATAGTCAACCGGATTCACCCCAGCCAAAGCCAAGCAGCGAATCGGTCAATTCTTTGAGGCCTTCAGAGCGATCAAGAAAATTTCTTGATTCGACTGAGCAACACAGACGATCAGCTCGCGATCTGGTCAAGCGCATGTCGGCAGCATCCCTACGAGCACTTTGTGACACAACTCCGTCTCCTATCTATCAACAGCAAATTGCTACTGTTGAAGAGGAAGAAGACAGATCGCCCACTCCCCGGAAAACTTCTGTACAGCGCCGCAGGGGCTATGAGGCTGCTTCACCGGCTTTGATGCCTGCGGCAGAAATTTGCCCTTCTCGGCCTCATACCGTGGCACCATACGCAGAAACAACATCCCACCCAGATGGCCTTCGTGGCCTATACCATCCTGATCGAGCTAGGAATCGCAGAGCAAACAACCTCCGCTCATCTTCGGGCCAATTCGGGAGTCCCACAAGTTCACATCGTCTTGCCACTCGTCCAGAGACTACATACGAAACATGGCAACGGCCTGGATTCGCAGACTCTGAAGTCGATCTTACGTCGGTAGTCGATCCGTTAGAAGACAAAGAGCGGTGGTGGCGTAGCATGGACCGCCTAACTATTGAACAAGTAATTGCTCGCTATACAACATTTGATGAACCGCTCCAATCTAACACGAATCCAGCAACTATCCAAACCCGAGAACCGGCGAAGCTCAATGCTCTCGTCACTCCGGTCGGATCGGTGATGAATGACAAGGACCTTCGACGAAGCAAGAAATCATGTGCTTCAGCCAAGGCCGACTTGCCGCATGTCTCTCGTCGCTAAACCTACTTGTCACAGGTGGAAGAGGGCGATACGGTTCTTTCTAGACAACACGCTCTATGGAAAGGCTACTGTAATACCCTAATGACGTCTATGACCTTTGAATCTTTTTTCTTTACATCCTTCAACTGGCGTTTTACCAAAGAAGGAACCAATCAAAACGTACTCCACATCAGGAGAATAATGACGGCTAGGCGTAACATCAACAGTGCATCAGCATCACGAAGCACGGGGTTGGGTAAGTGTTTTTGTCCACTTGGAGTTTAGCCAAGTAGGTATATACATGTGATACCTTGAAACTACATTGTTTCGTTGTGACTATATAAAGCACATCCGTGTTTGTACAATTATTATTATTATTATCATTATTAGTTAGTATTAGTATAAGTATAGTTAATCCACTCTATTTCGATCATGATTTGTCTACTACTCCGAATCTTCCGTAGGGAAGAATGATACGATTTACCAATACCACCATGTAAGCGATGTAAAGACTTCCAACATGCCTAGTATATCTCATACTAAGAAATATCAAGTTTGTATCTCTGCAGAGGCAAACCAAGACAGACAAATATCCGCAAAAGTATATGGATCTCCCATCGTTTTCATATTCTTCATGCCATGCTTTTTCTCTTCATTTTTCTCTTCTTTCCCGCCACCACGTGGTGTTGTGGTTCAAGAACAAAAGTAACATTGATGCAGCAACCTTGTCTTGTTCGCGCACTCACGCACAGGCATCTTTGCACATGCCGCGCGCCTGTTTCCGCTTCCTAGTCCCCTGCCCCCACACTTCCCCCATCGTCATCGGACAGCTTCCACTCTCGTGTTATCCTATCCTTTGACCTCCCCATTTTTACCACCACCCGTACCCTCTTTTTTATCCCACGCACGCGCAGACACTGTCCCACCTCACGCACCAGATATGCGCTCTTCGCCGTAATCCGCATCACCCTACCCTTTTACTTTTCGTACACGTGCGACTTGACAAGCGACCGGCGCAATGATATCCTCGGGCTTCACCAATGCGCCCGTCTCGCAGCTCCTCGTCTTCGGCACTGTCATTGCGGCCCTTCTGGCCACACTCACTGATACACGATACTATCTGCACATACTCGTTGTGCCGCATATATGGGGTTATGGCCAGTTTTGGCGTTTTGTGACGTGGCAGGTACGTTTGGCTACGACTGTCTGTTCTGAGGGGGGATGTAAAAAAGAGGAATGTACAAGGAGGCCAAAGAAGCTAATGTGAGAGAACGATTAGGCTAGCTACACCAACTCCACAGAGGTGCTATTCGCAGTTGTTTCGTTCTACCAACTACGCGTTGTAGAGCGATTATGGGGAAGTCGCAAGTTTGCCGTAAGTTTTGTTCTGTTTCTATTACTCGCGAAAAAACCAAAGCGGTATCTTTTATAAAAATGCGAAATAGCTAACAGGATATCCCTGATTGAAAACAGTCGTTCCTCGTTTTGACCCTGCCATACACCACACTCCTACCACCTCTCATCCTAACTTTTGTCCTGCGGCCCCTCACATTTGCGCATATGAACCACCTCCCTGCCGGACCCACTACCTTGCTCTTCGCACTCGTCGCAAACTACTACGCCGCTGTCCCATATACATATCGCTATAGCATCTCTCCGTGGGCACCTACCACAACTACCTCCGCATCTTCCTCACAATCTATAACTGCCCTCTGGTCGCGCAGCCTGACGCTGACATCAAAATCGCTCTCCTACCTCGCGCCTTTACAGCTCGCCTTCTCGCAGTTCCCCGGTTCCTTGCTCGCGGCTGCCATTGGCTGGGGTGTTGGCACCGCATACCGCCGAGACTTGCTTCCTGGGGCTACCCGCTGGCGCGTCCCCGGATGGGTGGTTGGCGAGGAGAATCGCGACTCGAGAGGCTTTGAGGGACTGAGAGCGAGATTGGATGCAGAGAGGGAGAGAGAAGGCGGAGCTGGGGATGGACTCGCGACGGGCATATTGGCAGGTGAAACGGGAAATGCACAGCAGGCCAGGCAGAGGAGAACGCTGGGCGATGTCGTGGCTGAGCAGTTTAGAGGGAGAGGATAGGCTTTTTGTTTTGCCATCATCCTTTTTTTTTATATCATTCTTGGTTTTGTATGAGAGGGATGTGTGGCTGGTAGAGGATGCACATGTATATATTTTAGACAAATTATTGAGTGTTGTCTTGGTCATGTAGAAGATGAACGGAAAGAGAGAACCTAGTCATGTGCAACAATGTAGCATATATTGGTTATTTCAAGTTCTCCATTCTCACCTTTTCTAACTTTTGACCCTGACTCTTATTTTTTTTTACAGGTTGACTACTCACAAAAATCAAAAGAGTCTATTCTCAAATAGCACAAGCAGTCAAGTATACAACATCACACATCGTGTTGCACGACATGAGGAAAGTAAAATTTGACACATCACTAGATGGCTGTCATGCACTCCGACTTGCAGCAGAATACTATGATCAGACTAAAAGGTAAAATAGTATTTATTGAAATAGATTGGAAATGTTGGGCACGACATTGAAGCGTACCCCGAAAAGAAAGACCCATTACAAACCGAACGAGACCACCGCCAGTCCCCAGAAACGCCGGCATCATCATGCAAGACACAAAGTCTGTCTTCTAAGGATTAAATGTTTAGTGCTTGCCCCTGTCGTCACTGCGCGCTGCACTCTTCTTCTTCTCGGCCAAGGCTGTCTCGTGCTCAGCCAGCTTCTCCTCCGAGGAACCGTCCTCCTTGAAGACCTTGGCGCGGTCGACTGAGCCAGGAATATGCTCAGGTAGTTCGCTGCGACCGATAAGAGTAACCAAGATGCTGGCGCCGACAATCATGGTGAGAACAAAACGGTATACAGCGTACCAGTCGGGAGTCCAGCCACGGTATGCAGCACCTATAGTTGTCATATTAGTCATTGAATTAAAACACAAAAAGAAAGAGACAGTAGCATCGTGGTGAATACTTACGGGTATCAACATAGTAAAGTGCAGTGAACCCCAGGAATTGAGTAATCAGTGCACCCTCGATGGGCATCATGAGCGTAGACCAGGCCACCATAGGCGTCACAACACCAATGGCGTACCGTTTGTACCCTTGGTAACCACCGTAACCCGCCCACTCGAGTCCCCAGTGAATGGCACCCAGAAAGCTCAGAATCGACGCGCCGTATCCGACCTGCAGGGGCTCAATGAGATGCAGCAGGTATGTAGCGTTCTTCTCGGAAATCATGAAGCCGTAGCCGGCAACTGAGTGGTTGAGTTCCCACGACAGGTAGACGGTTGAGAGCGACGTTGCAAGGTAAGGAAGCGTGCCAGCGAGACCCAGGTAGAATGCTTCGCGGGGCACTGCGGCAAGGGAAAATGTGTCTTTGACTGTGTTCTACTCAAATGTTAGCTCCATGAGGGCACAATTTTTTTTGTTAAGAAAATGGCTGCGCCCCGATACATACCACATCGTGCTTCATATCAGCCATCATATCCACCTCCTTCTGCGGCCTGTCGCCGCCAACCTCAGAAAATATCGGGTGTGTTGTGCTGGAGCTCGTGACCGTCTCTGGCGTGGGTTTGATTTCCTCATTTCTGTATCTGCTCTCGGCCTGCTTCTGTGCCTCTGTCAACTTGCCGTCCGCCATGCATCGGCGCAAGATGGCGGATGAGGCCGGCTTTAGTGCATTTGCTGCTTGACGCAACTGCGGCCTCTTTGCAGCCAGTGACCCAAACTGTGTTTGCCATTGGAGTGATGGCGCTGTGCGGGAGAAGCATGCCGCTGGCCGGGCAGCTGTAGGTGCCGCGACGGACCTTAACGCTAGACGCGACGCTCCGTTGCGAAGCATACTATTAGATTGATGATGGCGGGGAGCACACGGGAAAGAGAAAAGCACGGATAATAGACCAGGTGAATCCACACACACACTGTACAAGAACAAGAAGCTAAATATGAAAAAAAAATACGAAGAGAATATAGAGAGAGCAGGAGAGGCTTAACCTTGCATTTGTGATTGAAGCTGCAAGCTCCCCCGCAAAATGACGCGCGACACTACTGTGACGTCATGCTTGATCTTGAGCTACAACTACATCACAACGCCGGCCATGGTTCGGCATCGCAGCCGCTATCCTTGCCAAGTAGTGGACCGAAACGGTCCCGCGACCCATAAATATCTTGGGCATACTGTCGGAATCAGGCAATCATTCTTTTCACTGTCGTTCACAGAGTCGGCCCGACGGCCTGGAGGCAAAGTCCACCTATCCCTGTTTTCAGCTGGTTATCAAGATACCAAGAGCCGGTGATCACATTTGCTAATAAAGGACTGCATTTAGTGTCGATAGAAATTTTCATTGCCTTAGGTCATAGAGTAAAGAATACACATTACAAAGAATCAATCCGTGCAAGCCGAAAAACCCACGCTATGCTGTGTACTTAGAACCAAATTATGCCTCAGGATCCACTCTCCTTCCAGCCATTTCGATTAACCCTTCGCATTCCATCGGTCATTGTACGCGTTGACCCCCACAGCAACTTGGCGGTAGAACCAGTTCCTGCTTCCCTCGTCACTGACAGGAATGAATGGGCCATTTGTACCTCCTTTGAGCGTGATGGCCAATCCTGTCCTCTCCTTACTGATCGTCTGTACATCCTTGAGTGGCACATCCCACTCGGTTTGCAGCTTCTTCGTGCGCACCATCATGAGACCATTGTAGGTGAGCATAACGAGCATCTCCTTGTTTTGCAGCTCGAGATGCGCAATGTAGTCCTCGTTGAAGTATTTGCCGTTGTCAAGCGTCTTCAACCAAAACTGTCCAAGCGCTTCACGCTGAGAGTACGGTCGCACAATGCCATCCGTGCCAATGAAACGCGTCAGGCGCACACGGTCGAGGCCCTCTTGGTCAAACACTGTGGTTGTATTGCGCACACCTTCAGCCATGTTGGACGCAAGATCAAAAGCTCCAATCGCAGCCTTGGTAGGCACACCGAGCAGCCCCTTTCCGACACCTTTGACGAAACCAAGAGCACCCTCCTTTTCTGCCCCTTGGATGGGGTGGCGAGCAAGGCCACCGAGCCCACTGGCTAAACTGCTGGCAAAAGCATTGCCACCGGACGTAATACCGTAAAGGGCATGCTTGGGCCGGTTGCGGGAGCGGGACATGCGACGCGAATCCTGGAACTCCTTGTCGAGAGTTGCCGCAGAGAGACCCTTTGACATGCTGCCAGTAAATTTGGCCATGCTGTCTGAAAAGCCAAACACCGATTTCTTGACAAAACTCGATGCGCCCTTTGCGATACCGATACCAAGATCCTCAGGACGATCAGATTTGACCAGACCCTGGTAAGGCTCGTAGAAGATATCCGCAACGCCAGAGCTGATGTTGTTGAAGAGACCGACCGGGTTGCCAAGGAAATCGGCAGATCCAATAATCACGTGGACTTGTCGCAGTGACTCTTGGACATAGTGGTTCTTGATATTATTGATCAATGCGGTTGTCGAGATACGAGCGTTCTCAAGCATCAACGAGTTGTATCGTACCGGCGCATCGTTGACATTGCCAATCGACATGGTAAGAACGTTGACTGCGAACATGAACGGATTGGAAGTAGTCATGGTATCTTCTGCATTGATACGCTCCGTTCGGACAAACGAAAGATCGATTTGCATAGGCTGAAGATGTAGGAGCTCAAAGTAGACATCTTGACCAGACTGTTCTTGCTTTGGTTCAGGAATACTGAGGTTTTCATCCCACAGCTTGCCTTGCTTCTCTTCAGTCCAAGACGCGCCAGGTATATTCGCGAAGTCGATCATGGCAAAGATGAAGTCTTCATCGATTTCGACAGTCATCTGTTGAAGCAAGAATGTGAAGTACTTGATGTACAAGACGCCATACGAGTCATCCTTGACTTTTGTGATTGTGGTCTGGAAGATAGGATGTGCCTCCATCTCCTTTCCGGTCTTTGGAACAACACTAGGATAGAAGATGATGGGGAAGATACCGCCGTAAAGCTGGTTGTCGACCTGAATCCACTTGACCTGCATATTGACCATCTGGTATAGTGGTGAGTCCGAGTACTTCAGCTCAATATCACGGAGCGTAACGTAGACTAGCTCCTTTAGGTGACGATTGACGAGCGAAATGCCAATGCCAGCAAGCCGTAGCTGTGCTTTAAAGGTGACATCCGTATCCATATCCTTGACTTCGAACCCGGTCGTTGTTGATGATGACCCTGCAGACTTTTGCTTATACATACTCTTCGAGGGCCTGTAATTTGCTATTTCCAGAGTCTGCGTAGGACCTGCAGCAACGACGTTGAGATCAATAACCTTCATGCCTCCACCCTCTTGGCCAGGCGGAATCTTGAATGGAATGAGCGGCCCAATCTCGGCAAGTTTGACATGTCGCTCTCGACCATTGGCACTAATCACAATTTCCTTGTTCCTCGCTGCTGGGAAATCCCATGCATATGGCATGATGCTCCGAGGAGGCAGACGGTACCTGATCGGCCGGAAGCCAGAGCCGCGGTCATCTTCATCCTCATCTAGGTTTGGATTCACTTGCCAGTACAAGAACTCTTGATCGCTCATGTTCTTGAAAGAGAATGGCCAGTGCTTGTTCTCAACACTGATGTGACAGAATATGGTTGCTGCTTCCATGAGAATGTCTACACGGACGAGCTTTTGGCGCTGGCCAGCCTTGGAAAGCTTGACATGTACGTTGCCAACATTGGAGATATTGAAGGGTGATGACCATTGGTTGTTAACGCCGGGATAACAGAGCGACAGCTGGGGTGCGCCGCCTTGTCGCAGCCATCGAAGCGGGAAAAGCTCGCCGTCCTTTACCGTCATCCAGTCAGATTGGCCAGGTTCACGGATAAGCAGTTCTTCCTTCATTTTATTGTTGATGATGAAGCGTGGCGCGATGGAGACGGTCTTGGTCAAGTTATACTTGCCCTCGCCTTCTGAGACGGATACACCTAGGTGCATGTCGGAACGCGCTTTGACAGACTGCAAAGCCACAGTGTATGTGCTACCAATTGCGTCGAAACTCTGAGGCTTGCTCCAGTTGGAATCGCCAACCCTGATCAGAGCACGATTCTTCTTGTTCTCGGTTGGGTAAGAGAACATGAAGGGTAAGGCTTTGCCAGTATCTTCTTGATTATCCGTGACAACGCCTTGCCCGGCAGCGGCTCTGCCTGAGGCCATGGATTGCTGTGCTCGAACATCCAGCTGCAGTCCGGTGCGGTTGAGTATGATGTATGGACTGTAGATGGCTACCTTGAAAGCACCACCACCGTCAGGGAAGTTGCTAGAATAGGTTAGTATGCTTTCGTTGTTGAATTCGGTGGAGACAATCTTACAAGAAATGCATATTGAGGTGTAGAACTGTGTCATTTTTGTCCCTCACTTCAAGGACTTTTTCTCTTCTGAAGCTTTCCCGGTCGGTGGAGTTGATGATACCAAACTTGCTGGGTTTGAAGGGCCCATCCTGCATTTCAACACTGATCAGCAGCAGATGGGAGAGCTCCACTACGTGGACTGGGCTGATTCCGCCCTTTCTGAGGAAGTTCGTCCAATCCTTCTTTGTGTTGCTGTCATAAATCCTGTACTTGAAGTCATACGGAAGAAGGTTGTGGACTTCGACTGGTGCCTGGAGGCGAAGCCTCATGTATGGGTAGACGCCAGTCAAAGGATCCTTCTTGTCATAGGCTGCATGCAACTGGAAGAAGAATGGTGGCGCTTGGTCATCCTGCTCTCCACGGCATGTGATTGTCCGAGTAGGGCGCTTGAGAAGGTCTTTCCAAAATAGGCGCTCATTGGACCAGGCATATCCGAAGCCCTGGTCTGGGCGAACAATCATGGAATGCATGTGGCAAGCGCCAACAGGAGCTGGCCTAGCATCTCCAGGAGGAATCTTATCGATCTTAAGAAGATGGCCGTCGTCAGGACTGAACATTCCAAGTTCAATTGGGATCTGAGTGTTGTTCTCCACCAATAACGGGGAGCGGATAGTAATGTTCTTGACGTTATCCGATCCAAGCTTCACATCGATCAGCAGGCGATGCTGAATGCGATCCTGCTTCGGCTTCAGGTTGTATAGAAATTCTCCCTCACGATGCACCTGTACGCGAGAAAGAGAGTCAAAGCCACTGCCTTGCAGTTTGATTCCAAGCATCCCAGTGGCGCTTTCGGTAGAAAGCGTTTCTCTTGCCGACATGGGATCTTCGAATCGCCACGGCTTCTCTTCTCCATCTTCGAGCTTATCAGCGAAGCCCTCATCTTCTTTGCCCTCAGCCCAAATATTAATGCAAAAACCTGTGTAATTGCGCACGCGGTACGGCGCATCATTGCCTCGGGGTTTAGATAGAATGTCGTCTTCGCTAGTGAGAAAGTCGAAGGACTTGGATCCCAGCGCAATCGTAGCGGCTGTTACTGTGAGTTCCATCGATTTGCGAGAATAGAGGTCTACGGTTAACTTTTCTGGGTCCTGGTCCTTGGACATATGGAACCCGACACTCCAAGGTTCGATTAACGGCTCCCATGCCGACTTGGAGAAATTGTACACGTTAACCAGTGTGTCGACAGATGTATCAGCGACCATTGCACCCGTCCAGTCTCGTACATCGACTACAAACTTCTTCACGCGCCAATCTAGCATAGGCATCTCATGTACGTCACCGATGAGGACAACACGTATGCCTTCAAAACTGACATGCAACTCTTCTCTTTTGATGACAGCTGAAGCAGGTGCTTTTTGATGGGCCGTCTGCTGCACAGATCTCTTGCTAGTCGCAACAGATTTTGCTTGGCCCTTGTGAGTTGATGCTTTAGTTGCATGAGACGTAGCATTTTTGGATGGTATGGTTGCCTTGAGTTTTTGGGCTTCTGCGGAAGCCATGGGTTTCTCTGCGGGAGCAGTCATTGCAGATGCTCGGTTCACGATCTGCATGGCCAACAGGATATCGCGCAGTGACAGTCGTAGGACGAGAGGTTCTATGTCGACGGTTATGCTCGTCATTGAAGACTTTGATCCCTGGTTTCGCATGTCCAAGGCTGATTGAATGCTGAAGTCGTCGAGAATGCGCATGCGATTGGTCTCGAATCGGTCCATGCGACACAAAAACATACCGACCTTGTCAACTTGTAGCGTCATTGCTTGCTGTTTAGAAATGAGCACTTGCTTGGTGCCGAGCACAATGGCTTCTGAGCTGGCCATAGCTGGGTTCGCAATGAGTACAACTTGCGCATCCACCAAGTTCACACGGAATGACACGTTCATGCCATTGTCGGTAGGCGCTTCAGCAGGTTGAGGTGCTTCCAGTGTTCGGGAACCATCAGGCGACATGATATCGTCCTCGTCGCTATCTGTTTCTTCCTGCTCGGCTCCTTGTTCAATAGCTAAGGGCTCATCAGTGGCAAGCCCTGCATTGGCGAATGCCTGTAGAGCAAACAAGTAGTCTAGAGCCAAGATGATGCGCGGACTGTCAATGGTCAGAAGCGCAATCATACTGCGCTCTTGGCCGCCAGCAATGGACACACTAGCCATGAACTGCTGCTTGACATCGTTGTTGATGAGCGACATGATCTTGCGGAACTTGTTGGCACCCTGCATACGGCTGTCTCGGATAGTGAAGGATTGTATGACAAGTTCCGCTTCCATGGCGCCATCGCTGATCATGCGGACCTTCGCATTGGTGTCGTTCAAAGAGAACCTTGAAAGACTAGCGGCTTCGACGTCACCAACAGGTTCGCCATCTTCAGACTTGATGAGCTCTAGACCGATAGTGCCAACTTTGAAGACAAAGTCCAGCTTCGTCCACTTGTCTTGATCGGTATGTAGTTCAGGTCCTTGTGAAGTCACCACGTCCTTGGATGGTGCTGAATTTTCATTACTCTTGCCCGTTAGTTGACGTGCAGGACCCGTCGTCTCACTTGGCAGCTCGGCTTGGATGTCCTCTTCAATAGCCTCGGGCTCTGTGGCGAAGGCTGCAGGTATAGATCGTGAAAGCTCCAAAGCAAACTTCATTTGTTCAGGTGTGAGTTGCAAATTGATGTTCGACATAGACCCATCAATCTCGAGATCTGGTCGTTGTTGTCCGGGACTATGCTCAACCATGGTGATCTTGAAGTCGAGATCCACTTTGTCAATCAACTGCAGCTCTTCAGAGCGGTCCTCGTCGTAATGGAGTCTTGAGGTAAGCTTGATGTGTCTGATGCCGGCCGAAATCTTGTTGGCAGTCTTTGCACTTTCAGAATCGTCCAGAGGGACAAAGCTGTTCTTCGCATAGATCTCTCCCAAGTTTGCAGTAAGTGTATCATGATCTGGTTTGTCGGATGCCAACATCCGCGGGAAAACAACAATGGGCGTGCTAATGGTGATGTCGTAATGGAATCTTGTCGTTCGTTGTTGAATCTGTGTCGCTTGGTTTGCCGCAGCCTGGCGAGCAGCATTGAAGATGGCCTGCATTTTACCAAATTTGACGGCAAATTGCATGATCTTGCGGAAGGGCTCTGTGAGAAAGTTGATCTTGACAGATCCCGTCTTCAGTGCGACAGCCGCGTCGTATCCTGGATAGCTCTCCAAATCAGAGTCGAAAGTCTCGTAGCTGAAATCAGCTAGGTTTTTGCCTTCAATAGTCACGAGCTGGCGAAGGGAAGACTCCTCAGATACGCCTTGGTTGACGTCGTCGATAAGCGACAGGTTTCCAAGTCTTCCACCAATACGCATAGTTTTTCCACTAAGGAAAATGCCAACGTTTCCAGAGTTCAGACTCAGCGTGGCGAGTCGTATACCGTCATTGTTCAGAACCACTGCAATACGCTTCAACTCTGCGCGAATGCGTATCTTGTCTGGTTCTGCTTGCGGCTGCTCAACAACCAGTTGTTCATCTTCTTCCTGCTTGTCCTTGATCTGAGCCTGCTGGTTTTGGGGAGGTCCCGGGTTCGTGAATGTATCTAGAACAAAGTCTAGTAGGGTAAGCAGTGTCCGTCGAGTCACTATCAAGTTGATTGTTGAGACGGCGACTTCCAAGTTCGTCGCAATGCCCTCATACTTGGTTTGGAACTCTGGCGATTCTCTGTTCACTTTGACGAACTTCAGTGTGAAGAGATCTTTCTGTTCGTCCGCTGACACGTCTTCTGATGAGATGATGTTCTTGAACTCAGGGATTGTAGATTCTTCCACGTGGTCTTCAACAGCCAAGCTCCGCAGTCGAACATCTGCAGCCATCTCAAAAGCCTCTTGGTAGAAATCAAGATCGAAACTTTCAGCGACCAACTCGACCAGGAGCTGATCAGCCTTTCTCCCTTCAGGATCTGCTCTGTACAGAGAGCCTTGAAGGCGGTCGACTGTGAATTTGAACTCAAAGTTACGCTGATGTAAATGCACGTTCCGCTTGTCTCCTTTGGACTCCTGCGCGTCCGAGAATTGCTCCTCGGTATCACTGTGGCTATCCTCTTCCATGACAAGCTCATGCTCTTGCGCAGCAAATGCGAAAGACCTTGAACGTGATCGCCCGAGAGGATCTGCTTCAGACTTGGCCTCATTCTTGGGTTTCAGGTTTGACGGACCCTTTGCTCCTTCGACTACTGGTTTACTTGCACTATCATCCCCAAACTTGGGTATGGCCACATCAATCAGTTTCATCAAATTCTTGTACTTGGAGTCCGAAACCGATGCGTGAAGTACGGGCAGATTTCCAGAGACGCGGAATTTTGTCAGATCTGATGCTTTTGGGACGATGCATATTTCGATCTTGAAATCAATGTTGATACGGTCGACGATATGATAGTTCTTCACGCTTGAATCTTGCTCCAACTGCGCACGTGTTTCCTCAATGGACGGTCCTATGAGTACTTGCGTTGACTCCAGCTTCAGGTTGAATTTGTCGTACATTAGATTCTCCAACCTCCGGAAATCTTCCTCTGTGTACTGCTGCTTCTGTTTCGCTTGAATGTCACGAAGGGTTTCCTTGTCAACAAGCTCACTAGTGACGCTCATATGACCTGCATCAAGGATGAGACAGTTGCTTGATTCCTTGGTAACCGAGTCAGGAACAATGATGAGTGGGGCTTGCAGGTTCAGTTGGGCGTTGATAGTCTTGTGTTCAGCAAGGGCGAACTCCAAGCCTGCACGGGTTTGTTGTCGGATGCCTTCAACAGTTGCTCCAGCTGTCTCCATGAGTGCACCAATGGACTCCATATGCCTCTCTGGAGGCTTGAAGAACTTGGCAACCTCCACCACGAACCTAGGATTGTAAACAAACTCCATGCTCTTCAAATTCATGGTGAGATTCGTGTCGGCTGCTCCGTCGAGTGGATTGTTTTCGAAGGTCAGAAAGAAGAATGGATCTTCCTTCTCTTCCTCTTCGCCATCCTCGGCCTCCATATCCTTGGGCGACTCGTCGTCGTTAAGTTCTTCAATTCGCTTGTCGTCAGGAACTGGCGGTGCGTCCTTGACCGTGATGATTTGCGGAAAGAGACTACCCTCAGTAGTACCATCGTACAAACGCATACCTTCAAGGGCCACCTTGACAAACGTCGAATCCGTACGCTGCAGCAGTTGTGTACTGAACGAGTCGAAAAGAAGTCGAAGTATCTCGTTTCCCTTGCCATGTGGGTCGCGCTTGAGTGTAAAGCTGCCTGTTCGTAGGCTCATGTTGACTTCTAACTTGACGTACTCACGGGGCATATCCACCGACTCAGCAATGGCCTTTTTCTCATCCCAGTCAATGGCGTCGTACAGCTCTTTTCGTTGTTGCTCGTTCATCTGAGTGTTGTCGTCTTCTTGCTGCTCCTCTGGCTTACTTCCCCAGACCCAAGACGTCCAAGTTTGTTTGGGCGGCGGCTTCTTGACACCAACATTCTCTTTGCGTAGCTGGTTACGGGCGAGCGAGCGCCAGAAGCGAAGATCCTCGTACGAAAGCTTCCGCTCCAATCTGTCCAGATCATCTGTCTCGGTAGCATCAAGCCTCTCTTCGCGCTTCTTCTTCTTGAAAAGCTCAATGTATCGTATCCTGTCATCGCGCCGCTCTTTGAAATATCCCCAGCTCCATTTGCGGTTCTTCTCGTGGATCTTATCGAGTACAGCATTACCCGCGAATCGGAGCCAGCCAGCGGGGTCTTCTTTGGGCGAAGATTTTGGTTGCAGTTTCTTGTACTCTTGGTGGCGAATGAAGTAGTGAAACAAGTCGACCAACATTAGTGCATCGCGGTACTGATCTTCGTCAATGATGAAACCGAGTTCATCGAACAACAGTCGAGCCTTCATCTTAGCACGATCCGTTTTTCCAGTCTTATCCATCTCCAAACCAGCACGCCCACTAATGGGCTTGAGGATGAACTGATGGTCACCTAGATCAGGGTTGTCGCCTCTAGCAATCATGCTTCGTGCCTGCTCTATGAAGTCTGATCGATCGATTTTTTGCTCATCGCTGCTCTGGTTGCCCTTACCAGTACCAATGAGCTTGGCATCTGTGTCCCAGTATACTGCCAAGGATCCAAGTGTGGCCAGCTTGTGCGTCGAGGCAGACGTACCTTGGATGAAGGTAGGTTTCCAGTTCTCGTCAGTGCTGATAGCGCTGAAGTCTGCAAGTGTGAGACCGAGGGCGAAGGGGTGGCCGGGATCGGATATTGAGTCCTCATAGCGGATGTGAATGTTCTTGACGGTAACCTGGACGTTATCGACAATGGCGGTGACCAAGCTCGCGGTAAAGCTTTGATTCTTTTGTTGTTCCTCGGGACTCATGCCCTCAGTGTTTCTCTCTTTTAGCAGTTCTGCACTATCAAGCTTCTCCATTTTAACAGCGTGGGCGCGCCTCTCCTCCTCATCAGCATCGTAGTCTGCATCCTCCTTTGGCGCTGCCAGCAGGAAGACATCTTCAATGCTGACCTTCAACGGCTTGCCACGCAGATTTGACCAGGGAATCGATAGTGTCAAAGAGCCAAGATGGCCTTCGATAACGTTTAGCGGCAAACGCAGTTGGTCAAGGGCTTCGCGACGTAACTCGAGGTCGCGGAGTTTGACGTCTCCAGACCAGATGCCGACATTTAGCTGCTTTGGGTCGAAGTTCTGGACATACATGCCCAGAAACCGATTCAGCAGTGTCGACACAAGTCCCTCGAGCATGGCGGCGGCGTTGGGCCGTTACCCAGGCCGGGCGTCGAAAGTAGACAAGTGGAGTGTGGGGTATGGAATGGGGTGTATGTTTTGGAGTGGAAAAGGTATCGCTATCGTTGTATCATGAAACTGTGTGGAGTCATAGGAAACGGCCGTCAATTTGCAGTAGTACTGCAGAAGGGGGTATCGTATATGGTAAACACAAGGCGGGGCGTGAATAAAGGCACAGGTTTTGTGGGTGTGAGGTGTCGAGAATTACCGAGGCCGCAGCCAGGAAGAAAACAAAAGTAAGTAATCTAGCAAAGAATGCAGAGGCCAGACATTGAAGAGGGTAGTCACACCGCACACAACACAACAGGGAGGAGGTGAATAGAGATCACCAAGGCAGCTACACGTCGTTTAGCCGCAAGTGCCATGGATGCATGACGTAGATCCAGTCTTCCCGCTCACGTGTGCGGGCCATCTGGTTGTTGATTGGCTGGAGGTCTGCCTCCAGTTGCGCCGTCTCCAATTTCTTCCCGCGTCTACTCCCCGCGGATCGCGTCTGAAAACGTCGCGCATCAAGAGTAGAGGATAGTACATACCATTTTGAGCTGAATCGCTTCTTCACAATACACTGTCCCGACCTATTATCCATACTGTCCTTGTGCTCCACCATTGGCACCTACAGACCACGACCCTGAACTTGGCCAGCTAACAGCACAACCTTTTCCATATACACATACTATTTTCAACATGGGCTGGTGGCCCTTCTCAGGCTCAGGCGCAGATGCCGCAACAAAACAGCAGCAGCAACAGCCAGCCACTATTTCAAATTCAACATCGCCCGTACAAAAACCAAACGATGCGCCCACGCCGACAATATCACACACACATTCTGCCCCCCACGATCCCGACTTCTACGCCGCCCACCCACACCTCGCCCCGCCCTCTTTTTCTTCCAACACTGTCTCGTCCTCGACAACCAACAGCAAAGACAATACCACACAACAACTCGAGGAGCTCGACCCTACACTACCCCGTACCATGTCCTGCCGTGCTGCCTTTGATAGCGCCTTCTATTGCTCATCACTCGGCGGCCACTTCAACGATATATACCGCTACGGACAACTTCGAAGCTGCTCCGACCACTGGAGCGACTTTTGGTTCTGTATGCGCACAAAGAATAGTCGAAGCGGTCAGGAAGTCAAGGAGCGCATGGTGCAGGATAGGTATCGGGAGAAGGAAACGGTGCTCAAGAGTGGGCCTAATAGCGAAGATGTCTGGCGTAAGAGGAAGCCGGGAGAAGAGATTAGAGGAGCATTTAGTAGGCCTGCTGAGGAGGTGTAGAGGTAATGATATGAAGGTGGGCCTGTGTACGATATATTGTAGGAATAGGTACTGATAGGGAGTGAGGTTGGTCAGTTCATTTATGATTGGCATGCTTCTAAAACACCTGTCACATGAAAAGTCAATGAGTACAACATTTGGCCTCTCTCCCCTCGAATATTACGAACGACTTCAGGTCCTTCTTCAAGTGTACCTTTCTGTTGCGTCGTACACTGTGCTCGAAGAAAGTCCTATGGTTCTATTCAATACCCTGGTGGGTTGGGGCTTGGCTAGGGTTTAGAGGCGCCTAGGATACCTAGTTAAGAGGGGTAACTCAAAGGTAAGGGCTGTATAAATAATTCTATACTAGTTAGGAAGCCTAAATGCCCTATCAAGTTGTTGCATACGTACTAGTGAATGAGTGTAGGTAGTTTTGAGCTATGAGTCTTGATACAGAGGATATGATTACTTTTATCTTCGCCTGTACTGCACTATTAGTAGCTAGGTACGCGACGGACTAGAACAAAAGAACTGTACCAAGTAGGCTAAGAACTTATATACTGAATAGTGTCTCTCTATTGCACAAGAAGTCCTGCTTTTATATCTAAGTTCAGACAATGATTTTGCACAGGGTTGCTCATAACCCTATGCACCGGCTTACCATCCCTCTGTCGCCTTGCCTATTGGCATCACATTTTTTTCGCCTTACTCTTGTTGAAGTAACAGCTACAATTTGCTCAAGGAGTCTACATGTAGTGTTAAATACAACAGCTACTGTACTAGTAAAGCCGCTGTTACGAGTTTATATGGGGTTAACACTCTATTCAAGGTAGGCAATCTGATGCGGTCCATCTTATAGTTAAACCTACAGCATTTGACAATTCTTTGCGTTTTTCACGCGTTATTGCTGCAGGCTAATGGTGTGGTGACGCTCAGGGTGGAGGATGATAGATTTACGCATTGTATAGAGTCCACACTGAGGGGACAAAATGATCATGTTTCCTGGAATTTTTGTCCGGATTTTGCTAATGGGAAGTCACGACAGTTGATAGAGTACACTTATTCGTTCTGATTAACATGGTAATGATTTTTTAACGTCTTTACAACTAGACTTTCAGAACACAGATTTTTGGCGATACTTATTCTGCCTGAACCTCCTAACCTCACCAGAACGTTTCAAAAAATTTGTGTCAAAAAAGCTTCCTTCATATTTTTTCTCAAAGACTGCTACTTATTCTGACACAATAACGTAAATCTGTTTACAAAACTTCAAGTATCCATCAGAAGTCACATACGAAGACCTTTCACAATAGTCTACTCATCCTTGAATGATCGTAGCCACCTGGATAGCTAATGTGATTTGCTGATCATTATATCCATGGCCTTACAATGGGAATATAATTAAATTTCAATATTTGTGAGCGTTGTACAAGAAATTATTTCCATTAAACGAGTCACGCCCAAAGGTAAGCTAGCTTGTCCCCTTTACCCTCCGGGAGTAGAAGTAGCTTAAGAATATACTCAACCGTCAAGACGAGCAGCTGGTGAGCGGACAAGCTGGGCGGACATGGTGAGCGGACACATTAGTGAACGTAGTAAGCGGACACGCTAAGTGGACATGGTGAGCGGACATGTTAGTGAACGTGGTAAGCGGACATGGTGAGTACTATATATATGCTGAGAGGACATGCTAGTAAGTAGATGTGGTAAGCGGACATGCTTGGTAGACGCACTAAGCGGACATGGTGAGTACTGTAGATATACTGGGCGGACATGGTGAGCGGACGTACTATGTGGGCATAGTGAGCGGACACGCTGGGCGGACAAGCTGGGCGGACAAGCTAATCGGACATGTCAGTGAACGTGGTAAGCGGACATGGTGAGCGGACATGCTGAGTACTGTAGATATGCTGAGCGGACATATGGAGACGAATACTAAGACGAATCAAACTACGACCAAGATACACTGTAGATGTCCATTAGGCGCACAGCAGCGATGTATTTGATGCGAATGATCATCAGCAACAGTATGCTCTGCAAATAGGACTGGGGAGAAGTCGGCGATCGGCGTGCCGCCGCTCAGACGCTAGACCCTGTTCGGAATGCTCCAAGTGATGCGGTGCGAACGTTCGGTTCTCGAACTAATTCACTCTTGCAAACAACACTTTGATGTCTGCTTACTACATGGCTCAAACCAGGTGATCATCATTCATTGGGAGCCACACATTACCTCTCTCCAAGACTCGTATCCAACACAACTAGGCTCACACCGCAAAAGACCTAAGCACCCTCAAAAGACTAGTAGCACCCTGTAACTACCCTGTCTCACACGATCCAGACGCAGCGCGACTCTCGTACTCCTCGAAAGCCTCAGGTATCGCCATGGTCCGAAATGGCAGCCCGTCTCCGGCGGACAATTTTCCGCTAGGCCATTCAGCGACATCCCCTCAACCGCAGCCCTCGAAGCGCGACAAACGGCGCAACATGCTCGCTGAGAAGCTTGCGGAAATGATGGCGTCCTTCTCGGACAACAGAGATAGCCACTATCGCGCTCAGTTGGCTGCGCTACAAGCTGACATCAACCTGATTATGAAGGCTGACCCTTATGCGAACCAACCGCTCGAGGATAATGGAGAGGAGGCCTCGGAGCTTATCGCGCAGATTATGGGCAACAACGTGCCGTCTGCGCCCAGTGCTGGCACAGATTATATCGCACAATGCGGAAAATACTACTCGCGCTTTGTCGACGCGGTCAATGATGCGATGGAGGAGCGGGACTACAATCTCACCATGCTCTGGGTGCGTGCCCCCCTGCATTCCGAGATCCTGACACGAGATGCTAATCGTAGGCTTTATACAGAACAAGCACGAGAACACGAAGAACGAAATCGAAAATTCACATTACTACAAAGTCCAAATCGCCGAAGAGGAACACAAGTTGCTGGCCGCCACCATTCGGGAGCGTCTCGTAGCCAGCATACAGCAGCGAACAAACAGACTGAAGCGAGAGAAGGAACAACTTGACTTGTCCGACAGCAATGCGATGCTTCTCCACCCCAATCAATACAGCATTGGAAACCCCGCCAGTCCCGGCGGACCGCAAGCGCCTCGGAAAACAAGAAGGACAGGACACAAGTTCGGGGACGCTGAAGAGCTGGCTGCAGCCAACGAAACCAAGCGCAAGAGAAAGTTGTTTGAGGATCAGGACAATGATTCTGCTAATGCCTCTGCCCGTGCTATCGAAATGGGGATTGGCTCTCCGTTCCGTGAAGCCAAGGCGCGTACTGTCAATGCACAGTTCGAGTCATCTGCCTACTCTCTTGAACGCTTGTTCACCGAGAAGGAGCTTAACATGGCTATGAATCAAGCTACAACAGCCGCCTCTCACTTCTTTGCAAAGATGAAGAACACAGAAGCTGCAACACAAGAGGCAACAACGAACGGCAACACCAATGGCACCAATGGAGAGCATGCTTCTGAAAATGGCGACCCTATGGACCAAGACCAGGACTCGGATGACATACCAGGCGCCTCTGACATGGTGCGCCAGCACTCGTCGAATCCCCACGCCACACGCGGTGCTACCCGGTCTGCACTCAATCCTACGGCAGCCATAGTCAGTGGACAAATACCACCATTCATCTACAATCCGCCTTTTGTGCTGGATGCAAAGATATTCCAGAAGATCAACGCGTCGGCGCCTCCGCCGCCCTCGCTCTCGGCACATGATGTGGAACAGGATCTGAAGCTGATGCTAAGGGAAGCACGGCCGGATGATGATCTGAATGAGAAGCTGTTGCAGGCTGCATGCAACCCGGTCAAAGCACGGGACTACCAGGTCCAGCCGCCGAACTTCTCTGAGCCAGTCAACGAGATGACGAGCGCACTACGCAGTACCGCACCACACCTGGAAGTAGGAGCAGGACTAGGGGGAGTGCCCATGAGCGCGCAGAGCAGTGCTGCAGGATGGTCCGAAGGTGGTGGAAACACGCCGATAGGACGCAACGGAGAGAGAGAGTCGCTTGCTGTTGGTGGCCATGGTGGCGGTGTCGCGATGAGTCGAACGGCCAGTGGAAGCGGAAGGGGACGCGGTCGAGGACGCGCAGGTGGTTAGGACGCGTCTCGGCGGCAGTCGGCTTCCTATTCTACTTGGACGGTCTCTTGACTTGGACGTCACGGTCTCGTATTATACCCATGTCTGGCGTTTGGGGACGCGATGCATGTGCGGCGTTGGGCTGGGTGCTGGATATATACTACTGTACTACTCACATGTACCGAGGTTTTGCTTTGTAGTTTCTTTGTTATTGCACTTGACTCGGGGATACTATGAGCCAAGAGTACTGTCGCAATCAGGCAGACGCGTCGGTTTCCCTGTTTGGACTTGTGTGGTATTGTGTCTTTGATTTTTTTTTCTTCTCTTGTTACTTTGGCATACAAGGCAGACGCAGTGTCAATACGGACGTCTACCAATCAATCGAGTCATGGCTTTGTATCTGTCCGCGTGTCAAGGCTGTGTGCATGACAACAGGCCATGTCTTCAACGTCGTCAGTCTGCAATCAGCAGCAGCAGTCGCAGCAGGCCACATCATACGAGGGTGTTAATCGTCAATAGTGTGGATGGCGGCAGTGGGGATAAATGTCCCGAGCACATCGAAGGTACGTGAAGGCGCTGGTTGCCATGGCGGGGTTGCTCGCTAAAACAACTGGTTTGAGGTCATGGTGGGGTGAGGGTGCCGTCATAGCAGCCTCCATGCGAGCCTCGTGCCCAGCGGCGAGACAGGCAGGCACGGCATCAACGGCAGGCGCGACACAACAGCCCGCTCAAGGCGGCAGGAGCACAGGGGGCGCCTTCCATGCAGCGCATCTGGCAGAAAAAAAGGCGATTTCGCCCCAGCGAAGCCGTCAGACAGTTGTTTCTAGTGGGTCGCAGAGCTTGCGGGAAGATTCTGGTTGGAGGCTTGGCACGTCGAAGCCGCTGGAATTCTGTAGAAACAAGACGTGCCAAAGCAATACAAAAACTGCTCCGCCGCCGCCTTGGGCTGTCTCTCCAATTCACTACTCAAATCACATTTGACCACTAAAGCCTCACCCACACGAAGTCTCTGACTTGTGAGCACCTTTTGCGATTTTCCTTCTACTCCTTTGATACCCCACTACACATTCGCATACCTTCTACACCATGGCACCTGCGATCGGAATCGATCTTGGAACCACATACTCATGTGTCGGCATCTTCCGAGATGACCGCATTGAGATCATCGCCAACGACCAGGGTAACCGCACAACACCCTCGTTCGTTGCCTTTACCGACACCGAGCGTCTCATTGGCGACTCGGCAAAGAACCAAGTCGCCATGAACCCTACCAACACCGTCTTCGATGCCAAGCGCCTCATTGGTCGCAAGTTCGCCGACCCTGAGGTCCAGGCCGACATGAAGCACTTCCCCTTCAAGGTCGTTGACAAGGGTGGCAAGCCTGTCATCCAAGTCGAGTTCAAGGGCGAGGAGAAGACATTCACACCAGAGGAGATCTCATCCATGGTCCTGACCAAGATGAGGGAGACTGCAGAGTCGTACCTTGGTGGAACTGTTAACAACGCTGTCGTTACTGTCCCAGCCTACTTCAACGACTCACAACGTCAGGCCACTAAGGATGCTGGTCTCATCGCCGGCCTCAACGTCCTCCGTATCATCAACGAGCCTACCGCCGCTGCCATCGCCTACGGTCTTGACAAGAAGACCCAGGGTGAGCGCAACGTCCTCATCTTCGACTTGGGTGGTGGTACTTTTGATGTCTCTCTCTTGACCATTGAGGAGGGTATCTTCGAAGTCAAGTCTACTGCTGGTGACACTCACTTGGGTGGTGAAGACTTCGACAACCGTCTTGTAAACCACTTCACACAAGAATTCAAAAGAAAACATAAGAAAGGTTAGAGGATTTCGATTTTATTCCAGTTTCTCTTGAAAAAAATTTTGGGAATTTTTTTACTAACATTGAAGACAGATCTCACCACCAACGCTCGTGCCCTTCGCCGTCTCCGAACCGCTTGCGAACGTGCCAAGCGCACTCTTTCCTCTTCAGCTCAGACCTCCATTGAGATTGACTCTCTCTATGAAGGTATCGACTTCTACACCTCCATCACCCGTGCTCGCTTCGAGGAGCTGTGCCAGGACCTCTTCCGCTCCACCATGGAGCCTGTCGAGCGTGTCCTCCGCGATGCCAAGATTGACAAGTCCTCCGTCCACGAGATTGTCCTCGTCGGTGGATCCACCCGTATTCCCAAGGTCCAGAAGATGGTCTCTGACTTCTTCAACGGAAAGGAGCCCAACAAGTCCATCAACCCCGATGAGGCTGTCGCCTACGGTGCTGCCGTCCAGGCTGCCATCCTGTCCGGTGACACATCTTCCAAGTCCACCTCCGAGATCCTGCTCCTCGATGTTGCGCCGCTCTCCATTGGTATCGAGACCGCTGGTGGTGTCATGACTCCTCTCATCAAGCGCAACACCACCATCCCCACCAAGAAGTCTGAGGTCTTCTCTACCTTCAGCGACAACCAGCCTGGTGTGCTCATCCAGGTCTACGAGGGTGAACGTGCCCGCACCAAGGACAACAACCTGCTCGGCAAGTTCGAGCTGACCGGAATCCCACCTGCGCCTCGTGGTGTTCCTCAGATCGAGGTCACCTTCGACGTCGACGCCAACGGTATCATCAACGTCTCCGCTCTCGAGAAGGGTACCGGAAAGACCAACAAGATTGTCATCACCAACGACAAGGGCCGTCTCTCCAAGGAGGAGATTGAGCGCATGTTGGCTGAGGCTGAGAAGTACAAGGCCGAGGATGAGGCTGAGGCTGCCCGTATCGCCGCCAAGAACGCTCTCGAGTCCTACGCCTACTCTCTGCGCAACACCCTCAGCGACTCCAAGGTCGACGAGAAGCTCGATGCTGGTGACAAGGAGAAGCTCAAGGCCGAGATTGACAAGACCGTCGCCTGGTTGGACGACAACCAGACCGCCACCAAGGACGAGTACGAGTCTCAGCAGAAGGAGCTTGAGGGTGTCGCCAACCCCATCATGATGAAGTTCTACGGAGCTGGTGGTGAGGGTGGCATGCCTGGCGGTATGCCCGGCGGTGCTCCCGGCGGCGCCCCCGGTGGTGCTGGCGGCGATGACGGCCCAACTGTTGAGGAGGTTGACTAAGTGGATCGCTCCTCAGCAGTCTCTTTGTCTTCTTCAGCATCATCTTCTAGCATAGACATTTTCCATGGGGATTAGTTCACGGAGTTCTAGGCTTATGAGCCCTTTTCATTTGTTTTGCTGACTGCATCGGATGACTAACGATCAATGACTTTGGGAGGAAAAGTTCGGTGGTAGCATGTACTCTAATAAATAGGGTTTAATATCCTGTGTAGAGAGAATTGAAATGACATTTCAAAATACTTGACTCTGTGCATCTTGCTTGGTGTTTGTGATTATGGTGTTGACATTACTTCAGAAGATCATGTGACACGAGAACCATGTGGACTATGGTTGATAGAGGTTATTGGACAGTTCACCATCATTCCAGTGACTTTTTCCAAAGTACAGCAATACGAACACCGCTTTACATTATGGTATATCCCCGCACAGCGGAGTGAAACTGAAATTGAAAGCAAAACTAAACATTCACAAAGAGCAACTGGTAATGGAAAATCACCTCGAGTTTTGGCTGATCAACATCTGTTCCTCAGCTTCCTCTTTCTCTCTCTCTCTCACACACGATCACCCTGTCCACACCGTGTACCATCAGCTTTCCTTGCCACACTATCAAATCCCCTTTCTACGCAAAGTCATCGCACAGCTCAAGCGTAATATCTGCCTCCCCCTTCAAATACGCAGCCGTATAATCCGGCTTGGGCTCCCCATACCAAAGAATCTGCTCCACAGGCTTCCCGTCCGTATTGTGAACGCGCAGCTTCTTCCCCTTGAACGCGAAGCCATTGACGGTACTCAAGCTATAGTAGAGCCCCGTCACGTTGCTCCACGAATACCCCAGGATCAATATGGGCTGCGGGTTATTGGGGCCGGGCTCGGTAGTCGTTACCTGGATGGAGACGCCGGTGCCGCGGTCGGGGCTCCTTTGGGCTTCGGAAAAGGTAGAGCCCGAGGTTATGTTTTGGGGCGGGCCTGCTTGGCCTTGCACCGACGTCACCCACACGGCAAAGTCGCATTTGTTGTGCACTTTGGCTTGCGCGGCCAAGGCGGTGCTGGCGGAGAGGGAGACGGCCATGATGGGGGTTGAGAGATGCATGTTTGGGTAGGAGAAATATGGAAGCAGTTTTTCTTTTTAGAAAAGATGAGGGATCAGACCGGATGATGGGTGTGAAGGTACTACCAAGGTCGATTGAGATGGTATGACTGCTTGGGCTTCATTGGGAGGGGGGGGGGGCATTCTAACCTCGTCTTTATACCCACTGAAAACGCCTCAATTTGGCTTTAGCTATATCCCATTGTTCCTGCATTGAGTGCTTTGTCCAAAGGCAAGAGGTTCAGTAAAACCAGTGCTACATTACTATCCACATGACTGCCCTTGTAACTAGATACCAAACATAGCATTGTCTTCCAATTGGGCGCACGTGTTCAGATGATTTCGTATCCAATCTGAGGTAGTGCCTTTGTTTCGTTGGAAGTAGAGGCCTTTGTCCGACAAGTCCAACGTGGTGCAATAGACAGCATGGCCAAGCTCTTGAGGTACACATGGTGCAACTACCCGTACCGTCCGCGGCAAACTAGCAAATACCTCGCCAGCCAATTGATGGAGCCAGCGCATACAAGATCCTGATCTTGGGTATGCAGAAAACATGATTTACGGGAGCAGGGTGGGAAGAGAGGTGAAGGATTGCGCGTCAATACTGCTGTGGTAATAGGTTGTCACAATCTCGGAGGCGGGTGTTCCTACAGAGTTCCCGTCACTGGCTAGATTGATGTGACTAAGATGGTCTCTTTGTCATGTTATTGACTTGTCTAGCTGAAATGACTGTGGCACGTTGAAGCAGGAGGTTGTCTAACTTCTGTCCATCTCGTCGAGGTAATGTCTTCCGTTGGAGCAATGTCTACTAAGTTAAATTTGATATCACTTCTTTCTTCTCTATGTGAGCCTTGGCTTTACGTGATAGTAGCGGCTTGTGTGATGTTCAGTTTTTGACTTTACATAGGATATGTGGGCAAAGGATTATAATGTACTGACTACACTTAAGCCTTCTACGGACAAGCCTACTCAGCCTGTCCGCTCAGCATATCTACTCGGCATGTCCTATGTCCGCTTAGCATATCTACTTAGTATGTCCGCTCACCTTGTCCGCTCACCATGTCCGCTCAACATGTCCGCTCAGCGTGTCCGCCCAGCGTGTCCGCTCAAAATGTCCGCTCAAAATGTCCGCCCAGCTTGTCTGCTCACCGTGTCCACTCACCATGTCCACTTAGCGGGTCCGCTTACTACGTTCATTAATGTGTCCGCCCAGCGTGTCCGCTCACCATGTCCGCTCAGTGTGTCCGCTCAGCATATCTACTTAGTATGTCCGCCCAGCTTGTCCGCCCAGCGTGTCCGCCTACACGAGGTAGACTAATGGTCCAAAAAAGCCATTGTCTGGAATATATCGCTGCCAGCTGCTTTGCTCCACTGATTACAATGTGCGGCATAGAATTATACTACCTTACTAGTCCCACGTTCATCTGATTGCATGTCACAAGGATGCTATCACTGTCAAGCTTCAAAGTTTCATCAATTGCTGTGTACATTAATAAGCCACCAACTGTGTTCTGGTTATGAATTCAAGGGAGAGGAAAAAATCATTGCGCTATGCTTAGTGTTCGCGCCAATCCGCATCCCCACCAAACTCTGCAAGCACGTGTCGATACCAAAAAGAAACGAAGCATCATCGCAACAACGCTAGCACTTTGCAAACATGGGCAAAAAGATATATTCCGACACCGGGAATCGAACCCGGGCCTTGCCGGCACTAGACAGTGAACTGACTCTGCAATGAGAGCGGCAAATCCTAGCCACTAGACCATATCGGATGTTGTTTGATTGATGAGAGGCTTTGAGACAAATACGTTTATATTCTGCATAACGCTATTGAATGAGCATTGAGAGGTACAATGCAAGTAGCTCACTCGCGAAGCTGACTAGTGGAAACAAATAGCTGAAGCAAAACTTCTGCAAGCACTATTCTTTTATATTCAGGCCTAGATAAAAACTTGACCCGAAGACGCAATCGAATGCACACATGCAACCGCAGAAAAGTCGGTATGTATCAGAAGTAGACATCATTGTTTTTCTAAAACCAGCCAACTCGCTTCCTTGTGCAAATGCATGACCATGGTTATCAACACCGACTGCTTGCATTAAGCATAGGTATCACAGCCTGACGTCCAAGGCAAAAATCGCTCATCCAGACCAAGTCTATAGCAAGAGCCGAGAAGGACTCTTGGATATGCTGCACTTAGTGCGGCCAGGCTAGACGGGCCAGTGTAATCATAGATGACTCCCGGTTTCGCCGCATATGCCCCGCGCAACAAAAAGTTCCCCGCGACTCGTTGATTTTGAACTCGACAGTTGGAATCCGCGCGTCGACACTTCAACAATGGCGCCAAAAAACACGGCATTCGACCTGCAGAAATGCGCGCGACCCAACATTCTCGCGTTGGAGCCGTACCGATGCGCGCGCGAGTAGGTGAAGCTCAATGGCGCTGATTGCGGTACTCGGACTGACCCAAGTACGTAGTGACTACAAAGATGACGGAACCAACATTCTCCTCGACGCGAATGAGAACGCGTACGGCCCGGGACTCTCGTTGACGGGAGAGACCAAGTCCAAAGTCAATGGCGCATCCGACTCATCGTATGCGATTGACATTGATTTACTTGGTCTGAACCGCTACCCAGATCCGTACGCACGCCGCTCTGCATCCTGTGCTGGGTCAACAAGACTAACACATGGCCACGCAGCCACCAAGAAGAACTCAAGCAGCTGCTATGCAATCTCCGAAACACGCACACGCACACACCGAAGAAGATCACGCCGGCGAACCTGTTTGTTGGCGTGGGCTCGGACGAGGCTATCGATGCGCTGATCCGCGCCTTTTGCGTGCCAGGCAAAGAAAAAATCCTCACATGCCCACCCACGTATGGCATGTACAGCGTATCGGCGCAAGTCAACGACGTGTCGCTTGTCAAGGTGCCCCTGCAAACACCCAGCTTCGACCTCGATGTGCCCGCGATCCTCGATGCGCTGGACCAAGACAAGAATATCAAGCTAGCATACTTGTGCTCGCCGGGGAACCCAACAGGCAAGCTGTTGAAAAAGGAAGACGTTCAGCGTGTCCTAGAGCACCAATGGAACGGTGTCGTAGTGCTAGACGAGGCATACATTGACTTTTCGCCCGACGGCACCAGCCTGGCAGAATGGGTATCGGAATGGCCGAACCTTGTGGTCATGCAGACACTCTCCAAAGCCTTTGGCCTCGCTGGTATCCGCTTGGGCGCAGCATTTGCCGACCCGGCAATCGCCCAGATCCTAAACAACATGAAGGCGCCGTACAACATTCCCAATCCCACCAGCCAGCTCGCACGTGCTGCTCTGTCGCCCAAACACTTGGACGTCATGCACAAGAATCGCAATGCCATTGTCGAGCAGCGCGATCGTATGATTCGCGAATTGCCAAAGATTGCGGGCGTTGGTGCTCTGCACGGCGGCACAGAGTCGAATTTCCTGCTCTACCAGATTCTCGATGCGCCTGCGGAGCAGGGCGGCAAGCCGTCAAACGAGACTGCGCTGGCCGTGTACGAGGGGCTGGCAGAGGAGAAGGGGGTGGTGGTTAGGTTTAGAGGCAAGGAGCATGGCTGCTTGGGATGCCTAAGGATAACGGTGGGTACGGAGAAGGAAGTGGATCGGTTTTTGCAAGAGCTTCAGGCTGTTTTGAAAGCGATCCACCAAAGAACGGGTAAACTGGGAGGCAAGGACGAGGAGCGGAGAGAGCAGGAGGCGAGTGATGTAGTGGCATAAGGTTTCGATGAGACGTAGATGAGAAGTGGATATACATAGCAATTCGGATCTTTCCGTGGCAAGGTTGCAGTCGCAACAAATGATCGACATGACCGTTTGTTTGCATGTCTCGGGTAGATAAGCTTTAACTTTGGTTACGTACGTTCCTTCTTTGAACATCATTCCGCTCGCACGTCCACATCCTCATACATCCACGTCTCGCCGCCCCCACCGCATGGAGCATACAAGCACTTTCTGATACCTCCGTCTTCAAATACAGGCACGACATCGCGCTCCGCCACCTTCATGGCCCACATGATGATCCTCGCGCCCAGGTTCTCAGTCCGACCATTGATAAACACAGGCGCTGTGCTATCAGCTGGTTGATTCACAAATGTAAGACCAAGGTCATCTAGGACATCGCTAGGCATGGCGCTAGGATCAGCAGAAGGAAGGTGCACGAAGTCTACAAGGTGTTCGTCAACAAAGGTATATGTTTCTACGTCTTCGATGCCGTCCTCGAGCGTTGGGAGTGCGTGGTAGGCACATAGGCTGCGTACGAGGTTAAAAACAGATGCGTTGTCTGTGTCTGGAGTTGTTAACATTATGGAGATTAGCGCGGTAAGCAGCAAAGCCCATTTTAGACCCTCGTCGTGAGTCTTGTCCAAGCCATGTTTTCGGAGCGCAGCTGTGAACTTTGCTGCTGCTGTGGGCATGTCCTTTTCTAGAGTCGATAGGATATCAGACAGGCTGTGCAAGGACCTGTTTGAAGCCTCTTGGTCCGATGCTCGTAGCCTGGCTACTGCAGCCTGGAGTTCTTGCCGCACCGAGTGAATGATGCGGGCTTGACCGTCACGGTAAATCTTTGCATACTTTTGCTTGGTGTTTTGGGGTTCCTGCTCTATACGGAGAGGCAGGGAGGCGCATCTCTGCTCCAGCGCTTGATGTAAAAGTACCAAGACCTGTAGTGTGATTCTCGCTCCAGGTCGAGCAACGTCGATGCTATTTACATCCACCTCTGCGGTAATAATTGTCTGGATGAAGAAGAAGTGAACAATATACGGGGGCACACCGCGGAAAAAGGGCACATTATTGCCATAACGCCCGAATGGATGACCTCTGGTGCGCAAAAAGTGCTGTTCTTTGTTTGGATCTGTGGCGAGGAAATCTCGAGTCATTTCAAAAGGCACATTTTTGCCATCTAGTAGACCGAGCTGGTGCGCGTATTGCTGCAGCTGCGGCTGAAACGCTAGTTTCAAGGCAAACTGCTCAATTGGGTTGTCCTCGAGACAGAAACCGTATCCAAGGAGCAGCTCATCATTCTGCTTGGGGGCATAGTTGTTGAAAAGCTCCTCTCCCGGTTTGACAGAGTCGGCTTGGAGGCACTTGAGTGCAAAGGAGCGGTGTGGCTCAAAGTCCCACTCAACCTTTGCAGTGACGGAATGATTTAGAATATCGATGACTGGGAAGAGCATGGGTATTGTCTCTCTGCCAGGTAAGATATGGGTGGAGATGAATGCGCGCGAAGTGAAGATGGTAGCGGCCCATTGCAGCGATTCGCTGACTAGTGTTAGCGGGGTGTGTATGGCGTCTGATGTAATGTGCAGACAAAGCAAATCAAATTGGTCATTCAACACGTCGAGAGCATCACGTATTCAATTGCCGAGTGGACAGCATGGGCCTACTGCACGCCTGAGACACCATGTTTTGGCTGCTCCGAGTGGCCTGCGCTAGGAAACTTACAGAGAGATAACGTCAGCCAGATGCAGGTCAAGGTGCTTTATGACTTGCAAGGCGTGCTCCCATTGCTGGCGTAGCTCAGCCTTTCTTTCTTTTGCAGCGGGCGCCAAGGATGTGCCAGCCAGAAAGGCGAAGTCGACATCATCAAACCAGAGAGGAGTGGTCATGTCTCGAGGCCCAGGTAGGCATGCTAGGTAAGCGCTCCAAGGCGAGTCGTTGCCCTTGTCGCGCTGCTCTAGTAACAGGAGATATGCCAAGATATGGTCTGGGATCTTGTCTCGACATTGCTGCAAAGGTGACTGGATGTGTTGCACCTCTTTCTCACCAGAGTCTAGGTTGAGGATGGAGAGGGTAAGGTTGAGCGGACACGAGGCCACGACAGGCGAGGTCAATGGCGTCCGGGCACACAGATGGAAGCCCTGAGCGTGCGTGTAGGCGAGCTGGACATGCGGGCTCAGGTGGCCCCCATGCTGGACGAACCAATTGACGAGGTTCTCAGCTAGTGAGTGAGGAGCAACGTCTTGAGCTGATGTGTGCTCTGTTTGGGAAGCCATGAGCGGCAAGGTTTGGGCTTTTCCGCCTGGTGATTGATTAGATTTTAGATAGCGAGTTGCAGGCGTAACGGTGCAGAGCTTGTGCGACGAGTCGGAGGGTGGTTCGTCCGACGGAGTATTGGAGCGGGCGATGTGCAGCTGACGAGAGCTCGGTCTCGGAGGAAAATGGAAGTGCGCGGAAGGCGGACGCCGGGAGAACCGAAGATCGGACTCGAGGCGACATATTGTGGCATGGTGGTGAGCAGTTGCGGGGCCTTGCAGCATGGGTTGTGTGTCTCGGCGAGGTGCGTGTCATTGTCGGTGAGGAGGGAGGGGGGGAAAGAGTGCAAATGGAAGGCTATTTGTTGCCATGCCACAGGCGGTGGCTGGCCTGGGACATGGCATACACAGATAGTACACACATGCTGTGGCTAGCCTCGGGGTTAAACATGCTGGTACCTACATCCACACTACTGCTTCCAGATGTAGTGGAACATGTTGTTTACTTTGGGGGGGCACTCGGTAGTCGTGTAGGTACATTTGGTAACCACGGTAATATGTGCAAGGACATCTGGCCTCGGCGGGTATGATAGTTGCCTCGCATGGTGTGATGGTGTAGGGCCGATGAAGAACGTGTGGAGAGGGTGGTATGTACGGACGAGTAAACACTGCTCGTACTGGCAACTGTTCGTGGCCCAGCCCATGCTGGCAGCCGTGGGAGCCGGGCGTCGATCGAGGCAGCTGTACCGCTCGAGTACGCGTCGTATTGCCCGTATGGATGCGTGTGCGTGGCAGGGTGTATGGATGGAGGCAAGTATAGTAGCAGGCGAGCCAATCACGCCGGCCCCGTTGCTAGCAGAGTCTGGGCCGGACATGGCTCGTGTCGTGGTTTCGAACTGGGAGCGGGCGTGCGCTAGCGGGAGGTCGACGGTTGGCATGACGGGCGTCGCAGCCTGCCTGTGTCTTGTGCGTCGACAATGCGGACAACAAGTAAAGCCCATGTCCGCTGCCGCGCCGTGAATGACCTCTGGCGGCGGCCCGGTTGACCTCATCTTTTTTCTCTTGTCCTCTTTCCGCCCTCGTGTCCTTGCTGTCCCTCGTCGTGCTTGCTTGTGTTCCTGGCGGGCTGCCTCGAGTCGTCGCATGTTACATAGTACAGAGTTGCTGGTCCTGTATGCATCCCTCAGCCTCTCGTACCCCTGCCCTGCATAACCCCCAGCTCGTGCTCACTGTGGCTTGTAAGTCAGACACCCGTTTGGCGCTTGACAGAGGCCATTCCCTTATAACAAAATGGCTTCGCATCCGACCGCCCATATTTCCCAACCTGCTGACACTCTCCCCAGCATGCTTCTTCCCTCTGTCCCGTAGCCGGAGCAATGCTGATGGACATGTTGGCCGCCAATCCCACCACCACCGCCACACCTAATGCCTCCTTCCTCCACAAGCCACTCTCCCTCCTAGGCTCCGTCTTGCGGGGACAAACTCCCTCCCCTGACATGTCCACAACAGCAACAACAACAACAACAACACACAACACCCCTCCGGTTGACAATTCTTCCTCTCGCCCTGCTTCTGCCGGCAGCGACACCACTGCCGACAAGGTCAAGAAGTCCTCGCGCCGCTCAAAGACGTCCTACAACATTGCTCGCCCCATCAACACTCGCTCAAAGCGCCACGTCCACCTCCAGCTACACCAGGTCATTGCCTCGCAGCGTCCCAAGCCCGCCTACGACGTCGTCCCCTTCTTCCTCCTCCCCCAGCGCTCCACCCGTCGCCTTGCCCACTTGTTCAACACCAGAGAGCGATTAGGCCCCAACGACCTCCTTGTTGTCAAGGCCGGAGCCTACACCTCGCAAGATGAGCAGGAAAAGTCGCGCCACGATGACTGGGCCTCGCGCGACGTCGTCGGCGTCCTGAGCACGCGCAAATGCGACAACGGCCTTACCGAGACAACCGACATCTGCATCAGCGATGGATTCAGTCGCTGGTCAGTCGCAGACATGCCCAATGGAGGCTACGAATTTACCTCCACCGGCGAGCATGCTGTTGCGCTCAAGGCACGTTGGGTACTCAAGCCTGCCCACACCCGTCGCACCTCGGCCTCGACATTCACTGCGCCCGCGCCAGAAGACAAAAAGTTCACCTTTAGCACAATCAGCTCCGACTCGAGGCGACACCCCATCATTGCCACAATGACACGCAGCCGCATCGACGTTATGGACACATACACCATTCCCTCGGCCACCTCTCCTCCAACGCCAAACGTATCCTCGTACACCCAGTCGCCTTCAACACCTCCCAGCATCGACTCCGATTCCTTTGCTGATGCACTTGCCGAAAAGCTTCCCATCGAAACAAGCGAAGCCCTCCGCAATCTCATACTAGTGTCTGGCGTCTGGCTTGCTTCCAGAGAGTTTGCCTCGGACGGCTCCAACGTAGCGACCATCCCAGCCCTGGCTCGGAGCAATTCAGTTCGCCAGGCCGCTCATCGTGCATGCTCAATGTCTATGCTCGAAGGTCCTCGATCGCCATCGCCAGCTTCAACTGTCGAAGAGAAGCGTTGTTCATTTCCACGGATGCTCAAGGCCAGCATCGAAGGGCTATCCCATGCACACGCTGATGCTCCTCCCTCTCCTGCTTCCACTAAAACAGCGGTCAAGGCCTCCCCGGTGGTCACAACACGCGCACGCAGAGCAAACTCGACCGGCACTGCTATCCACAGCATCACTGGCAGTGCGAGAAAGAGATACGGCCTAGCTTTCGAAGATGAGGCTCTGGTGGAAAGCACAGAAGAGCGCCAGATGAAACGCAGCATAGAGTTGCTTCGCATTAGAGAGTTACAACTGCCTTCTCCCACAGAGCGCCCATCTGTTGAGACATCTCGACCTTCTCTCAACCAGCCTCCTTCTCCTATCGTTATACCTCCTTCCCCAGGAGAGCCGGCCTCGCCTGCACCGTTGCTCGACTCGCCCTTGCTCTCCCCGCCTCTCCCAGACACGAAGCGACCACGAAAGACGCAATCTACTTACGCACCCATTACAACAACTGGAATGTGGGATTCTGGAGTTGTCGACGGTCCCGGCCTAAAGAAACGCCCTACCAGCATGTTTGTCATGAATGAAAAGAAGCGCAAACAAGAGAAGAAAGGCGAGCGAAGTAAGAGCAAGGATTCGAAGACGAGAAAGGGCGAACAGAGCAGCGATCACGGCATGGGCGTCAAGAGAAAGAGCGATTGGTATGTGTACAAGATCAAGCTTCGACTTAAAGACATGTTTCATCACAAGGAGAGGGCTTAATTGCGAATATGCCCTCCCAGCCATGACCTTATATTCTGGTCTACAATTCTTTTCATTACATTGGGATGGAGTTTTCCTGGAGCATTTGGGGCGTGGCGCAGCATTTTTCTTTGATTTTTTTCTCTCTTTCCATTTCACCAAGGCTGTTAGCAGAAGCAGGCTGGACCTGTCGGTTCGGATTTCTCTGTTCAATCGCTATCTCTACTGTACACTACATTCTCCTTGCCTTCTAACCTGTAGATACCTTTGCCTCTTAGGCCACCTAGATCAACGTCACTCCCTCCGTATTTTTCACTTATTTTGGTTCGATTAGGAAATTCGCAATTTCTTGCGCCAAATACAAATTATTCAAAATTATCGTGCATTACAAGTAAACATGCTCATTTGCTCGACTTTTGTCAATAGGACCGATAACATCTCCGGACTCTACTTAGCGCTCCTTTTTTTGGATTCGCCTTTATTACCTTATGCAGTGGGTGGGTGATCCCCTCGACCAAACTTTGAACTAGGATCATGCCAGTGAGACGGTGCTTATGTCGTACCGTATCCTTACCATGGTGCTTATCCTGGTCCCAGGGTTCCGTTTCCCGTTCTTTCTCAATTCATACCTCTTTAAGAATTCATCGCAAACTCAGCCTTTTTGTCTGTCGGGCCCAGAGGACCGAATATTATATCCGAGATCCGAGGGGGCGATATCTTTTTAAAGTTTTTTTTTTCATTCTTTTACAAGCCATGTGCTAAATACTCATGCTAGTATGAGTATTTGTGGAGGCACCTTGACGTCCGGCTCGGCCGAGTGGAATGTGGATGAACGGAGCATGGGGAAATCCGAGATCCCTTCTTGCTTTGATCGTTGATCTACCGACTCGAGATCATGTGCAATGTTGCCTACTGAGAAGAGCTTGAGACGAACGCTTTTTCTTGGCATATTTCTATTGATAAGGACAAAATGGCTCCAGCAGTATTACCATTGCGTGGTGCTGTTTGCCATCACCCAGTGTTGATATCCTGACTTTGTTCGGTCGGAGAAGAGCCACACAACTTCTATTTATTCAATTGATAAAGGAGAGTGATGCTCTGCCCCTCACTATCGCTAGCTTGGTGTTTTGCATTCGAAGTTGCAGCTTGAGTTTGGATGTCGCGCTCACCTTTGGCATGTGAAGGGTGTACCAGTGGCTACTATGCAGCGGCTGCTGTCGTCACAGACCTTGACGCCCTTCATACTATCACTCTTCTCTGTCACTATCACGCCTAAAGCGCAATCTATCATAGATCTCTCATCTTTTGCTTTTCACGATGGGCGTTTTGGTGCTCGTGGTTCACTGCAATCCAACTCGTGAACTCCTAAAAGCCCCGCACGAGCGTTTGACTAGCGTGCCTTCCCCTGCAGCCTCTCGCTTTGGCAACGCAAACGCGTAAACACTGACCCTCATGTAGCAAAACACGCCTTCACATTCAACCTCATCGCCACCACACCTTCGTTTCGTCTACATTCATTCCATCTTGCCCGTGTCTTGTTGCCAGAACAATCACGTGTGACAAGTGTTTTTTTCCTTCCATCCTTGTCCCCTGTCCTGGGGACTCGACTTTAGCCCATCATGTCCGACTCCCTAATGGACGACTCCGTATTCGACGAAGGCGCGAGCTCTGACTTTGCCCCGCCCGCAAAGCCCGCCAAAGTCACCAAGGCAGCGGCGAAACCAAAGGCACCCGCCACAAAGAAAGCAGCTGGTCCTGCAAAACCTCGAGGCAGACCCCCCGGCGCCACTGCAAAGCCAAAAGCGAAGGCTGCACCTAAGAAGAAGGCAAAGGCCGATTCAGACATCGAGAACTCAGACGTAGACATGGATGAGGATCCTGTAGATGTCGATGAGTCGCTGCTCGCAGACACACCAAAGGTCAAAAAGGCACCAGCCCCTAAGAAGCCCAGCAGCAAACCCCTTGCAGAAATTGCCAATGAGAGTTTTGGTGGAGACGGCGATGACGAGCCAGCTGCAAAGCCCAAGAAGGGCGGCGCCAGCAGCAAGTACCAGATGGTGAGTATTGCAATTGCAATTGGCGAAATGCCGACTAACACAATCACAGTTGACGCACTTGGAACATATTATGAAGCGCCCTGATACATACATTGGTTCTGTAGAACGGCAAACGGATAAGATGTGGGTGTACAATTCAGAGGCCGAGTCGATGGAATACCGCGACGTGTCATACGTCCCCGGTCTGTACAAGATCTTTGACGAGATTCTTGTCAATGCTGCCGACAACAAACAAAACGACAAGAATATGAGTGAGATCAGAGTAACAGTCGACCGAGAGAGTGGTGAGATCTCCATCAGGAACGATGGCAAGGGAATTCCAATTGAGATCCACAAAGTGTGTTGCCTATGACCTTTTAAGATTACCTGCTGACTCGGTTAGGAACACGGCATTTATGTACCAGAGATGATTTTTGGTCACCTTCTCACCTCGTCCAACTATGACGACGACCAACAAAAAGTCACGGGTGGACGCAACGGTTACGGAGCTAAGCTCTGTAACGTATTCAGTACCGAATTCACAGTCGAGACGGTCGATTCGAAACAGAAGAAGAAATACAAGCAAACATGGACGGAGAACATGAGCAAGATGGGCAAAGCCAAGATTACCGACATAAAGGCGGACGATTACACAAAGGTCAGCTGGAAGGCCGACTACGCTAGGTTCGGCATGGAGGGCATCGACGATGATTTTGAAGCCATGGTCAAACGCAGGACCTACGACATGGCCGGTACGCTACGGGGCGTGAAGGTTTACCTTAACGGCGAGCGCATCAAGATCACATCGTTTGCCAAATACATGGAAATGTACACAAAGTCTATCTCGCGCGACCAAGGCAACAGCGAAGATGACAAGGAAAAGGATGTCATCATTACCGACAAGCTCGAACGCTGGGATATTGGTTTCGCCGTTTCGGATGGTGCCTTCAACCAGGTGTCCTTTGTCAACTCTATTGCGACAACATCCGGTGGTACGCACGTAAACCATATTGCCGACCAGATCGTCGAGAAGCTCATGGCCATTGTCAATAAGAAGAACAAGGCCGCTGTCAAACTCAAGCCTGCACAGATCAAGAACCATCTTTTTCTGTTTGTCAATTGTTCCATCGTGAACCCTGCCTTCACATCCCAGACAAAAGAGCAGCTTACTACCAAGCCCAGTCAGTTTGGCAGCAAGCCTGTCCTCAGCGACAAGTTCCTGAATGCCATTGCCAAGACCGATGTCATTCAAAACATCATGCACTTTGCTCAGCAAAAGGCTGATCAGATGATGAAGAAGACCGATGGCAACAAGCGTAACCGAATCAACAACGCAAAGTTGACAGATGCTAACAAGGCAGGCACCAAGGACGGACATCTTTGCACCCTCATCCTGACTGAGGGTGAGTCGGCTAGTGTTCTTGCGCTTGCTGGACGTGCTGTCGTCAACCAGGACTTGTTTGGTGTCTTCCCACTTCGTGGTAAGCTTCTCAACGTCCGTGACGCCACGGTCGATCAGATCATGAAGAACGTCGAGATTCAGAACATCAAGAAATTTATGGGTCTTCAGCACAAGAAGGAGTATACGGTGGCAGACATGAAAAGCTTGCGTTATGGTCATCTCATGATCATGACGGATCAGGATCACGACGGTAGCCATATCAAGGGTTTGCTCATCAACTTTCTTCAGTGCCAGTTTCCGAGCTTGCTCAAGATCCCAGGCTTCCTGTTGGAGTTCATCACACCAATCGTCAAGGTCTGGAAGGGCGACCAAAAGAACCCACGTAATATGAAGAGTTTCTTCTCCATGCCAGAATATGAGGAGTGGAAAGAACAACACGCTCATGAAAAGGGCTGGGATCACAAGTACTTCAAGGGATTGGGTACCAGTGACATTCCCGATGCTCAGATTTACTTCAAGGATCTCGACACCCACATGAAGCGCTTCCAGGTCATGCGAGAGGAGGAGGAAAAGCTTATAGAATTGGCTTTCTCGAAGAAGAAGGCGGATGCCCGTAAAGACTGGCTACGCGACTTTGTACCAGGTCGACATCTTGACTTGACCACTCCAGACATTTCCTATGACGATTTCGTCAACAAGGAGTTGATTCTGTTTTCCATGGCTGATAACGTGCGATCTATCCCGTCCGTTGTTGATGGCCTTAAACCCGGTCAGCGCAAAGTGATGTACACTTGCTTTAGGCGTAACATCAAGAAAGACGTCAAGGTGGTTGAGCTCGCTGGTGCAGTCTCCGGATCTACCGACTATGCTCACGGAGAAGCTTCGATGCAGGGTACCATTGTAGGTCTCGCGCAGAATTTTGTTGGAACCAACAATATCAACTTCTTGGAGCCAAGTGGTAACTTTGGTTCTCGTCTCAAGGGTGGTGCCGACGCTGCCAGCGCCAGGTATATTTACACCCGTCTGACACCATTTGCAAGACGCATCTTTCATCCCCACGACGATGCTTTATTGAAGTACGGCGAATCTGATGGCAACAAGATTGAACCGGAGATGTATGTGCCCATTCTGCCTACGATCCTCATCAATGGATCAAGTGGTATCGGTACTGGTTGGAGTTCTGAAATTCCTAACTTTAACCCCATGGATATCATCGAGAACATCAGGCGCCGGATGCAACCAGGTGCTACTAAAGAGGATATGACTCCCATGGTCCCCTGGTACAAGGGTTTCACCGGAACGACCACTGTGCTCGGTCCTGACCGCTACCAGTTCACGGGTACTGTTCGACAGACTGGTGATAACGAGATTGAAATCACTGAGCTTCCTGTTCGCTATTGGACCCAGGACTTCAAGGAGAAACTTGAGGAGATTATCAAGGCGGAAAAGGGCCCCTCATTTATCAAGGACTACATTGACTACAACACCCCAGATCGCGTCCACTTTGTCATCAAGATGGAGGACAAGCATATGGCGACCGCTCTTGCTAAGGGCCTCGAAGAGATGTTCAAGTTATACAAGCCTCAAGCCACCAGTAATCTTGTTGCATTCGATGCCCAAGGACGTATTCACAAGTACTCAACAGTCCTTGACATCATTGAGGAATTCTACCACATCCGTCTGCGCTACTACGAGAAGCGAAAGCAGCACCAACTGCAAGTCCTGGAGAAGGAGCTGCTCAAGTTGACGAACCAAGCCAAATTCATTCAGATGATTATCGACGGAAAGTTTACGGTTTCCAAGAAGAAGAAGGCTGTCCTTGTCCAGGAACTCAAGAAACTTGGCTTTGCACCGATCAACAAGGTCGAAGATGCGAAGACTGCCGGCGAAGAGGAAGATGCCCAGGAGGATGAGTCAGACGAGGCTGAAGTTGAAGTGTCCGCCAACGACTACGACTATTTGCTTGGCGTAAGTACTCACACACCTGAATAGTGTATCAGATGCTAACAGTTTACAGATGGCCATTTGGTCTTTGACCCAAGAGCGCGTCGAAAAGCTCTTGAAGCAGATTGGCGAGAAGCAGGCAGAGGTCGACACCCTTATCAAACTCTCACCCAAGGACATCTGGAACGTTGACCTTGATGCGTTCATGGAAGAATGGAATGTGCAGGAAGAAGAAGAAACCAAGCGCAAGAAGAAGATTGCTAGCATGACCCGTCGCGCTTCCCAGAAGCTTGGCATTGCTGGAGGCAAGGGTACCAAGGGAAAGAAGAAGAGAAAGATGGACGGCTCTGACTCAGACGCTTCCGACTCAGACTTTGGCCCGGTTAAGAAGAAGTCAAAGCCCAAGAAAGAAGGACTGCTCAGCTACCTTCAACAAGAACCTGTCAAGAAGCCATCAGCGGCAGAAGCTCTCAAGAGCAGTAGCGCGTTCGGCTCCACGGCACCGCAGAAGCAAGGTACACTGCTTTCACATCTTGTAAAGAAGGAGGCGACGCCGCAGACCGATGGGGCATCGGATAACAGACCAGGCACTGCAGATTCAAAGCCAGCACCTGCCAAGCGGGGTCGCCCTGCTGGCGCAAAAGCTATCAAGAAAGACCCGATTCCTTCGGATGACGAAGACTCCGATGTTTTTGCTGCGGTAGCTGCGGAAGCTGCCAAAGAGCCTGCCAAAGCTGCCCCAGCTCGGGCTGCTCGAGGCGCAACCAAACAAGTAGCCAAATACAACCTCGGTAGCGATTCTGACGACGATGACGAGGACCTCCTTGGCGACGTCAGCAGCATGGTCAAGACAATCGGATCTGGTACAAACGGCGTCCCGATGTTTAAGACGACGGCTGTGGCCCGGCCAGGTAGCAACGGTAACGCTCGCTCTGGCAGTTCGGCTGGCATCAGAAAGAATAGCATTGTTGATGTGGACGGTGACACTACCAACTACGAAGGTCTAATGCCTCAGTCTTCACCACAGCGTCCTGCTCCTCGAAATGTCAATGACACTATCATGAGCTCGGATGATGATGACTTCCATCTCAGTGTCAAGAAACCAGCTGCGACTAAGTTGACTGCTAGGCCCGCCCCGAAACCCAAGCCTGCTGCTGCTGCCAAACCTGTACCAAAGCCAAAAGCCGTTGCGAAGAAGCCTGCCGCTCAGAGTCCAGCAGCGAAGGCTTACGCGAAGAAACACGGCAAGGACGCAGAAACAGGCAAGACCGCATCCAAGAAGAAGAAGACTGTCGATTCAGATGAAGACGAGGACATGGAGGACGCAGAAGATCTTGCCAACGACCTACTGTCAGACGAAGATGAAGACGAGCCAACTCCCAAGCCAGCTGCACGCGCACCTGCTGCTCGGCCTGGTCGCAGAGCTGCTGCTAAGCCGGCCAAGTACGTTGTTAGTGATGACGAGGCCGACTCGGACGATGCGTCTGAACCTAGTTTCGATGATGACGAGGACAGCGAGTAGACTGACTAGCTTGCTGGAGGCCTCTGTGTACATGTGAGAGAGTGGTGGGTCGTTTGATACCCGGATTAGTCAATGGCGTTTTTTTCTGAGACCAGGGGGTGATGTACTGCTACGGTCGTAGTGCTTCACATGGCGTTTGGTGCAGCTGATACGTAATGCGGGGTTTCCACGCAGGCGCATATATTATATTTTAATTCCGCTATATACGCGTAGTTCAATTTATGCACTTTTTTGTATCTCACACATTGGTTTTTGGATAGTGGTGCGGTCCCATCGGGAGAAAATGCAACAGGTGCGTGCACGGTGAAAAACATGCCAGTTGTATGACACTTGAATCTTACCAACTACACGATCTTATAGCCTTCAGTATTGGAAGCAAATCCGTCATTGTGACGACAAAAGTTTCATACTATATTCTAGAGAAAGCACACACAGAGTCCAGGCCTTGATAGACGCATCCAGACTGATTTACCCACACGTACATGCAACACACAGAGCCAGCTCATCCACATATCCTCTCACCCACTTCTTCTTCACTTAACTTTCATAGATGCCAAAAAAAGAAAGAGAAAAAAAACACAAATACTTTCTTTGCTCAATGCCCCTTGAGAACCCCACGCACGCATCTCGCCTTGTTGCATAACAATAGCTGCCACGTTGGAAAGCAAGGACCAAGAGGATTTTGGGGAGGGGGGGGGGGGGGGAGAGAGTGGGGAAAACAGCGACGTTTGTAGCGATGATATAATTTTCTTGAACTTGCTGTTATGGTGAACGATGCTTGTTTGTGCGTGTGTGTGATTTTAGACGTGTACTACTGATAGGGCAAGTCGGGATGGGGTTAATAGAAGCGGTTTTCTTAATGCGTTTGTGTAGTTTGAGACTGGGTGTAGAATAAGAAAATGGGGTGACCAGACTGAGCAGAGGGGGAGTAGCAGTGGTAGCGTAAAAGGTGTTACATTATTTGGGCTGTAGGGAGGGAAAGTGGCTAAGGAAAATTGGGGGAGCGGACTGAAGAGCGGAAGTTTTTCCGTCGACGGGCTAGACCATCGATGGACTAGATGCTTCTGGTTGTGCTCGACGTAATGGGGTTTCTCTTTCCGCTGTACGACAATGGTGTGCTGTTCTTTGCGGGGGGGTAGGTGGGTGTCTGTGTGGCGGAAGCACAGCCTAGAGATTTCGGACAGAGGGAAGCTTGAGGTAGGATGACAAATAGTGGTTTGCGAGAAATGAGAGGATGAAGACACATATGGGCAGCAATATCGTATGAGTAAGTGAGTTTTTTTTTGGCAAAAAACGACAACATGATAAGGGAGGTGTGTGTTGGTGTGTGTGCTGCGCGGGCAGGTACATGGGATATTTGGAATATACAATATATGGTGGGAATCTCAGTGACATGGAGAAGAAGAAGAAAGGGTAAAAGGAAAAAAATAGTGAGGCATACTAACGTTTGCCCTATTTGATTTCCAGGCTTATCTGGGCCCTTTCGTCCCATTCTGTCCAACCCGGTTCTTGTGTTGCAAAAGACTCGCACCGTGACACCTGTCAGAGCTGTCAGGAACATGCCAGTCCTGTTCTATTGGTACTCTGTTTAGCCAGAACCATCCACTGTACTACGCTGTCCTCTCTTTGCGCATCTGATTCAGAACGAAACCTTAGAGAGGGGAAGCAGGATCCGCGGTCCGGATTGCCAAGCACACTATGTGCCTGCAAGTTCCCTATTCATGTGTACATTTTTTCTTACTCACCAATTATTCATGGTATATTGTTTCTAGTCGATGAAAGATCTCGCTCCATGTCAAATCATGGGAGGCTGCCTTGTACACTGCAAAAGCTTCCCAGGTCAATGGAGTCATGTTCGGACACTACTTTAGCCTTACGTAGTAGATGGGAATCGCTAGGCAGACCATCTGCATCCCCGTTAGTTCAGGAAATGAACATGGTGGATGATTGTAGTGCCGATGACGGATGCCTATCGTAAGTAGCACTTGTACGAAGAGGGGCGGGGCCAGACCTCATCGTCTCACTTGATTCAAGCCTCCCTTTCTCTATCATCGAGCGGATGCACTCGCATCCGTGACGTATTAGGATGCCACAGAGGTTCTAGATGGCTACCCTCATCAACGGATATGCGAGCTTGATCAGACAAACCCCTGCTATGCAGATAGTATTGTAGTTCGTCCCACCCTGCAGAAAAACGCCACAAAGCTTGAGTTCATCATCACAGTTATCCTGCAGAACCTATGCCAGGAAATGGGAGGTTCGCCCTCGATTATGGCGCATTTCCCGGTGCCCCCAAGGAATGTGATGTGTTCAAGAGCCTGGTCCTTTGTGATGTCTGTGAGCCGTCGTTCCTGGCGTGACAGCGGGACTAGGTTCCTCCATGTGGCAAGCCGGAGACAATGACCCAGGTACATTCTTGAGTATTACTCAGTGTAAATACAAGCTGGCAGTACTCACAACTCAAGGAAAGAACAATCGAGAACATGGTCGTGCAGGCGTGATTTAGTGGGGCAGTGTGTTGATTGCGTTCAAGGCATGCGTCTCGCTACGCTGCGCGGGGCTCGTCTCAACGGGCCACCCGACGGGCACGAGGTATGGAGATTTTGACAACCTCGTCGCACGATATGCTGTAGCAGCGATGTCTGCGCGTCGTTTGAGCTCGGGTGCAAAGCCGAGCATGTTGTAACATAAGCTTGAGATGCTGTGAGCAGACCCTTTACGCGTACATACTACTGCCCCGCTGTGCCACGCTCCTACAGGCATCCCACGCAAAGAATTAACAGTTGATCGAAGCAATTTAGACACCCAAAGCAGCTTTGCAGACTTTCAGACTTTTCGAGAGACCATGGTGTTTGCGCGTTGCGTGCAAGATAAAGCTCTCCCCTTAAATTGCTGCAAAGAGCAAGCAGAGGTAGAGAAGCATAAGTTATTTTAATGAGGAGCCCGTATACGTACGTATGTACGTACTAATCATTTTTGGAAATTCCAAGCGACTCTTCTCAGTAGTATACGTATCTATGCCGGATCTTTGAATGGCTTGAAAGAATCTCTTCAGTCCAGATTCATGGGTGCGAATTAGCAGACTTCAGCCAACCTAAAAAAAAATCCCCCAGTTGCATGGCGACGCTAATCTTGCAGCTAAGAAGATGCACATTCTCGCGTCGATCGTGTTGGAGAAACCCAATGGCCAAAGCCGTGACCTCTTGCATAATACTGGTGTGTATCCAAGCACGGAGAGTTTAGTGCGTTATGGAAGAATGTTGGTAAATTGCCCTCGACAGGTCCAGTCATGTGAACCCACCTTGAGAGGCAGGGGTAATAAGACAGCTCCACGAACCACGCGTACTTTTGGGAAGAAGTCTATAGACCGGGCAATGATCCGCCTCAAAGACACTGACACATAATGTCAGCTGTTCCGGATTCGTGCTGGGAAGCTATTCGCCCTGTTTTTGTCTAAGACACTGCTTCATTTACCGCTCAACCCACATCTCAGGAAACGCTATCTTGAGTCTGGTCCAATGGGGGTTAAAATTTGTAAAGATAAAGTGCTCAGTCACTAATTTGTCTTACTTTTTCATGGTCCAGATGGCAGTATTGGACTCGAGTCCGATAAGCGTTGAGAATTGCCGCCGGTCAATCGTCCTGCCTTTGGCTATGTTCGTCCCTCAGCTCACAGCCCGTACTTGCATCACAGCGGCAACACCCGGGCTGCCCCAGGTTACTTGGATTTCTTGTCATCCCACATTGACAGCTTCTGTGTAACCAGCGGAAACGGAGAAAGTCTGCTGTACGCATGGCTATCGATTGTGCGTGTGCATATCTTACGTAGTCTGGCACTGTGCGAATGACCCAGTGTTTCTTATGGCATCAGATGAGCAGCCAATAGCACCGGCACTTCAAGGAGGCCTGTGTATGATCTCACGAAGGCGCTGTGCTTTGACCGGAAGGCAGAGTGAGTTGTTCGAATCTCCCACCGCCGGGGGCGCGCAGTGACAGCAGGCTCGGCGGTATGTATCCATGGCACTTCACATGAAGGTACCACTCCTAAAAAATTTGGAGAAAAGATGATCCTAGAAGAAATTTTGGATGTGCTTGGTCAATCGGTTGTTACGGCTTGCCACAGGCAAAGCTGCAGCTTGGCCTTTGTCTTCTTTGAGCGGTCTGTACTGAGACATCATCACCGCTCTTCTCTTTGAAGTGTTCCTCCATCAATCCAACTGCATATTCAAGTAATTGAGACAAGATGCTTTGTTGGTCGATGTCCGGTGAGGCACAGGTCAAGTGAATGTTGGGATCTGAAAACTTTGCTTTGCGAGTAAGTGAAAAGGCTTGCATCAAAATACGCCATGTCTCAGTTTGAGGAGAGGCCCAATTCCAGACCGGGAAGGATACCCTTACTCCCCTGACGGTGATGTATGGTCGATGCGGCAAGCGAGCTCTTTCCTGGGCCATACATCTCGAGTATCTCTCACGAAAGCAAGGCTGATATCACACACCGATAAAAGAGGAGCCAATCGATTGCTTTGCTAAATTCAAAATCGTGTAGGCGTCCGAGAAACACAAAAAGAAAGGGCTACGTTTGCAACAAAAGCCAAGAAAGTACGTGCATTTGTGTACCGCGGTAGGCTGCAGGTAAACGCATTACCGATTCATTCTTTCACGCCATTCCAACAAGGTGCATGACAGGTGGGCTTGTTCTTCTGATGTAGCCATAGTCCAGGTAATGGAGAGCTAGTGCTATTTCGAAGTGCGGTGGTGTTACCCATGCGTAGGAGAGACACTTCCAGCGTTGCGCGATCGCAGGTAGCTTTGTAGGGTTTTGCCTTGCACTGCGAGCATGACAAATCATTTTCTCTCCAATCGCATCTTGCATTAACGGGAACTACGTACATTTAACTGTGACGTCCAGAAAACATACTGTTTCTCTCCTAGCGTTGTGATGGACTGGCGATTCGCGTTATCGTCATGGGCGTCCACGTTCTCCTGCCTATTGGAAATGTTTTTGATTGACATTGGCTGTCAGGACAAGGACATTAGACAAAGAGACTGGGCAGTATGTCCCTGCTAGGATGCAGGGTTCAGCACGGGAAGTGTGTTTGATGCCGTGTGACACTGTTCCCTCGATTCATCTTGCACCATCGCAATGCTCAAAGCCCAGCACTTGTTGTGGGTAACAGTCGTTTGGTCCAACTGTGGGCCCGCCGTCTTGTAACCTGTCAAGCCATGCAGTGTGCGTCCTGGAACCCAGGCACTCCCACTTACACACCGGACGTCGTCTGCACTGCGCTTAGGCAAGCTTTGGCGACGCAATTCGCTGGGGTGAACAGCTATTGGGTCGAAGTAAAGGTGGGTGTTGATCCGTTAAAAGGAACCAGTGATGGCACAAGTATATGTTGCTGCATTTGTTGTGCATTGGCTGTTTCCTGGGTAGTCACTCCCGAACGATCCTTTACTACACTCGAGTTTGCCAGGAATTACTTCACCCCAGGAGCACATCGTTGTATCTGTACCTTCATTATATTCCGGTAAAGGAAACCTATCCATAGCTGGCTCTCTTCGGCATCAACTGACCTGGCATGTCAAAGTCACCGGCTAGCTTGTATTGCTGCGATAACCCAGCGAACTTATCTGTTAGACACCACACGAGGTCCAGCTAATCGCCACGGGACCGTACTGTTTGTTGAGCAAAGCCACCTGGATATCAGAGTTAGGCAGACACGACGTGCACGTCTCTCTGCCTACTTTCAGCCAACATTGACTGACTCAACCCACGAACGCAACTGGTATGTCGCAACGGCCACCACTCACCTTTTTTTCGTGGTCCTGACGATACCCAGACCGATTACTAACGTGGATATACATTCCAACACGTCCTTGCCGGGAACAGGTATAAGGCGATCATCTTGTCCTCGTGAGCATTTCGCAAACGGCCGGATACCGTTCTCTTCTTCCCGTTACTGCCGCCACCAAACTTTTCTTTACCCAAAGTCAATCTTTGTTCCACAGCAGCCCATTCTTTCTATCGACTTGGTTTTCGCGCTCTTCTCTGCCAGGTAGTGCTATCAGGAAGTGAGCCTCCACGTCTTCACTCTTGCCAGTCCTAGGTGATCGCAATCCCTCCGGAATGAACATACAAGACTTGCTGAACCCTTCTTGCGGTGATCGACATGACTCTCGCCACCCAGAATCTCCGACACCATCATCACACCCGGTAGCGATATTGCCAGCGCTTAGGCGACACAAGATACCAAAGGATGCTCCAATCTTTTCGGAAGGCAACAGAACCGTGGGAATAGTCAACTTCGCCCCTCATGAAGCGGGAAACGACGAGGAACTCCTTGCACAGCACCGTATATTCCAGATTTACCCGTTGAGTGAGATCTCCAGGAAGGGAGTTCGACACATCCCATACAATAGCGATAAGAAAGACTTTCTTGAGAAGACTGGACGCGATGCATTCGAAAGTAATGTCAGCTTTTGAGATTGATGGTAAATGCTGATTTGCGTATAGTGTTCCAGTACACGTACAAGCTCCCTGGCGAAGATAAGCCATATGTCGTCGTCTGGGACTACAACGTCGGCCTCGTCCGTATGACGCCTTTCTTCAAGTCGTGCAAATACTCAAAGGTAGGTATCTGGCTCTACGACGTTTGAGTAGAATACTAAGTGTTGCAGACGATACCCGCAAAGGCATTGAGAGAGAATCCTGGGCTTAAGGATATCAGCTATAGTATAACTGGGGGCGCTCTGGTGTGTCAAGGTCAGCCAGGTCAATACCAGATTTTCCAGGCACTCTACTGACATTTTGCAGGGTATTGGATACCTTACCAGGCTGCCAAAGCTATAGCTGCAACCTTCTGCTATGACATTCGATGGGCGCTTACTCCTGTCTTCGGCAACGACTTTCCATCGCTTTGTCTGACGCCAGATGATCCCTGTTTCGCAAAGTTCGTCATTGACCCAACCATCGTACGGTACTGTACTGAGGAGACCACAAAATTTCGAGAACTTGGATCTGCGTATGAAGTCCACAGGCCGGTCGCCGCGACACAAGTAGAGGCACCGACGTCGCGCTCTGAACAGCCACCGCTCAGTGCCCGAGTTGTCAGGCAACGGCGCGCGCGACCGGTAGATATAGAGAGCGGATATGGAACCGATACAGAGCGAAATGACAGGTATCTCTTTTCTCCTGAGGTATCTCCGCGCACTCGCTTCACGCCCATTAATCGGCCACGCTCGCCATACTCTCCTCGCACAACAGAGTCTTCGTTTGTGAGCTCACCCGTCAGCATGCTTGCGCCTCCGGGATTGCACACGCCGACATCAACTCCATATGAGTACTCTGGGGAGGCCTTTCGGGCAAAGCGGTCGCACTCCAAGGTGGCCTTTTGCGAGCATCCTGCCGACGAAGCTGTCACTCGCCCTCCAACAGCCGCTACAGTCGACAGTGCACACGGATGCGAGATGTGCGTTGGTGGCGATAACCACAACCACGTAGATATGGACGCGGCAGAGATGTTGCTTTCGCTGAGTACAGCGGACAATGCGATGCCACCATCAAAGCGTATGCGTCGGGGTTCATGATATTCGAAATAGTATATGCCAACTTCCTATTTTGAGGACAATGATGACTAAAAGGCACGGCGGTTGATGCCTTTCTTTTCCGTCTGCTCAAAACGTTTGCTAGCCTTTCCAGCGTTTCTTGTCGGCACACTCGTTAAGCAACTGCGTTTAGTCAAGTTTGTGCATTTGAGTATTAAGAGGACGCACCATCAGCGCCTGGGTACGGTCACATGCTATGTTTTCATGTTTATGCAGTTATATCCAGTGAATAGAAAAGTGCATTTGTAATCCGATGCCAAAAAGGTCAGACAAACATCATGCTCAAGAACATAGATGTGGAGATGGATAGATGAATTCGGTGCCTGAGAACATATCATTTGTAATCTTGGCATCGGCATTGTATACCTGACCAAAACCTCATGGCACAAGCTCACTTCGATGCTGCCTTGAACTTATCTTTCATCTTGTCCAGTCTCTTGACGGTGGTCGAGATGATTGATTCCTCATCAAAAACATATGTTACACTCTCTTGTTTTAGTACTGCTGCAGCCCACTTGGAAAAGTTGGGAAGTGCATCCAAGTCTGCTGCAATGGACTTGGGGAGTACACCGCGTCTTGAGTAGGCATATATCCGGGCAATGAAAGGCGCTACCAGTGCCTACGAGGCTATTAGTAATGCTGCTACTTGCTTGGATGCTGACCGTACCTCTGCCAGTGTGAGTTTCTCACTCCCGCCGAAGAATGGCTTTGCGTCTTTCAGAAGAGGCTCCACTTCTTTGCTCACGGTTTCAATAAATTCCTGGCTCAGCTTTGCCTTTTCCTCTTCAGAATCCTGAATCAAGATTTTGAACCAATAGCTGCTAGCTTTGGTACTCCAGGTATCGACAAAGAAACCGATTCTAGCACGGGTCAAGGCAGCTTCTGGAGATCCTGATGCAGGGAAGAGATGTGAGGGATAGGCGTCAGCCAGGAATGTTGAGACAATAGCTGACTCGGTGACGATCTCGCCATTGAAATTGATGGTAGGAACAAGACCTCGCTGCATATGGGTCAACTACGCATCGACGCATAAAGTCCGGACATAGACTAACAGGGTTTATTTCCAGATACCAAGGCTCTCTCGGATTATCCAGATCGATTATAACTTCCTCATACGGCAGACCCAGTTCTTTCAGAACAATGTGAGCTCTGTGAGCATAAGGGCAGCGATGGTTTGTATAGAGCGTGATTTTGGGAGCATTGCCATTGACGTGAGCCATTATTTCGGAGTTGTTAGGACAATGTCAACGCGGTTGCAGGGATCGGAGGGCAATGGTGTGAAAAATACTATTTGAGAACACTTGTAAGACTTGACTTCAATAAGTCTGCAGCATCTACTAAATAGTCGTGACCATGGACAAGATGTACCCGGAGTTCGCGCAACCCGGTACGCGGCTTATCAATCAGGTCATATATTGATTGCATCAACATGCAGCCGGATTGTGCAGTGCGGGGCATGTTCGGCGCGAGTGGAGCGCCATCCGGTACCGGCCTCCGAGCTCTTTCGTGTATTGCCCTGATGTCCTTGTGCTTCAGCACTGATGTGACAACAAAAGTGCCCAATACTCCACAGCTCGTGCTTTGGCATGTCCAGTTTGAGCATGAGCGGTTAAAAGAATTTCTAGAACCCTGCAAATAGACTTGGTGGTTAGACATATTGTCTCTGTCCGACAGAGGGGCACCGCCCTGCGCAGCGCACCGGTCAAGATCTCTCGTTCCAGAGGAAAGGAGCTGATAGGCATCGTCACAAAGTACTAGGTAGACACATGTCTTTGTCTGCCCACCAGTGCCCGTATTCAACCATAGCTCAGATGATCTTCCATCCACAGCATTCAGTATGGTCGTTGTCATGCACTGGCTCAACAGATAACGCCGTCACCTTCGACTTTCCACTCCATCGCATTGCTGTCTGTCTTCTTCTTCGCTCTACGCTTCTCGTTGCGCAACCGCCTCTTCTCTTCGGCATCTTTTTCCATCTGTTCCCTATTCATCGCCAGCCTGGTGTCCAAATCTGTGACTTCAAGAACCTTTGCCTCGTCCTGTTTCCGCTTGAGATATCGTAGACGGTCTCGAACTTCTTGGAGAGTTGCGCGGCGTACTTCGCCGGACTGGCCGGTAGCAATCAAATGTTGCTTGCTGTTGAGATGCTCGACGTACTGAATGTTGTCTCTGGGGGATTGTTAGCGAAATTAAGTAAGCGCTGTAAAAGAGAGACGCACTTGAATGTCAGGTCGCAGGCCCCGCAGTATGCACCGGCACCACGTCCCCTCTTGCCAACTGCAGCAGCAGCTGATGTGAGGGTCTGCTTTCCGATCATTTTGCTCCAATCTATACGTTCTGCTCTTGCTTCCGTCTGCTTCAGATCGTCAGGCGTTGACGCCCTCCGTCTATACGACTTGCCAGCCATCTTTGCTTCGTATCGCTCCTTTCCCTCCTCACGCTCTTTTGCCTCTCTCTCCTTGGCCTTTTTTGCCATCTCGTCGCGGTCCCATGTTTTCCTGAAATCCGTATCACCGCCTCCCGTCGTTCCGTATGCGCCTGCTTTGCCGCTCATGTTGGGCAGTTGTAGAGAGACACGCCCTTTACTCTATTGGCGATGGAAAAATTTGGTGGATCACTAGGTTCCAGTCAAGCTCCAGTCGTATTTAGATGGCGCGTAGGTGTTTTTTTACAGGTCAAAACAAGTCGAGTATTGGTGTGTAGCTACACGCGCGTAGTTTTCGAGAGTCAAGTTCGCGACTTTCTGGTCCGTGACGCACGGACTTTACTGAGCTTTGGTCAGGGAAGCATCATCATTATCACCATCACCACGGATTACAATTGATAATAGCTGTATATGGGAGAAACAAAGTTCATGTACATTGATTGATAATTCAAGATATTTCATCTCGTTCTAGCTCTGAATATTTACTACGTGTCATCTTGATCACGATTGAATAGAAGGAAAATCGGGAAAAAAGGACTCCTCGCTATGCTCCGATTTCCTGTGTCTTAGCAGGCGACACATACATTTAGCCATCAGCCAATTCCATGCCACCATATCCTCGCGCAGCGAAACTTATCGACGCGCACGACATTTCTATCATATGCTTTCCATGGTTGCTGACTGTTGAAAATGTCTCCACGAGACGATCGCAAGCGCGATTGTGTCGGGCCATGAGTAATTCCCACAACCCTAATACGGGTATGGACCAGCTCCACGAGGAAATCCTACGTGTTGACCCGGTGCTGGCGGCGGTACTGGTACTGGAGGCGGTCCGCGCGCTACTCTGCCGACTGCCATGTGTCCATGAGATACTGAGCTATCTCTGTCTCGTCGTGTCTTCTTCTTCTTCTCTTTGACACCGTAGCCTATGTCAGTGTAACCTGCAGCCGCGAAAGGCGGTTCAACAACCTCTCGAGAATGGTCATCCGGCAGCCTGAGGTCAACAAGGCTGTAGAAGTAGTCCAAGACTTCCGGGTAGCGAAGAACCGATGCTCGCCAATCGGCGTCAATGCCACGCTTGAGCTCAGCATGGGCTTCTGCGATTTGTGTCTGAAGCGTCGCCACGTACATGGGGTGTATTGGCGGATGACCAGAATATCGCATGTAGACTTCGTAGTGTGGGAGCGAGGCAAGGTATGATGAATGGGCTTGCTTGCGAGTTGACGTCAACCGCTCAAAGGCATTCAAGATATGCTGACGCGCGTGGTTAATCACCCAGTCTCTACAGCTCAAGTCAGCATTCATTATTCGAAGATGGTAGCATCCGTAGTACCGTATTTCAGCCAGCCTCTCGTCCATGGCCCGCTGCTCGGCCTGCTTGACGGCAATTTGCAGGCGCTCCGACTCGCAGGAGCATTCGGGATAGGGCGGCGCATTGCAGATGGCACAGTTGGGAGCTGCATCCATGTCATACGGGGGAAGTTGGTGAGCCAGCGTTGATCATTGTCGGTCCAGAGTGGGCCGAACACAATTCCAGGGTAGTTTTAGTGATTGAATGGGATGCACGGGATGAGGATTTGATCTGGAGTGAGGTCGGTTTTAAGACAGTCTGGAAGCGGACAGGCACTAGGGTAGTCAGGCACAGGCGGTGACGACGGACAAGTAACATGTTACATGACGATCTTTGTGGAGGCCATCGGCGTGATCTGGCTAGTTTCGTACGGCTTATGGAGTGACGGATGGATTGGGCAGACTTGGGATGCGTTATGAGTTGGCAGAATCGCTAGGATCGGCTCAACCAGTATTAGCTCCGGGGTGTGCCAAGACTAATTGCTTCTAGATAGTAGTGTAGTGCAGCATCGATCGAAGGCTACGGATATGGCGATGTTGAACTTGACCGTCTAATGGTAGCGGAGAGCCGTGTCGGATGGGCGTGTGGGATGTTGTCGTTGTTGATGCCCTCGATCAACCTACCCCGCCTTTGCCCTCGACCCTCGACCTTGCCGGACCCCACCGCCGTGGTATGGATTAATGTCCGACCGAGTAAGACGACAGGGATGTCGTCTTCTCTTGTCCTACAGTACACAGACCCTTCTGTCTGCTGGTATGCTTCCAGACAACAGAACAGCCCAATGATGTCAGGATCCATGAAAAAACAATCCAGACTCTGGACGCACGCGCACGCGTACACGCACACTCACTCACTCACACTCACACACACACACGTTGGCTCCAAACAGCTGCGCAACGCACATGTGCTGTCGACACGGCCGTCTCCTAGCCTTGCGATGGTGTCGACCGATGTGAGTGGCATATGACATGTGACCCTCGAGCTTTTCTTCATCTGTCCGGTCCGCGGGTTGTTGTTCTTGGCCGAGCGCCCTATATCCCAAGGTCCATCTGCAGGCGTTTTCCTTTGGGCTCTCTTGTGGAGAGAGCACTACCACTAGGTGTAGTATCTAGTATGTCCTCGGTCGTAGGCTTGAGATACCCAGTGCCTCTCGCACGTGACAGAGAGCCACGCACCGACACCGCTCTTTGTTCGCTGTTCCAACGCCGCACTCGTCGCAAATCAGAAGCCGACCTCTCCGATGGACGGCGTCAACCTGACGCAACTGACCGTTCGATGTAAGGCTTGCAGGCGTGCTGGCCTGTCCCCTTATATACTGCCGCTATCACTGGCGGATGCGCATCATCATGCCGTCCACAACGCATATCCGGTAGTTTCCCCATTGCGAGTGTGGCTGGTCCCGAACCGCCTATCGTCTTCTAGATCCATCTGCTCCAATCGCCGACCACCGCTGGCCTGGTGGACCAAGCCCACTGTGGTTTTGCAGCACACGAGGGCTGAAGTGGAGTTTGTCAGCGCACCTCGTTGAGGTTCAATAGCCTGCTGTGCTTCCGGATACTCTGAGTCGTAATTTTGGATAGTCGCAACTTTTTTGAATCAAACAGGCGTCCCATAGTCTCCATGTGTCGGAACAACAAGCCCCGGAGAAGGCTCCTCGTGCTAACAGCGGCTTTTGTCGCATTGTCAAAAACATGGTTCTTGTAGAGCCAGGGCTTGCGCAGTGATGTATGCAAAGCCAAGAGTCTGCCTGGTGCTGCTTGGGCGCGTGAGTCAGCAGTACTATCGTGGTGTTTTCTGGCTAATGATCCGGGTGATCCTGCGCGCCGCACAGACTGCGCCCTTCGAACTCGACATTCTACCGCATTAGGCTTAGTGCATGTAGAAAGAGTCTCTCCCCCGTCTTCGGCATGGCCCCAGAATGAGTCCAAGCCGCGGTCCTACTTAGCATCCATCATCCCGCAAAACGACAACTCACGCCTTATTGTCGAATTCGTCCAGAGGGCGTGCATTTGTTCTTTGATCCATCGCAAGCCATTGGATAGCGGCCAAGATAGCCCACTGCTTGATTGCAAATCGAGGCCCGCCATCATGGCTACCCACGATGCAGCCTTCGATATGGCAGACTTTGTTGATTTCGGAGACACAAGCATACCCGGCGTATCACAAGGGACAGACCTCAACATAACGGAGCCGGCATTGGACCAAAGGTGCGTGGTATACCCATTATTCCTTAGACACTCACCCCAGCTTGACATGCATGCAAATGCGAACTTGCATTCAAGGGGTCCATCGCTGACGATCAACTTTCTTTTTCTTTGGTTCTAATATCAACCAGTCCCCTACTAGGACAAGATGACTCCAGAGGGCTTGTGCAATCGACCGATGCTCAAACTACCGACATCGACTTCAACACTGACTTTAGTACCTGGCTGCCAACATACCAAAAGTCCGTCCAGCCATGTGAATACTGCAGATCAATGTCCCTCGAGTGTTTCATCTACAACGTCGACGGTACCAAGCAGCTAGGCTGCTCCCCATGCAATGCTCTGTTCCGGCCATGCAGCTTCAGCAATCCGGAAAGGATGCCAGCAATGAAGCAAAGAACGGCACTCGACACGTTAGATGTCGTGGCAGAAAACGACATGCGATGCTTCGGTGGACTCACCGGAAGGAAGCAGATGCGATCCTTGGGTCACGTTGGTCCCATAACGGACGACAACGGAGACCAGTGCTCTAAGAGTGCTGCTGTGTCAGCGCGCTTCCCAAGAGCTGCTGTCAGCATCCTGAAAAACTGGATGCTCATGCACATCGATCATCCCTATCCAACAGAAGAAGACAAGGAGACGTTGAAACAGCAAACTGGCTTGTCCATTGGCCAGATCTCCAACTGGATGGCCAATACGCGGCGAAGGCAGAAGGCACGACCCAAGCGAAGTGCATCGCCGAGCATCCGACCATCGACAAAGGTCATCAACATTCCCGCGGGTAAAACCTGGGAAAGCATGGGTACGTACACTGAATCTGAGTTTAGTCGATCGCACAAGACTGTGGCGCCCAAGACGGACGGAAGATTCATCGTCTTTCGTGCGGACCAAGGGCGCACAAACTCAGATGCTGGCACCTCGTCTCAGATGCCAGTGTTACAGCAGCAGGAATGTCTCGGTTAACTCTCGACAGGTCCGTTCGAACGATGGAAGCACTCTCCTCCTGAAAACGAGCCTGCACCTCTCAACGCTATTGCTCACGCTGTTGAGACCTTTGACCCGCCGCAGTCCACCAGCCAGAGCAGCAGCTACCGCAAAGATGCTTCTAATGATAGCACTGGGAGCTTCTCGGTATTCAAGGCACCTTCCATCTCTTCGTTAGAGACTGGTCTCACCAAGATGTCCTCCGGTTCTCGGGGATCCCGGGACTCTGCCTACTCATACGGATCCCGACACTCACTCGGCTCTTTGAATAGTCTCAAGTCAAAAGAAAGGCGAAGGCGCCGACGAATTCCTACTCGTGTGTCAAAGCCTAGCCCCGACGAAGGACAAAGGATGTTTCAATGCACATTCTGCACTGATACTTTCAAATCCAAGTACGACTGGTACGTAATTTTCTAGCACAGCTGCTGCAAATTTTCGACTGCACTGAATGGACAGGATGGTACTGACTTCTTGAAGGTCTCGCCATGAGAAGAGCCTTCACTTGTCTCTTGAAAAGTGGCTTTGCGCACCCCTTGGCGAGATCGTTGCCGATAAGGCTACCGGCAAATCCAAATGTGTCTACTGCGACGAGTTGGATCCTAGCAAAGAACACCTGGCGACACACAACCACACTGCTTGTTATGAAAAGGGCCCCGAGTCTAGGACCTTTTATCGGAAAGACCACCTTCGACAACACCTGCGACTTATGCATGGTTGCAAGATGACTGCAAGCATGGACACTTGGAAGTCTGAAGCACAATATATCAAATCCCGTTGTGGGTTTTGCGGCATGATCTTTGACAAGTGGCAGGACCGTGTCGATCACCTTGCAAAGGAGTTTCGTAACGGAGCCAGTATGAAGAATTGGAAGGGCTGCCGTGGTCTAGATCCCCATGTAGCCATACACGTGACCAACGCGATGCCGCCATATCTCATTGCTAATGAGAGAAAGTCACCCTTTCCATTTTCGGCAAGCAACTCTTCAAGTCTGCAGGTACGTACGACTGTATTGAACACACGAGGCCACTCCGAGGTCGGAAAGAACAATGTTATTCTACAGAGTTCTCTGGCTAACTGATAAACAGCAAATCAATCTGTCACTCGAGATGCGAGACTTGGAGTACCTACTTCCCAACAACTATGACCTATCCATCGCCTACCAAGACGGCAAGGATGCTTCATCGGTTGGGCCAATCATCTTGACCACACCCGAGGACTTCCCAGCGTCGGGACAATCGGATCACAATCCTAATGCAACATGCTGGGAAATTCTGACTCTACGACTTGGACGCTTTGCAAGACGGCATATTAAGGAGCACGGTGCTGGATCTGTGACTGATGAGATGTTGCAAGTTGAATCGCGCCGTATTCTTTATGGTGATGACGATCCCTGGAATCAAACTTCTGCAGACAATCCCGAATGGCTCAATCTCTTCAAGAAAGCACATGGCATCGACTCCAAAGCCCCAGTCAAAGGCATCATCACAGAGCATGACGTTTACGAGGATCTGGGCATCAACTCCGGCGCCATTGTTGACTCTAGCTTCGACGTCAATAACTTTACTTGTGCAAACCTACCTGAGAACGATCCGTTGCGGGCACTCTCTTTCGAGTGTTCGCTTTCAGGCTCGTTGGGACATATCAAAGGACATGTGCGACAGCTCTCCTCGGGCCGTCAAACACCCTACAGCGTACCTGGGCTGAGCAGATCACCTACATCGCCCGCTTCCTTTGCACCAGCAACAACTACAACAGCAGCCAACGATGACCAACTCATAGGCATATACGCGCCCATTTCAGAACTCGCATGCCCCGCCAACGGCGCCAAGGGGCCTTGCTTTGGCGAGCACGGCGAACTTGGTTTCGCCATCAACAACCCCGGATCCCCTAAAAGACGATACTGGATGGATGAAGCAACCACACAAATCTCGCCCCTGACTCCTCTTCTCGGCCACCAACAGCAACCCGTATACGATGGTAAGACTGCTCTCAGCAACCCCGGTGCCACGACCACGACCACGACCACGATCACAGCCGATGACTTCCAATTCCCCTCGTGGGACGAACTCCCAGAGCACCTGCAGAACCCGACGAGCAGTTCTGAATACAATCTTGCCGGCGTGAGCACGTCTACTACCGAGAATATCTTGGCGATGCCGTGGGATGATACCATGGATTTTGCCATGGATATGGATTTGATTTGAGTTTGATGGAGAGACGAGATTTTTTTTCTTCTAAAAAAAAAGTGTGGGATTTTAGTACTGGTTACTTTGCTAAATGCAATGAAGGAAGGGGGAAAGATGGCGACGGTCGATATGATATACATCTTTGCCCCCCCTTTTTTGGGCGGGATTCGCTAGGGTAATGTGATGGTGTTTGGTGGTATCTGTCTATTTTTTTTCTTCTATCCCTTCTTTGATTAATGAGTTCATGATATACCATCCTTGTACACATTTTTCTTTTCACGCGCTCTCGCTCTCTCTCTCTCTTTTGGGCAACAAAGTAGAAAAATTCTGAATAGAACTTTTCCTTGGTAAATTCGTAAATTTCTTTGTCCCGGTGCGCTAAGAGGGGGGGAACCAGAAGTGTCAAAATCTTTGATTTTCCTCTCTTTCAACTAATCATAGCCTCCATAAACCCCCCCCCCAAAAGGGGGAGTTTTTTTTTTATATTTACTTGTATCGTTCTGACCCCATCACAACTGATCAGCACTAACCTTTTGGACAATAATGCCGGATGCAGCACCACCACCGTTGCAGATAACAGCCGCACCATACTGGCCATCCTTCAGCTGATGCAGCAGGGTAACCAATATCCTGCTTCCAGAGCTACCAAGTGCGTGACCCAGAGCAATAGCACCACCCCTTGGATTGACGTTTTCAGTACCGAGACCGAGGATCTTTGCGTTTGCCTTGATGACGGCGGCAAAAGCCTCGTTGAATTCCCAAATGGCAATGTCAGACTTGGACAGGCCGGATTGAGCGAGGAGCTTGTCTACGCAGGCGGCAGGAGCGACGGGGAAGTCGATGGGGTCTGGTTTAGAGTTATTAGTAATGTACCTTTTTTGGTTGTTGTAAAGATGGAGAGATGAAAACGTACCCAGAGCAGCGTCAGCGTAGGTGATAATCTTGGCTAGTACACGGCTGTCCTTGCCGTACTTTTGTGCAATTTCTTTGCTGCCGAGGACCAGGGCTGATGCGCCGTCACTCAGGGGCGAACTGTTGGCCGCTGTGACGGATCCGTTTGGTCCCTTTTCGAAGGCTGGCTTCAGCGTCGCAACCTTGTCTAGTTTGAGCTTGTTGTATTGCTCATCCTCTGAGACGACGGTCTCGCCCTTTCTTGTCTTGACGGTAACCGGTACAATCTCGTCCTTGAAGAGCCCGTCCTTGTACGCCTGTTGCGCGCGCTTGTATGTCTCAATAGCGTAATCGTCCTGATCCTGCCTTGAGACCTCGTACTTCTTGGCCGTGTTCTCTGCGCAGTTGCCCATGTGGATCTGGTTGTAGACGTCCCATAGACCATCGGAGATGAGACCGTCCTCCAACTTCTGGTGTCCGAATGCTGGTTGCTGGCTTGCTCGGCTCAGGTAGTACGGGACTCTTGTCATGTTTTCCATTCCTCCCGCAACCTGGGCTTCCGCTTGTCCGAGCTCAATGGTAGAGGCGGCAATGCTGACAGCCTTGAGGCCTGAGGCGCATACCTTGTTGATGGTGGTGGCTTCGATGTTTGTGGGAAGACCGGCGAAGATGGCTGCTTGTCGTGCGGGTGCTTGTCCAACACCTCCTCCCAAGACATTGCCCATGTACACGGCATCAATAGACGATACTGGGACCTTTGATTTCTCCAGGGCGGACTTGATGGCCGTGGCGCCTAGTTGCGGGGCCGAAACCGTTGTAAAGTTGCCATTGAACTAAGAAGTAATCAGCATACAGAGTCAATTGGCGCCAGCTCCATACTCACCACTGCGGTCGGTGTCCTGCTGGCACTCAGAATGTATGCATCCCGAATCTCTTTCCTTTGTGGCGCGGAGCTGCTGAACTGTCTTTGGATGCTAGCCAGTCGTTGTTGCGGCCGCGAAGCCATCTTGAAGGAATTGCGAATGACAGCGGAAGACATGGTAACGGCGATTACTAGTGGAGTTTGCAAGAGTTCAGAATGCGGAGAAAGGGACTCTAACGAGTCGATGTGCGGCTATCACATGGCAACAAGAGTTATTAGGCTGGTGTGACAAATGCGGGCGGAATGTGGAGGAATGACGCGCCACAGCGGCTAGGCCGAGGTCCGGCAGTGCACGGCACCACCCGGCTTAAGCTGTTCCGCTGAACCGTTTTTTTTTATGTATTATCGTTTGACATCACTCCGGGGAAATGAAGGTTATTCAGCAAAACTAGCCTAGAAATACAAGTGACATTGAATCATCTATCTAATAGTCATAACGTTTGAACATCTCACAACTCAAGCCAGTGCACCCATGGGGTCCCAGAGCTCTAGCATCTTTGGCTGCTGCTCCAACACCTTCCTGATCGACGAGCTAACAACGCTCGGATCTACAACGGCCTGGTATACAAATTCGTCCATCCAAGAATCGCTCATGACAAAATATCCCTTGTCGCCCACACGGTCACTCCACGAGTTTTCTACCCTCCAGCGCACTGGCTTGCCGTCAACGACATGCACGGCAGTCAACACCATGGCGTGCGTCATCTGACTCTCTCCAGTCTGCAGACGCTCTGCTTTTGTCATGCCGAGCCTGACATTGAAGCCGAGCTCATAATCGAATAGCTGGGTATCCATGATACCCTTGGACGAGTCCGAGTATTTGCCCACGTCAGAGCCAAAGAATACAGGCATGCCGCGTTTCAGCATAGCAATGCAGGCTTCCTTGATCGTCTTCATGTCGACGTTGACGTAGGTTACTGGCCGACCGTTCCATACATTACCCAGGCGCTTGACACTGAGCAGGCGGTTGTAGGGGTTCCGGGGGTCGTTGACCAAAGAAAAGAGGGTGTGCACATCGGTTCCCGACAATGCGCGGACTACCCTGTGATCGGAAAGTTCCTTGGCAAACTCAACTGGCCGGCTAACGACAGTGTTGAGTTTGCCATCCTTGTCGTAGTACTCCCATGTGAAGGGCTTGGTGGCAGAGGGTGGGGGGCCGAGCATCAGCGTCAGGATGAGATGAATCTCACGGAGCATCTTTTCCTTTTCGCTGGCCAGGGTTGCTTTGACGGCCTCGGGAGACCAGTTGCTCGAGGCAATGGCACGCAGCCGGATTGCATCCTCGCGCAGCTTTGTGGTGATGAGGCGGTCCATGATGGAAGAGTTGGAGGCATTGAACGAGTCTGGATAGATTGACTGGGGCACGAGACCGTACTTTTGGACAAGGTTTGCAACCATGTCCCACTGACCGCCATCGCCGACAGGGCTGGACATGAGGGCCTGGACTATGCGACTATCGATATCCTCGTTCTTGGTGTCGAGTATGCTCTCGAGGAAGTAGTTTGCCTTTTCAATCTTGTCCCAGTAGAAGAGATAGGCCTGAGACAGCTGGAACTCGGAGAGCTTGTACCGCTTCATGATGGCGATGCGGAAGACATTGGTGGATGCAAAGAGCCAGCATCGTCCGGAAGAGGCTTGGTTGGTGACGGGGGAGCCCTCGAGGGGGATCTTGATGCTGAACTTGTGTGTGTCTTCGATGGTGGCTGCGCGAGAGGAAAGAACGGCGTTGGCGGAGTTTGAGCTGAGGGCTGCGAGGGCGAGGCGGTTCTAGCAGAAGGAGGTCAGCGGATGCAAGGGAGGGGCAAGAGGAAGGAGCGAGTGTGGCGTGCAGTGTGCGTACCTTTGGGTCAGCCATGAGCTCCTTCTCCCACTCCTGGACCGACTTGATGGAGACATTTTGCTGGTACTTGACGACGGGAGTGTACTGGGGCGCTGGAGCACATGGTCAGCATGGAATGCATTGGAGGAGCGAGAGGAGATGAAGAACATACGGGCCTCTCCTTCGCCGTCGACAACGACATACTCTTCCTTCTCCTTCAGATACTGAGCATACTTATCATGGTTCATGTTGAGCGCGTGCAGGCGTTCGAGGAGCTTGTCGGGGACTGCGGCTTCAGACTGCTTGGACTGGTCGGCACCCATAGTGGATACTTGGGCGGACGGTGTGGGGTCTGCTAAATATCTATCAGAAGGGCTACGGAGTCGGGAGGTGTTGCGTTAGTGTGGGAGAGGCGCTCGCGTCCGCGCCGCCGTGGGCGTGGTCGTGGCAAGCCATGAGGGTGTCGGTGTCGGTTTCTTATCGGGCTTATCGGGGGGGCAGCGCGTGCAAGGGGCGCGTGGCAGGTCCACCGTATCAGATGGCCTGAGTGGAACGCGATGCCTTCCCTGTTGGGCGTGGCCGCGTTGCGACATGGAGGGCGAGGGCACGTCGGCCGTCTGATCCTCGCCAGCACCGCCAGCAGAGGGTGGTTGAGATGCAATCTCTGGCTGCCATTTGCACGCCTCTTGGGGGGGCGGCCAAGCACATGCAGGCCAGCACGAGTCACCGCTCAACAGACCACCACCACGACTGCTTACCTTTCCTCCCTGGCCCCCTGCCCCATGTCTGCCCTCATCTACAAATCCCCGCCGATCGCGCTTGCCACCCCAACGCCGTCGGCACGAGACCCTGAGCTCGGCAACGGCCAGCGCCCTAGTGTCATCTTGCCCGTCGCTTCAGCCGCCGTTGCGTGACATCCATCCTGACTCCTGTCGCTGGCCTGGGGCCTCGTCCACTCCACACTCGCACACACACACATTCAAGTACATACATACACACACACACACACACACACATACGCCGCCGCCTCCCCTCCCCATGGGCCATGGCCGCGCATCGCTCGCACCCAACATGCGCGGCTCGTAACAGAGGAGATGAAGATAAGCAGGGCCGAACGCGCGTTTCATCACTGCGCGCTGTGCCCTCCCCTGGATCCAGGCCTGCCAATTCAGCCGCGGCGTGCAATTTGGCGACACTGGACCTTTGTGCGGTCTGCCTGGGTGCCGTTATATCTCTTCTCTTCTGCCTCACTTGCAATTGACTGTGACCGCAACTAATACCCTCTTCAACCTCCCCATTCTGCATCCCCCGCCCGACGCAACATGGAACAAGGACAAGGCCTCTGGAAGAAGCGCATCCTCGTGCCCTTCTGGATTGTGCGGATATGTCTCATGATATTCATCATCGCCATATTCGCCTACACCCTGCGCACGATCAAAGACCTCGAGGACTTTACGGAGCCAGGACCGGGGTACGCCTACACAGCTGCTCATGCGCACTCTCGTAGACTAACAGCAAGCAGCACCGCCGTCCTCTTCATTCTCTTCATGGTCATTGTGCTGTTGATTGATGTGCTCGCCATTCTTCTCTTCCTTCGAGATAAGCTCAAGCCGGGCACCTTCCTGACCATGAACTGTTTCCAGACTGGCTTCTGGGCCGGAGTCCTGATTGTCGACTTTGTAGCAATTGGCCACGGCGCAAGCCCCGTCGGAATCGGCTTCAGCATCTTTGTCTTGTACGCCTGAGCTGGCACCGTAGCAAGTCGCTGTGCTAACACGTTGTAGCCTCACATTCCTTGGTCTCCTCATATACTCAATCATCGGCCACCGTCGCGCAAAAGCCGCAGCCCAGCGAGGCCACTATGCGCCCGCCCACAACCCAGCTCTGCCTGCTACCGACTTGCACGCCACTCCCTACTTTGGCGCGCCCGATAACCACCAAAACACGGCATACCATTCGCAGACACACCCCCTCCCAGATGCGCACGATCAATACGCTGCTGCTCCTCCATACCAAGCTGGTGCGGCAGGCGACTATTACCAGCAGCAGCCCATGAAGCCTGCTCACATTGTTTGAGCGAGTCTTGCAAACTCCATGACGACCAAGGTGTTTCGGCGAATCGGCGCAATTACATATAAATAGGGCGGTGTAGTCTATGCTGAGATGCTGGCAGCTTGTGTGAGGAGGTGGCACGAGCGAATCACCATGACTAAATTCCACTGCCTATATATACTGGCTGGCCATGTCATGCGCTTCTAGACTGGTGCGCCGAGACGATTCCGGCGGGCGAGGGTGGCAGGGCAAACAAGCTCGTGGTTCGTGCGTGGGACGTCCTGGATTTCTGAGACGCGTAGAACTTACTCGCGTTTTTCCTTTTCTTCCGCCTACGCCATGGAGTGGTATGATGTGCATTTTTGCATGCTATGGGCTTGGGCTTGGCTATAAGGTACAAAGGTCAGGGGCCTTGGCTCCTTCTGCTTCGCCTCGAATTTTGTGGGGAGCGGCCCGCCAGATCCATGCGCAACTGTCGGAAGTTGATCAGATACGGCAGGAGTGAAAAATCAGGTCTCGCGGAGGACGTAATGTATAGTTGAAAGAGAATTACAAGTATCCCGATATCCGACACGGTGGTACGAGAGTGAAATTCAGCGTGAATAAAGTGTCGGTATCAACACACGTGCAAGTCGCGGGCGGGCGTGGTTGCCAGTTCAAGTGACTGGCGCCGAGACGCTACGACTAGTCCAGAGGCGACACTCCTTGGAAATGTTTCTAGCTCGGAGGTCCATACCCACTCACAGCACCAAAGCCGTCCTCTCCACCATGTCGCAGCCTTGTTCATTTATGCGGCGAGCAATCACATTGCTTCTCCCGGCACGTTGCCATGAACCTGTGCCTGTCCTGAGGCAGTGTTTCCAAACCGTGTTTACTTTTAGCACGCATAATGGCCTCGAGTCGTTAGTGGCTGATCATTGAACATGGATACACTGTGATGGGAATACTATATATCTGGAAGTAGGCCTCGAGCTACGGCTGTTTGGCTCCAGCACGCTCTTTCGTCTTGCCACTCTCCCTACCTTCCTGGCCCGGTGGTGACGCTCGCTCTGCTCCACTCATTCCTTCTCTCCACCAAGATGCGCTCGTTCCTCTTGCTCGCCGCCGCTACGGCGCCACTCGCCCAAGCTGTACGCATCGTCCAGTCCAACGACGACGGCTGGGCAGAAATTAACCTCCGGACCTTTTTCAACGTCTTGACCTCGGCAGGCCATCAGGTAGTGCTCTCTGGACCGGCTGAGAACCAGTCTGGCACAGGTGTGTAGCGGCAAATATATACACAATCAGCATCAACCCATGTATACTGACCTTTCAAGGCTCGTCCGACAAAGCGCCGACAACTGTCGGCAGCGACGGCTGCATCCACGCCTCTTGCCCAGGCGGGAGCCCCCCAACTGGCGCAAACGCAACAGATCCTCGCCTGAATTACGTCAACTCGTTTCCCGTCACCTCCATCAAGCAGGGCATTGACGTTACCGCACCTGCTTTGTGGAATGGGGCCAAGCCTGAGCTTGCCCTAACCGGACCGAATGTCGGTAGCAATGTTGCTGTCCAACTTCCCTTCTCTGGAACCGTTGGAGCCGCCGTTTACGCAGTCAAGACGGCCCAGATCCCAGCCATTGCCTTCTCAGGCAAGAGTGGCGAGCCTACTGCTTGGAACGCCCCCACGCCTCTCTACAGCAAAGTTTACGCCGACCTCGCTCTTAACGTAACTAGCACCATCATCAAAAGTGGCAAGCCGTACCTGCCCGCAAACACGTTCCTGAACGTCAACTTTCCCGAAGTTTCCGACTCCCGATGCAGCGACCCCAGCCAGTTCAAGTTCATCTTTACTCGCGTCAACACTGGCGTCTTTAGCTCCCGCGATGCAGAATGGTGCGGTAGCACGCGCCTGCCCTGGGAAGCTGATGTCATCCTGCTCCGGGGCAGGGACTGCTATGTTACCATTAGCCCTGGCGATGCAAACGACAAGTCTACTGTGAATGATGCCGCTGTTCAGACTCAGATTCTCAACAAGCTCAAGCCTATCTTGTCGTGCTTGCCTTGAGAGAATCGCTGATGGTGATGGGTTAGTAGGGAGTGTACTCAACATCATGATATGTAACATTTTTGGAACACTTTTTTCTAAATTTTGTAATATTTCTTGACCAAGGATGGAACACACACACATCATATGGAAATACATAACTACAAAGATCGAGCTCCTATACCTTGCTATCCAGATAAAGGGCATAAGTACCAAAATCAAAGACAAAAATCGAAAATAATCCCCTGCCATCCCATTCGTTCAAACAGTGACATGTACACCCAACTCACGTCTCTGCGACTTATTTTCCTTGAGAATGGTTTCGCTTAAACTCTTCTTTGTTTGTATGCAGCACAATCCCTGACCTACTTGTCGTTCGTTTTAGCAATGCCGAGCTGGAGATCCTGGGACCCACACGTTTACACCATACCACGTATACCGAGCTAGTGTCCTTTAGCCCCACTTCTGCAACATTATGGTCTATCTCTTGTTGAAGGAGGCGAGATACGGTTCCTGCTCATTCCATTGCTACCAAAGAGAAGCTGTTAAAGATGCCCGATGGAATAATTTAAAAATCTTAGGCATCCCATGAGTCCACCGTCCATTCGAGTCATTCCTCTACTACTAGCTTGCATGGCCCCCAATCACAAAACTACAAGTCGAGTACCCCACATCCCATGATAACAGCCGTGTTCCCACTATTTTCCATATAGGTCTAGACAAAGGATCTGGATTGGCAAGAACAGGTTTCATGAGGGGTGTCTGGACAGCGTGCACAGGCCTGCAACGTCATTAACCTTTGGTGTCATCCAGATGAGTCGTATCTCTTTATGACTACTCAGAATCTAGCTGCTGTAAAATTTAACCGCAAGTTTCTTCTTCTCTTTCATTCCTGACTACACTATAGACTAATCCTTTGCCAGAGCCTCAAGTTCTCCTAAACAAAGACAACATAATCGTCTTCATAAGCGGCTTTCTTGATTCTTGTAGAATTAGTGCACACAATCACCACCAAGCGTAATCTCCAAAACACCAAATACCGGTCATCCACATCAATCAAATTCCGGGAGAAAAAAATAAAATTTACCATACAATTCATCAACCCAATGGACCCCCCACCACCCGACGATGCATCCCAACCCCCCTCCCTCGCATCCCGAATGCGCTCCTACGAAGCATCCTTTGACCACATCCTCCCCACCCACCAACCCATCATCCTACGCCTCGACGGCCACGGCTTCTCCCGCTTCACCTCGCACTTCTCGCGCCCCTTTGACGAGCGCATCCACACCGCCATGACGCGCACCAGCAGCGACCTGCTCCACTTCTTCCCGCAAGCCACGCTCGCCTACACGCAATCCGACGAAATCACCCTCGTCTTCCCCTCGGGCGTGCAAACCTTCAACGAGCGCCTGCAGAAACTCTGCAGTCTAGCCGCGAGCTACTGTTCCGTACGCTTCAACCGCCATCTCGAGCTCGCGCTGCACGCCTCCCCGCACCCGCCCCTCAAAGGCGACGTGCAGCTCGTCCATGGCCACGCCCATTTCGACGCCCGGTTTTTCCCCGTCCCCTCGCTCCACGAGGCCCTGAATAACATCATCTGGCGCTGTCGCAATGATGCCGTTCGGAATGCCGTTTCGTCGTTTGCTCGCACTCTGTACTCGCCCCGTGAATTGCATGGGAAGAAGACGGGTGAGCTGATTGAGCTCATGTTGAAGGACAAGGGCGTCAAGTATGACGAGGCGGTGCCCAAGTGGGCGATTGAGGGCTGTTTGATTAAGCGCGAGCAGTATGAGCATCAGGGTGTCAATGCAAAGACGGGTAAGGTCGAGAAGACGTTTAGAACTAGACCCAGGGTTGAGGAGAGAGGCGTGAGGGTCTTTGACGAGGCTGGTCTCAAGTTGATCACAGACAAGTATTGGTAGTTGTTAGTTATGGATACAGCAAGTAGCATCAATCACGAAAATAAAATATGTAAACAAATCAAAAGTACAAAAGTACATGTACTCATTGTATGATGAGTCTACACTAAAGTCTAAAAAAACCAATTTAGAAACATCCCAAGCTTGATACGCCATGCTTATCTCCTATGCGCAAAAAAAAGAGCAAAAAAGAAAGGATGGGGCCTGACCGGGATTCGACTGTAACGCTGTTAGATACTGCGTTCGCTATGCGAATCTGAATGGGTGAACTTACACCCGGGGCCTCCTGCAGAATAGGCTTGAAAGCAGACGAATCTACTTCTTCCCAAAGCAGGAATCATACCACTAGACCATCAGGCCGGAGCTTTGTGACTCTTGGGATTGATGGAGTAAGTGCGCGATTGCGTGTTTATCAATCTAGCAAAATCTGGGGGTGAAGAGCGCCTGAAAAGTCATCAAACGGCACGGAGGAGTGGGGTAAGGGGTTGTGTGGGTGAGAGGGGCGGGTAAGCGAGGGCGAGTATGTGGGATGGTGCTTGGTACCCCGCCATGTGTCACCCGCTGTTGAATACGAGTGTGGATTATTATCACGATCCACTTGGTGTTTTCGGTCAGCAACCATTCATACTAACTTTATTCACTTGGCTGGCAACTAGGAGACAGTCCGATACGAATATTATGAAGAATACAATTGAAACTGATATCTCTTGACAAAAACTCCAACCTAATGCTTTCCCATCGTGTAACCATGCATTCGTTAGAGCAAACAAAGAAGCAACGCTGCGTTTACGCATCTAACCACCACCCCGTGTACAGGCTCAGTTCTACGTCAAGTCCAGGACTTCTACCGCGCTTTCTCTCCACTTGCGTCTATCTTTGCCTTTGAGCAAGGGCCCTGGTGTCTGGCCCGCTGGCTTCTCCGGACTGTCAATATCAACATAGTCCCAGGCACCTACTACACTTTTTCTGAGGATAATGGCGCGTTTCTTCTTGCTCTGGGCTTTCCATGCTGCGGGCGGTGATACGGGCTTTTCTTCGCTTGGTGATATCGGTGTTGCAGCCGTTGGTTGTGGCGCCGGATCACATTCCGCCACAGGTGACGAATGTTCTGTCAGATCAAGCACATCCGCTTGTGGCGATGTCGACCGTGATTTTGATGCAGCAGGATGAGGGGACGTGAGGTCTAGAGTACCAACACTGGATGGCGCTGATGTCGTTTTGCTGAGACGTGGCGATGTACGGCGAGATGGGTTTGGGCGGAAAACATCTTTAATGCTTTTCTTCTTGCCCAGCGCTGAGACTGAAGAGGTCGAGCTCGCAGACGTGTTTGATGAAATCGACGTCAATGGCGGCCGCGTGGCTGATGATGTTGCAGGATCCTGTTCACTACTAACCTCCTTTTGGGAACGTCGTGTGGCTTCTGGGCGCTTTGGTGAGGAAAGCGTCAAGTCCAGTGATTCCACATCTTCAGGTAGTTTACGGAATTGTGGTGGTGCAGGGACTGGCGTTGCATCAAACAAAGGAGTTGTGTCCCGCTGTTTGCTTGGTGTCGCCGATGCTCGCCATGCATCCAAGGTAGTCTGTTTCGGCACAGACGAGTCCCGAGACGCTCTGGTTGCAGCCGCCTCTTTCAATGTTCTTGTCCTTGCCTTCTTTGCTGGCAGCTGCAAAGGTGAAGGATGCACTGGAGACTCGGCTAAATCCAAGGTTTCTATTGTCCTCAAAAGTGGAGGTGTGGAAGGACGATCCAAGACTTCGCTGGTATCAGCAGGAAGTGTTTTTGAACGCTGAATAGGACCTCGCCTTCTCCGCTTGGTTACACTTGGAGGCAAATATTCTAGCACTGGGGAGAGCGGTTTTTCAGGCTCCGGTTGTGGTCGTGGTGTTAGGGCACGTGTCTTCACTGGCGATGAGGACAACAAGTCAATTGTTTCGTACTCCGCCGTTACAGTGGTCTGAGATGATGACGCTGGAAGCTCGCTTGCCTTATCTTGGGCTTTTGCAAGTGCTTGTGAAGCTCTCACTCCAGGCTTTGTGACCTTTGCAAAGGATTCTATTCGAACTTGGGGTTGGTCTTTAGTCGTCTTTGTCCGCCTTGTGGTTGTCTTGGCTTTCGGTGCGGCAGTGCCAGTGTCCTGAACCGATGCTGCTCGTCTAGGCTTCTGCTTTGCCTGTCGTCCGGCCTCCCAATCTTGAACAGTGAGTGGCACGCCAACTTTGACAAATGTTTCCATGACCCATATACGTGCCGGTTTTTCAGGGTCGAACTTGGTCGGTCCACGTTTCCTAGGACCCTCGTCCTCCATATCCAAGGGCATGTCTTCATCCATATCCTCATCTCCTACATCCGGTTGGGAGCTAGGTGGAGGGCCCTCTACATCGTCATCTGGATCCTCTTGGCTAAGATCAATCTTTACCAACTCGACAGGTGTGAAGCTTACGCGAAGCTCGGTGCAATGGTCGGTAATGGCATGCTGTCTTTTGCCATGAAGACCTTTGATGAGCGTTGACTCGTCCTCTTGTATGGCTTGCAGGTTGTCAGTAGGCAGGCGATTAGTTTGTTCAGCGCGGATCCGCAGTTGGCGCACAACAAGAGATGGTGCTAGACTGCGAATGAAATGCTTTGCACCCTCGAGTTTGGCCCAGTCAAAAGCATCCTGTGTAAACTCGCGCAGCCCCGGAAAGTCAAGGTCCCGGTCCCAGTTGATGGACCGGCGCAACTTGTCTAATCCTGCTTGGTTCGAGATCGCCGGATGTGTGTAGTATCCGAGAATGTCAAGTCGGGGAAAATCGTCCGGGATCTTGAGTGCGCCATGCTTGCGTTTGAAGAACTTGCTTTCGTTCGTCTTCAGCTCGTGTTGCAGTCGCTCCTTCCACTGAGCTATGGCTCTAGAGTCGTTTCGTGGGATCTTGCACAGGTCCGCACCAAAACCCGCCTTGGCTGCTTCACATGCAGTCTTGGGGCCGCACCCAGGTATACCCTCTGGCACATAATCTCCTCCGCTCATTAGCGCGACCAAGATCATGCCCTCACGATCGAGCCCCGATGGCCCGTTTTTGGTTTCGACAGCGTCGTATATGTTGACATGGGTTGGTGTCTTTCCCGATTTCTCTGGAGACCAATTTCGGAGAGTGACACCGCTCCCAAACATAAGCGTGTCCACATCTTCACTCAAAACTGCATCGACAATTCCTTCCCTTTGCAGCAGTGCACACTCTGCCTCTGCCTCGCCTGGCGCAAGATGTATGGGATATCCGAACTGCTTCAAGAGCTGTTTTGCAAGGAACTCGGGGATTGATGCGATATTCGGGCCGGTGCGCTTGTTGCGCTTGAATGGCGGTTTGTTGGGTCCATCGAAGACAAAGACGGGGTGGATGGCAAGAGAAATCAAGCGCAAGAGGCGGTAGTAGAATGTTCGCAATGCAGGGTTCGTGCCACCTAGCTGCAGTTAGCATCATACCGTATGCGCATACCCTGGAAAAACTTGCCTTTGCTAGCTTGGATCTGAAAAAGCCATATCGACGTATCAATAGCGATGCGCAGTGGGCGGCCAGTCTCTTCAAACTTTTCGACAGCAAGCTTGGAGAGTGCTATGCGTGTGCCAGGGCCGATTTCCTTGTAGATTCTGTGTGCGTTAGTACTTTAATACACACAATGATATGTGTGACTCACCCATGGATACCCATCGCGACTCCATGCTATGTCCTTTGATCACCAAGCTGGCTGCCTTGTTCGCGATGTTGCGCCCAGCGCGTGGACTGGTGTCGTGATTAGATTGTTGCCACGACAACAACGCGTCACCCGTCCCGCATGCCCACGGATGCACGTTTATTCCCCACCATGCCATCCCTATCGCACTAACAACCTCCACCCACCATCCTCACAGAGACCCTTGAACATGGCGCCCCGCGGTCGCAGCATAACGGCGAGTCCGGGTGCCTACTCGGATCGCAGCAACGACTCAAGCCCAGACCCGCTAGCCATTTCTTTCGACGAAAACATCACCTCATCGCACCGCAAATCCAGCCCTCGGAAACCCATCATGATCAGCTCGCCAAGGAAACAGGTTCGGCGGCTGGAGACGTCAGAGGTTGTCTTCTCATCGCCGTCCAAGTCTATGATCATGAGCACACCACGAGGCAACGGCGCAAGCCCCTGGCGCATTAAGGTCACCGTCCAGGCTGAACCGGAAGACGGAGAAAATGCCGAATCGCCGTCAGTAAAGAGGGTGACAAGAACAAAGACGACGACAGTGCCACTAAAAGACCCGGATGCGTCGTCTCCTGTCAAGCGCCCTCGCGGCCGACCCAGGAAGTCTGAGACTGGATTGACGCCCAAGCCCAAGCGAAAAGGAACACCAATTAAGAGACCCGCAGAATTCAGCTCTCCGAGCAAAATTGTGCGAGGCGGTGATTCCAGCGCAGCCGACGTTGATACCGATGTGCCGCCTAGGAAGCGAAGGGGTCGTCCGAGGAAGAGTGTACAGCCACCGACTGAGTATGACGAGACCAGCGTTGCAGAAGAGGCCGAAGCTATCCTACAAGCCACGTTCGAAGAGACACCTCTACAAAGTACGGAGGCCGGATTAGACAACTCGAAAAAGAATGCGCGATTTTCAGCTCCCGATGATCAAACCATGGATGACGCACTACGAACATCGCCTACACGATCAGAGCCGTCTCCCAGCCTAGGCACACCAGCTCATACCAATTCGAGGAGCAATGTACGCGCTCGCAGAGGCACACCACATGCCAATAAGGTGGCCGTCATTGAATCCGACGAAGGAGAAAGTGGCAGTGATGTCCTTACGCCTGCCAGCGGAGATGAAGACAATAACGACCTTCCCGAAAACCAACCCTTGAGTGGAACAGAGGATGGCCAAGGAGACGTACTTACACCAAGCGAGACATCAGCGCAGTCAAGCGATTCAGCCGATGCCTCTAGTGATGACGGTGTACCCGAATATCCTCAAGACTATGAAGACGACGATGAGGAAACACAGGGTCAACATTTTACTTTTGACGAAGGTGCCACCAGGATGCCAGATGACACCACGATGTTGGATAGCGAGACCTTTAGCATGATATCTGTCGAATCATTGAAGAGCAACACAAATCGACCGAGCCCAACACAACCCCGAGATGTGCATACCAATGCTCCAAAGGCCAAATCATCACTCAGGAACGAGTACTTGGGACCAGCTACGCACGTGGCATCAGGTTCTGGATCCTCAATCTACGAAAAGCACGTGTCGACAAGCCAGGCTCCTGTAGAAACCGCACCCATCGAGACAGTGCGTCCAAAACTGGCGCGCCATGTTACACCCGCTATGGACTCTGAGATCCCATCTGCACCCCCTGCTCTGCACCCTGTTCAGCCTGCTCTGACCAAATCTCCATCCCCGACACTTGGGCGAGCAGTCACCGCTGGCGTAGCTTTACAAGGCCTTCTCGACCCCACACGACTCACCCCAGATGCCTCACAAAAGACGCCTGACGGAAAGCGAGGCTCATTGGACGATTTGTTCCGTGGCTTCAGCTCAGGAACACGCAAAGATCTTCAAGCAGGCTTGCGACTTGGCGAGCAACTTGCGCAAAATCAGACAGAGGAGGACAATGTGCCAGGCCCTTCGAGCCCTATCAGGGGCCAATCTGCGGCAGGGCCGAAAGCAGGTGTGTTCCGAACGCAACGAAAATATCAGCAATCGCGTCTTCTTACACCCGAAGACCAGGATCATGTTGTCACAGCGGTGGCACCAGCGGTTGCAGCGAGCGACGTCCAGTACCCAGTATTGGATGTTGAAGAGGCGACCACAGCGCCTTTGAGCCCTGCGAGGAGCGAATCCGCAATGAGCTGGCGAACCGACACCCCACCCCGTGCAGCCAAAAGCCAAGATCAACAAGACACTGCCATGAACGAGGTTCAAGAGGAGATTCCGGTTCCTGCAGAAGAGGCAGTCCAACACGATGACTTTGGTGATATCTGGCAAGAGGAGGCTAGTCGGTCGGTGATCTCGATAAATCCAGAAGAAGTGCCAACAGAGAAGTCCCCCGAGGCTCATGATATCTTCACAGACGCCAATGTTGCCAGGCCTCCTCGCGGCAGAGCTGCCCGGATTTGGCGCCGCAGGAAAGTCATTAACGAGACGGAGTCGCAGCAAGAGCCTACCTCAGTACGCTCAGGGCCAGCAGCTGTCCAACAATCAGAGGGCGGTAAAGAGGCCGAAAAGGTTGATTCCGCACAACCCGATGAGCAACCCATGCAAGCCGAAGAGCCAAACGCTGAAGGCGAAGAAAGTGATGCTGGTATGTTCTTCCAGTCCAACGTGCCTAATGTTACGGACCAGAAGCGGCCTTCTCGGTTCCAGAGGCGGCGGCCAAGAAGACAAGAAGCGGAGAAGGTGAGCCTCTCTGAGCTTCTTGATCAAGGGGACAGTTTTATGCCAGAATCTCCTTCGCCCGTAAAAACAAAAAAGACCCCCCCAAAAGCGGCACTAAATCCATTCTTGGATACGCCACCTCGCTTCCCTGCACTCCTGAACTCGCCAAAGAAGAGCAGTCCCTTGAGGCGGGAGCTTCACAGTGGGGATATCTCTACGAGCTCCGTACAGCAGTATGAGGAGTCTACATTGCCACTCGCACAAAGCTCGCCGTTCCATACGGTTGTCGATGGCGACAGCAAAATCTCAGCCGCATCCGACCAGCAACAATTCCGAATGGAGATGGAAGGAAATACTGCTTCCACAATTATACGTGTGCGCGAGGAGGCTAACGAGTACCTGGATGCCTATGAACCGCAAGAGCGAAGTCTGAATGAGATTACAGAGGTTACCGAGCCTAGCAGAACACATCAAGACATTAGCCACCTGCCATCGAGCCCACCAAAGATGCAACGACAGTTTGAACAGCGGTTGCTTTCTGCACGAAAGCCTTCGCCGCTTTCCAAGACAGCAGAGCGCCCAGGCAATGTACCCGTGCCACAATCACGGCAGAACGCAGCGCGTTCCAAGGAACCGGAAGTGATTGAACTATCGTCCGAATCTAGTTCTAGCGACGACGAGGAAGAAGAAGTGGAGGAGGAAGAGGAGGAATCAGATGCCACCCCCAGTGGTCATCCTCAACCCCGTGCACAGCCTGCTGCGACATTGAGCGCCAAGCCAGCATCCTCGCGCTCATCTCAACTACAACCACATCCTATCCTCTCACGCATGACACCATTACCAAAAGTTGAGCCTTGGACGCGAACACATTACAAAGCCCTCGATAAACTTTACACAACACATCTCAAACATCCCGCACTCTTCTGTCCTTTCAATGTCCCTCCCACCCCGCTATCAACCACAAACGGCTATCTCCTCCGCCGCTTCCTTGCCGACAACGGTAACCTACCCTATGTTGGCGCAGTGTTCCATGCTTGGGGCTACAGCATGGTTATGACTGCCGAGCTCGTCGTGCTTTGCAGCGTCTTCATGGACCTGATGAGTCTCAAGAGCGAAGTCGAGTACGAACAAGTCACAGGCAGGAAACTCGAAGTAGGCAATTGCGCACCGGGTCGGCGTGGCGACTGGATCTCTGGCGAAGACGTGTTGCAACGTCTTGCTACCGTCGTTATGGGCGAGAGTGTGAGGAGAGATGAGCGGGCGGGGCTCGAGATTGATCGCTCCAGGGGGTTGCAGATTGAGTGGCCGCAGACGCCGCGATGAGCTTAGTTGCCATGCTCGATTGCTATTTTATAGGGTTGATGGACTGGCGTTTGCGGCTTGGAGACGGGATACCATGCTTTTGTTGATCTTTTGAATTCGTGTTTCTTGGGGTTGGACTCACTGTTTTTACCATTTGGGCATGATACCTCCTTGTTGAATGAGTTTTCTGCTTTTATTTCTTAACTTGTCTTCTTAATATCATCTCAAGTGTTAAATCTCTTGTTGGTCTGAACATTGCTATTCTATCATATCATCTCAACAGGAATTGTGGAGTATTCCGTCTTTGTAACAAAAAAGAAGGTACGTATTAGGAGGGCACAGGGCTTTGCCTGTGGAGGTTCACCCAGCGTAGCCTTGCCCCATCCCCACACCCATCGCGTCCAAAAAGCAAAAAGATCGTAAATGGGCTCAACCGGGATTTGAACCCGGGACCTCCTGCAGAATAGGCTTGAGAACCCAAAGCAGGAATCATACGACTAGACCATTGAGCCGTATTGTGGGTGGTTGAGGTTGTTGTGATGACTAAGCTTGGAATTAGGGTGTATATGATTACACATACTTTTTGTTATGCCCAGATTGGAGTTGCAGTTGGCTGTTGAGAGGTAGCGAGACTGCAGCGTGGGAAAAGTGGAGCGTCGTGGAGAGGGATATGCATCGCTGAGTCAGGGGACAGCCGACGCTCATGCACGCACATGCAGCACAAAAAGGTAGTCAACAAAATTGAGCATTGCTGCGCATATCGATGTGATAATTGTACATTCGGCATGACTCTAATTTTCGCGTATACAAAGCCTGACCCGTGAGCTTCGCGACGGCGGCTAATGCGATTACATATCAAGTACAAGACTGAAGAAGAAGACCTTTTTGCTTGCTCGCTTGCTATCCGCTTTTGTTGATACCCGAACTTAATTAATGCCTGAAAAATGGCGAGAAGTACCTGCGAAATCGGGTCTTACTTCATTTTCGCCTTTTCCCGCTTTTCTTGCAAGTACCTCCATGACTTTGATAGGCCCGCCGTAAAGGGTCCCTTGAGCGTTTGCACAGTAGATGGCCACTTGACGGTCTGGTTGATCGCCTTGGTCACCATCTGAGGGATGTCCTTCTCAGCTGCTATTCGCCTATCAAAGTCACCGGCAACCTGCTTCTTCAAGATTCCTCCTGAAGACTCGTCCTTCCTTGCCTCGAGCATCTGCTGGTACTCGCGGCCTGAGATGCCAAACTTGCCGCGATACTGGAAGTACACCTTCTCGCGGAACTTCTTCGGCAATCGCCTGACCATACTGGCGCGACGCTCTGGGTCCATGTCTTGCGACATCTTTTGATCCAGTCCTGGGTCCTCCATCCAGCCCGGCTTTCGAATTACAGACTCGTCGGCGTACCTGATGTTCGGGAGCGACATTATGAGATCGTGGTAGAGGTATCGAAAGTTTCGTATCTGATGCGTCACGATGTTGTCGATCTTCTTGGGATTTTCGCTGCCATACTGCATGCGCGGGTCACCCTGATAGCTCAAGCCTGTGATTGTAGAATATAGTTCCTTCTCTGTAAACTTCTCAGGCAGCAAGAGAAGCGCGCATCGAACGGCAGAGAGGAGATTGCGTTGATTCGCGACGCGGAGATTGGGCTCTTCGTGGAGGATTTTAACGGGCTTGTGCAGGCGGCCGGCAAAATATAATGTGTCCCACTCGGTAAGGTCGCGAAGAAGCGTTTCGTAGTTGACGACGGCGTATTTGATCATTGTTCCGTTCACTACGACATACGGGTTAAAGTAAGCACCTGCGCCATACTTCTCCTGTACATGGCTGACAACTGCTGAGCCCAGCGATCCAAGGAAGGAATAATGATCTCTGTGTTCGCGTAGATTGAGCGAGTGGAAGTGTTGCGAGAAGCGAGGCGTCAGGATAAAGTCAATCATCTTTCCACCTCCTTTTTGCCATTTCAATATCGCATCGGGAGGGTTCGGATGAGGCGATTGCGTTGTGCGCGAAGCTGTCGCCGCCGACTGGGGAAAGACACCAGAGCCGTAGGCAAATGCATATGTGACCGGTGGGAATTTCCGTAGTATGCCTCGTAATGCCCGTTTGAATTCTTCGTTCGTTTGCATCAACTGGTTTTTGCCAAAGTCCTTATGCGGGAGCTCTGTAAAGTCCGACAACGAGGGAGCTTCATCTTCCCAGTCTGGTGGCAGCGATTGGAACGCATGGGGAGTGTCCGTGGGCGTTGTCTTTTCGGATGACAGAAAGCGGCGATTGACCTGCGCCAGAGGCCTTCTACACCAGGCTATCCGAAATATTGGTTGGCGGCGATACATCTTGTTGGGAAGATAATGCCTCAAGTCGCGCAAAGTGAACGAGTGGATGACGTAAGCGTGTTGTTGCTCCACCGGTCTTGGCGGATCAGATGTTTGTGGTCGGCTTGCCGCGTCTGAAGACGCGACTTCTTTCTCCATTCTCACCCAGCGCACACCACTCGAGATCTGCAATATTCAGTATTGCAAAAACACATCGTTATCTTCTATAACCAGCCGAGTAAAAAAGCAAAGCCAACAATCAAAACTCAAAAGACTCCACAACCACCAATCGCTCCTACCAACACCATGGATGCGTCGCTGGCTTCTTACCACGCGCGTCTAGCCACCTTTGAAGGAGCAGCTACGACGGGCAAAGGAAGACGTACAAGTAACAGATCTAAAAAGGCAGGGACGAAATCGAAGGCTTCATGGCCCCTTACAGCACCCTCGGCACAGGATTTGGCGTATGCCGGTTTTGTATGGAAGCCCACGTCAACGAGCCCCGACAACGTACAATGCTTCAGCTGCGAGTGCCAGCTTGATGGTTGGGAGGAGGCGGATGTCCCTGCATATGAACACGCAACACATTCTCCAAGTTGTGGTTTCGCAACCATCGCCTGTATCCGTCTCCGTGCGGGCGACCCTGGCAGGACCGAAGATGATCCGACCTCAGACGCCATGGTGGCAGCACGCCGCTCAACCTTTGGCGATATGTGGCCGCTCGACGTCGCAGCCGGCTACCCCAGTGTCGACCAGATGGTGGATGCTGGCTGGTTCTACGACCCTGCAACAGACACACCCGATGGTGTTACCTGCCCATACTGCTCTCTGGCACTAGACGCATGGGATATCGGCGATGACCCTATGCAGGAGCACCGCCGAAGATCTCCCGAGTGTCTCTTTTTCGTCCTCTCCGAACTCTACAAACCTGCCCCAGCACCCAAGAAAGCCAAGCGTGCTTCCAAAGCTAAGCGTGCCTCAACCCGCTCGTCAACGGCATCTACGGCAAGCAAGAGAGCCACACGTGGCAAGAAGCGGACGAGCGAGGCAGTTGAGGAAACTGAGTACTCTGAAGTTATCCAGCCTGTCCAGAAACGTGTGCGATCCTCGAGCATTGAAAGTTTCCCTAGCGACCTTCCTGTGGGAACGCCTAAGAAGACACCGACTGGAATCAGAGACACTGTCATGGACGACTTTGACATGTCGAGCCTGCCGGCGGACCTAGCAGTTGGAACACCCAAGAGGACCCCGCCTATGATGAGTGAGGCAGATGACATACCGGAGCCCATTAGCTGGAAGCCTGCTGATGTTGATGCCGTAATTACATCCCAGGAAGAGGCCCACGGTTATCTCAGCGAAATCCTTGCAGATTCTGGTCTGGACAACGTTCAGACGGCGGACATGACGCCTGAAGAACTGTACGAATACGTCATGACTAGCCTGACGGATGAAGAGAAGCGCATGACGATTGAACAATGGGTTCTGCACAACGCAAAGAGGGGCGAGGAGAAACTCCGCATGGCTTGCGAACAACAGATACTAGCATTCGAGGCAGAGGGTCAACGTGCCATGGCTGTTCTCGAGGGCATCCCCACGATCTGAGTTTGATTGGTATTTGGTTAGGATTGGAGTACATGGGAGTTTGGTCATTGAGATACCCCGACATGAGGATGGGCGTTTTGGGCACGTTGCGATTCGCATTACGTTTAATTCTACGGTTGCTTGCTGTGTTTTTGTACTTTTATTTGGCGTGCTGCACCCGTCCTTCGTGCGGGGCAACCGTCGTAGCCTAAGAATAACTAGGGTGCATGAGACACCTAGTTTTATTGTTCGTATTAGCTACAGGGTGATTTTTATTTTTATCCCAGATAAAATGATGACCGACGAAGATGGATGATCTCCAGATTTGAGCCATTGCAAGATGCCGTTGAGAAAGAGGGGTAGATTAAGAGACGTGTTGATAGTTGAGAGCACAGCGACGCGTGATCACGTGATGTGCCTCGCAATGTAAATGGATTGAGCAAAGCATGGTTTATTCCACAAAGCCTCGTATTCTTTGCAGGTTTTCCAGAAAGCCACCGGTTCTTTGCTGCGGAGGCTGTGGCTGTGACTTTGAGACACTAGAGCTACGGACTGGCTTCTGTTGGCCTCGATCCTTATTCTTGTCCCTCTCCTTGTCCAGCTCTCGCTGCTTGTCCTCTGCCAGCTTCACCAGGCCGTCGATGAACTTTGTTCTTGCTTTTTCTTCGGCCGTGCCCTTCCATACCTGAGCGAGGTCTCTTAGCGCTTGTATGCGTACCTCGGCCTTGTGCATGCCACCTTCTGGATCGCCTGTGATGAGGTCGGCAATCTCGGAGCGGAGCGAGGCGGCGAATTCTTTGCCTTTCTGCTCGCGCGAGGCACTGTCGGTGCCGGGCTCGGGGGCAGAAACGCTGATTAGGGAAGCTCCTAGGGATACCTCGCTGGGAGGGATTGTCCAGTGCATGGCTTCTCCGAAAACCTTGATTACATTCTCAAGGCGCGAGCGGACTGTGGTCAGGGTGCGGAGGTCGGATATGTATTCTGGAGTAGTGTCTTCGGGTTCTATTGGTGCTGGCAGAGCTTCGCTGGAGGCTTCTGTTTGTGCTGGCGCAGGACTTCCAAGTTCTCCTTCTACAGGGTCTGCTTTCAGAGTGAGCCCGCCTGGCAGAAATTTCTCGACATCGTTCTTCAGACCATCGGTCAAGGTCTCTGTGAGGCTGACTGCCTCTCCCCGCAATACTTCGACCTCATAAGCCAGCCGCCCACCAGTCCGTAGTATGTCATCGGTCAGTTGCGTGAGTATGGCAGATAGCCGGGTAGTATGTGCACTGAGCTGTGAGAGAAGGTCTTGGGTCTGAGAGGAGAGATCGGCCAACGAGGCGGCATTGCCTGTCTTTGACCTTGAGCTTAGCGATAGCGAGGGGAGCGTAGCATTGAGGTAGTCGGCGGGGTCGAATTGCGATTGGAGGAATGGATTCAGGGCGGGATCGGACACATGTGTGGACTTGGCCGCTGCCGTCCCCGGCTTTTCCTGGGATACGGCCATGGTGGACGCCGAGATAGGGAGGGGAGGTATTGCAGATGTCCCAAGATAGGGCTGGAAGTAGTGCCGAACGCTCGGAACCCTTGCTTGCACTTGGCCGATGGAGCTTCGTTCCCGCACCTAAAAAAGTGGGGGAGGGACGCGCTATTTCCAGCTCCAAGATGACGGCATCCTCGTCTTTATAAAGAGACTTGTCTTTCTCTCGTGTACATCATTCAAACAGCTCCTGCGATGATGGCAATTGGTGTTTGGTCAATGGCCAGCGAAATGGCGAGGAATGGTGAGTAGGCGGTCCTGAGTAGGAGAGCTCCACCCTAGACTGCGGGGCCTCAGCCACAGGCTCCACATCTCCAGGCATCAGAGCCCCCAACCCTTGGACCATTGCCATTCTCGTTGACCGTCTGCCAGGCAGCTCTGCAGCACCGCCATGGAGCCTTGCCAAGTCTCTGTTAGACCATATTTGTCTGAATAGAGGTAAACAGTTAGGCTTTGTTTGTGCCCGCTCATCATCCTCCTTCTCCTTCTCCTCCTCCTCCGCCATCACCTTCCCCTCTCTCTGCCCTTGCAATTCTCTCGCTACCACGACTTTGGTCAGCCTTCTGTGATGCTCACTTCTCCTCTCTTTTCTCTTCATACACTCTCACATAACAAAACGGCCAACCCCAAGAGTCATCGTCGTCCCCTCAAGTCACCCAGTAGTGGTAATTCTACTTTTGATTGCCCAACTCGCCTCTTCCAGTGTTTGCTTGCTGCCACAAACGGGGCTCTTTGACGTCACATACATAAAGCCAACTCGCCCTCACTTGTGCCTGTTGCAGGCCGCGCTTCTATATCTCTACCGGTCCACCTGAAATCTGCGCAACCCACGAAACGCCGGCGTCTGACAGTCGCTACCAGACAAGCGGCACGGCACTGTGCCACAACCTCCCACAAACGTTCAAGTTGACGTCTCTTTCTCTCTCAATTCAATATGCCACGTAGGCAATTTCAGGCCGACCTCCAGAAGGCTGCCGATGGTCTCCACCTAGCTGCTGGCATCTCGCATGTGCGACCAGGCGCTGACGATGGCGAGTTCACCTTCACTTGTATGGCTGATGGCCAGCCGCTCAATGTCTCCGCTCTCGTTACAGATGTCTCTGAATATCCTTCGAGCCACACCTGCATGATCTTCGCAGGGGATAACGCCTCCGCAGGTGTTGCTGCCGCGCTCAATGATATCACCGATGCCGCTACAGCCAAGACGATACCTCAGATTCTCGAGCTTGTGTCTAGTAGACTTGAGTCGACTGATGGCGACGGTGATAGCCAGATGGTTGGTTCGCAAGAATTTGATGATTTCGAGGGTTACGAGGATGAAGACGAGGCCGAAGATGAAGAAGACTATTTTCCTGGTGACGACGATCTCCTACCCAAGCCTCCCATCTCACACATTTCAGAATCTGGTGAACCCTCTGTAGCGGCCACATCCGAATTCAAGCACCGTGTTCGGAATGACCTTTTAGTCGCCAAGAGTGAGGGTTTCAAGGTAGGACATCTAGGAGGTCTCATGGTGGGCCTGGGATGCTATGTATCCCTAGCCATTCGTATATCCAAGCTAGGCATCTCAGAAGAAGCTATGAAGGCATGGCAGGTTGAGCCTTCGGAGTACCTTGTCGCAATATGTCACTACCCGTTAGGGTACAAGAGCATGGATGACTACCGGTCCTATGATGCCCATCAAGCTCGCCGCAACTTTGGAGTCCGTATCGGTGTATCGACGACCTACAAGCCGACCATACAAGAGGCTGTTGCAGCGTTTTCTGTGGTGAACAAAGAGAAAGGGAATGAGCGAGAGGATTCCCAACAGGGTGAATCTCAAAATACCTTGCCTGCGCAGTCGAGCGGCTTCCGCAATTCCTTTGTTTCCAGGCCCTTGAATGAGCTATTTGAGCAACGATTCTCTATGCTCTTAAAATACCGGTACGGAGGAATGCCGTGGCAAGGTGCTGAACTGTTCTACAACGATGTGCTCTTGAACTCATCATACGGAGGGCATGACGCCACGGATGATAAATACTACGAGGACGAGCGTGTCAGCACTGCTTGGCCCAAGATTGTTACCGCCGATCACATCACCTCTTCGGTCGGCCAGCCGCATTCACTACCTCTGGTCAGCATGCAGTTTGTGCTAAGGCATTTCGTGCGGTGTACCGAGTTCTGCTTGATTTGTTTCAGCAAGATGTCGGACGACCTGCAAGCAATCAAGCCATACGTCTGCGACAACCCGCTGTGTCTGTATCAGTATATGTCACTGGGTTTTGGTCCAAGCATAGAGCACGAAATAACCTCTCAGCCCAAGGTCGTGGATTTATTGGTCAGCTTTTGCTATTCCAGCGCGCGCGCTGGAAGGCTAAAGGAATTTCCTACTGGTCTCAGTCTGGCTGTTCCGCCTCCCGTGTCCAATGAACAAGGAAGGTCTGTACATGATACTCCACCAGTAGCTGCGATGAGTATGCGGTTCAACGAGGCCAACCTAGAGATGCTTTTCGAAAAGTCTAGGGCGCCTTGCCCCGTAACGCCTGGCTCTTGGGTCGTCATTCGGGTGGATGAGGAAATCGATAAAGTCATGCACTGTCGAGTGATTGACACTTCACTTTATCCATCGGTGAAGGTATCCAAGCCTGTCATTGCAGCTATCGCTGACGCCTCGAACGATGAGTACATACACCCACATACGTTGCCATCATACAGAGATCAGGCCCCTCATCAGACTAGCAAGATATACTCAAAACCAGTCCAGAGAGATTACTTTCGGTCTGCCAGTTTCTATCTCTACGATCACAACTTTGATGATCTCAAAGATCACGAGAAGCAACAGACGATAATATCGCTGTTGCACGTGCTTCCGCCTGTCGAGGAGATGAGAAAATATCTGTTGCGCAAATCAGAGTCCCCTCTAAGTTCTTGGGTTGATCGCCTGCCCTCTGCTGCCCTTGGAGTCTTACGTTGGATTATTGCCTCAAACCGGGCTTGTATTCTGCAGGTGGATGAGGGAGATTCCCCGAGCGGCCGCAAAGCTGAAGGGCGACTCTATGGGATGGGCGGCTGGGCACAATTCCGTTTCGCAATGGGTGCGCCTGACAAGGAACGCCGCTTCATTGAGGCAGTACGGCAAACTAAAGAGAGGCTGCATCTTAAATACCCCACTATCTTTGCCTGGCATGGCAGTCCGCTCCACAATTGGCACAGCATCATTCGAGAAGGTCTTCATTTCAAGGAGACGCACCATGGACGAGCCTTTGGGCATGGAGTTTATCATGCCCCTAACGTAAATACAAGTTTAGGATACTCCAACATGCAGGTAGGCGCTTCGTGGCCGATGAGCGAACTCAAAATCCAGCAGGCATTGGCTCTGAACGAAATTGTAAATGCGCCAGGGGAGTATGTCAGCCAGAACCCACATTTGGTCGTCGCGCAACTCGATTGGATTCAGACTCGCTATCTCTTTGTAAGGAAACGTGCCGACGTCTCTAGTACCGCTGCACCTAATCCAGTCTCAAAACCACTAGAGTTTGTTGAACAAGATCCAAGTCGAACTCCTCTTGGCGTTGATGGACCGCTCATCATCCCAATACACGCTATTGCTGCATCTCGGCGGTACAAGCCGACTATCTATGGATTATCCAAGAGGCAGAAAGCTTCTGGGAAGCCTCGGTTTGATATAGAGGCTGCTTGCGAGGATGATGATACAGACAGCGTTGCAACTCTTGAAGAGGATCTCGTTATTTTCAATGAAGATAAGCATCAGAACGATAGCTTCAAGCCACAGTACTCTGAAGAGTCTATCCCTACGCCGAACTCGATCATGGACGGTAAAGGCAAGTCCAAGATGGCAGCGATTTCATCGTTCTCATCAAAGATCTTCGGCAAGTCAACTCAGAAGGTACCACAGAAGCCTCTTACCGACTACATCTCCGGCACTCTGGATTACTCAAGTCTTCCCATGATTGCGACTCCAGTATGGGCGACTACATCTGCCACCAAACGCCTGATGAAGGACTTTAGAGACATCATCTCTATTCAGAACAGGGAGCCGCTTCATGAACTAGGATGGCACATTGACGAAGATAAGATCGAAAACATCTACCAATGGATTGTGGAGCTCCATTCGTTCGACCCCAAGTTACCACTAGCGCAGGATATGAAGAAGAGGGACATCAAGAGCATTGTTCTGGAGTTGCGCTTTGGCAAGGATCATCCCATGAGTCCACCCTTCGTCCGGGTCATCCGCCCTCGCTTCCTTGGTTTCAATCAGGGTGGAGGTGGTCACGTCACTGCTGGTGGTGCCATGTGCATGGAACTTCTGACCAACGACGGCTGGAGTGCTGTTTCCTCTATCGAATCTGTTCTCCTTCAGGTCCGAATGGCCATCTGCAGTGTGGACCCAAAGCCAGCTCGTTTGGCGCCAGGTGGTCCGTCAGATTATTATGTTGGCGAAGCAGTCGAAGCGTACAAGCGGGCTTGCAATATCCATGGGTGGACCATTCCTCCGGGTTTCAATGAGACGGCGTCGGATGGTTCGGGTACAGCTAACCCATACTAAATGAGGCCGTTAGAGGAATGGCAGTGACAAAAACTACACAGTCATGATCTGGCTCTTATGAGAGGGGGAAACGGGTATAGGGTGTACAGCGCCTGAGCTGCGTCTTACGTAGCTTTTACCTTTTTCTTGTTTCTTACTTTTTTCTTCTTTCCACTAAGTTTTCAAAAAGGCGTCTAAGGGGATCAAGGTGCATTGGGCGGATAGGCATGGGACATGATACCTCATGAATAGCAATCAAAAACATAGCAATGAAAGCGTTCTCTTTTCCAAAGCCTCCTTGTATGAACAATGGTAAAGATCGATCTCTTTTGAACATTGGGTATCATTGAACCACCGCCAGGACTAAAAACTGAGACTATCTATCTACACGCTGCTGGCATTTGCCTCGGCCTTTTTTTTCTTCATTGGGTAGGCATGACAAGAGAACGACTGCTTTAAATACAGCAGGTACTCTTCTATAAAGACTCCAACCAGCTTCCAGCAAGCCACATACCCGCACAGCCAACCAAAGCCGCCGCACCATACGCCTGCTTATTCCACCCTTGCTCCTTATCCACTTTCCACGCGCCTTCTCTCCGCACGCTCTCCACCACGGGTTGCTGCTGCGAACTCGCATTCTCCACCACACTCTGCTCATGCGCCTTAGCCAGCTTGGTCGCACGACCACTTCCCGCCTCGCTTACCCAACCCGTCTCGTTCCTGCCCTCAACCTCCACATTCTGGACATTGCCAAAGAAATCCATAACCTTCCTGTTCCTGGCTTCCTGCTCGCCGCCCGCAAAAAGATCGTAGCGAATGCCCGGGCGACTGTGAATTTTCTCCTCATCGTAGCTGTCGAAGAGCTCGCCCATTGTGAGTTTGCTGGTGGGGTCTTTGACTTTTGTTTCGAGGAACTCGAGGTTGTAGTAGGTGTAGCGGTCGATGACTGCGACGCCGACGTCGTTGTCGGCGTGGTGCGAGTAGGAGGACTGGTCGATTTCTGAGGAGCCTGTGGCCAGGATATTGGGGGAGTAGAATTTCGAGTACATGGTGTTTGCTTGGCAGGTATCGATCATGAAGAGGATTTCATGGTAGCTAAAGGTAACATGTTGAGTTAGTATGTGTATTTGCGCTGTTCGAGATGTGGGTGAGGGGGGACTTACCGTTTCTTCTCCCACATCTGGCCAAAGGCGTCGGCGAGATCAAAGGCACTGATTTCTTCTGCGTCTTGGAATTTCAGGAATTCATTGCCCCCATGGCCGGTCATGTATACAAGGATGTTGCTTCGCTCGTCCGTCATTAGTCGCTTACTACGAGGCATATCTTCGCCCACACGGTCCGTCATGAGGCGAATGAAGTTCTCGACTGTGACTTCATAGCCTCTGTAGTCCACCTCGATGTTGTCGCCGTAGAGGTCGAGCGCGCGGTCGGCGTTGTTATACACGGTTCCGGGGAAGGCGTTGCGCGGGTTGCACGCCATGTCATCGGGGAGCATGAGAATGATTTGCGAGTCGGGGATTCCAAGTCGCTTTACTGTGCGGTAGAGAGACAGGACATTGGCCAAATGGCGGTAGTTGAACCAGAAGCGTGAGGTCGATACTAGGACCGCCCAGTTGGATGTGTGTTCGCTGGCGGCAAAGGGCGCCGCCAGCAATGGTAGAAGTATCGTGGACAACTTCATCGTCAATATGGAGTGTATTGAGACGAAAGGAAAGTCGAGCTGGGGTTAGAGTTGTGCGGGCCGCGACGCGCTCCAGACCCTGGGGGCGAGTTCACGATGTTCCCCCAGCCTGGTGTTTGATTGGGGACGTCTAACATCTGACAAATCGGAGATAAGCAGCGTTCTTAGATCCGGCGTCCCCGTCACGTGGCTGATCGTCTAAAGCTAGCCAGGTCAAACCAGGTCAAACCGGGGACTGTGCATCATCCCGTGCACATGCACCGAGCACGCCATTACCAATGACAAGATGATCCCGTAATCTTCCTATCAGGTGGATCGTCTTCCGCCCCTCTCTCGATCCGCCTTTCTTTTCCTTTATAAACCAAGTACTCGCCTCTGCCGTCGCGCTGGCTGAGTCAATCCAGCTTCAGGATTTGGAAAGCATGGCGCCGGACCGAGGCTATACAGAACTGCAGAATGAAAGAGCTGGAGATGGTGAAGAGACGGAACACGCGGCGTTGAGACGTAGTGGAACGGGGACTCGCAGTTACTTGGCTGAGCGGGCATCGCAGCCGCAGAACTTCACGCTCCGTGGTATTTTGGTTGGCTTGGCGATCGGAATCGTCATTTGCTTCTCCAATATGTATTTTGGGTTGCAAACAGGTTGGGTGAGTGGCATGGCCATGCCTTCGGCGCTGATTGGGTTTGCGTACTTCAAGGTTGTTGCGAAGACGCTTAAGTTGCCGTTTACACCAGTCGAGAATGTCTTGATTCAGTCAGTCGCGGGATCAGTTGGTACCATGCCCCTAGGATGCGGATTCGTGGGTGTCATTCCGGCATTGAACTACCTGTTGAAACCAGAAGAGAACGGACCCCTGGATATTAGTCTCTGGAAGTTAATTGTTTGGGCCGTCGGAATCTGCTTTTTTGGTGTGGTCTTTGCGGTTCCGCTTCGGAAGGAAGTGATTATCCGGGAGAAGCTCAAGTTTCCGAGTGGAACTGCTACTGCGCTGCTTATCAGGGTGCTTCATGGGGACAAGGAATCCAAAGAGGTAGTAACTCGCGAGCAAGAGCTTTCCGATGACGAAGAAGCGTCTCAGGGACTTTTGCAGGGATCGAGTGCCCAGCGAGAAGAGCATGACCTGCGACCATCTTTGGACAACCCGAAAATCACAGGACAGGAGCCTGAAGAGGATGGAGATGATGGAGACTGGAAATCCAAGATAAGGCTACTGTTAATCTCGTTTGCTGGATCTGCCTTGTTCACCGTTGTGTCCTACTTCATCCCACAACTGCACGATATTCCTATTTTTGGCCTTTCCCTAGCACAGAATTGGCTTTGGACATTAAACCCTTCACCAGCTTATGTTGGACAAGGCATCATCATGGGTCCGGCTACGACACTACATATGCTCCTCGGTGCCATCATTGGCTGGGGTGTCCTCTCACCACTTGCAAAGCACAAGGGATGGGCTCCAGGACCTGTTTCTGACTGGACAAACGGCTCCAAGGGTTGGATTGTATGGATATCACTTGCCATCATGCTGGCAGACTCCCTTGTCAGCTTAGGATGGCTGCTTCTACGGCCACTCGTCACGTTTTCCACAGCATATTACCCGACTGCCAAAGAGATTTTTCAGTCGCATACCTGGAAGGAGATTCTCACGTTCAACATTACGCCCAGGCAAGGATACACACAGGTTGGCGATGGGACGGCAGAGACTCCGTTGATATCTATCAAAAAGCACTTTGCTGCTGATTCAGACCCAGATGCACCCCCTGAGCATCTCGTATCGAACCGCACCACCATTATCGGACTCGTCGTCTCGCTAGTCCTATGTGTCATTGCAGTTCACGTGACGTTCCCCGGCTTGATCCCCTTCCGCCTAACGCTTCTATCACTGGTCCTCGCGCTCTTCCTTTCCATAATGGGCGTCCGCGCACTAGGCGAAACAGATCTCAACCCCGTCTCCGGCATCTCCAAGCTCACGCAACTCGTCTTCGCACTTGTCACGCCAACGACAGGGCCAGCTGCCAAGAACGCAGTCATTATCAATCTCGTGGCTGGTGCAGTGTCCGAGTCTGCAGCACTACAAGCGGGAGATTTGTTGCAGGATCTCAAGTGTGGGCATATACTGGGAGCGGCACCGAATGCACAGTTTTGGGGTCAGATGATTGGATCGGCAGTTGGTGCGGTGGTGTCGGCGATTGTGTACAAATTGTATACGAATGTTTATACCATTCCTGGTGGGTTGTTCGAGGTACCAACGGGTTATGTGTGGGTCTTTACCGCACGACTGGTGACAGGAAAGGGTCTGCCACCTATGGTCAAGGAATGGGCGAGCGGAGCGGCTGTCATCTTTGCTGTCAGTACGGTAATCAGGGTCTGGGGCAACACTCGAAAGCGGAACGGCTTGAGTGGATGGTGGATTGACTTTGTGCCTGGCGGAATTGCTGTTGCTGTTGGTAAGTGCTCTTTCGCTTCTTTCTTGTCATATGTTCGGCTTTGCTAACATCACGGTTCAGGTATGTATAACACGCCTTCGTTCACGCTGGCACGCACAGTTGGGGGTCTGATAAGTCTTTGGTGGCGGCGCTGGAAGGGCAGAAACGAAACTCCTATTATTGTACTTGCGAGTGGTCTGATTTTGGGCGAGGGATTACTCAGTATCGTGAACCTCTTACTGGCCAGTTTGAATGTGCCGCATCTCTAGAGTGGCCTACTAGCAATTAAGTCTTCTATTGTCTGTATACTGTTCAACATGCGTATTTTGACGGTTCGCCACGTTATCCAAGTCGGATATCCACCTCCTCCGTTTCTGCAGCTTCCCAGTCTTCTTTCCAAATCTGTCCTATCGCCTTTCGGTATGCAATGCCGTTGTCCCACTCAATCCACAGCACGTCGTAACACCTAAACTGCCAATTCGATGCTGGTTCGTAAATCCCATCATAGTAGTGATTCAAATCCGAAAAGCATTTTATAGAACAGCCTCCACTATCGATGTACTGGCCACCTGGACTTCGAACACAAGCATGCTTCGAGCATACTGGAACACTAACACCTATGCAAATGAGTTCCACATTATCTTGGGGTAGGTCGTGTGAGTAGAAAGATAGGCCGAGGTCCAGAGTACCAATCATCTGGCCTTTAGACCCCAGTATAAGAGCCGTATCGTTGCTGAAGCCATTGCAGTCGCGCTCTGCTAGACATGTGATGAGCCGGCGAGTACGGACTTCGATGACGGTGGAGTACATATGATTAGGCCTTGATTTAAGGGTTTCTTCATCCACGACGTCCTCGGACAATGGCTTTCCGCTTAGGACCGTTGATGCCAGACCGCGAGACTCATAATAGTACAGATCACGTATGAGCTCTCGCTGTTCTGACTGCAAACTGATAGGGAGTTTGTAGAGTTCTGTAATGCGAGGGTATGCGAGACGGTCCGGGGAGGCACGCATTCTGATACTGCTGGCTTCACTGGCGAGACACATGTCGATTGGGCCGAACCAGCCAACCCATGACCAGGAAGGGAACTGCTTCAGAATATTGCCGTCGCGATCGACCCGTCTTTGGTGTCGCGAGTCCATGTCGTGGTGCCAGCATAGCATGTTATTGAAGAAGAGTTCTGGAAGGCCATGTAGCATCCCACCTTTCATGGCTCGACTTTGCACTGTGATAAATGCATTGAATGCCGCTAAGACGTCTGCTGAATTAGACAGATTTCTCCTGCTATATTGGTCTACCTGAAGGCAGTAATATACAGGACCGGGTTGTTTTGTCCACAAAGTCAAGGGTAATCTTTCCGGCAGCTGGTTTGGGGCGTGTCCGTTCTCCTGCTGTTTATATTTCTGACATATCCATGTCACAGTCTGTTCATGGAATACAATCATACGCGACGAAAAATTCCATTCTTGGAATGTCCATCCTCGAGTATGATAGACTTCGCGAGCGGTTTTCTTTACCGGTGCAGCTGCAACCATGCGACAACTGGGACCGAACTCGAAGACTTCGAACGGTGATTTTCTCAAGCGTTGCTTCTCAAGTCCCTGAAGCCCATAATTACTGTCTGAGCCCTCAGTGGCTGCGATAGTGAAGTACGCATTGGCGTATATTGCGGCCATTGAATTTAGCTGATGTGGTTTTGCAATTTCATCGTCCTGTACTATACAAAATCGATCGACCCATAAGTACCGAATACCTAAAGTACGAACGAGGAGGATACTGTCCTTAATGGTGTTGGGAATTCGACAATCGTTCTCAGATGATTCGAATGCATTTTTCGTGCTTAAGAAATCAAAGTTTGCTTTTAATGTTTGGAAAGGATCCTTGGTGGTACCCCAAACGTAACTCAAGGCGACGTATCGATCCATGTATGCATTCTTGGGTTGCTTTACCAGACAAAGCTTCTCGACGTCGATAAACAGTAATCCTGTGGCTTCTGGTATCTTATCCATGGGATTCGTGATGGTGTGGCACTTCCCGGTGTGGTCGCGATCGCATCGGCCAATCCATCTCTTGATACCCGCAATATCGATGTTGTTCTTAAGCGGAGAGAACCCAATTTCGTTTGAAGCACCTGAGTAAGCTCTCATTTCAACATGAATGAAAGGTTTCCCCCAGGAGCAATCATCGTTGCGATCCCGCAAACGCACCATCCAATAATCATCCCAGGACCTCACATACCCGAGCTTATCGTGCAAATCAATTCTTGGTGCCTCCTGCTTGAAACGCTTTACGACTCTTTGGCACGTATCACACCCGTAATTTTGTTCCACTTTGGCAAACTCCCACACAAGCTCCTCATGATCTCCTGAGGCTCTTTCAATCGCTTTCGCCACTAAATCACACAGCTCACACCGAATCATTCTCAACTATGACCTGAATCAGATTATCGTATGGTGCGGGGTGATTACTCAATGTCTGAGCAATATCTAAGTGTTTTCAGTCGGGGTACTTCAGGCTGGGGCAGTTGTCTCGTCGATTTAATTAGTAGATTATTGTCGAATGATGAGGATTAAAACTCCAATACCAACAAAATAGCATGAGCCAGGCAGAAGCATAGCCTAGACAGAGGGGCGCATAGATTGCGCCGCACCCATGTAGCCCCGTGACATGACATGCAATCCTGCGAAAACCACCACATATGATTGTGGATCCATCAGTCAATCAAATACCAATCGGGAAGCGAGGTGGGGCAACATTTGTACATGCTTGAGCCTTGTTTTCCACCAAAGTGGCAGGATTTCACATGGCGATCGACATAGAAGCTCTATGTATGGAAATTTTGCATTGACGTTTTTGGGGGGCACTGTGTGTTGAATGTTGGCCCGATTGTGACCATAACTGCGCCGACAGGCAACAGGGGTTTTTGTTTTCGTCCGATTTGCAACCCCCTGCAAAATCAAAAATGGCTAGGCTTCTTACATTGAAAATATCAATAGGCCTTTGGTTAAATATTGATGGTCGCTTCTTTGGTGTAGAAAACCATGTCGATTGCGATAGATTACTTGGTTCGAGAAATGTAATGCGCTGGCCACTTTGAGAAGGTGCGACCACTTAGAAAGCTGTAAATCGGTATGAACAGCAAGTTTTGCGGAAGACAGAAACCTCGAGTATGTTGAGTAGATTGAGACAGAGGTGGAGTTGCAAATTGATGTTAAGAAGGAAAGGAAGCAATACCTAAGTAGTTTGTTCAATACATGGTTGCTAAATCGGCGCTAAACAGATCATTGCACTTGCCGGCGCAAGTACCCCAGAAACCCCATAAAAAAAGCGTTCCAGACCTTAGCGACGGAAACAATAAGAGATGAGTATAGATCTGCTCATGCACATCACTCACAATATTAAAACGAATCAGTTTCAATCAGGTATCATTTGTCGATTGGACGACCATGAGCAGTAAGATCATTTAGTCCTGGATGCGGGGATAGCACCGTCCGCGGGCTTGACGGACGTCATTTCTGGCACACAACCGTCACACCCAAGGCTGACCGTGCATGCGCCATTCACTCGTTTGTAAGATAATCCCACTGGCTTGTGAGGGGAAGCAAGAAAATTCACCCAATCATCTTGTATTTGAGTGAGGAACATCAGCCATGACGTCTTCTGGTCGATGAGCCGAAGGTATGGGGCCATCACTGTTTAAGCAATAGCGGAGATGAATGCAGATGCGGTCAAGTTTCGTTCTTTGTATAATGCCTACCTATTCAATCTTTGATTCTTGTTGTAACACTGTCATCAAAACTCCCAGTTTTGAGAAGTATTCGACCTGTGCATCTCCTTCTGTTGACTATTTTTGTCCATTATGACTACTCGGGGACCAAGTGCTCCGGGTCTTTTGATCACCCGTGATTGGGTAGACTATCATTCAGACCATCATCTGAAAAGCATCATTTCCGGAAATAGTGAGTAACCGTCGAAGAATGTCTAGAGTTGCATTTAATTATATTAACCCGTCTTCAGGTGCTGCACCTTTGACTCAAACACACAGTCAACAATCCGAATATTCACCAGATTCAGAACTCTCGCCTCACCGAACATCATCGAGCAACCAGCGGAAACGATCGGTACTTGGCTTACACCCCCAAGCACCCGTTGACGGGGAGCACGTCGAAGCCCCCCAATCGAGTCTGCTATGGTCGCGAATAAGGATTGTTATGAGAGAGCCATTTGCAGAGTTCTGGGGTACTGCTGTGATGGTGATGTTTGGCAATGGCTCAGTTGCACAGGTTCTACTCTCAGCTGGACAGACGGCTGCTCCAGGGGGTAATGGTTTCGGAGCATATCAATCAATAAACTGGGGGTAAGCTGAATGGTTCCTCTGTGGCTCTTGGTGCAAATCTCTGACCCACAACAGTTGGGGTTTAGGCGCAATGCTTGGGCTGTACGTGGCAGGTGACTCTGGCGCCTATCTCAATCCTGCAATTACATTGAGTAACTGCATTTATCGCCAGCTACCATGGCGGCGGTTCCCAATGTACTTTGTCGCACAGATACTCGGAGGCTTCGTCGGATCTGGTGTTGTGTATGTAAACTACATCAGCGCCATTGACTGGTTTGAAGGCGGAAAAATGCGGACAGTTCCTCCTGCGGAAAATGCCACTGCAGCTATTTTCTGCACCTACCCGCAACCATTCTTGACTAAGACAAGTCAGTTCTTCTCGGAATTCATCGCAAGCACGTTACTCATGTTTGTGATATTTGCGCTGAAAGATCCCAGCAACAACGGTGTACCTAAGGTATGTGGACAGATTTGATAATGGCCAAAAGTGCTGACAAAACCTGCAGAGCGACAAGTGGTTCCCGCTATGTTTGTTTTTCCTCATCTTTGGCCTAGGCTCTTGTTTTGGTTGGCAGACTGGTTATGCCATCAACATTGCTCGCGACTTTAGCCCAAGACTGATGTCCTATGCTGTTGGATATGGCCATGAGGTTTGGTCTGCGGGTGGATATTACTTCTGGGTGAGCATCTCTTCATAGCCTGAGCAGCGACGTTACTGATTCCCAATCAGATCCCCATGGTAGCGCCCTTCCTTGGCTGCGCGTTCGGGGGATTCTTGTATGATATCTTCATATACACAGGCCCCAGTCCCATTAATTCTCCCTGGCTAGGCTTGAAGCTGCTCATGCCTTCGAATGCGATGCGCGTAAGAAGAGAGCACCTGAAGAGAGAGAAGAAGGAAGGGATTGTGTGATATGCCGCTGTATCAGTCGTTTGGAGGGATCATTGTTTCCAAGACCGTTCATGTTTGATGTGATTCGCATGTAAGCATATAAGAGACTTGCTGCTGTGGCTGGAAATAGAAAGAGCTCAATGAGGTGCTTAGTCACTTACGCGTGTGGGTGTGGCGTGACGACATTGCCCCGCAGGGCTGCTGCAGGCTGCTGTAACTCACCAAATTTTGACTCATGTTGTAATCGCTTCCGTCCCAAACTCTTTCGGCTGAACATACACTACCCTCTCATAACCAGCGAGCACATTAATAGCATTACATCAAAATGGCAAAGAAGGGCGGCGCCGGCGCCGGCGAGAACTCGAAGAAGGCACAAGGGCAGGCTCGCAAGGCAGAGGCCGCGGCATCAAAACAGGCAGCAAAGAACCAGCAGGCGGAGAGGGAAGAAGCGGAAGATTGGAAGAAGGGCGCAAAGTCCAATGCGAAGGCGTAGGTGGGCTTGCATCTCTGTGCAACTGTAGACTAACATATGACAGTGAGGCCGCAGCAGAAAAGGCTGCAGAAGCAGCACGTAAGAAGGCCGAGAAGGAGGCATTGCTGCGCGAAGAAGAAGCATCAATGCCATCGAAGCCCAAAGGAAAAGCACCAAAAGCCGAGAAGAAACCCCGCGGCATCGATGCAGCCCTGGGCTCCCTGGACGGAAAGCCATCCGCCCTCAACGCCAGCGGTATCGACAATGCGCTCGATGCTCTAGATATCACAGGCAACACGCAAGAAAAAATTGACCGGCACCCCGAGAGGCGATTCAAGGCTGCATTAGCCGCATATGAGGAAGACAGACTTGCCGAAATGAAGGACGACAAGACCTTGCGTCGACAACAGAAGATTGAGATAATACGAAAGGAGTTCGAAAAGCATCCGGACAACCCGTTCAGACAGGTTACTGGAGCATACAATATGACAAAGGAAGATAGGGCTGCGATCCAAGAAGAAGAAAGGGCCAAGAAGGAAAAGAGATTAGCAGGCGTCAACTAAGGTAGACGCGGCTTCCGACACAGCGTGCGCAGTTGTGCAGAGCATCCATATTACGGGAGGCCTTCAGGCTTGATGTGGGGTGATGCCGTGATGAGGGAGTACTGCGGAGGCCAAGGCATAATTATAGGAGTGTTGCCGAATTGCTGTGTGATGGAGGACCGGCCCTTGCCGCTTGGTTTAATCTCGTCGGTTGCTTTTTGCTTGTGTGATCTTCACATGCTAGGCGCCATGCATCTCCACCACAGGAATGCTGAGTTATGCGCGTGTATCTGGGGCAGGAAGAGTTGGTTGTGGTCGCCCTCGCAAGCGCTTCACGTACAAACATGGCAAGCGACGAAGCTAAACTTAGCAGCCATACAATAACTAATGTACAACAATAACTGTGGATACAGTACGATCAACTCTTCCAAACAATGAAGGACTAGGCGCAGTGAAGACGAGTGGACGCACAGGCAAGAGGCCCCAGGTATGAAACAGCCTGGCTAGTGAGTGATTGGCTGGGGGGCCATGCGTTCCTGAGTTTCGAAACGCCCGCCTACACCACCCCTGCCACCTGCATATGCGCTCTCCTTGTTCAGCGTGGCTTGATTCGAGTCAGCCCAATTCTCTACATAATCCCAAGCCCCTTCACTGTACTAGGTTTTGCTCTTCACTCACGCAAACTGTTTGCTCAGTACACAGTCGTTACTTTGTTTCCGCCTTTTTCGTTTCCTTGTTTCTTTTCTTCCCACCCTTTTACATTCGTTTCTGAGTAAGCATGAAGTTCTTCTCAACCACTGGAGCTGTGCTCTTGGCTGCTTTTGCGGCAAAAACCGCGAACGGTATTGAATTTGATCCTGAGGACGAAGGTGAGACAGCATTTGAACATGGTCCGTTCATTCCTTACAGGCTAACTTAATCAGCGTCCATCCTTGCCGTCACCCGACAATATGCGTACAGCTTGATGTCGCTCTACAAAGGCAATGCTACAGGTCTTCCAAAGCAAGATATCGGCATTTGGCCACAGCCCCATTACTGGTGGGAGGGTGGTGCCGCGTGGGGAGGTGTGATTGAATACAGCGAGATCAGCGGCGACGATTCGCATGTCAAGGCGCTCCAGCAAGCATTGACTGCCAATTACGGACCCAAGAACGACTTCATCTTGGACTATCGCAGGAGCCAGACGGTAGGGAAAATTGTGGAGTTATCTGATCGCAAAAGCTGACTGTATGTCCCAGGGCAGCGACGATGAATGTTTTTGGGCAATCGCCGCTATGAGTGCACTCGAGTATCAGTTCCCAGAGCCTTCACAAGCACCTGCAGACTATCTTGAAGTTGCCACTAGCTCATTCAACAGCATTGTTGGACGGTGGAATGATACCACCTGCGGTGGCGGCCTGAAGTGGCAGATCTATCCCGAAAACACCTATGGATACTACTACAAGAACGCAATCTCCAATGGCTGCGCCTTTGGGCTTGGTGCACGTCTTGCCCGCTACACGGGCGAGCAAAAGTATGCGGATTGGTCTGCGAAGATATATGACTGGACCGAGAGCGTCGGCCTCATCACCGACCAATTTGAAGTGTTTGACGGAACCGACGACAAGACCAACTGCTCCAAGGTAGCGGATGAGACCCAGTGGACTTACAACAACGCCATGTTTCTTCATGGATCAGCATACATGTACGACTTCACCAATGGAGACAAGCTCTGGCAAGACCGCACAGCCGGTTTCCTCAAACATGCTGAGGCACTCTTCTTTGGCCCTTACGAGAATGCCACCGACATCATGTACGAGTGGGCATGTGAGACGGGCGAGTCCGGAAGGCACTGCAACCTTGACCAACAGTCTTTCAAGGCTTATCTCTCTCGCTTTATGGCCAAGACTGCATTGTTGGCTCCCTTCACCAAAGACTCCATTAAGAAGTATCTCACAGCCTCTGCGGTTGGCGCTGCAAAGTCTTGCTCTGGAGGCCCAGATGGAAAGACTTGCGGCAGCAAGTGGTACACAGGAGGCTGGGACGGTACTTCTGGTGTAGGCCAGCAGCTGTCTGCACTTGAGGTCACCCAGGCGCTTCTGCAGATCAAGAAGAACCTGCTTCCCGCGAAGAAGAACGCCGCAAAGCCCCCCACGAACTCTACGCCAACTCCCACGCCAACTCCACAGCCTACTCCTGAACCTACTCCTGAACCTACTTCTGAACCTATCCCCGAACCTACTCCTCAACCCACTCTTGAATCTAAACCAGAGCAAGCGCCAACGCCTGAAGCGCCATCAAGTGCGCCGCTTGCTTCGCCAAGTAAGAGTCCCCTGAGTGAAACAGTGGCAGGACAGGTACCAGAAGCGGTGCAGTCTGAGAGGCCCCAGGCAATTGAGGCTCCAGCCCCAGCCTCCGACGTACCAGCGCCCGTCATTACCCCAAGCCCCACGGCTTCCAGCGCGGCTCCCATCGTCCCTAACAACCCTAGTCTTGAGTTCGATGAGACCAAGTCTTCTTCGTCATGTGCGCCCAATGTCACCAAGACTATTACTGTTGCGGCGTCTTCTTCCTTTTCTACCTCTAGCTGCACGCCTAGCGTGACAGTGACTATTACAGTTCCATTCGTGCCGACCGCATCCGTTCCTCTAAACTTGACGACTTCGAGCGCAGTGTCGCCGCCTGCGGGCAACAACACAGCCAGCCCGACGTTGCCAGTGTTCGAGGGCGCTGGTTCAGTCTACACTGTCAGCGGTTCAGTCTTGGCAATGTTTGTGGCTGTGGCTGTCTTTGTCGGGTTGTAGGTGTACATATGCATGCTGGCTGTGCCTTCTATGTCCATCTTATTCGATATTATGTATATACCCTTCTTGATTAGAGACTTTTATATCCTAGAGTCTAGTTGCCAAACCCTTCAATACAAACAAATCTTACACTGGGTTATTCTGTGCCTGTTTTTGATTCTCTATTCCGATTGCTTGATGACTGTGCAATGCACATTTTCTTTCATGGTGTCGTCGTTGGGGGGGCGATGGTGCAGGTGTGGAGCGAGTCTAGGCCTGCGGTTGCCCATGGGCGTGGTTAGCACTTGGAGTGCAGGCGAGCAGCCACTGCCCCACCATGAAGAAGCGGCAAGCTGCGCAGGCGAAGCGGCAATGACATAACAAATCTAGCCCGCTACCCCGGTCCACCTGCACTCCCTCCACATACCCGGCCTCAACAACGAGAATAGCGTCCCAAGGCGGCTTCGGCTGGGCTTTATCCTTCCAGCGCAACGCTCCACTAATACTCTCGCTGCTCGGCACTCGGCTATCTCCTATCTCAGGATCCGCTCAAGCCCGGAGCTCAACTGTGGCCTGATGTTCATTTCCTCGCACGCGACAATTCACGGAGACACAGAGAAAGTACTAGAAGGTAAAAAAGTGCTTGCAACACCATGGCAGTTCTCACAACCACATGCTGACCCATGCAAAGTCTATCGCTACTCACACACACTTGCACCAACTCCATCAGCGACCCCGCGCCCCAGTGAGCACACTGCCCGACTGCCCACAAAAGTCACCCCCTCCATCGCCATCGGACCCTAAGATTACGACGTACCCGCAGCCATAGGGGGCCATATCCATTTCGTCCTCGCCACGGCGAACACTGCTACCCTCTTAGTTTTTGGCGTCATACTAGTGGTCTAGACAGCCGTCATGGCGAACGAAAAGAGAGATGCAAAAGGCAAGAAGCTCGCCGTCATGAACAAGTATGTCTACGATGCCTTTTTGTGGACATTCTCGATTCTCGTCGAGCTCTTCTTCCGAGAAGTCCATCCCAGGAGTAGCTGGAAGGTGCCAAAAGAAGGCCCTGTCATTTTCGTGTGCGCCCCGCATGCAAATCAGGTACGACACTGACAAATGGGGTTTTTCGCAAAGCAGAAGCTGACAGCCGGCAGTTCGTAGACCCCCTCATGTTGATGCGAGTTGTGAAGAAGGAGTCGGACCGCCGTATACAGTTTCTGATCGCCGAGAAGTCCATGAAACGCAAGTTCGTTGGCGCAATGGCTAGCTTGACGGGTGTTGTGCCCGTGGGACGAGCTATGGACATGACCAAGCCAGCAAAGGGCAAAATCTATCTTCCAGATCCCATAAATGACCCCACGCTCGTTCGAGGTGTAGATACAAACTTTGAAGACAAGCAGTTCCAGGTTGGCGGTTCGCTCGTTCTGCCAAAAGTAGATAACAAGGCAGCAACTGCAGAGATTCTCGAGATCAAGGGTCCGGAAGAGATCCGGCTGAAGCGTCCCTTTAAAGGGGGTGTCGCAATGCAGCAACTGACCGGACGCAACGACATGACCAAAGACGGCACATTTGTTGACGGAGCCGACGCGAAAAAGGGAATTGCTGATGGCTACGAAGGAACATCGTTTCAGGTTGCGCCCAAACTCGATCAAACCGAGGTCTACGACGCTGTACATGCGGTTCTGCATCACGGCGGAAGCATTGGTATCTTTCCGGAGGGTGGTAGCCATGACCGTACTGATCTTCTGCCTCTGAAAGGTCAGTTGCTCCCATATGGAAACTCGGCAATAACTAACAATTCCCAGCTGGTGTTGCCATCATGGCTCTTGGCACAGTCGCAACCAAGCCGGACTGCAATCTCAACATCATTCCCGTTGGTATGAATTACTTTCACGCTCACAAGTTTCGCTCAAGGGCTGTTATCGAGTTTGGCACACCAATCCACGTCCCACCAGAGCTTGCCAAGAAGTTTGACGGGCCCGGAAGACGAGAAGCAATTGGCGAGATGCTTGAGACTATTCGACAGGGCCTTATTGGCGTTACCGTTACGACACCTGACTACGATACACTAATGGTATGTGGTTCAACCGAATACTTTTCGTCCTTCACTGACACTTGTTGGCAGGTCATCCAAGCCGTCCGTCGTCTTTACAACTCAAAGGGAACGAAACTGCCATTGCCCAGGGTTGTCGAGTTGAACCGACGTCTTGTCCAAGGATATGAGCGCTACAAGGATGACCCTCGTGTCGTGGAACTCAAGAAAGAGGTCACAACATACAACAGAAAACTCAAAGCGCTTGGCCTCCGGGACCACCAAGTCCAGTACGCAAAGATGCATCCGATCAAAGCCGCAGGTCTCTTCATCTACCGCCTTGCAAAGCTCATTTTCTTGAGTTTGCTCGTCCTTCCTGGAACAATACTCTTCAGTTTGGTTTTCATTGTTACCAAGGTTGTCTCTGTGAAGAAAGCAAAAGAGGCGCTTGCTGCTTCAAATGTCAAGGTTCAAGCTAGAGACGTCATGGCTACGTGGAAGCTTCTTGTTGCCATGGCGGCCGCACCAGCCTCTTATGCATGGTATGTATGTCTCGGGCTCTATTGGTACTCGTACAACAACTGTAACGGATACCTTCCCGCTGGTATTCCAAAGCGCTGGCTCATTCTCCCACAACTTGTTGTATACATCACGGTCACGTATGGCGCTCTCCGTTTCGGTGAAGTCGCCATGGACATTCTCAAATCTCTTGGGCCACTCTGGAAGATGATGAACCCCTTTTCGAATAGTGAACTCGTCAAGCTCCAGGAGCGCCGCGAGAATCTTGCCAAACAGGTCAACGATCTCATCAACGAACTTGGCCCAGAGATGTATGACGACTTCCACTCGAAGCGCATCATTGAAGACCCCTTTATCCGAGGAGACAAGAACGAGCGTCCTCGTACCCCGCCAATTAAGTCTGATGAAGACGCTCGGATAGAGGCTGGCCAGGATATCGAAACGTACGACTACCCCGCCTCACCGGGTTCCATGAATGAAATACCGCGCAACGAATCTTTCCACGACCTGGCAAATCAGGATTTCTTTTCTAGTCGGCCGCAGACGCCCAAGAAGAGCCATAGTAGGAGTAATAGTAGCATGAATCTGGGCGGATTCCAGCTCAAGCCATTTAGCACTATTGATGGAAACATTGAAGAGGTGAAGAGGAGGCTCACGGATGGTGTCAAAGTAAGGAGAGGAAAGAGACGAAGCAGTGGAGAGGGAAGCTATGATGATGGTGATGATGAGGAGCCGCTTATGATGGGCCAGAAGGGACGGTCGTTTACGAAGTAAGGCGGAAGGGATGGTATTGCTAGGGAGAATAATAGCGGAGGGAAAATGGTTTGGGTGTTTGTCGCGCATTCTTACAGAAGATACCACTTTTTCTTATTCTTCCTTTTTTGGTTGAGAATATACTCTGGATTGCAATGGTCTTGATTAGAAGGTTGCTTGTATTTGTGTACATGTGTATGATTTTTTTCGTTTTGCTCTACGATGCTAATGCCATGCTACGCTCTTTACAGGAAGAAGAAAGAATAATAATAGTAATACTACGATGCTGAATACGTGCTTTCCAAATCGTTCGCTTGTCACATTTCAATAAAAAAACAACTATGCCGTGAACAAAAACGAAACAGCGAAAAGAAAAAGTACAAATGTGGAGAAGAGAAAAGAAAGGAGAAAAGAAGCAAACCCACGGGTATCAACATATCAACCCCCACCCCCACCCCTCAGCCATGACCGAACAAATTCCCCAATACGTACCCATATATTTCCGCAGCATTGCAAATCCCAATCGACGTTTTTCTTTCCATGGCAGCTACAAACACCCCCAAACCAAAAGACCGAAGAGAGAAAGAGGAGGAGAAAGACTCACTAAAACCCAATGCGGATCTCTACCCAACAACAGCCTTTTGACTCAGTTTCTCCAAGAACCCACTGAGATCCTCCTTCTTAATCTCAATCACACACGCTTCAAAGCTATCCATGCGGACTCGCGCCCCGGTCTCGCGGACAACTTCCTGGAACGCATTGCCAAAGCGATTTTTGCCGCCCTTTCGCTCATCTTCCTCGTCTTCTGAATCGGTGTCAGAGGAGGAATCCGAATCCGAAGCTTCAGACTCGGTCTCGTCTTCGACTTCATCTTCTTCCAGACCCGCAGCGAGGTTGCGTGCACGCCGCGCTTCCCGGCGCATTGCGCGTTCGCGCTCTTTGATCGCCGCCTTCTCCTGCTTCGCCACAGCGCGGGCTTCTCGTTTTTGAAGCCGCGACTTGGCCGATTGCGTGGTCCCGCCGCTACCACCGAGACCGACAACGACGTAGAGACCGCGCGAGTCGTCGAGACCCGCCATGACGAGTTCGCTTCCCTTGGATTTTCCCTTTGTGCCGTTTAGCTCGACAATGGCTTCGGCGATCCAGAGGGCGAGTTTGGTGAGGGCGCCGGGGTGAGTGAAGAGGTGGACGTCTGGACCTTCTTTTACAACGGCCATGCGGAAGGCGCGGAGGTGGCGGATTTGGCGTTTCTCGATGAGGGCGGTGCCGGTGCGAAGGATGGCGCGGTGGAGGTGCTGGGCTGTAGTGATGTGCTCAACGAGGAGGTCGATGTTACCGAGGGCGTCGTAGGCGGTCCAGAAGCGGCTGGTGATGTGTTCTTGGGCGAGGTCTTGTTCTTCTTGCGTTGAGGTCTGCATCTCAGTGTGGTCGCTTGTACCGACGAAGTTTGAGCTGTCGAGGGCGGACTGATTGAGGCTCTTTACGTCGCCGACTTCGAGGATGGCGCCTAGGACCACGCCTGCGTCGATGGCAGAGAGACAGGCTTTCCAGCCCCAGCAGCGGACAAAGCCCCAACCGTCTTTTGGATCGCCTGTACTTGACTTTGGGGGGACTAGGCCGTCCAGACCGTATTGTGGAGCAAACTTGAGAAGGCGCTCCCGTAGGCCACGCTTCAGCTCCATGTCCATATGTGTATATCTTTGTTTGCATTCGGTGAGAGAGACTCCCATTTTTGCGAGCAATTTGGCAAGTCGCTTCTGCCCTGCATCGCTCCAGATGTGTAGTTTGGCAGAGAGATATGGAGAGTGTAGCATGCTCTCATATAGAGACCAATGCCGGAGGAGGAGGAAGCGGGGTTCTGGTGAGAGGCGGATGGCTGTGTCTGTTGCTGAGCGAGCACTTGTCGGAATGACACCCCAGACCTCGCCCATTGTTGCGTCGCGGGATACGCTTGTCGCATCCGTGACGGGGTTCAGCCGCCGTACTTCGTCTCGCAGTACAGAGCGTATGCTCTCTCCTCGGTTACCATTCCAGCCTGCCGAACCACCTTGTGTTGAGAGCGGATTGAGTCCGACACCGCTTCCTGTTCGCCCGTACAACTCCAGACTGCTGACACCTACAATGGCGTTCCATAGCAGGTCGTTGTCTTCGCGGCCAAGCTCTGAGGCCAGGTTGTATACCAGGGATGAGACAGGATCCGAGTATGATGTGCCGATTTCGTAGTATTTGTCAAGGACCTGTGCATACTTGTCTCGCTTCTTAATAAGTTGCCTTCGTAGGCTTTTGACGAACTGCTCTTTTGGGGCGGCCACTGATGGGGATACAGAGCGGCTGCGGGAGTCTGAGCGCGAAAAGTCTGAAGATCCGCCTAATTGATTTGCTGCCAGTAGACCCCGCCGCCGTCGTGGTTCAGGTGAGGATGGTATTGAGCCGCCCTAGAAGTGATTAGTTCATGTTCCACTTTATATAAAGGTTGTACAAACAGAATTGCTCCTCCGTCTTTGTGCTGGCCGCTCGTCATCTGTCATATCGTCTTCAGAATCATCCCCCTCACCCCAGGATTTCCTCTTCTTTGGTGCCTGCCCTGACGGTGGCTCTTCGTCTTCTGGTTCTGAATCGCTCAGGTCGTCTTCCTCCCCCACTTCTGGCATCTCTTCGAGCCCCACATATGCCTCCCGCTCTGCTTGCATTTCTTGCTCGATATCGCCATCGTCAAAGACTATGATTCCACCTCTTGATGACTGGTAGGACTGCAGGATCTTGCCCTTGTCTACACCAGCCTGCCTCCGCACCAATTCTCCCGTGGCGGGGTCTTGGCTAACGGGTGCCGCAAAAACGTTGGTAAGATTCCATGGCCGTCGGGCATCTAAGAGCCAGACTTCAACATCGCCAGTCCCACCTTCTCCGTTCTCGTCCACGTCCAGGCCTAGCATCTCTTCCATATCTACCATGCCTCCCACACCCAAACACACCACAACACCCCCGCTCCCGCCTTCGGTTGTCCGCATTGGCCGTACCAGCTCATCTGCTGCCCGTGAAAGGTCGCCATAACCGGCTATTGGCTGTATCTTGTGGGGTATGTAGTCGCGCTTTAGTAGCGCGGTAAGAATTCGACAGGCACACAGCGCGTCTGGTTCGAGTGCGACAAGGAGCAGAACTGGCGGTGCGGCGGCATGTGTTCTTTTTACGAGGTTCTGATAGAGGTGTGCTATCAGATTCCGTGGGAGGTACATGGCGGAGGTGGGTGTGTATGGCTAGCCAGCGTGGAGGCGTAGAGTAAGCGCGCACAAAGACGCGCCTGGTGAGTTGTGAGGGAGACTATGGGCGTGGTATGAGGTTTTCCAAGTGTTAATACCCAGCATTGGGTACGTAAACAATAAATGGTACGAATGGCATTTAACAGAGCCGGCGGTGGTCGTATGTATCGAGGATGCGGCCGACGCGTTCGGCACGCTAGTCCCGGAAATGTCCTCGCGTCGACGCGCCTGTGACGTGAACAACACTTTATCCCCTCTCCAATTTCGATCCCCGCCCAAGCTCAATGACATACGACAAAGACGGCACATACGCACATCGGACTTCATACGTCTTGTCATCGATTTTTGCATTTTCCTATGAACTCATGTCTCGTTATGCTCTCTCCTATTCGGAGAGCTGACTTCATTGAAGTAACCACGCTAACTAGAGAATTTCGTGTTGAACGGCAATTCTCTCAATGCCACCGATGGGTAGCATATGCCATATCATCTGCTGTTCCGTCAAAGCACGATGGTGTGTTGAACACCGAACGCAATCGGCAAACTCCAAGTCTCTTTTCCTCCCTTTCATGCCCCTGTGCCACTATCAATCGAGTCATGCTCTCTCATCTCCTCGCTTCAATGTTCAGTCTCCATGTCTCTGCCGATCTCGGTACCTTCTCCAATCTCAACTTCATTACTAAACATGCTATTCTTCTTGCTTGACTCTGACACGGTCATGGGCATCTCCACGCTTGGCCTGTACTGGCTCAAGCTGTACCAGAGACGGCACGATCTGGTGCCACATCTCGAAACTATGTCCGTGTACATCGCCCCATCGAGTGAGTCCAGGGTTAACGACAAATGCAACAACACCTCCATCGATGTCTTGGCCATTGCGATCGGGAATCGGTGACATATACTCTGCTTCGAAATCTTCTCCAATGACTGGCCAAGTAAGTTGGACGCGGGAAAGTTGCATAGACATGTTCACGGCCAACGCAAATGCCCGATCGACAATTTCTGGAATATGAGAAAGGTCAGACTTTGGCGCTACCGCTGCGAGGTTCGATCTGATGATATCGGCGGTGCATTTCCGATTCTCGAGCACTGCCTTCTGCAGGTTGTAGGCATTCTTGTCTGACGTCTGGTGTTCTCCATAATTTTGTCCTGCGGTTATGGTTGTATGTCCAATCCGCGCAACCAGCTCCTTAACTGTGGTGGCCCGCCAGTTCTCGGATTTTGGGGTCGGCTTTGGCCAATTGTTGACGAACCCCCTCCCGAAGATAAGACCCCAAGCATCATGGAGATGCGTGAGGTTTTTGCAGAAACCAAAAGGATGCTTGAAAACTATGCAGATGAGGACGGACCATATCCATGCCTCTATGTAGGCCTTTTTGCGTGCACGTGTATCCCAGTGATGCTTTGCTACATTATGCAAGAGACCACAGGGACAGGAAACCTTCAAAACATCCACGCCTTGTGCTGGCTGAATCGTGCGGCTGAGTGATTTCACCAAGGAAGCAAGAGCGCGGAAATCCCGAGAAAATGCCTCATCAGAGATGGCTTCGACTTTTGATACTTGAGCAAGCATCTGTTTCTGTAGCGCTTGCACTTGAGCTCGCAGGCTCTGTGCTTCATCTTGAGAGAAGGCAAGATTCTGGAGCGATTCTTGAAGCTTGGCTTCTTGGATATCTTTGCATCTCTTCATCGACAAGTACTGTGTCCATAAAGTCTCAAACTCCCTTCTCATGGTCTGTGTCTCTACCTCCAGGCTTTTCATTTGGATTCGCAGATCGTTGGATGTTCCTACTTCAACGTGAATGGGGCTTGACGCAGCTTGTGCAAAGCTCATCGTAGGGCCACGAGGATGCAGCCCATAACCCTTTCCGTGGGGTGTCGCTGTTTTCGGATTTGTGTCTTCATTTCTTTCATCGTGGCTCCGCTCTGTGTTCAAGTAGTCGTGAGCTGCAGTCAGTTCATTGGAATCCGCTCCCGGAGCCATTGCCATGTTAGATTTATTATGGTAACTCTCCTGTGTTTCCTGGTTTTGTATCGTTTGATTTGTGAAGACGGTGTTAATGTACTGCAGTTGATCGCCTATTTTTGCTACAATGTTCCCCATTGACTGCGCGGGATATTCATCAGACTCTGGGGTGTTGACAGGACGATCAATGTAGCTTTGACTGTTGCCGTTTCGGGGAAGCACAATCGGCGCAATCGAATACTTTTCGTTTTCCTTAACACAGAATGAAGAGTAAGCTGACGATGAATCAGAAGTGCGGTAAGTCACAACTAAACCTACAGTTGGTGTTGAGAATTGTTGATTGTTGTAACATACACGCATGCCTGCTCATCAAGGCAATTACCCTCCTTGTTCGATGAAAGTAGAAGTTCATTCAAATTTCTTATGTTGAGTAATGTTGGTCAGAGTTTTCAAGCTAAACGCAGGCGTTGTGAGAGGGCGCTACTTTCACTTTCACTTTCACTTCGACTACTGCCTGTCTTAGTCATCACTCGCCTTTGTTGTTCGCACAAACAATCCGCTCGCTCACCGGGTTTTACTCTTGATAGCACACAGGTCAAAACTGCAACACCGACTCAGACTTCAAATCTCAGCCTCCAGGAACCAAGAAAATATGGGAGGCAGTCGACTGATAATCGGGCTCGATTACGGCACTACCTACACAGGTAAATGGCATGTTACATATCACAAAACTTTCTGCTAAGTTGTCTAGGTGTGTCGTTTTGCGAGATATCCGATCCCGCATCCGAGCAGTCACACATCGAAGTCATACAAGATTGGCCCTCAGGTCATGGCAAGATCGGTACAAGAGAGAAAGTACCTAGCGAGATAGCCTATCTAGAAGAAGGCGTTCGATGGGGTTCTGATATCCCACCACGTGAGAAGCGACATATGTGGACCAAGCTTGAATTGGATAACCGCAAAGATGGTGAGGTTGCTAAGATCCTTTGCGAGTTGTCTCTACTCGAGTCACGTAAATCACCCGTGGAGATCATCGCCGACTTCCTGGCGCAAGTCAAAGCTCACTTGATCAAGAATCTCGATGAGAAATTTGGCAAAGAACTGTGGAGAACGCTACCTATCACTTTGGTGGTCACAGTCCCAGCGGTGTGGTCAGACATCGCCAAGTATCGAACCATGCAGGCTATTGAGAAATCTGGCTTTAGTTCTCTCAGAAGTGGAGGTATGGCAACGCCTGTTATCATCACGACAGAACCAGAGGCTGCTGCGCTCTACACGATCAAAATGCTACGAGGTACAGCACAGGATGCTCAGTTAGCAATCGGTGACGGCTTCATTGTATGCGACATGGGAGGTGGAACTGTTGATCTTATTGCATATCAGATTGCGAGCGTTCAACCGACAATCATCGAAGAAGCCACAGTAGGCAACGGTGCCCAGTGTGGTGGTAGCTTTGTTGACCGTGCATTTCTCCAATGGCTTGAGCGCCGTCTAGGTACACAAGACTTTGTCAAGATTGCTGGCTGTCGAAGTGAAGAGATTCCCCGTACTTCTCTCACGAGGAAGGCGTCCAAGCTTCTTCAAGACTTCACTACGGAAGTCAAGAATGGCTTTTCAGGAACTCAGTCGAATTACTTGCTTCTTCCAAACCCGCTGAGTGCTATTCATGATGACGAGAAGAGGGGAATCAGCGATGGAGAGCTGAGAATCACAGCGTAAGTTTAAAGCTCAGATTCCGTATGTCACTATTAACATGATCAGTGATGATACACGAGCTATGTTTGATGTATGCATCCATCAAGTATATGAGTTGATTCAACAGCAAATTCAGCGCACCCGCATGAACAAGATGAAGATCAAGGTAATTTTACCATCGCAACGCTGACGCTCGTGCAATGCAATTATCTTGTGTTGATGTGATGCGGGCTTACGTTTACTAACAAGTCCAGTATATATTCATGGTTGGTGGTTTCTCAGAATCGCCATACATGTTCGCCAAGATCAAAGACTTCGCAGAGATGCACGAGATACAAGCAATTCGACCTCCACATGCGTCAGTGTCACCAAGTTTCTGACAAGAAGTGTACTAATTTCCTGTTGCAGTTGGTCGGCTATAGTTCGAGGCGCTGTAGCCAAAGGTCTTGAGGAAAGCAGTGGTGCAGTCTTGAAGCGAAAGAGCCGTCGATACTACGGTACAAGTTGTAGTCGGTCTTTCAATATCTTTTTCCATGATGAAGCCGACGCCTACATCGACAAGCATGACGGCATGAAGATGGCAAGCCACCAAATGAAATGGCTAATTAACAAAGGGCAAGACCTACTTGCATCGAAGGCAATGCATGCATCTGTGGATTTGATAGCCAAATGGTGGGTTGGAGATGCACGTATTGGTACATTGGAACTTTTCTCGTGCGATGCAGATATCGCTCCTACGCGATCATTAGACAAGGTGGGTGCCCATTTCCCAAAATTTAACATAACTAACATGATACCAGCCAGTCCATCGCGTCGCCGTGCTCACATATGACATGAGCGACTTGTCTGAGAACGACATGTGCAGGCGCATCAGCCCATCTGGTCGCCTGTACTACTCTGCTCGCTGCACCGTGAATATATGTCTGCAGTCTTGCCTGGAGTTTTATGTCACGGTCAAGGGCAAGAAGTTCGGCTCCCTGACTGTTAGTTACGATTGAGGATCAGTGGCCTGTTTTCCGTCGAGACACAATCCTTTGCTTTCTGGTGGAAAGGAGATGGTCCAGACGGCGTCGCTACATATCGGGCCCTTCTTCCAGAACTGAGGACGGCTATTGGGTTCGGGGCTATAGGCAGGAGATGGGGAGTATCAAATTGACTATAGGATGTCAATGCACTGCATTTGGGGAACATGTCATGTAACTTGGGTCATTTACCCTAGGTCACTTTTGTATCGAAAGCGTGGTCGGACTGGCAGATGTTCTGGCTTTCTTCACATGTAGTTAGTCAGCTGGTTACGACTCGGCTTTCCTTGAGTTCCCCAATGCCATAATATTGTCTTTTCATTGCCTATTGTGATGCTTTTCTCGGTTTCAAGACTAATCATGATGTGTCTCTTGAGAGTTGTAATTACTAATCAAATAGGAAAGTGAGTTTCTTGAGAAGAATACTTCATCTAAATTTCCCGATGGGCTGGGATTGACTGACTTGAAAACCCCAACGCGCTCATTGAGATGACGTATTTTCTCAACATGACCATATACCGTTTTCACATTAAAAACAATGTGAAACAGAAATTAATTCGACGTACTCAAGCATCGCAATCAAGAAAAGGTTATGAATTCGGTGAGAGCGCAATTGTAATTTCTAGTACCTTCCAGCGCAGTGTCAATGTTTCAATGGCATATGCAGACCCCAATTTGGGAAGATGAGAGAGTGCAGATGTGCATGCCACGCAGCTTTGGTAGCATCAATACAAGGGAAGGAAGGAATGACTTTGTTGCATTCGTAGTATTTTTCTGAACTTATTACCAGTAATATAATTCATCTCACTATGTTCCCGTAGGATTCCATTAGATTAGTATTACATCCCGAAAGAAAGGTTTACTGACGAATTTACAAATGAATTGTTTAGCACATTCTCCAATACCTTCAGGTCAACCTCTTCTCACAACAAGTAACAACAACGCTGCGCTTTTCGTACCCTGCCCTCGCACAACATGTCGTCACACAAAAACACCACATGAGACAGCCGACTAACGCTCTTCTCTAGCGAAACATGTCGTGTAACCAAGGATCACCGAAAACGTCATTCGCTCACGCACTCATGCATGCATACCGAAAGCCCAGCCCGCCATGCCACCAGCCATCCGCGCCAAAATCAAAAACAAAGACCGGGACAGCCTAAACATGTACCCGCATATGAACCACCGTCATGCACAAACTCACCACTCCTTGTTCCCTCGCCCAGCCTAGCCCCAAGTGGGGTGCCGACATACCGAACGACGCCACGGGACATTCCGCCTCACGCAACCAAGCGGACACCGCAAGTCTAAAAAACGACTTAAACAACGACTCAAAACACGGTACAGCAAAGGCATGTGCACAGCAAATATTCCCGATGCCCCGAAGAAACCCTAGATCACCATGGTAAATAAACCTCCCCCCCACAACCACAAACGAGTGGGAAGTAAGGCAGAGTGAACCAACAAAAAAGCCCTCCCCCCCATCGGGAAACACAAAGCACGTGCAAACCAAACACAGACACAACAACAAGCTCAAATACTCAAGTAGTTAAATGATGAAAACAACGGTAAAACCACGCAAGGCCTCACAACCCATAAAAACAAGGCGAATTGCCAAAAAAAAAGAAAGCATCTAAACGCCCTCCCATTCGCCTCATCAAGCGGCTACACCCAACCCCAACCTTCGTTGAACCCGTTGAGAGAGCAAAAAAAAAGAGAAGCACATGTCAAAACCCACACCGTACTCGCCAGAAAAAAAACGTTGGAAACCCCCACAGCGCCACCTTGTGCCTCAAGCGCTTCGCGCTTCGGTATTAAGAAAAAAAAATAACACACTCACACACCACGCGCGCTAAACCGTATCAGACGCGACTTCATGGCTAGTACTGCTTTGGGGGTTAGCGCTAGACTAGGACTGAACGAGAGATAAAGAACGGGGGGTTGTGCGTTTGGCATGGGTGAGTGGCGGCGGGGGGGGGGACGGGGTATTTTTTCTATGGCGATAAGATATCGAGAGGTATGTGGTGGTTGGTTGGTTGGTTGGTTGGTTGGGGGAGTGGGGGGAGGAGGGGTAAGGTGGGTTTTTTTTTGCGGGGTTGTTTGTGTGTTTGACAATGAAAGATACGAGACTTAAGACACGGATACGTTAGGGAGAGTAAACATGATGAACTCTTAAATCTTGTGCGTCGGTTCGAGGTTTTCGTGACAGGCGAAAAAAGATACGAGCTTAGCCCTTTTCGTTGTTTCTTTTTGCTTTCTTGATATCCTTTTTTTTTTTGCGTTCCTGCGTCGGTAAAAGGAAGGGATGGATGGGCTAAAGGAAAAGGAAGTTGGCGATTTACGGAGCTATAGAAGCTAAGCTTTGCGTAGGTAAGTCGAGGTAACTAGAGGGGCTACGCGCTCTCTCTCTCTCTCTCTCCCCCCCTCTCTCACTCTGCTAACGAACTTGTTTCTTTTTTGTTTGCTAATGCGAAGGAAATCAAGGAACCGTTTTCTCTGATTGCATACTTCTTTTTTTTCTTCTCGTTCATTGTTTGAAACTTTACAAACGAACCGCGACGCGAAATATTTTTTCGATAGATAAAAAAAAGGCCATAAAACCATGTTTGAAGCTTCGTCGTTGCTTGCGCCGGCCGTCTTGCTCCCGGCTCTCGTCGTCATCCACGTGCTCGTGGCATACGTTCGCAATCCGCTGCGCAAGATTCCCGCTGCGCATCCCACCGCGCACGTGTCGTCGCTGTGGATAGCCTGGGTGCGCTGGCGAAACATTGAGAATGCGACGCTGAAAGAGGCGCATGCGAGATTAGGTCCGATTGTGTGTCTGGGCCCCGAAGAAATCAGTATCAATTGCGTCAAGGGCGGCGTCCGCGACGTCTATGGAGGGGGATTCGAGAAAGTCAATGCGAAAAACGGGTATAATTGGTATTCGTTTTTTACAAACTATAGCGGGTGAGCACCATGAACTGCCCTGTTTGAGACTTGAAGAAAGAAAGAAAGAAAGAAAAACAATAGCACATATGGCTTTTTTTTTTGGTTTAAGCAGGCATTGACGCATGAAATGGCAGAACCGGCAACATGTTTTCCACCGGCAGTAATAGGCCGCATTCGCAGAGAAAGCGCATGCTGAGCAACATTTACAGCAAGTCGCATGTTCTTGCTAGTGAATCGCTGCTCGTGCAGGCATCGACAATCATGTACCAGCGCTTCCTACCATATCTAGAATCCGTATGCACGGGACCGGAAAACGGCGTCTTGAACATCTACGCACTGCTCAGTGCAACAACAATGGATATTGTGACGTCCTACATCTTCGGACTGCGAGCAGGGTCGAACCTAATCCAGGACCCCCAGCAACTTGGCTGGTTCTTGGACCTATACTACTCGCGACGATCCTTTAATTTTTGGCCGCAAGAGTTCCCGCGCCTGACTAGCCTGGTGGAGAAATGGCTGGGCTACCGCCTCTCCCCCAAATGGGTCGACGAGGCAAATGGCAAGATCGAGAGATGGGTGACCAACATGTGCGATGAGGCCGCCCGTGTGCTAGATGCTGGCGTCGCCACCGCAGGGGTCGAGGACCGACCTGTAGTTTATCAGCAGCTGCAGAGCAGCATGGCAAAGGAAGCAAGTAAGAGTTTGGGTGGTATGCCGGATCCTACCGCCATGGCAAGTGAAGTCCTGGATCATCTGGCCGCGGGCTTCGATACCTCTGGCATAACGCTCAACTACGTCGTCCACGAGTTATCCAAGCACCCTGATATCCAGACCCGTCTCCAGGACGAGCTCCTCGGCCTATCTCCCCGCCTGGCAGCATCCTCAGCACCCAATCTGCCCGACCCCAAAGCCGTCGATGCCCTTCCCTTGCTACACTCGGTCATCTGGGAAACCCTGCGTCTTCACGCTGCGATTCCCGGCCCACAACCACGTTTCACGCCCCCGCAAGGCTGCCGGCTTGGCCCAACAGATGAGACATCGTACCATGTTCCGGGCGGAGTCAGGGTGAGCGCCAGCGCGGGCCTGCTGCATCTGAACGAAGACGTGTACGAGTGTGCAAGTGAATGGCGGCCAGATCGCTGGTTGGGACTCGACAAGGTGGCCGACGACAAGCGGAGAGACATGGAGAGCCGATGGTTTTGGGCATTTGGCAGGTTAGTATAACCCTGTTTTTTTTGTTGTTGTTTGGTTTCCTTTGACGTAATCGGAGCTGATGTACGCTTACACTGTATGTACTAGTGGTGGTCGAATGTGCGTGGGAAGTCACTTGGCAGTGTACCGTAAGTACCTACTAGTCACATGTGCCCCACCCCCCCCTTTCCCTTCTTCACAGCCACACGAGGAGAGAGAAAGTGACTTTGAATTTCTACTAGCTTCGTAAGCTTAGTAGGTAAAACGCAATATGCTGACGTGGATACAGAGATGAAGTACATAGTCGCGGCCCTTTACTCAAACTACTGCACCACGATTGTGGATGACGCAGGCATCGAACAGTCCGACTCATACACTGCACCGCCCCAGAGTGAGAGACTCATGATACGACTCGAGAAGCTGACGTAGCCACACGGGGGACATGGACAGGGGGGGGGGCAGTGAACATGTTTGGACCCTGATAGCAATAGCCTCCTCCCCACCATCAATGGGGGATCCCACAAGCAAGTGTGGCTGCACCGCTGCACGTGCAGTAAAGAAAAATGGCTGATCAGCGGGCAAGTTACGCAAAGCACAGGAAGAAAGTGAATAGGTGTAGGGTAGGGCGTGCAAGCCACACACACAGACACACATCCGCGGCGGACTCCGGGTCTTGGAGCTTCAAAGCCGGGCCCAAATCGACGCCGTTGGAAGCCTGACCCGTGGTAGAGAGGTATCGAGTTGGGGCTGGCAGTGGCCAATGGCATGCCGAGTCTTTGCTGGTGCTTGGGGCAAAGGGCAAGATGACGACAGCTAGCCATCCGAGTCATTTTTACGCAGCTGCACAGGAGCAACTGAGACAGTCTTTTCGTATTTGCCTCCTTTCTTTTCTGAACAGTCTCATGATCGTGACTCGCCGTGAGCTTATGCAATGCAGTCTACTTATCAGCTTACTTGGCGGCGTCTCCGTGTACGTAGAGTCCATCAGTTCGGATTTTCTTCCCCTACCTTCAGCCCAGCAACCCCTCCCCCCCCCGTCTAGTCCAGCTAGCGTAGGCAGCTCCGAGGAAACTGGGGCTGCGGTATCTCCGGAAAACCTTCAGAGCCAATCGAGTGGTAGGGTCTGAGGACCGGTCTCGAGGCCGGCTGCTGCATCTTGTCCTTTGTTCCCGGGATCATGGGTATTTTGGTGTGGAACCAGTGACAATGTGCGTGTACTCTACCTTTGTTTACCAAAGTTTCTTGGCTCCGTTGCATGACCCACAGCGAGTTGACAAGGTCTTGCATCGGCCGATGAGCTGGATCTAGAGCAGGTTGTGAGGAGGCGTAGAGAAGATTGCCTGATAGTACTTGTCACGCGGTACCTTGTTGCCACAGGGAGTAGGTATGACAATAGTCTATCGACAACGGGCAAGCTGAAAACGTTGTGGGAGCTACTCCCGAGTCCGGTGCAGCCCACAAATTTGGGGTTTGCACGAATGACGTGCCGAGTAGGCCCCAGTACGTACCTACATGTCGAATGTTATCTTGCCAAGATTCAGTCAGGTGCATGAGGCTACGAGCGCCGTCTTTCCCAGGCAGAGGTAGTAGGACGAGTCTGTGGGACGACTAGTCGTCGTCGAGTTTCACATCAAGATGGACACTTCCCCCCCTACAGTCTTTTGGTAGTGTGGAAAAAGTACTTCGAGGTACATGTTTGACGGCAAACCTGAGGTCGATTCCTGCGTCTGGTGCAGAGTCTGTACACATGAGACGGAGCCAGTGAGGTCGATTGATGTCACTGACCTGTTAGCTCAGATGCACGACAAGCGTAGGTGCAGTAAGCAGCGCAGCATGTTCATCACGCGGTGCTGCCGTGGTTGCTAGTGCCAGATTGCTCGTTTTGATTTCTCATCTCTCCGGCCAGTGCGGCAGTTACGAGGGCGGCATAAGCGTGGAGGCAGGAGGCACATTTGCTGTCTACGGCATAGTCCAAGTCCAATACTGCACACGGTTGCATGTTTCAAGCTGGAGTCAGCGGTTTGCGCGGGAGGGCCGAGCACTGCTAGCATACAAGCAGATGGGAGGCAGGGGGAAAGAGCGACTTCCAAGGCTCGCTGTGGCAAGCACAGCATGCAAGTGCAAGCTACAGCCATTCAGTGACCCCACATTGGTTCAAAGCGAGCTCGAGAAGCCGAAGCCGAAGCCGGTCGAGATTGGTTTTGGGGGTGGAGTAAGGTTTCTGGCCTGAGGAGGCGAGTATGGGCGTCAGTGACGGGCGGCGGGACCAGATGGAAGTGGACATGGATGCCAAAGCGGGACAACTATCCATCTGTGCGGTGCCTGGAGCAAACGTGTGCGTCTTGCGGAGCTCGTGGCTGTGTCGTGGACGGGCAGCACAGGCGCATTGTACGCATTGGCGGGCGGCGGGCGGTGGCCTTGTGGGTGTTGTGCAGCGGTGGATATGGGTTGACAGCAGGCGAAAAAGTAAATTAAGCGCATACAAGACGGATGTTGGGATGATATTGGCGACAGATGGAGAGCGGCAATGGCGCGGGGCGGTCATGTGCGCGGCGGGAACTGCGCGGGGGGCGGCCTTGGAGCGCACGGAGGGTGAAAGCGCCAGCCACGTGAGCACAGGCACAGGCACAGGCTCAGGCTCAGGCGCAGGCTCAGGCTCAGGCTCCGGCTCCGATGCACATGGCGGCGACGGTCTGGTCTGGCACGGCCATGGACGACCAGGCGCGGCGATGCAGTTCCCGGCCACCAGGCGCCTAGGGCCATGGCGACATCTAGCGCCGCTGTCAGAGAGGAAGGCTGCCGGCCCAGCACGCTCGTTTGCTGGCCGGCCTGGTGGCTAAAGGGATGGCGAACGGGGGTGCGGGCCACCCAGTGCAACGTCGTAGAATTTCCTTGGCCCACTCGAACGGCGCGACTGGCAGCCTTTCGCTTGCACATCACCCCCCATCCCTGCTCCCATCCACAGACCCCCCCAGCCACCAAGATGCTCCACGGCGATCATCCCTCCCCACACGCTTCTCGTTGACGCCCCAGCCCGATGCACACCTCGTCTGTCTGTCCGTCGCTCTGCTGTATTGACGTCGTTGGCCGCACCCGCCGTGCCTCAGTCCGCCCTTGCGCCTCAGCCGCCCCATAGCCACCGCTGCTGCACTGCTCTCGCTGCGTCCCCGCTCCCCTCTGACTGACGACAGGTAGCATGCTCGCGCCCACCATGTCGCCATGTGTCCATGTGCCTGTGTGCCGTCGTGTGCTGTGAGACGCCATGATGCTCGTGTAGCCCGGTGCTGGCCTCCGCCCGTCGGCCACGCTGCGAGCCTCGAGACGACCGAAAAAGAGGCACGTCCCGGGCGCGGCCATCAGGCCCTCGTCGGCCTCGTCGACGTGCTCGTCGCCATGTGCCTGCGGACGTGTTCGGCCCTCGTCGTGTGCTCGCCCGGCCGCAGTCTTTGTTGTGTGGCCTGGGTCGCGTCGGTCGGTCGTCTCCAACTGCCGCGCATCAGAGGGCCTGGCTGGCGGCCACATGGCGATATATTGGGCGTCGACGGGAGTTTATATGTAGCCTCGTCAATTAAAGTGTTTCCAGATGGCTAAATCCCGTGTTCCTGCTCTGGGTGTTTACCAGCTTACGAGCGTGGGGCTCTCCCGCCGCACGCAACCGGGGCCCTCGTTCAATATCCGTCGACAGTGCCCTGCCTTGCCCAAACCTGGGATGACCGTTGGATCCAAGCACTACCAGGCCTTCCTTGCTACTCAGGTCCTGCCGCTGCGCCGCCTGTGCTGTCCTAGTCTTTCATCGCTCGGCTGCATGGAACACCCTCGCTCGGAACTGATAGCACAGACGGGCTGGTGCTGCAACCAAGCTGCAAAACAACACCTGCTGAGCCTGCGACTTTATTCAAAAGTGCTTCTCGACGTCCAGTGCTGCTGCTGCCCTCCCAAGACAGCTGTTGCCCCTGCCCCAGTCCATCTTGCCGCTCGTTTTTTGGGACTGTCCAGCCGTTCTTCGCACGCTTGCACATGCGCACACCACCTGGCCAGCCCTCCCACCTCGTTGCTCGCTGCATCCTCTCCCACTCCCTCATCGCCCAGAGCTCTTTCGTTTTCCACTGTACCGTCCAACCGGCCTGTTCCAAGACGGTCCAGCTCACATCCAGCACATCATCACTACTTTCAGGGGTTTCTCACGGGCAGCAGCAGCGGGATCCACCGACACTTGGTCAACAAGCGAAAGATACTAGTCTTGGATGTAACCGTGGCTACAAAAGAAGTAATACCCCCAGACACTCTTGCCATTGGCTACACTAGAGCTTGTTCGCATGATCCACGCCGCCTTCGTTCATTCCCTTAGCACGCACGTTAGTCAAGGACCCTACAACCTTGATCGGCCGCGCTCGGCACAAGTTGCTCCCAGAGACTAGAGCCTGCGTAGCGAATCATTAGCAAAGCCGCCACGGACCCGTACGACGTCTGTAGAGGAGCCCCGATTCTGACGGACGCTTCAAAGTACGCTTGCCAGCTCTCCTACTGCATGCACTACCTTTGTACGTTGCTTCTTCTCGAGCTATCAGACCTCACTCTTCTCAGAGCTGTGTATTTCAGTCTTCCATTGCTCGCCTTTACAACTCATCCCACACTGCCCAAACGCTCTCTCCCACGCTCGTCATCGCTTCTGTCTTGGTCCACCAGCGTAGCCCTATTTTTTTTTTGTTAACCCCCCCTCTTCGACGCCGTTGGAAAGCGGCCGTGTCCGTGGCTACGATTGGGAATTACACCAATCACCTCTACCACGGTTCGCTACCACCACAAGAGGACCCTTTTGCCTCTTATCCCCTTTGAGTAGCTTTTACCTGCTACCCACCTTCACCTTGTACCTGTTACTTAGGTTGCTATGTATCGTGGAAAAAAGACTTTGTCATAACGATACATGAAGGAGCGCAGACTGCGAATACTTATCATCACAGGCGCAACACAGACTGCTGCTACTGCTGCTGCTGCTGCTTCCAATAGCTGCACCGTTTCCAACTTGTATATTACCGTTGGGTGTGGAGTCACCCCTCGCAGGCACCAGCGGGCCTCTAGTTGGGTCCCACTGAACAGGCCGACCATCTTCCCCACTGCCGCCCAAACCATTAACATAACGAGGCTCACCAGTGGCGCACCCCAGATCCGGAATCGGCAGTGCAGAAATCATCACATTGAGCAACGGCACTTTGCCTCTCTTCGACTGGACTTTCCAGGTCAGCGAGCACCATTCCGCACCTCTGCTCTGCAAACAGAGGGCTCTGATAGGCGTAGCGCACATGCGAACCGTCTCTCTACGACTCATACCACGTTTAACATTACCAGTCGGATTATCGACCTTGCACCGCCCTTTGTTCGATTGGCCCGGCCCCTTGGATTATTACCTCAACGTTCGCTACCGCCCATCGATACATCATCACATTCGCCTGTTCTCAATATTCTGGGGCACTATATAGGTCGCAATTGCCTTCAACCACAGCCCAGGTCGGCTGCACTACCATAGAACACTTGCACACCAGCTTCATAGCCACAACCACAGCAAACCCGACAACCACACCCACGAAGAGTTGCCACTACCTTGACCACTACCACAACAAACCCCAATTACTACCACTACCATTGCAACTGCCACCGACACAACCATAGACGAAGCCTGTTCTAGAACCACGTCCACGACCACGCCGCCACGACAATGGCGTTCACTTATAATTACTCACTGCAAGCATCATATCCATCACAACGAGCCTATGTCCCATATCAACAAGCCCAAGTCCCCACACCGTCGCCGATATACTCGCTTCCCATCACAAACACAACAACAGCAGGCGCACTGAGTCCGTCATCATGCTTCCTGTCTGTACGGCAACAGCCCAAGGAGGCTCTTGTCACTGTCAAGGGCAAGGAGAAGTTCAGGAAGCCACTTGACCCACCACCCATGCTCGAACTCAAAGTGAGCTCAGAGATAGACCCCAGCCAACAGTTTCTGCAAAACCCCTACCTCTTCGTCAGCGTCTCCCTCTACAAGCACGACAAGGACGAAGCAATCGAAGGCACACCCTTTGACATCCTAGCAGGCACGCTCGTGTCCTCGCTCCACCGCCTCAAAGACGTCAACAACAAAGACGGCGCCTTCTTCATCTTCGGTGACATTTCCATCAAAGTCCAAGGCACCTACCGCCTCCGCTTCACCCTCTACGAACTCCAACCCTCCTACTTCACCCTCTCCGACCTCGAACAACACAAGGACCTCGAGCGCTACCAAGGCGCCGCCCTCGATCCCCCAGAATACGGCACATACCAATGCCTCGGCCACGTCTTATCCGACAAATTCAACGTCGTCCTCCCCAAAGACTTCAAAGGCCTCGAAGAATCCACCTACCTCTCCCGCGCCTTCTCCGACCAGGGCGTGCGCCTGCGCCTCCGCAAGGAAGCCCGCGGCATGATGAGCAACAAGCGCAGCATCAGCGGCAGCGGCGACCTTACCACCGACCAGTCGCAACAACAACAACAACAGCAACAACCGCTCGCCAAGAAACGCCGCGAAGACAGCGTCGAGAGCGCAAACCCCTCGAGTCTCATGTCCGGCTTCTACCAAAACGTCAGTCCGTTTGTCAACACGCCCTATCTGCAAACTCAGGGCTTGCAACCCCAGAATCTCCAGAATCAGGGCCTCCAGACCCCGGTCAGACACGATGCCAATTATGCTTGGAATTTAGCCTATGATCCGTCTTTTATGGGGTCTTGAGGGTATCGGCGTAACTCATGGAGGGTTATTTGGGGGAGAGAGGGGCACATACTTTCGGTTCTTGCAAGGACGGGGGGGAGGATTCTTAAAATAACGGTGGAGTTGGCGTGTCGTTTTGAGGATTACGAACTAGGATTTTTTTTCTTTTCTGGGGCTGTTAATTTCTTCTTCTTCTTCTTCTTCTTCTTCTTTCTCTCTGTCTCTCTTCTTTTTTTTCATCGTTTTTTTGGGGGGGAAACTTTGGTTTACGGGGTTGTGGGGAATGTGTGTCTGTGTGTGTGTGTGTGTGTGTGTGTGTGAGAGAGAGGGTTTTCCACGGATATGAGCATGAAGCGTCTGTGTGGCGTGTTCGATGATTACACCTTTTTTTTTCCGAATGGCGAAACTGAAATGGGCTTTTAGCGATTGGGAATGGTTTTCTTCGTGTAACGTGTGTGTCTGGGATTCTTGGGTGCGGATGGGATATGATGGAGCATTAGATGTAATTCAACTATTTTTTTCCCCCACAAATGATGTTTTTCTTTTACTTGGTTTTGTTTGGAAAAAGTTAATTGTGGCGTCGGTAGGGTTCGAGTGGTGGTCACGGTGATGTATTTGGGGGTGTTTGGGGATTTTATAAGAGAAGTCGGTTCTCTGCTGCGATATGGTGTACATGTGATATGGGCTATATTGTCTTGTGGATCTTCTTCCCCTCGCCCTCTTTCTTGTATGCTCTCAGGCGGGGAATTCGCACAGCGAGGTGGAATCAAGTGGTGTTGATGCCGGATGAGGAAGACGTAGTCGGATAAACTGCGCCAAGTACAAACTTCCCACTACTACGTCCTCGTATCCAACCTTTGTCTTTGTCAGCAAAGAAAGGGGAAGAAGACTATCCACGACCACACCCGCACTCCACATCCTTCACACAACTTAAGCCAAAAAAAACCCCCATCTGAACAAGCATCAAACTCACACTCAAATAACCATCAGGAAAAAAAAACTAGTCATTTCGATAGTATGTAAAAAAAAAAGATCAAAGTGGTAAGCAATCCCAATGGATACGATACCACCACGTACATCTATCTACACACTCACGCACGCACAAAGAAAGAAACCCACCCCTCCAATACTCCAATCATTCCCATAAACGACAAGTTCCCAAGGTATCATCTCCAACCAAAAAAAAAATGCCGTACAAGATGGCAAAGCAACAAAAAGACGCGCACAAGGAAAATAAACCAGGACGCGATATGAGTAAAAGAATAGTGGTACAAGCGAAACCACAACGAAAAAAAAAGAAGGCAGAGGAGAGAGGAGAGAGAAGGAAAAAAAAACAAAACAAAGGGGGATAACTGCAATTCCCTTCCCTTCCTCGCTCAACTCAATAACTTACTACCAGAAAGGAGGGAGAGAAAAAAAAAGAGAGAATCATTCCCATCTCTACTTGGTGCCCCCNCCCCCCTTCTCCCCCCAAGCACGGAGAGAAAGAGAATGTAACAAAATACTCGGATGCAAGAAGCAATGACGGGGGAAGGGGCATATAGAAAAGAAGAAGAAGAAAAGAAGAAGAATCACGCTCCGCCCATAACAACATCATCATCATCCTCTCCTTCAGCATCAATATCCATCAACCCCTCATCCTCGTCATACTCGCCATCCACATCCTCTTCTTCCTCCTCTTCCTCATGCCGTTCCATTTCCTCCTCGTCTTCTTCCCCTTCTGCATCCTCATCCTCGTCCTCTTCGTCTTCCTCGTGAATCGGTACTTCGCGCCCTTTCCCCTTGAGATCGAAGCTTGCGCGGGACGAGCTGGCAGAGCTACGTGTGCTGCGCCGGCCGCCGTTGGGTGTAAGGGGCTTTACGGCGCCGCCACCGCGCGAGGCATCGTGCTCGACTTCGTCGCCGTTTGTGACGGTTTCGCCGAGGCGGCTGCGGGTGCGGCGCAGGGATACGGTGCCAGGGGTGAGGGTGCCTCCGTTGGCCGAGGGCGACATTTGGGCTTTTGCGCCGCGGCTGGGGGAGAGTTGGATTTTCGAGACGGGCGCGGTGTGGATCGTCATGGGCGTGTTGCGGATGCGATTTGGTGTGCTGGTTCGTCGGCGCGACCCGAATGGGCGGCCTGGACGCCGTTTTTGAGCGGGTTGGCCGGGGATGGGTGGGAAGATTTCGTAGCGGGTTGGTGGGATGGCAGGTTCCTCCATATGTGAACCTGCTAGAGCGATTGTAGATCCGTTTGCAAGGGGTGTTCCGGGAGCAGGGGAGCCGCCGTTGGTCGAGTCCTCGGCAGCAAGCGCATGGGCAGGAGCAGGTGGGAAGGGTTCGGTGTCTCCACCGTTGCCATTCGTCTTTGTAACATCCATCTGTACACCCTCCTCTGCTGCAGGCTTCTCTTCCCCTTCGTCACGCTGTTGGACTGTCTGCAGAGCTGGACCATCCTCATACTGACCAAGTCGACCCATAACGTACGGAGTCCAGACAAGACATTCAGGATTGATCTTGGGATTGCTTGCGGAGTTGCACTTTTCAATGTAGGACTTGAAGTACTCCAGATCGAGCCGCAGTGCGTACTTTTTGGTGATAGGATCACGGACCAGAGCCCGCAAGCCCTCCAGTGCGGATATAATGTCGTCTGCAGTCATACCCGTGCGGTCGGATATGGCTGATATGCTAATTGGTTGCTTCTGTTGCAGTAGCTCCTCACATAGCACAAGCCGCCAGTACTTGCGGTAACTTACAAGACCCATGTCACTCAGAGGCTTCTCAGGGCTGCCAGTTTTGCGCTCGACACGGGTGAGTAGGTAGGAAAACTCAATCAGATACTGCCCGTAACCTTTGCGCTGATGAATGGGCAGCACAAGGATACATGAGACGTTATTGAGTGAACTTGGTCGTTTTTCTTTGGAAAAGTAGCCGACAAAATGACAGCCAAACTGGTCGTTCTCCGTCATGACGTAGAACAAAAATGGCTCAACGTCGTAGTATAACGTTTTAGAGCCGAGGAAGAGTTTGGCAAGCAAACAGAGGTTTTGACAGTATACAGGGTTCTTTCTGCCGTCGACTTCGAAGAAAGAGTACTTGCCGTCGCGGTATATCTCATCGCCAGGAGGGTGTTTTGCTGGGCATTTAAGCTAGGTTCGTTAGTAATGCTAGGATAATAACAGGGATGCACGCACCTTGTGCCGCCACGCGACATAGTCGGAATTCATGTACTTGAGACAGAACTCGCAAATGTAAAGCACCCTGTTCTTGCTATACTCCTCCGGGTAGGGAGCAGCGTGCCAAGTGTCGATCTCCCATCCGCCAAAATTAACACACTTGATTTTGCTTGCAGTAGCTGCTTGCTTGTATGACCGTATCGGCTCAGGTGGGTAAAGAGCAGCCTGCTTGGCTTTCCAGTCTTCCTCAGCCTTGATACGAGCTTCATCGAAGCGCTTCCGGTCGGCTTGCGTAGGGTATGTCTTGGAAGTATCCGCATCAGCTTCGGAGAGCACTCCGCCGTAGGGTTTGCTCTTGGACTCGTCGGTCTCCTTCTCCATGAAACCCGCAAAAGGCGTGGGGTACTGAAGATGTATAGCTGGGTAGTGTGGGGCCTCTGGTGAGTCTCGCGCCGCCTGTGCAGCACGGCGATTTCTCTCGCGACGTTCTCGATCTCTCTCACGCCGCCTCTCTTGTCGTTCTTGCTCAATAGTAAGCGGCGCCTTTTTCTTTGGTTTGGAAGTAACAATCTTTTGGACCTTTTCATTGTTGAGATGGAAGGCAATAATCAAGCTGAGACCTTGCGCTTCCTCGATCCACGCAAGTGGCCTCTTGTCGGTTCTTTTTGGTTGTCCACGCCGCGCTCGTGCTGGGCGCAAACGGGTGGTTTCCCGGTCTGATCCAGTATGCTCTGCATCGCCCCCACTTTCATGGCCATCACCCATAGCGCTACGAGCACTTCGCACGCTTCTTGACGGCGGTCTGGGTGAGTTTGCAGGTAATGATGGGGCCGCATCCGAGTGAGTAGCCTCAGATGGTCTCCTCTTTTTCCTCGTTTGCCGTGACGGCATAGGTGTTGATGCCTCATCTCCATGCGAAGTTTTGCGCTTCCGCAGCGAACGGAGGCCGTCTGGTTGCTCATCTGGAAGGATCAAGTCTTTGAAGATGGAATGGCCTGCTGGGTCAACACCACGCAGTGAAGGGAGCAACTCCTTGGTAAGCTTGTTGGAAGAATGCCTCCTCCGGGCTGCAGGCTGTTGGGGTTGGGCCTCCTCCTCTTCCTCTGTTGGAAAATTGTCGAGGCAGTGATCGCATCGCCAACGCTTTGCATCTAGCACTTGTTAGTGGAGTAGGATTGAGCATGACAAGAGAGCATACCGTCATCGGGACTAAGCGTGTTAGCGCCATGAGCGCATTGCCGATGTGCTGCAGGGACAACATGTCAGCTACCGAAGCCAAGGCCAAACATTCGCAGTCGACCACTCACCATTGTCTCCACACACGGCACAGGAGAGGTATTCTTCAAAGTCTGGGCTGGGGTCGTTGTCCTCATCTTGCTTGCAGTATCTGGTGCGAGTCAGTCTACGCTATCGGACTTGGAATTGCCCCGAGCAATACTGACATGCACACATTGGGGTTGGACGACTTGACGAGCTCGTCTTCGTCGCCGTCTTCGCTCCCCTGCCACTGGTTTTCTTCCTCAGAGTCGGCGTTTGTTGAGTCGTCGCTGTCGCTGGACTTGGCATCCGAGGATTCTTTTGCGGCATCTTCGGCATCGTAGTCGTCTTCCTCGTCCGAAACGGACGCCCGACGCGCTATCTTGACATCGCCCACCGGCTCGGCATCGTCTTCGTCGTCGTCGACCTCTTCGCCCTCGGCATCCACATCTGAGCCTTCAGCGTCGGTCGTATGACCGTGGGTGTCAGGAGCGGGCTGGGCGGCAGGAGGCTGCGCGTACTCGACATCATCCATCTCATATTCGCCATCAGCATCCAGGTCGTCCAGATCGGTGTTGCTCGCGGTCTGACCCATGAGCTCCGCCATGGCCAGGTTGACGGCAGAGGCCACCTTTGAGGCTAGAAACGCCAGTGTCGCAGTCCGAGGGTCGTGTGAGCCTCAACACATAGGGTGGGTGGGTGGTGGCAGCCCCGGAGGCTAGTGGGAGCAGCGGTTGGTAAACGCGTCGTGTCTGTACTGCAGCGCGTTGTTGCGGGCTGGGGAGACGCCCAACCGCGTTTCTTTGGATAGAAGCAGACGTGGCAGGAATCCCGCCGGCAGCCAGTGATTGCAGTGAGATGTGGCGGGCTCGTGGTCGCGTTGTTGGGTGCTGTGGGGAAGGCGGAGGAGGGCAGTGGCAGCGGGCGCAATTGTTCCGCGGAGAGGCGAGGTCAAAGTATCGGGATCCGTGGTTCGTATGAAAGTGGGAGTCGGCGCGACACTGGCAATAATTGCAGCTCGTCTAGAAACGGCGTGGGCGGAGCGTTCTGGTCGTCTAAAGTGGCTCTCTCTCTGCCCGTAGGTCGGGGAGGCCAAGACACGCACGGCCGCATCCTCAGTTGACGACGCCGGCACCTCTGCCCTAGCTTCGCAGTCGACGACGACGACGACATTGACAACCACCACCACCCCCACAGCACCACTGCGACTGCATATACACAACCGCAACCATGGGTGTCCCATTCGAGGCTCTGCTGCCCTATGCTATCATGACTGGCGTGAGTCAATGGCGCCGGGCTGCGGCGGGCGGGGGAGATGACTAACCGGGCTGCAGTTCTTCGCCTTCAGCGCAGTATCGGTCGGAAAGCTCCAGGAGATTCAGAACGGAGGAAAGCGGACGCGACGGGGTATCGATGCATGGGACAGGGTAAGTTGTGGACTATGAGCGCTGAGGGCGCATCGAGCGGCTGCTAACATGGCTACAGCAAAGTACCACTCCACTCCACCATGACCTCATGCCATGCATGCACTCACAAGACACCAGTGATGGAACGCGACCGCCGACTGACAGGCTTCATGCGTGGCCAGACCGACCAGCCCGTCGCCCCCGCTGGCTTCGAACTCAACAACCCGTGGAGGGTACGTACCGAGACAGACGACAGTCAGGTTGATGCTAACCACGCTCCAGTGCGAGCAACGATTCTTCTAGGCCCATGTACTTCTCTAGCACACCCACGACGCACTTTGTCGAGCGAAACGGACCCGGTAGATGTTAAGCAATCAATTCTTTTCTACTTAATCTCGGAAGGCATGCCAGTAATGCCGTCGCGCTCTGCCTGCGTGAGCTTGATGCCAAAGTACTTGTCCAACCCCTCAACTCTCTCTGCTTCGCTCTTGAACTCGATTTCCTTGGTCTTCTCCCCACGTATGTTCCATTTCAGCGTAGCGGCTACCATACTCATCTTGCCCATTAACTCGCCGTCTTCAAGAATATTCTTGTGTGCTACAATCCTGCTTGTGAAAAAGATGTGCCGGCTAGTGCTGGCGAAGTAGTTCATGGCAAAATAGTCCTGCGGCTGGAACTCGAGCTCGGAATACGCGTACTTCATTTCCCAGTCACTGTCGTCGCTCCTCCGGTACTCGTAAACCCAGAGACGCTGGTTGGGATCCACGTTACCGGGAATGTTGCGCCATTGGAGGCGGGCCGATGCAGGCTGAATGTGCTTCTGCACTGTGCCTGCGGGATCCAGAGGCATGGGCGCTATCGGACCATCACCACCAAAGCCGACGTCAACATGGTACTTGACATCACCAATGGTGACAAAGTTGATGTAGTGCATCCAACCCCCCGAGCTGGTGCCTTCGAAGACGCGACCGGCGCCCGAGTAGAGGGTGAACCCGAGCGAGGTCAGCAAGGTGCCGAAAAGGCAGTTGTTTTCCATGCAGTAGCCACCGCGGCCATTGTTATCGCCGACAATCTTGTTGAACAGCTGCTCGGGGTGCACAGACAGTGAGTGGTGAGCTGAGTAGTGCAGCCCGAAGTTCTCAAAGGGTATCTCTGCAAGATGCAGTTTCTGGAGCAGCGTCAGGTAGTTCAAGAGGTCAGCGTCAGGTAGGCCGGCCACGCGATATCGGCGCTGTTCCTGCGGTAGTTTGAGCCGATCGAAATACCGGTCTATCTGAGGCTGCAAGTAAGTTGGTCGTGCGCTCATGATGGTCAGCTTTGGCGTGAAGAGAATGACGCGTCGTCGGAGTCGTAGCCGCAGCGCGGAGGATGGCTAGCAGCAAGCGCGCAAGAACAACACATTCGGGCAGAGGAGCAGGTGGCGGCCATGGTGGAGTCAAAAGGAAACGGGCCGGCCAACGAATATGAATGCGAGACCAAGGCCTGGGCGGAATGGCGGTAGTGGGGATGTGGATGTGGATGGCTGTGTGCCTGCCAAGCGCATGAAGTAGCGAATCTCCTGCCCCTTGACGGGCGGCATTGCACCGCATTGAGGCCAACCTCGATGCTGCTCTAATACATATGGAGTAGAGTCGTAGCGCCCTCCTCTCCTCAACACTCGCTGACACCCTCCACCGCCATGCCTCGCGCCCCGTGAGGCCCCAACTCTTTCGCTGGCTGCTACGCGCATCCTGTTCCTCTGCGCCCCCGTCGCCCTCTCTCTCCGCACCCTCTCCGCTCCCCACCGCCTCGACTCGCCCACTCGTCGCCCATTGCGACTGCGAGCCACCATGAGCAACAATGGCCTGCGCACCCAGTTCCCCTATGCGGGCGACGCCCTCAGCCCCCGTCCCCAGTACGGCTTTCCTTCGCCCACGTCAAACTATCCGTCCGGTGTTGAGGCTCCGTCGCCTAGCTTCTTTCCCATGGCCTACCAAATCTCGCCGCGCTTCGGCACCAGCGCCTTCATTCCCCCTCCAGACGTCTTTGTAGACGGCCGCCTGGAAACAGTCCGCGAAAACGGCATGTACACACCGCGCAACTCGGGAAAGCGTGGCCTCGATGCCCTCAACACCGACCCTGTCGCTATGCACCTGCTGGTCGAGACGGCTATAGGGGACAGCCAGCAGTTTGACATTCTCACCGTCGAGGAGGTCGACGCGCTCAAGCAGGAGCAGAAGGTGCTCGACACCCGCCTAGCCACGGTCCGCCGCAAACTCGAGTCCGAGACCAAGATCCGCGATGCCACCCGTTCACTCGGCCGTCTTGCTGGCACCAAGGGGAACGGCCACAAGAGAGGCCTGGCCAGCAAGGGCAGCAATTCAGTCCCTGATTATGATGCCAAGGAGCAGGAGGGTCTGGAATCGAGCAACAGAAAGGTCGAGGAGTTTATCCGCGAATGTTTGGAGATTGAGTCTCGCATGCGCATGATTGACATGCAATTGCTCATGCACACGGCCGCCGTGCTCCAACTCACGCACAAGGGTCCCAAGCAGCGCAAAGAGAACGACCAGTCGTCAGAGGATCGCTTTCGGAGACCAGACAGCCCCGCTAGCCTCGACACGTACGATGATACCCGGCTGAACGGCATGGGTGCTGGTGTTTTTGATGAACGAAGCCTCTACCGAACCCCGGAGAACCTCGACAATCTCATGGCCGTACTCCAGAACGGAACGCACCACCAGCCTGAGCGGTCGAATCAAGCATTTGGCGCATTGGCCATGCGGCTTCAAGAAATGAATGAGCGACTACGCAATCTCATTATCGAGGCCAACCCCGAACGGGACGAGGATTACTCTCTGCCGCCACTTGTGCTCGAGGGAACATTGGATGCTTCAACCATTGACCGCCAGCTCGACTTTCTCGACCAGGGCATCCGCAACATCAGTGTAGAACAAGCCAATATCCGCACAAACGCCAGACAGACGCTGAGCGAGGTCGAAGGTCGTCTGGAGAATATCAACAACCAACTTTACTCGGTCCTTTCCCGCTCTGAGAATGAACAAACTGAGAAGATACTCCCACCACCAGCAATCAACGGGACTGGCTCCACAGAGCAGCTCAACTACATGGAGGATACGTTCTACAACCTCGAGCAGATCCAATTTGCCATGGCTGAACGCATCAAGGAACTTGGCTCTGGTGCTTCCATGGGTGAGGACTCTGAAAAGGCTGAAAAGTATGAGAGTACAATCAAGGGTTTGTGGGACATGATCCGAACTGGTGAGGAGCAAGCGCTCGAACGCAAACGTGAGCGACGCCGACTGCTTGCTGAAGACCCAGATGCCGACGAACAACTCTCTCCTGACGAAGACTTCAACAGCAGTGAGCAGTACTCGCTTCTCGCCTTTTCCTCAAAGATTCAGTTACTCTTCAAGCGCGCTACTAGTCTCAAGGAGAAGCAGTCAGTTCTTCTGCGCCAGATCAAGCAGCAACGTGAGCTCAACAGCAAGTCCGATGCGCAAAAGGAGGCAGACTTTGAGCGTCTCAACACTCAAATTCTCAGTGCGAGGTCCGAAAAGAAGTCGATGGAAGAAGAACTCGAGCGGGCCATGAGCCAATTGTCGCAGTTTGATGCGCAAAAGGGCAATGCCGATACAGAGGTTCTGCGCGAGACACAAGAACGTAATGCGGGACTTGAGGCTCAGCTGATCAATGTACAAGAGCGTGTGATTGCATTCGAATCGGAATTGAAGGAGGCCAAGCAGCGTGTTGTCGCTTACGAGAACCAGCTCAAGGACGTCCAGGAGCAGGCTGTAAACTACCAGAGCAAACTTCAAGACGCTGAGAAGCGTGCTGCTTCGTACGAAGAAGAGCTCAAAGACCATCAACAACGCAATAGCGCATACAATGTCTCGTCACGAGAAGCAGAGGAACGCACTGCTGGCTACGAGGCCCAAGTACGGGATGCCCAGGAGCGCGCTCTTATGCTTGAGAAGGAGCTAAGGGAAGCCCGCGGCGAAGGAGAAAGCCTCAAAACTCAACTTGCCGAGTTGACGCAAAGAACCGACCAAGCCACAGCTGCTCTACAAGCAGTGACTGCGGAAAAGGAAGCATCCGAAGCCCGCTCCCTCGACGCAACCAACATGCTCAACGCAAAAGAAGAGGAATTCCGCAAACTCGAAGGTGAAATCGTCCGCCTAACCACCGAACTCACCTTCGCCAAAGCCGAACTCGATGGCGCCTACGGCACCCGCGCCCAGCGCGCCGCCGACTCTGCCGCCAACCCAGCCATCAAAAAGGAACTCGACGAGCTTGCCGACCAAAACCAGGCCCTTCGCGGCGAACTCGAGGCCCTCCGCAAAGTCCAAGACGTGGCCTCCCAGTCTGAAGCCGAAGCCCGCCAGTCCGAGCGCAATCTCAAAGCCGAACTCTCTGCCATGGCAGCGGAGTACGAGGCACTCACTCGTGATGCCATTGCCAATGAAAAGGATCGCGATGCGCTTGAGTCTCAGATTGACAAGCTGAGGGATGACAAGGAGGCACTTGAGCGCGAGCTTAGCGATGAGAAGGTCAAATGGTTGGGCATCAGGAGTCCTGGTACTCCGATGGGGACTGGGTCTGGAGCTATGCAGCTGGAGATGGGAGCTACGAGTATTAGGATGTTGAGAGAGGATTTTAGGAAAATGATGAGGGATCGGACTGCCGAGGGGTTGAAGGCTTTGAGGGTATGTTTTTTTTTCTCTTTTTTCTCTTCTTCTTTTCCTTCCTCTCGTGTTGTTTTTTTTTGTTGAGGCGTCGGTGTGGCTAACGTGACTCCATTTAGGCGGAACAGGAAGAACGCAGAAAGCTGGAGGCCGTCGTGAGACAGTTGCGCAAGGAGTCGTTGCCGCAGCGGTCGAATCTTTCCAGGACCATGACGACGCCGCATTAGGACTCATAATTCCCCTTTGTCCCTCACAGCCCCCTTTTTTTGGGCAAAGGGCGGCGAAGATATGACGTTGTTTTTGTTAAGATAGAAAGATGCTGATTTACGTTTATTCCTTTTTTTTTTCCAATTTTTTTTTCTAGCCGGAACCGGGGGTTTTTTTCCTTCCCTTTCTACGCATCAATTGGAAAAGATAAATCCTCATGTAATCTGTTTTGTTATACCCTTATTTACTCTTCTTCTTTCCATTTCTCTCCTGTTCCCCGAGAGGGAATGTTTTGTGTAAATCTTTTGTTCCTTTCGGTTGCCCTTTTTCTACGCATTTTTGCATATTCATCGTGGTACGCAAAGGTAGAATCTGAGTACGTAGTCTAGACTTCTTTCATCGGCGTTGAGGGAGAATCCGGTCTACAAAGGGGTTAGGTAAGTAACGGGACATGTACGCAGGTATAGAATACTTGAAAAAATGTTTAATGTCATGTTCATCCTCATGCCTACTTCTATGTTTTCTTCTATCTGTGAGTTGACTACGTTCAAGCTTCAGGCTTCAATAGCAATGCTTGGACCCACATCCTTGATCCTCCCTTCCAACCTTGGTGCAATAGCTCGTGTCCAATTGACCTGGAACTCGCCGCCACCCAGCTCATCGCAGAGCGAAGGGTTGCCCTTGAGACCTGCTACGCGCCACCATTTGCGCATTACGCGGCGAATCATTTCGATCTGGTGGTCTGAGAACTTGATAGGCTTCGATTTGTCTTCTGCAACCAAGGGCCCGTCGTCTTCGTCCTCGTCAGCATCCGGGTCTGACGATTCCGACGAATCAGGCGGACTGGACTGGCCGACGACTCTACTTATGCTGGGGTGCTGGACGGGTGTGGATTTGTCTGGTGAACGAGGTGAAGGGTCGTGGAATGCGTGGCCATGGTTTTTCTGGAGATTAGTTTGGATAGAGTTGAATTTGTTGTTCATTGAGTCACCCCAGCGCTTCCATTTGCCCATCACTTTGAGCGACATGAAGTATTGACGCAGGATGGTGGAGATTAGAACGCCATTTTCTTCGGATACGATTTCTTTGGCGACGCCGCCTTCTTCTTCGATTAGGAGGGATGTGTAGCCATCTGCGGAAATGTTAGTAAAGGAGGTTTTGGGTGCTGTTAGCAAAGACGAGAGACGACGACGTACCTTTTCCACGGCCCATATATCCCCTCGTAGCTAGCATGTACTCTCTCGTCTCATCCACCGGCTCCTCACCAATTGTAACGCTCTTGATGCGCGAGTGAGGCGGCTGTGAGTAGTCCGCTTCGAAGGTAATGTTTGAGACTTGGGGGAATCGGCCTTCCAAAGCTGGATAGTTGCTCACACCATTCTCCAGTGCTTCTCGTATCGCTTTGCCAGTGACTTTGAGAACAACGACAGGATCCTCAAACGGAAAGCAATTGACGAGGTCCCTCAGTTTCAGTACGCCAGGCGGGTAAATTTGATCGCCCCGGATAGTTCCTGCTGCCATGATGCAGCAGTCGGCTGAGTAGTAGTATCGCATAAGATCACAGACAAAGTTGCCTATGTTTGACTCCTTTGTTCGTACAGTGGTGAATCTGGCGTCGAGAGGCGCGGCAGTGTATCCGATCGGCTTATCCAGCCTCTTCCTAATCTCTCGAGTCTGCTCCTCAACCAACTCCATGGCCTGTGGGTCTTGAGGTATGCTGCTGACGACATCGCGTCGCACAATCTTAAAGTCCCAACCCTTACCCTCTGGTCTTCGCCATGCTTCGATATGTGAAAGCTGCTTGAAATCTGTGCCAGACCTCAGTACCTGTGTCCCGTTGATGAAATTGTACGAGTAGTAGTGGTCGTGACCACCGAGGATTATGTCAATCAACTCTCCTCCGCACTGCTTTGCCAACTTGTTGTCATTTGGCTCACGCTGATGCGATACGCAAACGATAATCTCAGCACCCTGCTCTCTCAATCCCGGAATGAGCTCCTTTGCCGTCTCTGACGCGCTCTTGTAGATGATATCTGGTGGCAGAGAGTTGATTGTATCGAGCCACTCTCGTTCAGCAAGTCCAATAACACCCACCTTGATGCCGTTGGATGCCGTGAGGATAACTGTTTTCTCCGCGTTTCCGAGCGGTACGCCGTCGCCGAGGGCTGGGTCATGAACGTTGGCAAGAAGCCATGGGAAGTTGCATTTTCCTGTGAGGTAGCGGTACTGCTTGACGCCAAAATCGAGGTCATGGTTCTGGTTGAGGGTCAGATATGGCTGAACTCAAGGAGATGGATGTACGTACACCAACGCAAGACACGTCTGTACCAATAGTGTTGAGTACAGGTACCATGTGACGGCCTGATTGTGTCCGTTAGATTCATCTCTCAACAAGGCTCAATATCTTAGTTTGCTGACCTTTGGTGATGCTGCTTTCAATGCTTGGATTGAAGGCATCTCCTGAGAAGAAGGTCAAGAGCTTTGGCTGCCCTTGGAACCTCTCATCGTCACGGTAGTAATTGACTAGAGTCTGAAACCTCGCATAACCTCCAACTGGCTCTCTAGATCCAGCCTCGACATGGTAAACATCATTGTAATGTAGGAAGCGAAGGTCTGGCGGGGCGTTTTGGACCCCGCCTGGAGGCTCGCAGATGAGCTGTTCCTCAGCTGAAGGGGTTTCTGATGGTGCCATTGCAGAGTCGACAGAAGGAATTGAAGAAGAACCGGACAACAAACCAACAATCTATGGAATTGAAGCACTTATGTCCACCTCTTCAAGCGGTGAGATATGCTGCATCATTGCTGCGAGTTAGCGCGCCAGGGTCCGGATGGCCCGTTTGGCTGTACTGCATGGCATTTGTACAGTAGCCAATCACAGCGAGGCAGTTTCACGACAGCAGTGGATCTCCAGGGGCAGTGCTGGGGTTGGCGGGGACCCGGCAGACAGCCCACAAACGACCAAGTAAGTACATGCACACGCGTCAGACCCTTCGGCTTCACCACTCACGACACAACTAACAGCACGTCAAAACATGATTATCTACAATCAGCTATGCTACACAAAGGGACTATGATGATGGGCTCATATGCAATTATAGCAATGAGAACTCGAGGATGCGCTTCTCAATGCAGGATCCAACCATGCAAAACGCCAAATAGTCGGCCACAACGGACATCGCACGCCCAACTACCACGGTGGCAGCAAAGACAGCGCCACGATACCTGCTTTTCCAAAAAAGAAAAGAAAACGCCGCCAGAACCCACACAAAAGAATCAAAAGAAAACCAGACCCAGGCCAGAAGCCCTCAGAGAGCATTCCAACCATCCCAGAGATTTAACCTAGCCTTGCCCTTTCCCTTGGGGCCTTGCCTAGACCCAGCTGTCGCCGGACCCGTCCCAGAACGCCTTGAACTCCTTCCTAATTCCTATTGTCTACTGCTTCCCGGGCGGCCCCCCTTGGCCTTGGCTTTGGCATGCGTGTCCTTGCACTCGTCGCTGCAGAACCACTTCGCCCGCCCCGTAGGCGGCTTCTCCAGGTGTACGCAGCCGAGATGGAACCACTCGCGCGGGCAGTCATCGTTGTCACAGGCAATCATGTTGCCATATGACACTTCATTGCAATAGCAGTATCGGGGCTCGTCTCCGTCTTCTTCCGATTCCACCTCAGCCTCAGCTTCCGGCTCGGCTTCTTGATAGTCTTGTTCTTGTGCAACAGAGCTTGCCGCCGACGATGTAGGGTTTGATTTGACCTGGGATGTGGCCTTCATCGCTGGAGATGCATTTCCAGCATTCGTGTTTTGTTGTGCGTTCTTCTTCTGGCCCCGTTTCGACACGGTGCCAGTAGTCGTACTGTTGTTCTCTGACGATGTGTTGGAGCCGCCATTGTTCGCATTGCGGCTGCTGCGGCTCCGTGACATGGCTACCTCAGGAAAGGCGCCGACAACGGGCGTCGAAGTCTTAGATGTTCGGCCGGGTCGGCCTGAGGCTGGGGCCGGCGCAGGGGTATCAATCTCCATGCTTTCTGGCTCTGGCTGCCCCACGTCTTCCACCTTCATATTTGATGTTTCAAATGTTGGCTGTGCGTCTGCAGGCTCCTTCGGAGTTGATGTCACTTTTGTTGAGGCATTATCCCGCGTAATGCCAGCAGCTTGCTCGATTTCGGCAATCACATTGCTAGTTGGAATCTGTTGTACAGAATGGGAAGAAGACGGTCGACGTCCCGGTGGGACATCTTGATCTTTGCCTGATGTCACAGACGTTGCCGTAGAATTCTTGCGAGCCCGCGCCGACAGGGGTCGATCTGCTGCGCCGGCAGTGGCTTTGCTAATGGCAAAGTTAGCAGCAAGGGGTGACGCAGCCATAGGGGGCGAGTATGGCGGCATTGGGTTCTTGCGTTGCGCGGGCGCAGGAGCTGCTCGTGGCTTGCGCTTCGCGGCGCTGTTCTCTGGGACTGGCGTGCCTCGCGGGCTTGATCCACCCCGCGCTCCATTGCTGACAGCTTTCAGGGCACTGCTTGTGGACCGTTCCATAGGAGGAGCAGCCGGCACCGCTGCAGCGAGGGCCTTTTCCGTCTTCTTTCGCTTGCCGTTGGTACCTGCACCATTGCTCGATATACCCAGGCCAATCCCTCTATTTTCAGGTGTGGGCGCCGTCTCCGCAGGTGCTGGCTTCCTCTTCTGGGGTTTCTTTGCTGGTCGGTCATCAAAGTCCGAATCAACCTGCTGGTGCCGATTGCGTTTATTCGCGTGCATCGCCTCGCGCCGGGCCTCGCTTTTTGCAGCAATGGAGTCGACATCATGCACGTGTTGGGCCGCTGCCGCAAGGTTGTTTGCCGCTGCCACTTCACGCCGCTGCCGTTCGTGGGACTGGCCGCCCTTTTTCTTTTCCTCCTTGTCTGCATAAGCCCAGTGGGTGAGGCTACCGTATCGTGCTTCGTCGCTGATTTCGCCATCGAGCTGCGCGTATGAGTGGTGCATCCGCATGAGGCCTTTGTCTTTGGTGGCTTTTGCGCCCTGAAGCACTACCAGTTTCTCGTCGAGCGTAGGGAGCATGTTTGCGATGAGCATGCGCAGGCGATAGAAGAGCTGGCGCTTTCGTATTGTGGCCTGCTCTTCCGGGGAGAGGGTTTCAGGGTTCTGGGACGGCTGCAGGTGTTAAGCTTTTACAGCTACCCTATGTGACGTCGGGACTTACGTTGGCGCTGTTTTCCGCTCCCGCTGCATTCTGGCCGGCGGCCGATGCTTGGGCCCTTGTTGTGACGGGCTGGTGGGCAATCTCGTCGAGCAACTCCTCGAGCAAGTGTTCCGGGTCGTGTAGTTTAGCCTCGACCTCCTTGAACATGGAAAAGTGCTTGATAATTTCCTTGGGGAACGCATCGACGGCGCCTGTGAAGTGTGTGAGGGCTGGCAGGAAGCCAGGCGCGCTGGTCGAGGCCTCGGGTGTCTGTTCCATTCCGCTAGCAGCAAGTCGTCCAGCAAATGTGCGCGCATAGTAGTTTGTAGGTCGGACCGTGGCCCTGCCCTGTCTCGTAGAGGTTCGTGTGCCTATGTTGGGCGGCATCGTGGCTGGAGGAGCACTGGGTCGGGTGGATGGCGTGGGAGAGGCCGCGAACGCGCTCAGCCCAGAAGAGAGTGGGTAGGATGGACTTTTGTGATAGAAATGACGTATGGGCGCATGTCAAGCGACGAGAGAGAGTTTGCTGGCGTGCCCAGCGATTTGCTTGTCGGAGAAACAGAATGCAGCGTTGACCAGGAGCTCCTCACTACCCGTCGACAAGCGCGAAAAGACGCCAAGGCTGTTGACGGAATTGAGCCTCTTCGCGCACGTGTGTCCGTTATCGCTGCTAGCTCCCCCCGATAGGTGACTAAGCAGAGGCAACCTCGCTTTCCAACTTGGCTCGACTTTTCCCATTCCAAAATGCATCATCTCAAGACAGATTTTCTTTGTTTGCGCTAATCTGTCTAGGATTTCTGGTGTGGATCCTCGTTATGGTGATGGGTTTCATAGGCGTAGGTCGACCCATAACTCCTTCACTTGTCGAAGTCTCTCTAGAAGACCACTGTCGGCGCCGATCGAGACGACTGTGTCTCTCCATCACTGGTTGTCTGGACTACGGAATTGTAACATGTCCAAATTCAGTTACCAGACATTGTATGGTCCTCGAGCACTTGATCAAACCAAGCTTCAGGTGCCGTTGGCTGCCCGGAGACTCGACTTGGAAAAATCAGAGGTGCAGGGCTTTTGTTCAATTTGCTGTCCGAAGGTGACCGGATGTTCATATATATTAACCAATCAGCTATGGGGTACAATTCTAAGTCCCTAAAGCGGCTTTGTAGCTGTGACTCGGTAGCTTTGTCGAATGGGATAGTATACTTAGGTGGTCGCTTCCAAACTCATTACTTCCTACCATAACAGCCACTTTCTAATTCTAAATCTTGATATTTGCACACGTACGCACAACTAAGTTCCTTTGTCTATTCAACTTTTGTCGATTCTAGAGGTGATAGTCCTTCGAATCGTTTTCAGTCTTTGTGGGCACCGCCAGGAGATTCCGTCATGTCTCTCTCGCGTTCGTCTTGTACTATCTTCGTTGGGGATCATTCCAAAACCACAATACGTGGTAGTTTGCAATTGCTGCATTAGTTTGTTCAATGACTAATATGTAGTCATCTTGGTCAAGTCTGATCGTGCGTGATGGTCAATTCATGGTGCGGAGGCATGGGGGCCACATGCAAACGGGGCACTGGGCAGTCACCTGGCAGGTCATCGTATCCCATAGACTTCACAGCTGGCTTCAATTGCGAGGCACATGGTTGTTTGATGTGCCTCATCTGGTCTTGAGCCATTCTCGTCGAATCGTACGTCACAGCAGTGAATTACGGCTGCATCATGCAGTTCATCACTACGCGTCAATGAGGGCGAGCTGGCCAAGCTTTGACTCAAACGGCGGGACTATTGTTACTGGGGACTTGAATTCACTACTTGTCTGCCTGCCGCAATCCTACCGCCACGTACTCTCTCCCCCACCTCAAAAACCTCTCGCTCAGCATCGTCGAGACCTCGTCCGGGACTGAACGCTGTCAAAGCCAATAGACTAACATTTGCCAGTCACTATATCTCACCACCATTCTGTACTAGATTTCTTTTTAACAGCGCTTTCAGCATGTCCACCAATTGCAAGGTTGATCTCCCGACCAATCCCCTCCCGACTGAGATCACTAGGGCTGAGATCATCCGCAATGCCATGAGCCTCAACAACCTCTTGAACAAGCCAACTGCGAATCCAAAGGGGAGCGAGGCAGATGAACCCGATTCGCCTCATGATCCACTCACGACTGTGAAAGATAGTGTCCCGTCGCCTAGTGTGTCATCAGACACCCTCGTGACCGAGCCAGTAAGTGTTTGCATCTCTGGGCATTTGGTTTTGGAGCCCCTCTTGCGGCACCACTGCAACGCGCTCCAGCAAATGCTTAGAACAGAGACTAAACAAGCTTCGCGTGAGCAGGTATTGCCTGATAGTATTTCAGAGCAAGCAGATGAAGACGTCCCCGATTCCCAGCGTGAATTCATCTGCATGAACGACCGACACACACGCTGCCAGACCGGTCAGTATACCAAAGACCTGTCGCGCAAAGTCATTTCGGATCACTTTGGCCGCAACAAGACCTGTACGCGTGACATTACCGAGTGGCCACTCTTCTGCCGCAAGCACTACCAGCGTGCGACGTACGACAAGGCAAAGTGGCAGATCCGCAAGGCCCACCTCATTCTGCGCCAGTTCGACATCATTGAGAAGCAGTTCCCTGGTACCACCTACAAGGTCACCCTCAAGAAGTCCGAGGAAATCCGTCTGAACCAGTATTCGCGTCAAGTGGCCTCAGGTATGAGCGCCAAAGACGCTGAGAAGTGCGTTGCGCCTGTTGTTGGCAAGCACTTTGAGGCGCCCGTCGAAGTGCTCCGTGAGTTGGACCTGTCGCTTGGCCGTGGCAAGACCTACAAGGAAGTTCGAGATATTGTCGACGTCATTCTCCAGATGCTTGAAGGAAACGAGTGCGAGCAGGTTCCTGCTATTGAATTTCTTCCCGAGCTCCCCGCCAAGAGTGTGTCGCCCGTGACGGTCCCGACCAAGGCTCCCGTTGCAAAGTCAACAAGGTCTTCCAAGCGCGTCTCCAACAAGGGTTCTATCAAGAAGACGAGCCAGAAGGCTTAGAAGGTGCTGTCCTTGCATCATCTGGGTTTGTGGTCTCTTGTAGGTTTGTATACTCATTTGTTCCTCTCATACATTGCCCTGATGTTTGTCAATTTATCTCCAATCTTTTCTTTGTATACCAACGGTGCTGACCTCTTACCATCTGCAGCAGAATTAGCCACTCAGTTTCTTCCTTCTTTCCATTCTACTACCATACGCAGTCACCGCTCCATCCGCTTCGAGCAAATCAGCAAGACTGTCTGTATGGGAAATTGTATTGTATAAACTTTTGTCGGGTTCGATTTCTACAACATCTTGTATTGTAACCGAGGGGAGGACAGGAGGACAGTCCCTCTGGAAACCCTTGGTTAGGGTCATGCGATAGACATTACTGATGCATCTTACACGCGTTTGGCGTGCATGGGTATGGGATAGGATCACAGAGGCGATGGCGGATGTGGGATTATTGCCTGCAACATCATGTAACTGTATTAGGAATTCATAATTGTAAAGACTTTTGCATCTTGTTTGATGTGCGTGTTGTGACTGACCAGTAGTCTTTACCTAGATTGATGCTGCAACGTTCTGCCTCGCGCCCTGATCTTTCGAACTGTACTCGAAAACCCTGCTTTTCCAATGATATATATCAAGTCAATTGCGGGGGATCCGGTTTGTGGTGAAGGTGAGAGGATATAGGGCACTAGCTCGACGAAGCTCATCCTCACCGTAAGGCCTCGCGAAGCGACACAATGACTCTCGCAAATCTCTTTTTTTTCGATATACTCTTACTCGCAATCAAAATCGTACTATATTCTCTTACCTTGGTGACACCCAGGGATGTACTCCGGCCTTTAAATTAGAGCAACGCAATCCACTAACATCTTTCAGATTCACCATGCGTGAAATCTTACCATATCAAGGCCCATTTAGCTTCGTTTCGAGCCGATTGGAAACCGACATCAAGAGCGTCCTACCCCACTACGACAAGAAGAATCCAAGGACATGGCCTTATGTCACTCTGGCGACCATCGAGGAGCGTCGCCCCTACTACGGCTACCCAGATCTTCCAGCCGGCGTTGCTTACCAGCGGTCAGTCTTGCTGCGATACCACGCCTTGTATTCGGCTGAAGATCGGAAGCAAAGCGCTTCCCTAAATGGTTCCTTTCACGAAAGATATCCTTGCAACTACGATCAATACGATCAGCTGAAGGACTGGGTGGGCATGTCCAAGGCGGAGTATCAGAGATACATGGAAAACGCCGCCGAAGACATCAACGACATCACAGAAGACGCATACTATGATGGGCTACGCCTTCCACTGCGCCAACCGGTTCCTACAAGGGGGGACAGAACTCTGAAGGGCGAGTGCTGCGCAAACAGCAGATGCATCGAAACCAGACGCGAAGCCGCCAAACTCCGAAAGGAACTCTCGCACAAGGAAAGCCAACTCATGAACTCTCAGCAGAGCCTCAAAGAATTCGAAGCCATCGAAGAACGCAGACACAATGTGTCAAGCCACGTACAGGCCGAACTCGAGAGGCAGCGACAACGTGCAGGTGCAGCAGAGCGGGAGTACGAGATCTGCAGGGCAAACAATATCAACCTGTTATGGCGGGTACGGGAGCTAGAAAGACAGGCGGCTCAGAAGGATGAGCTGGAAGCGTATTGCAGTCAGCTGGAGGAGGAAGTTGATGTGCTCAAAGGGAAGCAAAGGCGAGATGTTGTGGAGTCTGATCCTGATGAGGATTTGATGGAGGGTTATATATCTAGTGCTAAGAAGACGAGGTCGTCCAGTGTAGATTGGTCGTAGGGAATCGAGGCCGAGATGTAGGAAATGCTGTAGATACAAGGAGCATTCGAGTGTGTAAGAACAAAGTGAAGTCGAGGATGCCGCGGAGTTGCCGCAGGTCGGGTTCGGCAGCGCTAGGCCGTTTCTATGACAGTTCACAGGTCGTATTCCCCGCCCTTTTGCGTCATCCTCACACTTTGTTATTTGTGGCTCGAATACTGCGGGGCACCACTTGAATGAGTAAGTAACAAGTCCGCTATTTAGACTTGGCTGGGCACTTTGCTTATCAAAGCGCACCCTATGGCTTTATTCGGTCTGGCATTGCCACTACAACCGGATGGAGATTTAAGATTTTACAGTCTGCAAAATAACAGCATTAATTGAACTGTAGTAACCGCAGCTCTCTTTTGGGCATCTGGATATTTTGGTTCCGGGATTGCAGCTCGCGAGGCGCAACGACACCACGAAAATGGCGCCTTCACGCACCACCCAAGCTGCAGTCATACTGTCAGCATTTGTCCTGCCCATCCTCACTTATCTGTATTTCACCAGGAGCCAGCAGTCGAAGAAGAAAGTTGGGCCTCTACCCCCACCGACAGAAATTATCTCGCTCTTGATTCACCCAATCAAATCATGTCATGGGATATCAGTACAGTCGGCAAAGCTTTTACCCACAGGCCTCGATCTCGGTATACATCTTCCCCATATAATGACAATACTAAATTCGAGGATACTAACCATGCTAGATCGTCAATGGATGTGGGTGACGTACCCAGAATATGAATTCCTCACCATCCGCGAAAACTCCAAAATGACCTTGATTCGCCCTGCCTACGACGAATCGACTGATACTCTGACCGTCACCGCACCAGCACCGAACTCGATAAATGAGAAGCTTGAGTTTTCTATTCCGGCGCATCCATCGAAGGAGTGGCTTGATGAAAACACTGAAGTCCATTCCGCGAAGATCTGGAGCACTACGACGGGAACCCGTGTCTACTCTCCCGAGCTGACTGCCCCCTTTAACGCCTTCTTCGACAGGGAAGTACGACTCGTGTGTAAACCGCCCGTGTCCGACGATCCTCGGCCACTCCGCTCAAATGGAGCACCCGCTGTCCTAGGGAGAGAGGCATCGACTTGTTTTCCAGATCTGATGCCCATCCTAGTTGCCAACAAGAGTAGCATCGATGAACTCAACACGCGTCTTAAAGCAGCCGCAGAACATAGCGTTGATGTCCGCCGTTTCCGGCCCAACATTATTGTCAAAGGCGAGAGCAATTCACCTTGGGATGAAGATCGCTGGAAGACTATCAAGATTACACCAACGTCTAGCGAGCAACCTATTGTCCTGGACATTACCCAGCGATGCGCACGCTGCCATGTACCTAATGTTGACCCGGATACGGCTGAGGAAAACAAGAAGCAGCCGTGGGATATATTGATGAAGTACCGGAGGATTGACGAGGGCATCACGTACAAGCCCTGCTATGGCATGTTGGCTGTGCCCAGGACGGTGGGAGAAGTAAGGGTGGGGATGAAGTTCGAGGTGACGGAAGTAACTGATGAGCATCGATACATTACTGGTTTCTAGACTGTTGAGTAGTTGTGATAGCTCAATGATGGTGTTGCTACCAAGAACAATTGCATGGCTTGAGCAACAGCCTGCCTTAGCTAGAGGGCACGTGCGAAGATATGTCTCTGGTCCAACTACTTGCGTACTATCTCCTCCCATGACCAGACATTCCCAACATGGAACCGTACGCGACAGGCGCATCGCAGCGCGGGTAAAACGCAGGAGGGCCGGCGACCCGAGGCAGATTGATTGCCAAATCTCGTTCTTCCTCGCACAAAAGAGAGCGGCTGCATGGGGTGGGCGGAGCGGAAGAATGCACGGCTAAACACCCAACGTCACCACAAGCTCGTCACAACATCCAACACGGGACGAAACATGTGTAAACGCGCGCCATTTGAGCAGAGGCTGGTGGAGATTCCTATGAACCGTCTTGGATGCCCAAGTGAAGAGAGCTTGGCCTTGGGGGGATAGCCGTGCCGGCGGGTAAATAGGGAGGCATCTTGTCCGGTGGGAGAGGATGAGGGGAGGGAGGGAACCGTGGGGCAGCAGGAATACCCCTCCATTCATAAGAACAGGGCTTGTCTGTGAGATACAATCCATTCAAACCATTTATTTTCTTTTTTTTCTCCTCGAGATCCGTCCAACATCTACCTATCAAAGCAAATACAAAGACGCTATTTATCGTAAAGTATAAGAGAGAAGAAGAAAAAAGAGCAAAAGAGGAACAACACCAAGCATGGCGGACAAAGACCCCATCGTAACCCACATCTTCACCGCAGACCCCTCTGCCCACGTCTTCAACAACAAACTCTACATCTACCCCTCGCACGACCGCGAGTCCAACATCCCCAACAACGACAATGGCGACCAATACGACATGAACGACTACCACGTCCTCAGCATGGACTCTGTCGGCGGGCCCGTCACCGACCACGGCGTCGCCCTCCGCCAGGAAGACATTCCCTGGGTCAGCAAGCAACTGTGGGCGCCCGACGCGGCCACCAAGAACGGAAAGTACTATCTCTTCTTCCCGGCCCGCGACAAGGAGGGCGTTTTCCGCGTGGGCGTCGCCGAGGGCGACACGCCCGAGGGCCCCTTTAAGCCCGAGCCCGAGCCGATCAAGGGAAGCTTCAGCATCGATCCCGCCGTCTTTGTCGACGACGACGGCGCCGCCTACCTGTACTTTGGCGGCATCTGGGGCGGCCAGCTGCAGTGCTGGCAGACGGGCAAGTTTGAGCGCAGCGCCTACGAGACCATGGAGGCCCAGTCTGGTCCTGCTCTCTGCGCCAAAGTAGGCAAGCTGACGGACGACATGAAGAGTTTCGCCACCGACGTGACGGATGTTGTCATTCTGGATGAGCAGGGCAACCAGCTTCAAGCCCAGGATCACGACAGGCGCTTCTTCGAGGCCGCCTGGTTGCACAAGTACAACGGAAAGTACTACTTTTCCTACTCGACTGGAGATACCCATTACCTTTGCTATGCCATTGGAGATTCCCCACTCGGCCCCTTTACCTACGGCGGAAGGATCCTCGAGCCCGTAATCGGCTGGACGACGCACCATAGTATTGCAGAGTTCAAGGGCAAGTGGTACTTGTTCTACCACGACTCGAGTCTGAGCAAAGGCGTCAATCACCTGCGGTGCGTCAAGATTCGCGAGATTGTCTATGACGAGGCGGGCAAGATTAAGTTGGCCGAGAGCCAGCCAAAGGTTGAGAGTTAGCTAGAAATTATCTTGAACTCTTTTTTTTTTGGTTCCAATTGAAAAATTTTCTTTGTAGTTACTTTACATGGAATTTCTATTCCATATTACCGGGATATATATGTATATATATATATATATATATCCATCCATCCCTAAAACGCCTTGGAATGCTTTCCGCCATCAAAAAAATAATAATAATAAAAACTTCCCAATCATCCAACCGACCGTTTACCATGTACCGACCCGCCCAACCTCACTTTCGCCATAACCTGCACCCTCTTCGTCTCCGCATCCTTCTCCCCTTCATGCAACCACACCCCCTTCCCATCCCCAAACACGCCCTTCAAATCCTCCACCGAACCACACACCCCATCTGCCTCCCCCCACGGCAACCAGCTCTGCCCCACCGCCGTCCACACGCCGCCCCGTCCCCCGCGCGCATCCCACATGCGATCCCCCCCAACGGCAGACTCGTGGTACCCCACCGCCGACTGCGGCGCGCGAAAGTAAACGCGGAGTAACGCGCGACGATACTCTGTGTACCAAAGCGAATCCCATGTTATCTTGGATGGGGCGAGGTTGGGCCCGCGAGGTAGCTGTGCGTCGAGGGTGACGGGCATGGCGCCCGTGTAGGTGTTTTGCACGAGGGGTACGTCGGTCCAGGCGACGTTGCGGTCGGGTAACGTGTCGAGGTTTGCGTCGTAGTCGAGGTTTTTGATGTGTGTGGAGCGGTTGTGCGGGGAGGGGCTGGGTTTTGCTAGGTCGGGGCGCCAGAAGGGTGTGGTTGTGTGGTTGAGCGAGGCTGGAGGGGAGAGGTAGGATGGGTCGCGGTTGAAGTGGGTGTAGCTGGTTATGTTGTTGTTGGTGTTGTGGACCATGGGGATGAGTTCGTCTGGGGTGGTGTAGAGGAGGGGTTGGAAGAGGGTGTGGGTGTAGTCGAGGCCGATAGAAAATTCTCGTCTGGTGAAGTTGGAGAGTTCGAGTTCGAGTTTGGCTTGGTTTATTCTGCGTCTGGCTGCAGATTTTCTCCATCCGCCATTGAACAAGTTTCTGAGCTTTGCGCCAGGAGATCTGGTTTCTACCTCGACGGCATCGCGACTCAATTGTTGTTCTGCAAATAGCGTAGCAAACACGGACTGAGTGGTCGGCGACTGACTCTTACGATCCAGAAACTTCTTCTGCGCAGCCTGGTACAACTCTCTAAAATCTCTCGCCGGACCCATGGCCATCCTGGCGTTTATAAACTTGGCGGGCGTATCCGATATCAGCCGACCAGTCTCGGTGGTGTACAAGTTGTCGGGAGATGGCGATAGTGGTACATATTTGCATGCCTTGTCGTCGCCCTCGCACATCTTCTCTGCTCCAAATACAATCGTCTGATTGAACTTCTGAAACCCATTCTCGTCAGTTCCATATCTTTTCAATAGCCGTAAATTGCCATCTTCAAGCAATTGCTTGTACTGCTCAATCATCACATCGCTTGGAAGCTGGAACCATGTCTGCTGTGCATCAACGATGAGCACCAGGTCCTTATCCTTGACCAACTTCGTATTGCTCAGGTAATGCAGCGTGTCGTTGAGAATCGCCTCATGTCGCTTTTCACTCGTCCCATGGCCGGAATTTAACTGTACCACAGTCGGTGGAGGATAGTTGAGCAGCATGGCAGACAGTGTCGATTTGCAAAAGTTACTTGACTCGTACTCAAACGGCATGATGAGGTGGAAGTTGGGCGTTGTCTTTTTAAGTTTTGCCGGTACATGGTCGATTTGGCCGTTTTCAATCTGTAACGTCAAGTTCGAGGGTGTCTTGAATGACGAGCTTATGGATTCAGGCAGGGGAGGAAGGTATGCTTTCCAGTGATGATATGAAGGTATGCCTCTGTATCTCGATGACAGTTCCTACAATGGTATTAGTGTACCGTCTGCTTCCATGGACGTTGGGTGAGGGTTGCGGCATACCTCACGGTGTTTCATGCCTGCCAGCCCTAGAAAAACCGAGAATAACACAGCCATCATAACCACCATCCTTCCCCTCTTCGTACACACCCATTGTATCGCCGCCCCGCCTACCTCCCTTGGCGATGGCGTGGGTGAGGTGACTTTTGAGGTAAGTAAATCGCCCCCCATACTGGCCTGCCAAGAAAGTCTCCTAGTAGAGACTAAGGGTCCCCGGCCCTGGCAAGTCGCAACAACACAAGAGGAAAGAAAGAGCAAAAGATTATTTGCGTTCCGACTCTCCTGGTCGAGTAACCACGACATATGTATTGCAATACAAGGTACTGACCAACTACTGCCATAACGGGGTTTATCTCACTGTGCACCCTTCCCTGCAACTCTCCACAATTTCACTTCTCGACTTTTTCGTCGTAGCCAGCTTACGTCACGGGCCGCCGATGAACGCGCGGACGTCCCCACCGACCGGTGCATTGGCAATGGCATCACCTGTCTCTACTCTCTCTCTTTCGGGAACTTTTTTTTTGGGTGGATGACAAGGCAATCCAAAGGGAAGGTCGTAATAAGTCGAGGCTGTGAGTAAGGTCGCAAGATGTACCGTGCTGGAGTATCCCCCGCTTGGCTGTACTTACATAGTAGGTCCCTCGGTGAAAGCTACCAGATACCATCTCCATTCGTCATCTGAGGCAAGATTGCTTCGGTAGCTCATTGACCCTTGTGGACATCCGCCATGGGGATCAGCAAACCGTGTCAGCTGAAACATAACTTGTCCTCTGCTAAGAAAGGGGAAAATAGTGGAACCATGATTCCCTCCCCACCCATCACAAGCGTATAACTCTTCCCTTTCCCAGCGTTCTGCACCCCAAGCCAGTTGTCAAACTCCGGCTACCTGAGGTTTCGCAGCTACAACACAAGGGTGTGGCAGTGAACAAGAGTGGTGCATGTTTTAGACGCGCAACGGTTTGAGGTACTAGTAAATGCAATGTTCCTATCTTGGCTGCGCTAGCTCAGAAACGAACGTCTCCTCCCACCACTCAACTGCCACCGCGTTACACTTGTAAGCAGCCCTTGATCAATAGTAGCCATAGACGTATCGTTAATTCTAGATTTTAGATATGTATACTAATTAGACATTGCTCATGCGTGCCATTTCAACCATCATTCCAATCATTCCCAGCTTCAACCGGGGGGGGGGGGGGTATTCATAATGCCGAACCTCGAGACAAGAAAAAACGCCATCGCTACCCAAGACCATAGTACTTCTTCTTCCTCGACAAAAGCGGCTGATGTTTTGAGGCGCTCTTGCTATTCAAACCCTCCATGCCTCTGTCAAGTTTGGTAGGACTGCGCATCCTCATTCCCAACATCCAACCAGACACCCAACGCTGCCCGTCCGTTCGCGCAGTAATATGGGTCTCATCAACAACAAGCGTTTCCAACCTTTCCGCTACACCTCGAACGCTGTCCTGGCGCGTGTTCCTTCCATATCTAGACACACGTCAGCACACCTGCAAACCCAAAACAAGCGACGGCGCGCTGATCTTAGGCCTGAAGGGTCTGGTACAACTTCAAAGCCTTTGTGCGCACATCTGCGCACTGTTGCAGCGCAACAATGTGCCGTTCCTGTGCCACCTTCCATGTCTCCATGACGCTTTCGTCTTCTTCCATCTTGGCCAAGTAGCTCACAAAGCCAACCTTCTTGGTCGTCTCCCCACGATTGCGAATGAAGTGATCGTCTAGATCCTCCATCTCCACACTCCGTGCAGCAAAGTGCCCAGTGAGAACTTTACAGTAGTTTCGGTACGATTTGACATAAGAGCCCATGCGTTCAAAGTAGTTATCGATCGAGGCCAAATCCAACTTGGCTGGGACAGGAGGTGCCAGGGGTATTTCAGGGTACTTGAGACTCTTTGCTGCATTCGCCTTTATGGGATGCGAGTTGGATGCCTCAGAAGAAAAGGGTAGTGCGTCTCCAACAGATGCCATTCCGCCAAGTCCATTCTTCTGGGGCTCGACGAGCGGTTTGATGAAATCTGGACCGAGACCATTCAGCCCCTCGGCAGGCGGCTTGGCTGTGGTAGTAGAAGGTGGTGCAGTGCTAGAGCCGTTTGGTGTGGTGTTTGGCAGAGTTGTGTTCAGCTTTGGCATTGTAGGCCCCGTTGTTGCGCCCTTTTTGTCTGACGATGGTGGCCCAGAGTCAATATCCATTGCATCCGCATCACCATTTGTTGGCTCTTCAGCAAAAGCTTGGTACTTGGGCCGCGATGCATCTGACTGGCCTTGTGCCTTGGAGGCTCCGTTTTGCTGCACAGACGCCTTTCGCGGCGCTTTTGGCCGCTTTGTAGCTTCTGAAGGACGACGCGGTGAGGTTTCCTTGGCATCGTTGTACACCCAATGCGGATCTTTAAATGTTTCTTGCCAGTCCTGGGGACTGAATTTTGCAGCGTGAGGAGCTACTGGAGGCTGAGCGAAGTTGAGACCAGGGGGTGGCCCAGGAGGTGGAGGAGGTATCGGGTGAGTAGGTGTGAATGGGTTGGGCTGAGCAGCAAATGGATTTCGATCTGTCGCGTTGCGTTGTGAAGCTCTGCCGCGTGTGGGAGAGGTTCGGCCTTTTCCGCTAGCACCTTTTGGTATGTCAGGAGCAAAGTAACTGTTACTGCCTTCGAACTTGCCATGCCAGTCCGAAGGCGAGAATTTCATATTGATGCTCTCCTCACTCCTACTCTTAAAGGTGTTTGGCATATGGTTCGTAGTCCCGTTACTCTGTCGTTTTGGATCAGGCGTCATGAAGCCACTCTGAGCCCAAGTTGGCGGAGGGGGTCTCGAATGTTGCGGCACGGGTGGAGCATCGTGGTGCTTATTGCTCTTTGTGAAAACCTCCGGTTCAGAGTCTGAGTCGCTCGAGTCGGGATAGCCGTGTGCAAAAGATTTATTTGCAGTTCCATTTGCAGCCTTTGCTTGTGCCTTGCGACCCGAATCTGAGTATGCGCCTGCGTCTTGTGACGAGCTGGCCCTGTGGGTGTAGGTCGGTGAATTGCGCACACTAGCCGATCTACCTAGACCCTCAAACACGGATGTTCGCTCTCCCCCAGCGTGAGAGTAGTACGGGGTGCGAACGCGGTTAGCCTCCGAGTACGGGACGTTGTCGGCCTGGCTTTCTTTGGGAGGTGTGGTAGAGTGGGGCGGTGTTGGTGCTGGGCGAGCATAGTTCCTATACGACGATCGCGCCTGTCCCTCATCGACACCAGGCACCGAAGGGTCAAATCCCTGCTTGGAAGAAGGCGCTCTTGTGCTTTGACTTCGGCCAAAGGGAGTGCCGTTGGGGTTATTTGGAGGATTGGAGTATGCGCTGCTGTGGGCATTGTTGCTTTGTTGTCGAGCGTCCTCGCCCCGCGGTTGCTTCATCTTCTGCCATGCTGTAAAGACATTCGCCCGGGCTTCTGCATCTCTGGGCCTTGGGTCTGGTTTTTGCGCAGTTGGAGGCGGGCGGAAGTTCTTGTTTGTAAACCTGTCTGCGCCCGTGGTATACGAGTTTTGGTGTTGGGGTGGCGGGGGACGCTGTGCCTGCGGTCTTGGAGGAGGAGCACGATAGTAGGACCCATTTGGGGTAGTCGTCGTGTATGTGTTGCGCTGGGCGGGAGGCGGTCTTGTTCTCGGCGTGTTGGGCGTGTTTGCGGAGGCAGATGCATTCCGGTATTTCCTCCTCTCTGCGTCATACTTTGCTCGTTGGGTGGGATCACATAGTATCTCGTGTGCAGCCTGGATTTCCTGAAACCGAACAACGAATTCGGCCTCGCGCCCAGGATTGCGATCCGGGTGGTACTGCAGCGCAAGCGTTCGAAAAGCCTTGCGTATCTCGTTTTCAGTGGCTGTGGCAGAGACCTTCAGGTCAGCATAGTAGTTTCGCGTGGGATCGGCTTTGACCATGGCTGCTGCGGCGACGGTTGTCTTGTGAAAGAGGAAGAGAGGAGTTGAGGGCGCTGGGTAGGCGTGGGTGTGCCGGTGCGGTTACTGGGCAGCCTGCAGAGACTTTGCGCTTCACAGCCTTGTATGGGTGCCGGGCAGTGCTGCTCAGATGATGTTGGTTGGCCGGGCGCGTGAACGTCGGAACATTGTGTATAGCCAGGTGAAGCTTTGCGGCAGCAGGAATTCTTAGCACAATCACCTCGTCAGCCGTACGTATCGTCAGTGGTGCAGAGCAGACGCGAGTATTACCTGCGTCGATTGGAGCCTGGGCCGCTTGTTGCGTTGGCGTCGAGGTACTGCAGGCGTTGCGGGTTGGGCTGAGATGTTTTGGCTGCGAGGGGCCCACGGCAACGCTTGCTTCAGCCTACAGGCATCCCTGGTGCAATCCCGAAAGGGCCCCCCAAAAACAACTGCATCAGCTACACATGTATCCAAACCACAGATGCAGAATCGCAACAAACACACACGCTGCATTCCCCGTTTTTGCTCTCATCGCAACACGTCTGACGTCGTTGCTGCAGCTAGCTCACCGGCCCGTCAGCTATCCAAGAAGAAGCCATGCATGTCACTCTGACCTTGCCCAGCCAAGAACCACCTGCATCTGTCAAGCAAATTTCGTCAGACGCAATCATTCCCCCTTCACGGTGACTACAACACGCACGTGACTTCACAAGCAAGGTATCTGGCTCTACGTTTGTCCGTCGTAAACTTCATGAATCCATGGTATTTGATTTTTGAAAGTCCTGCCAGCCTTGATGCTGTTCGGAAGCTACATAGCCCAGGACACCCTATTCCATTCACGCCAGCCCATACGCTTGAAACAATCGACCAGACGTCCCACCAAGCACACCACTCGCTTAGCGCATTTAGCGGTAGCGCCAGAGAGAGAGGGTGTTGTTCCTCTTCCAGGTCTTCCTCCTGCCGGCAGTGGTGTGGTTGAACTTGTGTCCACGGCCAAGACCACGGCTCTTCTTGCCAGTGGCAGTGAGTCCACGGCTCTCGCGGTGCTTGTGGACGGGCTTGACGATCCAGTTGATGCGAGGGTCGCGGCGGATGGCCTTGTGCTGGGGGTCGACGCAGATGACCTCGTAGTACTTGTAGGTCGAGTCCTGGTTGATCCAGTAGGAGTTGAGGACGCGGAGGTTAGCGCAGCGGCGGCCGACACGCTCCTCAGCAGTCGACTTGAGAGAGCGCTGGTACTTGAGCTGGTTGATACCCTGGTTGGTGGGCTTGCCTGTTGGCTTATTAGTCTGTTGCTCTACTTGAAAATTCTGACACTCGAAGCATACCGTAGGTGGCACCCCTGGAAGTAAATGTTAGCTATGCACTTTTGCCCAACACATCGCTGCCAATTGTACGTACTTGGGAGCGGGCCTCTTGCGACCTCCACGGCGGACGCGGATGCGGTAGATAACGTAGCCCTGCTTGGCCTTGTATCCGAGGCGGCGGGCCTTGTCGGGGCGCGAGGGGCGGCTGGCGCGGTGGATGACCTTAAGTTGGCGAAGCTATCGATGCACTCTCAGCAAAGTTCAACGAGTACACCAATTTGAGACAGGCAGTCTCGGGGAATTGTGCTCATACCTCCCAGCACTGTTGAATGTTAGCAGAGTTCATTAACCAGCTCAATCGTCTATACGTACGCGGACGCGCATCAAGAAGCGCATCATATCCGACTGCTTCTTCTTCTGAAGTTCTTCGACATCTACCATGGATTAGCTGCGGGCGTAGAATTGCCAGGTTCGGTGTGCGCTTACACTTGAGGGCACCCATCTGTCACAATGTCAGTATACAGTCTGCAAAAAAAAATCAACAATAGCGTCTCGACGTACCTTGACTGTTGGTTAGTAGATTGTCGACGCTGTCGTGCTGGAGGTGCTGTAAAAGATGGAATACCGATATTTCGCGTAATGTGTGGGGTGGTCAGTGCGTATCCGCTAGTCCTATCGCGTCTGGCGGTGGTGAACTATTGATTGGGCAGAATGGCAGAATGGTGAGAAAATCATAGCTACATTTATTGTGGAGCGCACTGATTTCGCAACAAGCTACATACAGTATAGCACATACCTGGTGAAACTATTCTTGATGGTTTGCCAAGGTTTGCAGCAGGAGCATTCTCAAGACTTAGCAGTGGTCTCTTGCGTGACCTTGTCGTCATGTGTCAAGTGCACTCAGTGGCCTTGGTTCACCGGAAGCCCTTTGGTCATGCGCTTGATTCCCCTTTCCACATTCCTCAGACTCTCCAGCAACTCACAAGCCAGCTGCACCTCCCCACCTACGGTCATGTTCACGTCTCCATTTTCATCAGTCAGTCCTTTCGCATCACCACTTGTTATCTTAGCTCCCGAAACCTTCCTCACATTCTGAAGTGCCACTCTTGCTCCAAATTTGAGGTGATTTTCTGTTTCTTCAATGTCTCGTTTCCATGTATCTGCAATAGGATGTGCTTGGTCTTCTCGGAGCTTCGAGATCGTGCCATCTAGTCGCTTGTATTCGCTGACCAAACTCTGAGAAGCACTGAGGACGTCGGTGATGCATGTGTAAACGGCGTTGCTTGCGATGTTCGTACCCGTAAAGGTTGGCGTATTGTGCTGTGTGCGATGGTTTGGGGTTCTGAGACCCTCGAGTATAGTGGAAGCCAGCTCGTCGTCATGGCGTCTCTACTCCATTTCACTGTAGACACCATCAGCCTTTCTGTTTAGTCCTTCAGCTTCTTTGCATCTTCTTGTGGTTGATTCTCACACCTGTCTGCTCAGCCGTACAATTTCTTCCCTGTACTTGTTCCGGTCGACCGCTAATGTTGCACGGAGCTGATCAAGTCCCTTTTTGTCATGTTGCGGCTTTTCGAGAAGACTACCAAGGCCAAGCATCTGTCTTTGATCACTGTTAGCTGCTGTGTGTTGAGAAAGCTAGCTCAAACACCAACTGGCTTCCAGTCTTATCAAATCTATCATCTTTCCCGAGGTCTGTAGACTGCCAGCCCTCCCTAGCGTTCTTAGTAATTGGTTGAGTATGTTGTTGACACGCCATAATTGAGGTCGTGAATCAGTGTACAGCTGTCGCAGCGAGGTGGGGCGAGTAGCTGAGACAATAGGCTGAAGGGAAGGTGCAACTCAACACAATTTACTACTAGTCATATTGCAAGAGTGTACGTAATGCTATTCGACACATGAAATGCTAGAACTGGGTGAAATATCTGCATGTTACATTCCCTTGCTGGCGGCACGCTTTGTACGCTTCAACGTACGGTTTGTCCGTTGAAAGACATGCATTTTGACAGCTCTGGGTATTAGAGCACAACTGATCACAGAATAAATTGGGAGCATACGATTGGTGCAGAAAGCTTTTATATTTTCGCCCTATAGGCATTTGTTGACAAAAACATGCATGGGGTAATATGGGACTAGCCAGTTTTCCATAAAGGATTTAACTTGTAAAGGACCATCAGTGGGGGAAAGAAGGGACATTAAGGGAATTTTTGGAAGGAAAGTTGAATGGTACGCAGAAGAAAGAAGAAGAGAAGAAGAGAAAAATCGCAAACATGATCGCCATGTTTCCCGATAGTTGGTACGGCCGTTGCCATCATTTCTGGGGCAGTAAACAGTATGAACCGATGTAATATCCATCGTAAAGAAGCCGTGTGCGCCTAAATGATCCCTAAAGCATAGTACTGAAAGAAAGCATAGTCTGGAAGAATCTCTCAAACTGTGGTCGAAACTGATCTTGTCGCACATTCGATCAATCAAGAGAAGAAATGTAGCATATCGTAGAGACAGCTACAAGATCAGAGTTGGTAAATTAGCTGGAACCTTGGGGAGGCCTTGGGGTTGCCACATCTGCGAGCGGACCTAGTTGCCGAGAGACATGTGCTGCATGGCATTCATCAAACCAGGGTCGTAGTTGTTGTTCTGGTGAGCCGCAGTGGTTGTCGTGTGCGCACCGCTACCTGCATAGGCGCCAGAGGTGCCGTTGACTTGTGGTCCAGATGTGCCATAGTAACCACCAGTATTGGACTGACTGCTTCCCGAGGTGTAAGGGACACTGCCACCATACGTTGTAGGTACATGGGGAACGAACGACTGGCCAGCATTTGATGTATAGTTGCGCGAGGTAGCATATCCAGCCGTAGTTGTGGTCGGGACGTAGTTTCCACCGTAAGACGAAGGGTAAGTTGTCGGCGGATAGTAGCCAGCGGCTCCATAGGTCAACTGGCTGCCACTCGCACTCACGTTGGGATAGTAGTTTCGGTACATGTGGGACGCCATCTGCTGACCATGAGGTGCCATCTGCTGACTGTGAGGCGTCATCTGCTGGCCATGAGCCCATGGTTGCATGTTGTACTGAGCCTGTGCGGGATAGGCAGGGATCTGGTGCGAGAAAGCGTGGAAGCCCTCCTCGTAGTTACCGTATGAGGCATGATTACGAGCTTGACCTACTCACAATTAGCAAGTTGACAGGTCGACGGAAGAAGCGATAGACTTACCGTACTGCTGGGCAGGACGATTGGTGTTAGAGCCGAATCCAGGGCCAACAGAAAGCGGGGCATTCGTGTTGGAAGTGATAATCGCTCCAGGGCCAATGGCAGAGGGTGGCGGGATCTGAGACATGCCTGCCGGGTTGACGACAGATGCTGGGTTGACCGCCGACATCCAGATGCGGACCTTGTACTGCTTGAACAAGTCTGTGACGAGCTCGTTGAAGTTAACATACGACTCAGCGTAGTAGAAGTAGGTGAGCTTGTGATAATCACTGAGGTGTGTTAGTAGGTGAAGCCAACATGAGCGCATTAGCACTTACGCTTGGTACTCAGCGTCCAAGATCTCCATAGGCAACTTGTGGTCAGCGGCCTTCTGTGCTCCGAGGCGTTTGGCCTTGGCCTCACCACCTTCCTTCTCACGCAAACCCATGATCTCGTGCTGTTGAGCCAGACGCTTGATAAGCTTTGGCTTAATGACCTCTGGCTCTCCCTGACCTGCCAGTCCAGTGCGGCTCATGGGGTTCGGAAATCCATTAGCACGCGCGAGGGCACCAAGCATTCCCGAATCGTTCTGGGTGCCGGCTAGAGAATACTGGGAGAACATGACAAGCCAGCGGAAGTGCTCGTCGTTCGCCTCGGCCTTCAGCTTCTTAGCTTCCTCCATAGTTACGTCAGCGTGAGTGACCTGGCCCAGATCGCAGCCACGGTCGCCCTCGACGATGACCAGATCACCACGGCGAACCTCAAGACCGGTGTTGTCATATACATAATAGATATCGGCACGAGAACACTTGAACGTGACGACGTACAGGCGACGGTTGGAGCGTCCAAGGATGTTGGGCACTGCGTACGGATTGCCAGCAGACATTGCAGTGTTGGGCACAATCGGATCCGGATGAGCTGCTGAGATAGCCGAGGAATTGATGGCACGAGACGCAGGGCCGTAGCCAGTGAAATAGGCTGCAGCATCAAACGGTTCGTTGTCTTCGTTGGGAGAAGTCTGTCGGGGGGACATGTACTCCTCCTCTTCCTCCTGTGTGTTGCTCAAAGTCGAAAGGGGCATCGTTGAGTTGTAGCTTCCGTAGTGTGCAAACGAGTGGCGACGACCAAGGGGGTCAGCCTCACCTGGGGAGATGTTGCCGGTCGCCCACTGCGGCTTCTGCGGACTATCAACAATTTCAACCTCGTGATCTCGCTTGAGGACTGAGACATGCTCGCTGAAGCGACGAGTGAGTCCAGGAGCAGGGACATTCAACGCCGGGTCGACGTCTTCGAGCTCCTCGATAGCATACTCGGCTGCGTTATTGTAACCGCTGTTGCGTAAGCCAGCCGTTGTCTTACGGCGCTGCTGCTGCAGTTGAAGAACTGGAGAACCAGTGGAGGTGGCTCGGTTACGAGCGCGTGCATTCTCCATGGCGGCTTGCTTCAGCAAAGCTTGCTTCTGCTCGCGCTCCCAGTATCCGGCAGGCAAACGCACACCGTGCTCTGAACCGTTGGATGACTCGATATCGTCAACGTCGTCTTCGCGCAGCTGCGAAAGACCGACCGCAGACTCACCAAGGAGACTTGGCTTAGAAGGCCGGTGACGGAGGCTGGAACTAGGGGGTTGGCGTGAGAAGCGGCTTACAGGGTGGTGCTCGATATCGCCTTGGCCTATGCTATAGGATTGCGATCGGACAGCCTTGCGGAATGGGTTTGGGACCTGCTGGTTGAGGAGAAATCCAATGCCGTCGTCGGCCTCGTGCGTGGTGGTGGGAGAGGCAAGAGGTTTCTCACCAGGCGGGTACGCAGAGGTAGGCGAGGGAGCAACCTCCTTTAGGCGACTGTTTGAACTCGAGGTGAAGCTAGGCGTATTCCAAGGGAATGCCGAAGTGCTAGGGCGCGTCTGCTGCGGCAACTCGAGCGATGGCGTCGTCGGTAGCGATCCTGCAAATGACACTGATGGCAACGAGTATTTGCGGTTCGGCTGGATGTCCTGGAGCCAACCAGAAGAGGGGCGTCGTACTGCAGGGTACGCGCCAGGAGCCTGACGAACGACAGGAGCCACGTGCTCACGATCATCATCACTGGATGCCAAGACATCACTGTCTGGCGTTGGACGGCGCAGCTGCAACTTGGACTTATCAAGGGCGGAACCACCAACGGCCAAGCCGCCTTTGTATGTGTTGGAACTCATATTGATTTGTCTTTGTATTGGATAGATTAGCTACTGCCAAAAGCTTGTACGGCTGGCATGGACGTACCTTGAGATCTAAGGGGTGAATGAATGGGGACTAGGTGGCTGTCTAGTTGCACAATCTCTTTCAAAGAAACTGCACTAAGTAAACCGTATAAGCTCTGTGGCTTGTGGCGGGATATGTAAGAGAATGTGCCGTCTAGGGTAGCGGGTGTGTCTAGAAGACAGTAGTTGTCTGTGAAGGCAAGTGCCTTGTCTGTCAGTACCAGTATTCAAAGGACAAAGCAGCAATGCTAGAGCAGCAGAGGTGAGATAGATAAGGCCGGGAATGGATAGACATGGCATGCGGCACATACCTGGATCGTGGATGTCAAAAATGTAAGTTCTAGTTGTATACGGTGGACAAGTTGGACGACCACGCCACGTGTATAGCAGCCAGTAGGGTTCTTGACACTAGCAAAGGTGCAAACTCTTGAAGCAGAAGCTGTCAAAGCTTCGTGATAGTCTATGAGTGTATGTCAGTGTGACCCGCCGTCAGAAAGGGACGATGACCATGGCAGCTAGCAACAGCAGCAACAGAAGCAGCTCGCGAGACAGGAAGAGATTATAGATGTGATGCTGACTTACCTGGCGTGGTAGGCAACAACTATGTCTGTTGCAATGGAGTCTAGCGGGGTAGCTTGATGCTGCCTCGCCGTTGCTCTACAAGAGCTGAGTGGCGCGGAAGCGTGGAGGAAGGGGATGGTAGTGCAAGTGTGATACACCGCAGAAGCAAGAAGAGGATGGGTTGAAGGGAGCAGAGGTAGGGCCAATGGTAAGAGAGGTGGGGTAGGAGAGTGGATAGAAGGTGAGGAAGGAGGAGGAAAAGGCAGGGGGTCCGTGGGCCAGCGCTATTTTATTGTACTCAGGTGGCTCGACCGTCGCCTAGAGACGTTTGTAGGGAAAGACCGATGGAGATGCTCGCTGTAGGAGCCTCTTGCAATAATGGCTTTAGAGATTACTGTTATCAATAGTTGTCTTAGTAGTGCTCAGGGCGGCCAAAAGCATAAACAGTGATAGGAAACAAGAAAAAGATGAGTAAACGGTTGCGTTGCTCTGATTGATTCGCCTCCTAACAACAAGAGTGTGCTGCTGTCAGTGGTGACGATCCTCAAAGGAAACTTGGCCACGACACCTCGAGCGTCATCAAGACATTGATGCAAACACCTTCTCATCTGCCAGGCCAGCATTCCAAGATCTCTTTAGAGATAGAAAAGGACCTGTGGTGCATGCGAACATGTGCGCAGCGGCTGATAGAGCTCTCGTTGACTTCTCATCCGCTGCCCCATCTCCGCCAACACCGCAAGGCCTTGCTTCCACCCTCCCCACACCGCAACCGCACCACAAAAAAAAAGAACGCACACAGAGACCAGAAAGAAGAAATGGCTGACGGAATGGTTGAGGAAGACTTAGAGAAGTAAAACGAGATGGAGTTTGCTTACCTAGTTAACAGGATTGTCTAGGAAAATTACGCGGTGCCGAGCTCGATGCCCAAAGCAGATCTATCAAAAGAACGAGCGGTATATCCTATTTGGAAACATCAGCAATGTGAGATTCCATACGCATATAAGACGGCGGCGCGCATGCAGAGCAGCTGCTGGGTCTGGCCAGGCCAGGCCAGGCCATTAGACATGGCCACAGCATGCTCAGGACAGCGGGTGTTGCGGCTGCTGCCACAGCACAAAGAAGACATACCGGGCAAGCTCTATCCCACAATAACTCTAATAAAACAACTGGAAGTTAACTATAACCAGATGTCAGCTTCCCAACAAGACCGTCTTGCCATAGCCCGTCGGGCCTGGGGTGTGAGTGGTAACAACATACCTCAAAACGTACGCAAACCAAGCGCCAAATTCTTGAACCAGTCTATCCCTAGTCTTTCTTGTTGAAGATGTCGAACACGAACACGATACGCTATGGCATCAGTTGTTGCATGAGATCATGTGCCTAGGATCGGCGAGAGGGCTTCGGGTCCTTAGGTGGGGAAGCGCCACGCTGCTAAACCCAGGCTATCCCGCAATTTCCAGGACCGCAGTCTGTAGAGTAGGAGATATGTGCGACTACTAGAGCAGGCACATGTCGCCCCGTATCCCGGACGACTGAGAAAGAGGTTATGTTATGGAAGAAGGCTGACGGCTCTGGACAAGAAGCCAGAAGCGATGGCAACAGCGTCTCGTCTTGGCGATTGTTCGAAACGTTGGGGAGAAGACACACACCCTGCCGTTCCGCGCGCGCGCCTTGTCAGATCAGGGGGGGCCACAGACGGTCAGCACAGGCGCGACAAGCTTGCTGCGATGTCAGTAGGAGGATGCGAGGACAGCTGCCAGTTGGACACGATGGACAACAGGTGGAGGCAAGACCGTCATTACGGGGAAATCAGCGGAAGCGTAGAGACAGGCAGACATGCAACGCCTTTGAGGCTTCTGCAGCTCACACGCCCGGCCAAGGGTCAGGGGCTTCTGTAGGGTCGTTGCGCAGGAAAATGCGGAGACGGCCAGGCCAACTAGGGCTAGCCGTGCGTGCTTCAGGCGAACGGGTGCAAATTGCTGTGCTGTTGGGGGTAGCGACGCCCACCGGACAGGGCCCGATGATGGATCAAATCATCTGTCCTGTCAACCCCTCTTGTTCAGCATCAACCCTCCGACAAGACGCCTGCATCACCTCGCGTCAAGCCAGCGAGCCTCCTCCATCGTCGCCCTAGAGCTGCTGATCCACTATGCGCCTCCAGGGGTCACGTCGACGAGCCCCTCATTTGATCCGTCTGGACTCGGTCGGGCCCGTCGGAACACATCCATCCTGATCCCATTTCTCAACGCAGAGGCTCCATGCCTGTCGCACGCCATTCTGCTTCGCTGCAAGCGCCATGCCTCATCCACGAGACTATCGCCGATGGCGAGACCTTGGGTAGCACTACCGTCGCTTTCAGCCCTAGAGTCCAACTGAGTCACGCGCCCCTACGCCTTCGACGACAATCTGGACAACCAAGCTCTTTAGCTGCTTGACGCATCCGCGGCATGCCCCGCTCGATGTGATGATCCTGTGGGCGCTTCTGTGCAGCTCCTTGACGCCCTCCCATTCGCCCTCGTGTTTGATGTACGTATCACAGTCGACGGCTGCACGGCGAGCGTTCCTGGAACTAGTCGCGAACGATGCTGCCAACGCTGCTCGACAGTTGGCCGCCTGGGCGAGCATCTGCAAAACCGTCAGGGTGCTTCAATGCCCGTGGTGCTGGCTGTTGCCGGGCACACGCAATAATAGTACGACGCCTGCCGGACAGGTTGCCTTTTGTCGGCGCTGCATATTGGCTGCTGCCAACCCCGCATTTTGCTGCATGGCATTGGCGTTTTCAAGAACAGCCAAGCTCCATGAGCTACCCCCCAGTCATCGATGTGCCCGCTCGTTCAAATGGCTGTGATCCCACCAGAGCCCCTCTCTTTGGGCAGAGTCAGAAGACATGCCTCGATCATCGTCGGTTGTGACGCAGGAGTTTGTTCCAAAGCTTGTGACTGATGCCGTCAAGTACGTAACCGCGCGTAATGAAAGTCTCGTGAGGAGCCTGCAAACTCCTCGGGAGCGAGTGGTTTGGTTCTGATATTTGGGCGCCCTCCTCTATACGCCGGTCAGGTTTCCGGCCCGATTTGTAACATCCCCGATGACAGTCAGACGGCGATGTATGCCTGTTGCTGGCCTATAACCGATCCGGATCAGTCCAGCCTTTTCGGCTTCCAAGGCTATGGGCCTCGATGTGTCTACACTACCCGAGACGCGTTCGCTGGGCGTTCGGTACCTTTTGCCACGCGTGGAGTGCATGTGACTGATGCAAAGAATGCTTCCAATTGCCATCCCTGTCAAGCCTTGAACCACTCGGTACTGCCGTTTTCTTTTTGGACACGTTGACCGTTAGTCTGTCGCGGGCTGAGACTTGACACAAACCTTGTCTGCAACCGCTTTGGGCCATGTTCAAGGCTGTCGATGAGCCATGGTGGCCCGACAACCGTCGATCCACTACGACAGAGACGGTGGCTTTTTGCACTTTCAACAACGGCATTGTTGCAGAGGGGGTTGCAGACGTGTCACATGCCAACTCTTGTATCCCTTGTCGAGGATTTCCGGATCTCCGGTATCGCTATCCCTAAGCAAAGTGGTCTCTTGTGTTCGAGATGGTATCTTCCACGAAGGTATCCTTGGCAGTACCAGACCAGGTTGTGTGTTCTCCGCGTACTGATGGCTATCTGCAAGGCGATGATTGCTGGTTGACGCCCCGCCCAAATAGTAAGCAGTGTCGGGAGAGGACGTCGGATGGGTACTTGGGCTTATCCTTTTTGTTGAAGGTACGTCTGGTTACGTGTAGATTGCTCAATCGTGTAGCTGTACGCTCCAAGTACGGGTGGCTCTAAGAAGTCTGTTAGCTGCCCGTGGAAATTGCAATCGATCGAGATCAGCAAGGTTTATCCCAGGGGATAAGAGAAAGAGCAAGGATCAGCAGCTTCATTTAAGAGCAATAAGGACATTGAACTCTAGAAAAGATCTTGGTGGTTATGTTGTGGGTGGAATCTTGGAGGCGGGGCGGGTTTGCAGTCGGGGCTCGAGGTATCATGACCAGGACTGGATCGTCGTAAGGGGTGTCAAAACCTCTTGGTGATTGCCACGAACTCGGGGATGTAATGTCCTCTGCCTTTTGCTGACAATGCAGAGTTGGAAGAGGTAGGGGTTGGAAGTGTGGGTGATGGAGGGTTCTCCGTTGGTTGCGGCAAGCGCTTTGGTCGGTTGCTAGGCAGGTAAAGCGGGAGATAATCGAAGTTATCAAAGCCGTCAAAGCCACCAAGCGGGTACTGTTGCGAGCATTGAGATGCATGTGGGTAAACAGTTTCTATGAGTTTGAGAGGCAAGACCGATGCCCTTTGAATGTCTTGGCAAGTCACAAGTTCCTCTGGGGTCTGCATTGGAATTACTGGATTCTCTACTGTTCCTGCGCCGAGTTGGCTCAGCTGCTCCAGGGCCTTTGATTGTCTGTGCACGGCTATCATGACTTGAACTGCATCAACTCCTTTGTCCATTGCCCTACGATCATCCACGACTGCACGGTAGGAGCAGGCTTGTATAAACTAACTGCATGGCAGTGCTTCCTAGATCCGCCTCTGGTTAAACTATCAACAATCTTAACTCTCCTGGCCACCTCCGCGATCGAGTAAACCGTCAGATTCTGCTCTTTATACGCGGATAGCAGCTCGTCCATGTGAGCGGGATGATGTCGCTCCCCGACTCACCGGTATGCAAGCTCAATGACGGGAGCAACGACTGTAGGAGAGCATTTGCACGCGTTTGCCTACGCATCGCCGAGCTTTCGATATGTGCAGATGATAGACTGATAGCAAGGCTTCCTCCAGACACCAGGGTGGCGTTGGATCGCGCCTTAAATTTGCCTCGAAACCGATGATGGACGATGCAGAAATCTGGGGATAGCACACTGTCACGTCGGAGACCAAAACGTGGACAACAAAGAGATTCACACAATGTAGACAATGTCGAGTCACAATACTCTTCAACGGGTCACATAGACAAAGGCGGGTAGATGATGGAACTGCCTTTTGATTCGACGACAATTGGACTTGGACGGGATCGAGTATGAAGCAATACCAGCCCCGAGCTGAGTAATAAAAGGTAAGGCAACAGGACATTGTATTCTGGGTCAATGCAACGATACGACATTAGATCCATCGTCTTTGGAGGTCAGACAAGGGCCCACAGCGCCTTTGAGCTATGAAGGAGGTCATGGGCAAACAAGTAAGTTATATGGACTTCCAAGGACAGTGGAAACATGCACCGACAGGACTGCACTCGCTTGAAGCCTGTTCAGTGGCACAAGGGAGTGTGGACAGGACTGCTTTATCGCACTTTGTCCGGACATGTCGAAGATGAACAGTTCACGTCACCCTCGCGCCCTGGAGCGGCGACGGGTGTGTGGACAAGCAACCTTTAAAAGTCGCCTAGACCAAGATTCTTGTCTTTGCAATACAGATACGGGTTGTACATGATTTGGTATACGAGACTGGGTTTTCTTGTTTGGGGTTGGAATGTGCATGGTGTTTGAGGATTTGGTGTAGGGAGAGAGAATGATTGGGTGTGTTTACACAGTGCGAATGGTGGAGGTCACGACAACAAGCGCCAGGCTCTGCGATAGGCCTGAGCCGGCCAAGAGGCCGGGGCCATGAAACAATGCGCGCGGGTCTGACATGTCCGCAACGGACATACCGGCAGTCGGCGAAAGTGTGGTGGACTAGGCTTGCGTCTATATTATTTTTGTTATTATCGAATACACAGGTCAAGTCGGCAGTAGGCACTGCAAAAATGGTTTGATGAGCAAGGTGCAGAGACAGCGCACCTGTGCGTAACCATGACGATCATGTCGATCTGGGGAACGCTGGACATGGACTATGAGCACAGGAGGGGTCTGGACAAAAGCACATGTCATAGACGAAGAAGTTTACGTCGGAGAGTGCAGTAGCTCTCCCTCGGAGGAACAGGCCGGGCGGCGGTGCAGTCAGGCAGTGGCTGGTGGCGCATGGCGAGCATCCCTGGCCATACCTGCATCCTCACCACTTCTGTTGCGCAGCAACGCTGACAACACCCGCCCAACGCCTGATAAAAGAGACATGTAGGCCACAGGCCCGCCCTCTGGCATTCTGGCAATCCGCTTCACACTCGATCCAGCCGTATCCGCACCCAGACGCCTTTTTTGCAGCCCTGCCGCAGCATCGTTCTGTGATCGACGGGGTTAGTGAGCGACTACTGTGTAAGTACCGATGTTTCCGGAAAGGCGTTGGACCCTGGGGTGACGTAGGGGTCTGCGATGACGCTGCAGGGCCGCTGCCTCCCGCTGACTGCGATACATATTTCCTCAGCCCACCACCGTCCACTGCTACAAAAACATCTTCTCCCAGCCCAGTCCTCGCTCAGCCTCGTCGCCGCATCCCAGCTGCATACTGCACCTCCCCCACGTCGACCCTTTTTACCAATCCTTCCATACACATACACATATACCAGCAAAAATGGTGTCAAGGGCATTGGCCATGGGCCTCCGCGTCTGGCAGGTATGTACACACATGATCACTACCCCCCAAAAAACAATAGCCTGACCAACACCATCAAGTTGATCTGCGCCATCATTGTCACCGCATTGATGGGTAACAACATTGCGCGTGCCACGGCCGGAACCCACTCAATCATCAACTACTCGCTCTTCGTCGGCGTCTGGTGGCTCCTCACCCTCCTCTACTTCCTGCCCGCGTCCTTCATCGAAAGGTTCAGTATTCCCGTTGTCGACATTGCTCTCGATGCCCTCAGCGTCATCTTTGGCTTCTGCGCCGCCGTCGCACTTCCCTCGTACATTGGTGCCCACAGCTGCTCCAACTCCGTAAGTGTTCTTTGTGCCCATTTCACTCGAGAGCGCAATCTGACACTGCGCAGGCATACACGCATTCCAACAAAGTCCTCAACAGCTCGCCAAACACTGAGCAAAACTGCCGTCAAGCCCAGGCCACCACAGCCTTCCTCTGGTTCGGATGGGCTGCCTTTGTCGCTACCCTCGCCGTCAGCCTCATGAATGGCCGTGGCAGCGGCGCCAACCTCCGTAGCACCCGCCGTGGTCCCGCCATGAGCCAGGTCTAGGATACCTGCAGAATGTACTCAGACGCCTCTTGGAACACACGATCAGACACCACCAGTGTCTGAACTTCAACCACAGTCGCTGCGTTGCACTCCGACTCTTGTATGATAGGAACACGACGATGATGAATACAACATCGCGCTGGATGCTGATGTTGCATCATGGTGAGGTGTTTACGAATTGGATGGGTTTTATGGATACGAGTATACACATGACTTTGTTTACCAGCCGGCGTGTTTTTACAATATTATGATCTTTCTAAGCGACCGTAGTTACACATGACCTTCCATAGCTAATATATGATTCCACTCATACTCATTACTCTCTTTTTTTTCTATGTTCACAAAACTACAGGACACTTTGGCTCGTAAAAGATTCTCACTCATTAATTTAATTGTACCCTCACATGTCGTGACAAGTCAAAATAAGTAGGAAAAGCAAAATTAATTTCATTGATCCGAATTGCTTTTTTTTCATTCCAATGTTGTTGAAAACACCAACACCAACATGGACGCCCGTCCGGGTTCATAACCAAGCAAAGCTCGTTTCATTCATTCTCACAATCTCACATTACACGTCGATGAATGCATGCATTACTTCCTGATTATCTTTAAGATCCCCATACGTGTCCAATGTTCCATACTATATCCCATAATATCCCGTACTTACTCCACTAAACACAAAGTTAGAAACCACCATATCAAACCCATTATTCACTTTCACCATCGCCCTCACATTATGTACACATCCACTGCACCCCTCCAAAAAAAAATAGCAAACGAGAACCAATGAATAAACGGTGAAAAAAAAAGAGCATGTTCGTTCATTCCATGATATACTACTCGAACAAGAGATGAAAAAAAAAGTGTAGATAGAAACGAGCAATAAAGTCGCACTTGTTCCATCAGAAAAGAAGAAGAAGAAAACAAGAACCCCTTTCCCTAAAAAAAACGCCACGAGTAGGATACCTTCATGCATAACGGAACCCTTTCCCCCCCGTTTCATGGCCATATGCAAAAACATGTAATGCTTTCAATGCCCCCCCCCCCCCATAAACGCTTCAAAACACAAGGCGGGGGACATGCTGATATAATAAAAACAAGGCAGAACGCAACAACCCGCTTCCAAAAATAATCAAAGGCAGACAGAGTGGGAAACAGGGAGAGAGAACGCCATTCATCATGCACCCCTATCCACCTATTCATCTTCCTTTCGTAAAAAAAAGAGCCTCTCTCCTTTTAACGAGAAGGTCCAGATTGCTTGGGAAGCGGCGATGGGTTGTATGTCCATCCGCCATCCCGTACAAGTCGCTCTCTCGCCTCGCGTTCCTTGCGCTTCTCCTCGGCAGTCACCTCGTCATTAGCCCAGTACGCACTGCTTGTCCGCTCGCGGAACCGCTTGTGGCGCTCCTTATTGGGGAACACCTTCTCCATCTCCAGCGGCGCAATCGGTCCAAAGATGTGCTCGGGGTCCATGAGCTGCTGGTTGCTGAGCATCTCCCGGAGGTTGGGCGTGTTGACCCAGCTTGGTGGCTCGAATTCGTTGTCAGAGTCTTCGTCTTCAGAGTCCGTCATAATCTCAGGAAGCTTGATGTCTTCCCCGTTGGGATATTGTATTTGCGGCGCCTGAGACTGTGATTGGTGGGCAGGTTCTGCAAAAGGAATCTTGCCCTTGGCAAACTGCGCGTGAGCTGGTGTAATCGGGTTCAGGTTCTTCGCTTGTTGCGAAGGACGTTTGGCTGGACGGTGTAGAGTTTCATCTCCCTCACCAGGGAACTGTCGCTTAGGAGGCGGCTTAGCTGGGTTAACTGGGGGTATGTTGATACGATTGGCATCTTGCACCGTCTGCATCCGTGATACAGGCCGTGCAGTGCCAAGATCAGACCGTGGAGGCTGTGATGCTGGAGCCTTGGCCTTCTCAACAGTCTGCGGTTGAGGTCGGGCTGCTCGAGTAGCTGGTGCTTTAGCGAGAGGCTGTACTGTTTTGGATGAAGGTCCAGACTTGGTAGACAGAGCTGAGGCTGGTCGTGTTGTTCCGGCTGGTGTTTGCCTTCCCGTAGCTGTGGACTTACCAGCAGCTTGAGGTGCTGCAGATATAGGTCTGGCAGCTGCTGTAGCTGGACGTGGAGCCGGTGGAGGTGCTTGGCCGTAGTGACTGCTCTTGAGATTGACCATAATCTTCTGTGGCGCCTTTGCCTTGGGAATGGCGTCCTTGCTTGCCGGTTTCGCCAGTTTCCTGGGCTCTCGGAGAGGCGCCTTGGCTGGCTTAGTAGTCGGTAGGAGGCTCTTTGGTGGCGGTGGCGGTGGCATATCTTCCGCTGAATCGACGTCTTCTCTCGAAGTCGCCGTGTTGGATCGGGGAATACCAGGACGGAGTATTGGTTGTTGTGTGGCTGGCTGGGCAGATTGAGTCGCCTGTGATGGAGTCTTGAGGTTAGCCGTGGTTGTTGGCAGCCTGAGACTTGATTGAGACGACATGGCGGTTGGCGTCTTTGCACCCATAGCCCGGGCTTTCTGAGCATGTGCGGCCGCCTTGCTCTGCTCCTTCTCGCGCATCTGCTTGAGCTTATCCTCTGTGCGTTGCTGCTGTTTGGCCTCTCGAACCTCCTTCTCTCTTGTCTCCTTCTCCTTTTGCTTCTCCCGCTCAGTGGAGCTGCGAGTGCGTCGACCATCACCCTTGGAGGGACTGCTGCCACTTTTGCTAGAGTTGTCAGAGTCCTTGGAGGGCGAACGCATGTGATCGAAAATGGAAATTGGCCTCTCGGCACGCCTTGGACTACTGAATGCATCGTCCGATGAATCATGCGAGGGCAACTTGGGTCTTGCCGGGCTCTCCTTGAGTGTATCCATCTTCGCTTGGGCGCTTGTAGCAGTTGATCCAATTAGCTTATCCTTTGCTGCCCGGAACGCTGAGTATAGCTTCGACTTGGAGGCGCTCAGAGGTGCGTCCATGTATCGCCTGTTAGTGGGAGAGCCAATAGGGGTGGTTGATTCAGCATCCGCAGTGAGATCTGGATTCGAGGTTGAGACAAGGCTTGCAGGTACAGGCCTGAGGGGAGATGGGCGGGTCTCAGCAGTGTGGTTTTTGCCAAAGGCAGGTCTGGCTGATTTAGGCGCAAGTGCTGTTGTCCGGACTGGTGATATCCAGTCATCGTCGTCATCTTCTTCTTCCTGTGTAGGTTCTGGTGGCGGGAGGGTTGGGTATGATAGTTGGGAAGGTTGTGTGGGCGCAATCTCCTCGTTTGGTTGCGTCGAAAATGCCTGTGGCTGTGAAGGCTGTGAAGCAATATTCTGGCTAATCCGTGTAGGGGCTTCATTCTGTTGCTTGAGCATGTTGATACGCTCGAACAGACGCTGAGTGGAAGTCTTGTTGTGAGCCTTGGTAGACTCGGATTCTTCTTTGGGAGCTTCTGGGCGCTCCGTGTCAACGTCCATGTCCTCGTCCTCGTCCTCGTGATGCATCTCAGTAGGGTAAGCAATTTGCGATCCCCCCAGACTCTTGCCTCCAGTAAATCTTGCCATGTGGCTGTTGCGAGCTTTGTTTTGATCAATATGGCTTGTACGCGACACACGATTGCCCATACTCTTCTTGGGGAGCAATGGCTCACGCGCAGGAAGAGATGAAAACGTAAGGCTGCTCTTCCTAACAAGCGGCTTTACGGGGCTGGAGTTGTCTGAAGGGGAGCGCACATCATCTTCATCGTCAACATCCATTTGCTCGTCAATATCGTGGTGAAGGACAGTGTCATCGTGAACGTTGGCTTCCAGAAGGGCGGGTGGAAGGCCGACAGGTGTTGTAGATTGCTCTGGTGCAAGGTACTTGGGTTCTGGCATGAGTGCGCGGTTGTTGGCCGTGTCGAGCGCGTCATGAGTTTCGGCAGAGATGCTGTACTGCTCGGAAACAGCGCGTGGTGGGGCAGGAGATTCGTGCATTTCTTCCATGTCGGCATCCTCTGCATCGGAAATGTCGTGATGCAGCATAGTATCCTGGGCATCGGAGCGCGAGTGCTCACCATCAACATCCATGACGCTAACATCATTCGCATGCGAATCCTCCTTGGCCGCATCCTTGCTGGAGAAGCCTTCATTTGCCGAGACAAAGGAATCGCCTGTGTCGCGTCTTGTTTGTTTTGCTTCTATCGAGTGCCTGAAGGAATTAGTGGGCTGTGTGGGTTGGGTCTCTTGTGACTGCATGGGTGAAAAGACGTCGCTGGCTTGCGAAGACTCGACTGTATCTTGAGTAGACTGGATAGGGCTCCGCAGTGCTGCAATAACATGTGTTTGTTGCTTTTCAAAGAGCGCAGCGTGATGGTTGCTGTCTACGTTTTCCTTGCCAGCGCTTTCCGGCTTGGAGAAGAGCTGTCGTGCGATTGGCGTACGGGTCACGGGCGAGTGTCGAATTGTTTTGGCCGCGTCCTCTGCAATCTGGAATCTAGCCTTTACATTTCTCAGGCTCTGTTCTGCCGGGCTCAGGATTTGCTGTAGATTTGCGGATTGGATGCTGGCGAGCGGCTATCTGCTGTCAGTATGCAAGACCAAAACGCACAGGGAAAGAACATGCCTGTCGATCGGCCACCTTCTTACGCGCTGTACGGGGCGTCTTGCCGCGCAGCTTGCCAGGCGTCTTGAAGACATCAAGGTTAGGTCTAGCAGTAGGTCAGCATGGAGCGCACATTCGCACGGGGGACGCGACGTACTGCCTGTCGCTGGAAAGTATATCGAACATGTGCTCGTTGAGCCATTCAAGCTCATTGCGCACAGAGAAGCCGAAATCCTCAAGTTCCTGCGCGACGAGCGTGTTTGCCTGATTGCGCTCTTCCAGGATCCATCCGGCGGACCCGATCGTGGGTGCTTTGGTGCGTGTAGCCATGTCGAATATGTCTTTGGGTAAGTGTAAAGGTTGAATGAAGCGCGTCGCGGTGGTGGCAGTCGCGTTCCGGATGAAGGTAATGGGTGGGCTAGGCTAGCTAGACATGTCTATACAAAGTGTTCCTGATCAATTGTAGCTGAGCCAAAGGCTAAAAAAGCTATCCTGAGGGGGGGATGTCCTCTGGGCGTGGGTGTGTTGAGCCTTCAATGTTGTGACGCGGGACGAGTCCAAACAATCGGCGTGGGCCGCACATCGCGCTGGCCCGAGCGCTGCCAAGCCCGCTTTCTCCCTTTTCAGACCATGGTGCAGCCACGTCGCGGGGTGACATAGCCGACTTGAATTCTGCATAACAACCGTTGTCTTTATGGACTTTGAGAAAATGGCTTCGATCGCATATCCTGAGCCCTCTTGTGGAAGGCAGAGATGCGATGACTTTTGTATTCGGCTATCCCTCCCACACTGCCACACGTCGGGAATCGCCTGCAGCTGCAGCCATTGAACACTGACCACCAGGCTATCTTTGTCACGGCTTCTGGGCCTCGGCCTATCGATCAGCCTACTGCGATCCTGTTCACTGGGGTAATACTCTCAGCTCTGCGGGTTGTGCAATGCCAATGTTGTGGTATCGATAAACAGTACCAGATCATAGTATCCACCACACTTGCTGCATCAGGAGTCACTGTTTTCGACAATACTGATAGCCAATGCAACCTTCCAGGGCCATGCTTGTAGAAGGGGTTTGACAGCCGTTTTGTACCCTGAACCGAAAAAAGAATATTCCGTCGCATTTGCAGTAATTGACAAGCTTGGGCCAGACTACGTCCTCGTCTTTGATTTTGTACAATCAGATTACTATGATATCCTTCTTTTTGAGAATCAAAACAGCTGCCGAGTTCTCCACCAGCTTCCAAAGATAGCAATGGGACATGGTACGGACCATTTGCTGGTGCCAATTTCATTGCTCCATGAACATTGCCCATTGGCCCAAAGAAAATGCTCGTACTGCTCTCTGCAGCCCCCACAATAGTGACCAATTACTGAACACAACATAAGAAAGTCGCAGCTCGCCCTGCCAATGAAACGAATCAGCTCGCCTGGTTATTAATAAGCATAGTGAAAGGAAGATTCACTGTATAACTAGTATTGTTTTCATTTCATCAGGCGGTTGCACTCTGTTCACATTCACTCGTGTCCAGTCATGTAAACACTGCTGCCCTTAGCTGCTCCTGCCATTTATTGGCCAAACAAGCCGGTCCTCTAGTTCCTCTCCACCTCTCTCCCTCCTATACCGCACCCTAAACCAGCAAAACAATGTCTGGAGATATTCCCGATTTTCTTAGTGACGACAATGTCGCTCATCTTCTGAGGGACCCTACGGTGAATGAAATCCTTTCCATAATCTACTAACGCTGCTGACACCTCACCCAGGCTACTCCTACGGCGAGCCGGGCAGATATGATCGAACTCGAGTACCACCGACTGCTGGCCAAGTATAATGTATTGAAGAGTAGTTTCTTCGGTGACGTTCCGGTGATACCGGACGCGAGTGAGCCCATGGTAGACTCATATAACCTTGTGCTGGTGGACGCACACAGTCACAACGTAAATAAAGCCAATAGCACTGTTGAATTTCCGATTACTAACCCCGCTTATAGTTCAAGGACAACTATCTGCACGCTACCGAGAGCGGCGGTGAGAAGGCCGCTGCAGTGCTCAAACAAGCGGTCACCGAGTACCTTATGAAGCAACAATCCAGCAGGGAGACATGTGACATGAAGATTTGTGTATACGCCAACCTTAAAAAGCTGTCGGTCGAAGCCACAAATCAATACGCTGCCCGAAATCGAAGTTTCGGAAAACCCACCTTCCCACGCAGCCTTGGGGGGTTTGCCGCAGGCTTCTCTCGTGGTCATGTTTCTGTCGACTACGTTGATGTAGCTGATGATGAGGCTGTCGAGCGTAAAATTTGTGGTAAGTGATACCGCTTTTCTCTATCAACTGTAGCTGACCACTGTGCAGGATTGTTCGAGATGCATGTCAAGGACCCTGCTTGCAGCCAGATTTTGTTTTGCGCGAGTGGCAGCGCCCAGTATATGCGCATACTTAAGAAGCATGTTTCGTTCGCCAGGAAGATAACTATTATCCAGAGAGGCATTGAAGATACTAGTCTCACTAATCTGGGTCTACGGAATGTAACATTTCCGCAAATCTTTGAGTCATTGGGCGGGAACGAGGCTGCCTCAAAATATTTGAAAGAAACACGCAACGGCTTCGGAGTGAGTAGCTTGACTGCAATTCATGCATCCCACACCACATACGGGACACTGCTGATATATCGACAGAGCGACCAATCTGAGAACTATGCCAGCCCGATGTCTTCCGTCACTGGAAGCTCCCAACGAGGAGCCTCTAAAGCCACGGCTAACCGGATACGTATGCCGCCCGCCCCAACAGTTTGTCTTCCTAAGCACAGCGCATCTGAAACCATACCGATCAACGCGTCCGGCGATCGTATTGATAAACACATGGAAGTACCCACTAAGGCGCAGTGGAGAGAGTATGAAACCTGCATTGCTACAAAAAAGCTATGCAATATGTTCTACTCGGGCCACGGGTGCAGCGCCAAACCTTGTCTATACTACCATGGCCAAATTAGCGCCAACGAACGTCACTGTCTCAAATATCTGATGAGAGCGCTTCCATGTCGCAATGCCGGAAAATGCCGCGATGCATTCTGCACGAGAGGGCATATGTGTCACTACAAAGAGTGCAAGAAAGGCAGAGTTTCATATTGTAAAATGCCTTCTTCACACCATGGGATCGATCCGAATGTTCAGGATTGGATCGCACTGAATGAGAATTTCGGTAGGGAACAACACAGTGAACAACACCATGAAGGACCTGATCCTGATGGTGGTGCAACTGAGGCCATGCTCATAGAGGTCTGAGAAGGCTCCAACATCATGGACTAGTGGGGATATGGGATTCCAGGTGCTAGAGATGATTTCAATATCGTTCATGGCATAAAGGGAAACGCTTGCAGCCTGACATTGTACATGAGTGATATGCACTCTGCAGTGATGTCTATCAGATGGGATTATATACAAAACAGACGAATAGAAAACAAGCAAGTAGCAGAAAAAAAAAACTATAAAAGAAACTTGCAAAATCATAAAGCCTCTTCTTTCCATGCAGGGGACAGGAACTTCTCCCCCGGACTTGGCATTACCGTATTCGTGCTAGTCGGTCAAAACTCTTTCACCTTGTTGGCCAGCCTTTGTACTATACCTTGGCTTACATACAGATACACTACTACCATAGTACTAGCGGCCAACATGTCCCAATCTCCAGCCACACCACCAACAACACCAACACGATGCTGGCACATCCAACCCGTGACGCACGCAACCACACCGCAAGTCGTGCGCTTCATCAAGGAAGCGCGGCGCGAAATGTTCCCGCAGCTCTGCGCCCAGCGCGACGATGAAGTCGCCCGCTGGATCCAATCCGGCTGTTTTCTCTTGGCAACCGAGCCGTCCGAACCAAAAGACGATGATGGAGAAGGAGAAAAAGAAGTCATAGCTACAATCGGCTTCGTCTCGTATCACCACCGCTTCACGCACTTCCCACCTTACGCCGACGCGCGCCGCACCGTAGAGGTAGTGCGGCTCTTTGTGCTGCCGCCGTTCCGGCGCTGCGGTCTCGCGTCGGCGCTAGTGGGTGCGCTGAAGCGGCGCGCGGTGCAAGATGGGGTAGCGAGGTTGTATTTGCATACGCATCCTTTTTTGCCGGGTGCCATTGCTTTTTGGGAGAAGCATGGGTTTGGCATTACGTGTGTTGAGGAGGAGGATGGGGTGTGGCGGACTACGCATATGGACATGTTGGTTGGGGAGGATGGATGTGCATAGTAATTCATTTTTTCTTCATTCATATCCTCATGACTGTACATTTACGTAGTCTTGTGTTCAGCATTTTGAATAAGATCCTGGACTACAAGCTGTCATTCTTTCCTTTGTTTTTTCCCTCTCTCTCTCTCTCTCTCTTCATGACATTAGTGTACGTACTTTATGACAAAACGAAATGTAAATGCACGCTCAAAACCGCACAAACCACATGGAACAATTCCCCTCCATTTTCCGAACCAAAACCGAAAAACGCCAGTCGTGTGACAAACATACTATGCAACAGTGGTACATCGTCTAAAATCGATCGTGTGCTTTGATTCCCCTTCAGCTTCCTCTTTTCTCTACGCCTTTTTTCTTCACCTTCGTCTTCTACCCTCAAGTCTCAGACCACCTCGCAATCGTAATACTGGTGGTGTACACCATGGCAACAAGCCCAACAATCATCATGGCAATGTCGCCAAACTTCTCCCAAGGGCGGTTTGCCACACCCTTGTAGTGTAGGTAGGCCGGATAAATGTACACCAATGGCACGCAGGCGAAGCTGCCAATGAGAGCAACAAACTTGTCGAGGTCGCTAGCTCCCAGAATGGAAATGAGACCACAAACAATGACAAGCGCGGTTCTGAAAGCGTTCTTCTTCCACTTGGTCATGGTGCTCTGCTTGCCGGATGCGCGACCGAAAATCTTGAGCTCAATGTTACGCATCGCAGGGAAGAGTTGGACAGGAGTGCCAACCAGAACGGCCATGGAGTATAGAAACTGGACAGCGTTGACAAGTTTGCTACTCTGCGGAAAGTTGGTGATGACTTCGACAGAGACGTGTTCACCAAAGGTACCGTAGCAAAGCACGCCTACCGAGGTAAAGATGACTGTGATGATAATCATGACCATGTACAGTAGCTTGCTGAAGTGCTCGGGCTCCTTCATGCTCGATTGGATGGGAAGGATCAGACCGATGCCCTCAAAGGTAAAGATTGCCGAGCCAATGGTCAGGGTAAAGTCGCGTGGGTTGAAAAGCTCAATAGAAGGATGAAAGCCGCCCATCTTGGAGATCCATGAGATGTCGTACCAGTAAATATAGGTCAGGCCGATAAGAATGAAAACATCGGCAAGCAGTGCCGCAGGGCCGAGTTTGGATATGTTCCGAATGAATGACATGGGGATCAAAACGGCAACCTGGATGAGGATGAGTTGGTTCGTAGATAAAGGTGCTTTGTCACGAGTGACGGCATCGAGAAAGGACGCCAGATTGTCTGCAGTAAAGATGAGACCAGCGCAGACAAAGCCGATTTGGGAGAGGGTGATGGAGACCAAAATAAGGGCGCGAAACCTTGGACCGACGACAATGCTACCCAGGTCACCATAACCACCTCCCCCATAACGCTTCCTCGTTGCCAGCAGCAGTTCAAAACATAGAGCTGTGATGGCAGATACCATGATCATGGTGATGCTCGAAAACAGCATTCCACCGTTCTTGAAAGCCTTGGGCAGAAACATGATTCCGGTACCGATGAAGGCCTTGAGGAGGGTGAAAAAGGTCTTTGTTTGGTTGGCATCACCTTGGGCTCTTAACTTCCTCGAGCTCTGGCGATGTCCCAACAACGGTCTACGTTCACCTTGGGCCTCCTCCTCGTCTGTTAGTGCAGACTCGTCGTCTGACTCTTCAAGATCTTCACCAGCGAATTGACCATAGAGAGCGAGGAAGGAAATGAAGTTTCGGGTAACAGGTTCCGAAATGTAGCTGACACGCTTGCTTTGTCGTTGCAGATATTGTCGTCTTAGTCCACCTGGCAAGAGCTGATCCCGGACTGGAAGCTCATCGTGGTCAACAGTAGAATTAGAGGGGCGGCGTTGATCACCAAAGTAAATAGGCTCTGAAAAGGTTGCTGCTCGTTTATGCAACTTTTCGCGTCTGTTTTGCGCCGCAATCTTGTACAGATCACGGTGGATGTCGCCACCTTGCAGGCGCAACGAGGATTCTGGCATATGACGGTCGGTGGAATTGGAAGAGCTTCCTTGTCCCTCCTCCTGGGCTGGTGTTGCTGGGTCGAATTCGGAAAAGTCGTAGCTGGGGTCCAGATGCCGCTCGAGCACCTTTGCCTCGTGCGGGTTGGCGCCCGCAGTCGTCTGCGGTGTGTCAGTCATGGCGGATGGGTTTTGAATGAACACAGCAGCGATGGAGCAGGCGGAATGTAGATTTTGGGAGAGTTATAAAAGATGCGTGTCGACTGCTTAAATCTGGCGGTGAGGTACACTTGATGAAACAGTAGCCAATGAAAGGGTTTGCAAAGCTTAAATGGTCCGTGTGCGTATCATCACCAAATCTTGAGCGGCTTAGCAGCTGCAGCGTTCAGCAGCAGATTATGAGTATCCGCAGCGGCGCTGGATTGATTGTAAGAAATGGCGTGGGCGCGATTTTTGGCAGCAAGACGAGGAACCAGAATCTTCGACGAGAGGTGACGACTAGCAACATATGACGACGATCTTACTGGCGCCTTGGCAGGCCGGCACGTGCTGTGGGGACTGGCTATCCCTGCATAAGCCACCGGGTCATTGGTACAACAAGCGACCTGCATCACATCGTGCTGGCTTCATTCCCGAAAGAGCTGCCTGCTCATCATTCCACCCGGTCGGCAAAGCAGCAGATCCCTTCATCTTCGTCCAACACGTTCCTTTCGACTTCAACCGGGCTTGAGAGTGAACCACGCCCATGTCTGAGCGGCTCAACATTCCTGGACATCGTTTCGCCCCGACCCCCGCCCGGATACGGGACACGCGGGTACGCTGTCCCACCGCGCTAGATGCATCACCACCCCCGGCCAAGACAGCCGCCCGGCTGTTTAGCTTGTCGGTTATGAGTAGCTTACGTACAATGCACACAGATATGTTTGGGTACTCTGAGGAAAATTATTACACTTAGCTCGCGTGGCGGAGCTATTCGACACTCCCTTTGTTCGTAGCTCAAGGAGACGAGTTCGTCGAAGGGAGTTTAGGAAACAGTCGCTATAAGACGGAATATTAGGTATCGGTGGTTGCTCCAGATCTCCCTCCTTATACTGCTTGCTGACTTGTGCTTGGAGCAAAGGGACAGACAATAAGGCAGTACATACTACGTATGTAGTTGGCATAATGACACTAACACACTAAGGTATACGATATGGCGCTAACCATACTTGTCCTTGGGTGTATAAGTTGCAGTTAGTCAGCCAAGTACTTGTGAGAAGACGTTGGATTCGCAGATAAAGCCTACAACCGTATGTAGGCACTACTCCTATGCGGTACTGGAATGATGCCACTATGGACAACTGCGACAGCTTACAACTGTAGGGGCCGAGCACAGACTCAGCACGCCCTTTTGAGCACCCGGCTTGTGAACAGCGTCAGATTTGATGGCACTTTCCGCTGACTTAGTTGGATACACTGGCGTCTGACAGGCTAGGTTTTCTCAACAAGAAAATGGCATGTAGTGGAAATGCAGTAAGATGGTGTAGTCAGACGCCAGTACGTAGTGTGGTGGGCGACTCGAGTTTGAGTTTGATTGTACCATGCGTCACGTCTTGCTGTAAGAGTGAACGAAGGCGGATGTGATTTTTTTGACAAAAGAGATGGGGTTGACATGTGCATTGGCGACACTCTCATGCTGACATTTGTCGGTTGAACTAGTGCATCATCCCGTACCTTGCATATGCATCTTAGTACTTTGAACGCGCTTCTACATACTTTCTAGAGCAATGTTGCAATACTTTTATTGCTCTTTTGCTGGAGAAGCGCACCGTCATTGTAAAGTCAGTGTCGGGCCAGCCGGACGTTTCAGAGTATAGGCGGATCGTCCAAACGGAAAAGCTGGAGATCGTCAAACCTTGCGTCTACCATGCTGGGTGGTGGTGTTAGTGCGGGCAGGTCACGAGACGCGCACCGAGCGTGACGAGCCGAAGTCTGGGTTACGTAGCGCATCGGCCTGTTGATTGCGTCCAGCCCAGCCCATACCAATCCTGTTGCGTCATTCACCATCTGGCATGGTTGCGAGGTGTCCTTGTGTTCCCTTGTGCGCTCGACAGCCCTGCGCCTCTTCGTATACAAACGTTGCAATCATCAGGAATGTATTGCATGAGAGTATTGCAGCATCAGCACACTGCACGCAATCGTTACATTCACCTCGTAGCGGCTGAATCATCACCAAACACAGTCCCTCCACCAGCACCCATATTCCACCCGTCGCAAATCGACCAACAGTCTCTCGGCGCAATTGCTTATTCTCGCCATGCAGGGCTGGTTCTGAACTATTGATTTTGTAGTGGCAGCAGATCCCATGCTGCAGACACGAACGAGGCTGCACCCTCGCACTATGCAGAGCTTACCGCGGCTGGGGGCCTCGCTCGCTAACGCCGCGGTATCATTTATGATTGTCCTGATCCGGCTGCAACGTGCTCTAGTTGTATTGGGACAATCGGTGCCCAGATACAACAGCCTGGAGGGGTAATGTGGGTGTGGCACCACCGCCATCACTGGCTAGCCGAACGTTAACGGCTTGCTTGCTGACTGCTATTTCCGCCACGCATGTGGCCGTTGTGCACCGTGGAACCTAATCTGGAAAGTGACGTTGAGCCCATCCTTAATGAGAACTCACAACGGACGACCGCCGTCAATATAAAGTTCCCCATCCTGCCTGGAAAGCTGCAGCCTCACCAATATCACAAACATCACCTAACATCGCCAGTCGACTCGAGCAAAGCTCACACAATCAACTCCGATATTAACCCATACAAACTACGACCTTGCTTTATTCATAACAGAATGAAGGCTCCCTCAATCCTCTTGTCTCTTGCGGTGGCTGCTATTGCCAGCGCACAAGACTGCTCACAAGCCTCGGAACCGTTCTACAACATCACTTCCAAGCCTTTTCACCTTGTTGTACAGTCCGAAGATGGAAAAGTTAATGACACACTGAGTGCCTGCCACGTCGGTGCAGCCCTCGAGTCACTCTGCCTTAGCAACGGAAACTTTGGCAGCAGCCCTACCCCTATCCCTGGTGCAGAGTTCTACTTCAACACCTCCATCTACTCTTATGCACCAGATGAATCACTTGGCGTTCCCGGAATCCTGACGTGGATACTCCCGACTAGCGCCTTCAATGTTCCATCTTCGGCGGCATTTCAATATGACCCCATCTCTTCCCTGGCCGTCCCCATCATCAGCCCAGGCAGCGACAACCCCACACTGGTGACGTTCGATTCCCAAGACGATTTGGCTATCCAAGCCTACGTTCGCGGCAGCAACGGCACGGGCAACTACGAGCAATTCTACCGCTGGTACGCATGCGAGACTTTCTACGGCAGCTACAACTACAAGAACCTTGCTTGGAACTTGGGTTCAGGCAAGCCCGAAAACCCGAGCTGTGTTGCGGTCAATGTTACGAGGGTTTTTGTCTAGGGTGTGGGCAATGGCATTCAAAACGAATGAAGGGCATTATGGCGAGACGAGACAAGGAGCTGGACCTCTATTGGTAATAATTCATGACGAATGCGGATAGACTTGAACGGTAATAACATTCCTTAAAAGCGTAGAGTGGTAATTGCATTCCTTTAAAAGCGTAGATTGGTAATCACATTCCTTCCAAAGTGTAGAGCGATGGTTACATTCATTGAAAGCACAGAGCGATAATTACATTCTCTTAATACATCCTACATCTTCTGAAGCTAATCTCTTAACGACGGTGACTGTGTGATGTGTCATGACTAGCCAGAAGTAACTTATGCAACAGGCTAATCGTGTCGCTAAGCTGACAATGGTCTCAGCAGGCTTACCATGTGAGTTTACATTTAGCTTAAATGCAATCACATGATCGGTCATCTATCAGTACGCTCGTCCATCCTCTTCCTCTAATATAAACAAAATCATACTCAGAGCGCAGATACACTACAAGGTTGTAAAAATCACGTATTATGTCTCGAGTACACCGTTGTGTGGGGCGCTACTTGCTGTGCTCTCATACTAGCGGCGAGTACATACTAAGTAGGCGCACCGACTCATGCTCAAGCATCAGTTCCCCACAACCTACTACCCCGCCCACCCCGCATTCTTTCCCCAAATCCCTCTTCCCAGCTGCCTTGCAACTCGGAGGACCGGGAGCGGCCCTCCTGTGCATCTCCAATATGCGGAGGTTGTGCTTGACTGTGGAGCCATTTGTTTTAGATGCCTTTGGTGTGTATATATGTAGTACTAAAACTGCACCTTTCCTAGTGCTCTTCACTGGAACTATCAAATTCAATGTTCAATTTGACTTGAATCAAGATAAAAATGATGATACAGATTTTAATATTAGCTGCTCTCTTTGCCCTCGTACTCGACTATGGCTACATGATCTGGCAACGGCGTCGCCTCCCTCCCGGACCGTTCCCTTGGCCTATTGTAGGAAACCACTTCCAGACACCGTCCATCAAGCCATGGATAGCATGGGAGAAATGGGCACAGTACTATGATTCCCCAATGCTGACGCTGTGGATTGGTCGTTCGCCGCGTATCATTCTGAGCGATACATGGGTTGCATCGGACCTGCTAGAGAAGCGATCAGATATTTTCTCAAGTCGCCCGAGATTTGTCGTCATGGGCGATGCGATTAATACGACCGAGAATAGTCTGACGAATCTGGTATATGGAGATAGATGGAGATTGCATAGGAGGCTTATGGTAAGATTGTTTTCATGAACTATTGTCAAGTCGAGTGTAAAAAAGAGGTTGACGTGAATTAACTTAGCATACCGCAGTCGGCACCCAAGCGGTTCGAAACTATCGTGATTTTCAAGCAGCTGAATCAGCACTTCTGATCCGTGACTTTTTCCTCGATCCAAACGATTTCGAACTGTCGATTGAACGGTACTCAGTCTCAGTAGCATCCATCATCGGCTGGGGACGACGCATCGATCGAAAGAACGATTACGTTGCACAGCTGGCACTGGCCTTCATGGAAGCCGTAGACTATGTAATCCCCGGCGTATTCATCATGGAATCAATCCCCGCTCTCCTCCATGCCCCAGTATGGCTCTACGAACTCCCCTCCAAACTGCGTTCGGGATCCGTGACAATGTCACACTACTTCTACCTTCTCACCCAAGAAGGCGCCAAAGCCAAACAAGACAACTTTGCAAAATACGTACTAGAAGCACAGCGCAAGCACCACCTTTCGGATTTCGAAACCGCAAACCTAACCAGCCTCATCATCGGCGGCGGCGTCGACACAACCAGCAGCACAATGCTATCCTGCATCCTCGCCATGGCCTACTTCCCACACATCCAAGCCAAAGCCCACGCCGAAATGGACGCAGTAATCGGCCACGACCGCTCCCCCACCTGGGCCGACATTGACTCGCAAAAGATCCCCTACCTCGTCGCCCTCGTCAAGGAAACCCTCCGCTGGCGCACCGTCACCGTACTGGCAGGCATCCCCCACGCCAACATCAAGCCCGTCGACTACAACGGCTACCACTTCCCCGCCAACACAAACTTCACCGCCAATCTCTGGGCCATCCACCGCCACCCGCGCGACTTTCCCGACCCCGACAACTTTCTCCCCGAGCGCTTCTTGGATGGCGAGGACAGTGCAAAGATGCCGTATCCGAATAAATACGGTATGAACCCGTTTGGATGGGGGCGCCGCCGGTGCAGCGGACAGCCGCTTGCGGAGCAAGGGTTGTGGTATTCCATGGCGAGAATGATATGGGCGTTTGACATTCTGCCTGGATTGGATGAGAATGTAAGAAATACCCTTCCTTGCCCCCCTCCCCCTTGTCTTCCTTCCAGCAATCTACTTTTTCTTCTTCTTCTTCTTCTTCTTCTTCTTCTTCTTCTTCTCTTTGCCGTTGATGTGGTATAACAAAACACTAATGTGGTCAACTTTTGCGTTAGGGGAATCAAGTCAAACTTGATATTTTTGCCTATACGAAGAGCGAGAATATGCGGCCTGAGCCGTTCAAGGTGAGGTTTGTGCCGAGGTCGGATAGGATTAAGGAGGTTATGCTGAGGCTGCGGAGGCGAGGGAGGCATTGAGGTGTTATGATGGGGAGACCAAGGTTACGGTTGAGAAGGCGCTGGAGAGTCCTATTACTGTTTGAATGGCCGGGGAATTTTTCTTTCTTTCTTGAGTAGTGTGGATAGGAAAACAGATACTTGGAAAGTAAAAGTCGACCAGCTACGCAAGGCTGGTTTCTTACCAGATAGTGTTGAGAGAATGTGCAGCTTATCGTTGCTGTGATTGTATTCTTATGTTTTCATTTCATGGGTATCTCATATACATATGAAACCGTACCTTTTTTGCCGCTACTTGCAGCCGAACAACGCATCTAGTCATGCCCTACATCCCCATGATAACTTTTCCCTCCATATTCGCGGTTTCAAATCGAACATACTCTTTTCTCAGGCAAAAGGCCAGCCCAAACTTTTTTCCTTTCTTCATATCCATGCCCCAGAACCATGTGCACTCGTCGTCTCATTACCATCCTCTCCTTTCCCTCTACTCTCAGCTTTTAGAAAACCATCTCATGCGGCCTCTCGTTGCCCCGGAGGCTGAAGCTCGCACTCAAGTAAGCTTCCAGATCAGGTGTCTTCTTGATGCTGGCCATAATACTCTTATCCACTGCCTTCTGATCCTCAATTCGCTGGGGATCAACTTCCTTCTTGGCAGGCGTCTCACTGCCCTCTTTGAAGAAATCGTCCTCTTCTTTCTTCTCACGCGCCCAGTACTCATCCTTGGATACGCGCGAAACGACGTCGGCGTCTACAGCGGAGATGTCGACGACGGTCGAGGTGGCAATGACGTAGCGGTGGTTTACGCGGCGCAGAGGGACGCCGTTGGATTTGAAAGGGCCGGTGATGAGGAGGACGCCCTGCTCGAGTTGGCGCAAGAGCACGACGCGCTTACCGCGGAAGCGGCCCGAGAGGAGGATCAAGACGGTTCCGGGGGCGAGCGAGTCGCGGTATTTGGTCGGGTGTGCGGTTTTGCGCGCCTGTAGTCAGATCGTGTTAGTTTATGTAGTTTTGCGCGCGTGTTTCTAGTTCAATTGGCTATTTTCTCGTGTCTCTTCTTCTTGTTCATCTTGCCAAAGACCACAATTTCACCTGCAGGAAATTCCACATACCTTCTTCATCTGCGCCTCCTCCTCAGCAGGGTAGTACTTTAATGCCTTTTGGTCGGCCATTGTGTGCGAAATTGCGGATTTTGTGAGATTCTGCTGAATTAATTAGTTCAAATCATTGACAGGTGCGACTGATTGCAAACAGGTACAGGGTATTTTCTTACATTCAGTTACGCGATTGTTGAGTTATACAACGTCGTCGTTGTCGCGAATTGGGGATGTGCGAGTTCTTCGCTAAGGCCAGCCCTATGATGGCGCTAAAGTGGTTCCATCCCCGCAAAATTAATATGTATGTACATATGTGCGTTCACCTCGCGCATGCATCTGCTTACCCGTCAATGCTCGATTCATTAATTAAACGAGACATGCATTGTCTATTGGTAGCTTTGCTTGGAATTGGGGTCAATCCTGGTCATTGGCAACCACCACTGGGAAATCAGTTGGTTTTGTTTCAATTCTCGAATTCTGGGTAATTACATCAACTTCAGCCAAAAGTTACACTGCCCAACCACCAGTGGATGGCAGGGGTATCGTCGAAATCAATAACGATCCACGCCACAGAATTCCGCCGAGCTATCAAATTGACGCCAAAAGGTAAAAGGAAAAAAAAATGCTACCGTCTCCCAAACACCGGTTCCATCCACATTACGTATATCGCGGGTCATGGTATGCGTGGCTCGTAGGTGTACCGCGGTCCTCGTGCTGCGTCCGTTTGTTTATTTCCTAACATCACTTTCCCGTCTATGGCTCGCAGCAATGCTACTGGCGGCGATGCTGACAACATCACTCATGCTATCCTGATCCCGCTGATAGCTGTACTGCATTCCGGAGTCTGGGCCCTTGAAACCGTTGTCCCAAGCCGAAATGCGCGAAAGAAGCCTAACCCACAATTAAAACAGTCCACATGCGCACACGTTATGGCCATGGGAAGCGAGAGCGCTCACCGATCGTCTGGAGGACCGTAGTAGTCTTCGGGAATGAGCTCGTAGTCGCCCTCGGCAGGCAGATAAAAGGCGGAAGCGGCAATGCCAATGGATGTCAGGATGAGGATGGTCCAGCTGGCAGTGCACAGAGACCAGGAGAGATCGAGATGCCAGCCGTTCCAGAAGCGATCGTCATGGTCAAAGAGGAAAGCCTGGGAAGTGTTGTTAGATGGTGGATTTAGCGTCTTGAGGCAAAAAGAAACATACGACTATAGCCATGCCAGCACACTGGACAATGGCGCTAAAGGTCAAGACACCGACAGCAACTTGCCAGCCAGCGGCCCTGCGCTGGACACCACCAGAAATGATGACGACAAAAGCGACGATTGCGCAAAGCTCAACGACAACACCAAAGGAGGTCAGGAAGCCAACTGTGCGCCACATGTTGCAGAATGAGGGATCTTTTGTGCAGTCGCTCGACTTGGGAAAGGAAACACAGGTGCCTGTGATGGCCGAGCAGCGAGTGTGGAGGCCATACGAGTATTCGCGCTCGCCGTTGGGGCTGTAACTGACCCAGCGCGGCATCGAGATGCTTGCAATGGTCATGACGGTGCCTGGGACATGTCAGTATCTGGTACGGGCATTTCAAGATGGGGTGTGTGGTGCATACAGGCCAAGGTGAGGACGAGGCCGGCGGCGTAGACTGTTCTTCGCGTCATGGTGGGAGGGGATGTGTGGAGAAGTCGAGGGTGTGGCGTTGAGGGCTCGCAGCGGGGGCCTTGAAGGACAGGCGGGAGTGGGAGTGCGCGATTTGAAGTAGTAGATAAAAGGCGCAGACAAGAGACCAGAGCAAAAGGGTTGCAAGCGTGGGAGTGGCGTGGGTACGGCGCGTGCAGAGGATGCGGGGGATGAAGCCGGGGGCCTAGAGGAGGACGAGGGCGAAGCACAGCATAGCGGTGATGATGACGGCACCGGTCATGGAGGGTTGAAACGAGCCATGAGTGACCAGAGCAGGGCTTTTGTCGTTGTTGCGCTAGCACCACGATGATTCTTGCCATGACGACAGGGGGACGCCATTCGGCCTGCCTTGCCCTGCCCCGCTCCACCCCCGACGCGCAGCAGAAGAAAAGAGACAAAGGCCCAACTCGATTGCATGCACACACATGCACCCGCTGCGACTTAGCATGTGTGTGCGCTAATATGCAACCGCATACACCACTTCCACCGCGATACATACATAGGACATGTGCAGTACCACCATCCTCGGCCGCCCATGGCCCCGTCACGCCATGGATGCACCACCAGCCAGCCAACCAGCCTGCTCTGCTCTGCTCGCCTAGTATTCCACCACCGCCCATCTTGTCCCTCGACCCCCGCCCCTGTCGCACATGCAGGAATGTCCTCCGCGGTGACATGCTGCAACCATCGCATTGTCAAACGGCGGTGTCAAACTCGATGCTGAATGCTCCCATCGCCGATGCACCCCCAGCCCGTAGCATCCTGCCCGTCGCCTTGCCAGCTTCACTTGCGGCCCTGCAAAAAACTTTGCACGCCACGCCTGGTGTGGCTAACGGGTTGCACCTGGGCCCGGTTTGGCCTTCAGAGATAAGAAACTTGGTCACACGTCCAGACATGTCCACCGATGACCATGTCCGCACACACCCAGCAGCGGTAAACCGGTGGGGCGGGCGCTGTGTTGATCATGGCCTCGCGCTTGTTGAGTGCCTCTCGTGAATCTCGCTGGCCAAGGCCGTTGCTGCTCAACCTCTCCGATTCCAATCATGCCTCGTCTCTTGCGCCCTCCCCAGCCCATCCATATTGCCCTGCTGCTGCAAGCGAGCCTCGTGTCGCGTATTGGGCCATGTCGCAGTCAGCGCATATCGTATGTATTGATAACCATGCATCTCGCCGACGCCCGCGCCTTCCTCACTCGTCCGCCAAGCATTCCCACGCCAACGTCCCCCCTACTGATCACCCCCGATCACAACATTAGTTGAGACCCTGATAGACAAAGCCTGCGTGATACAAACCGTTGCCGTCTCAATTCATGGCCACAAAAAAGCATCTAGAAGAGAGCCTCTTCTGCATCACGCTTCGGCTGCGCCTTTGGCCTCTGCAGCATCTCGTAGCAGAGGATAGACGCTGCCACACTAACGTTCAGACTATCCACACCAATCTCGTTGACCCCGCGACCATGCCGAATACCCACTTTGTAATGCGCCAGGTTCAACAGGCTGGCCCTCAACCCCGTACCCTCAGCCCCCATCATCACTATCGTAGGATGCTCTGCTACAGGGCTGTGGCCCGAGGGAAGCCGTTTGGTGCTTCGAGCCAGAGTGTAGACAACCCCGCCACACTCCATGTCAGTGGCTTCGGCACTTGACATACTACTAGATGGAGTGCGCGGCACTGCATCGCTCGCGTATATCCGCCAGCCTGCTCTAGAGCTTTTGCCCAGGAAATCTGTGGGCTCTCCAACCTTGAACAGCGGCATCGCTTCAGCGGCCCCTGCCGAGGCCTTGACCGCAATGTGGCTCCAGTTTGCCGTGTGGTGCGTCGGGGTCACAATGGCATCTGCGCCTAACACATAGGCCGACCGTGCAATGGCCCCAAGATTGCCTTCGTCAACCTGATCTGGTTAGTTTCCACTCTCTGCTCAACGACCAATGCCCACTTACTACTCCATCCACGTACAGGACTAGCGCATGTCTCCAGCCGCCTGACCTGTATGTGTATAGCTCCTGTTTGCCATTGACAAGTACATCTTCAGCACTCTGGCTGCCAAGCGCTACGCTGAAGCTTTCATCTTGAATGGATCCCGTCTTGAGTTCTGTAATGGGCAATACAGGAAGTGGTGATGACTCCAGGATTATGCCGTTGTGTGGGCGCCCACTGCTGGCCTTGTCCATTGCACGCAGGTACTCGTCTCCCACTTCTTCCGTGATTGGGAAAAGCTTGTGGGCTCGGATCTGAGACATGAGCCCGTCTCTGCTCGCGCCCCGCGAGTGCACGTATAGCTTGTAGAATTTACGCCGGTTTGCCTTGATTGCAGCGAGGACGCTCGAATGGCCATAGATGAACTCTGAAGCGGCAGTCGTGTAAGGAAGTGACTCTGGTCCCTGCACTAATTTCCTTTGAACCTCTGTCCTACGCTTTGTCCCAGCCGCCTCGCTAGACTGCCCGCCACCAAATCGCTCCCTTGGCCCTGCTCTTGTATCTCTGCGACGAGAAAACCGTGATTCAGAAGAATGTCCATCTGCTACATTTCGAGTGTGCGTAAACTGTTCTCTACTAAACCGCTCCCGTGGTGCCCCTCTCATGCCGGACCGATAAGCGAACGGTGCTTCAGAATTACGTCCATTTACTCCATCTCGAGCACGCCCTTTGTCGAATGTCACATGATCCTTGGTGGGTGGATAAGATGTACGAGTCCTGGGTCGGTCTTCTTGAAATCTGCCGGAAGCACTATCACCTGGAGAGCCAAATCGCCCAAACCTCGCCTCATGGCGAGCCCTCACTGGCCTGTCATTCTCAATGTCCTGAAAAGCGCTTGAGCGCGGTCTGAAGGGTCGATCTGGTCCGCCTGATCTACCCCTCTCGATAGCAGCAGTGATGGATTTGTAGCGACAAAAGGTGCGTGGCGGAATTATTCGCTGCGTCCAAAAAAGCGAGCTACCATTGACAAAGGGGTATGTCATAACAATAAATATAGGCTGTTGCGGGCCGTGCAATTGACAATTTTGTATTGCCGTATCAGACCCAATTATCGCAAAGTCAAAAAAGTTGCACCCCGCCAAGCCAGGTGTTGGCACTAAGCTTTAGTGCAGACGCGTCATCACGTGCACAGGACTACGCGCTCCGCGTTCGCTGAGAGTTAACCCCATCGGCTATCCGCCTTCACACTCGTTTGGTTCCGCCGTCCAACGCTCTCGCCTCGCTCTTCAATGCAAACATTGTGTGATTTATGCCAGCAAATTGCTCTACGATAACTGCAACGCACAGTCTAGACCCCGTGTGGCCGTTTGTGCACTATGAATAGTGACGAAGACAGCGCGGCGCTCATGGCCGCTTTCAAGAAAAGGACTCTACCCGAGTCCATGCCCAACCCCGCACCAATGCAGCCTGCAAAGCAGCCTTCGGAAGCAGCCTCATCTTCTCCAGCCGTTTCATCATCTCAAAATGAATCTGTTATACCTGTCCACAAATCCCCAGTGAGGCGTAGACTGCAGTGTGTGCGCATACCACCAGTCAGGATCAATAGAGCAGAATACACATACTATGAGCCAAGCGATGAAGTTGAGCGCATTGTTCGGGAGATATCTGGAAAGCAAGGAGAGATAGCCTACCAAGTCAAGTTGTCTGGAAATGGCGTTGAACAGGTAAGTTTGATGTCAATTGAGAATCGCCCTCTCACAGGTAAAGGCGGTAGAAATGCCTTTCACAATACATAGGAGCGGTCTGGTTCCTACCGCCACTATCCTTCCTTGCCCACCTTTCTACACATGATATTCCTCTCGATATCTTACTAAGTAAACTCAGCTCTCTTTTGACAAGCTTCTCCTCCTACCTGGTGGCTCAGAAGCACTGCACGCATTTGAATTGCACGACAATTCCGGTGTGACATCGAGCGCTGACGACGACGATATGAAACTGCGGGCTAGATCTTCAAAAGTCACCAACAAGGATTTTGTAGACATCTCAACGATTCCCATTTCTTCCTCGGAAGACGACGACCAAGATGGGCCCGCAACGGCCTCACGCACACAGCGACATGGTCGCGTACGGACACTGAAGCGCGGCGCTCGCTCGCAGAGATCCTCCAGAGCCCACTCACTGAGTAGCGGCCTGGTTGCACTATCCACAGACGACGAGGACTCCGACGTTTCCGGCAGAAAGCAGAGAGGCCGAAAGCGCAAAGGCGCACAAGAGCCGATACGCCGGTCCACGAGAAAACCAGTACAAGTACAGGGCTATAATGAAGAAGAGGAAGAGGAGGACACTGACAACTCGAGCGCTTCTGACATTCTCCATTCTGGTTTGGGTGCTGGCCGAAAGCGCAAACGACAGTCCTTGCGCACTGCCTATTCGGAAAAGGTCCCTCGTGTAGGCCAGCGACAGTCTGATCGGGCAACACGAGCAACAAACAACATGCAGGAAGCGGGCATGGATGACATATACCGATCAGATTCAGAGCCAAAAGTGGCTGCCCAGAAGATGTCAGTCGTCCGCGAGGTGTTCGCAAAACTTCCCCGAAATCACCCCTTCCGCGGGCGCCACGCAGAAGGCTGCGAAGTGTGTTTTGATGGGCCCAACGTTGCACCTCTGATCTATTGCCAAGGCTGTTCATTTGCGTACCACAAAAACTGTCTTGGCAATCGATCTACTCGGGATCATCTTGTGACAAAGATTGGCGACGAGGACTTTGTGTTGCAGTGCAAACGATGCATCGGCTTCTACAAGATGAAGGATGCGACAGCCCCAGACCTCTCCCGTTGTCAGGACTGTGCAGTATCCGGCGCCTCGTGCCATCCTTTCAGGAGTCGTAAAACCACTCAACAAGAGATGAAGGAACGGGAGGAGAATGACGGGTATGATCCGGTAGTCGACGTTCGTTCTGAATTGATCAACAATGCCAACAATGTCCTCTTTCGATGCACAAAATGCTCTCGAGCATGGCATTATCATCACCTGCCACCTATCTCTCCCTATGCAATGGACGTCAGTCGTGACGACGAAGAGCTTGCGGACGAGCGATTTCGCGAATACTCTAGAAAGTGGCTTTGTAAAGAGTGCGACGAAACCAACGACCGGAAAGTCGGTGCAATCGTCGCCTGGCGACCGTCAGATGTCGAGTCATATAGGCCAGGCATACCTTGCGAGCGGATCTGCGAAGACAACAAGCAGTATCTTATCAAATGGGAAAACAAATCTTACTTTCAAGCAGCATGGCACTCTGGAGCCTGGACCTGGGGTGTTACCGCCGGAATCCAGCGAAAGGCTTTTTTCAAACGTGAAGAAGGACCCAAAATGCACACTACAGACGCCATTCCTGAGGAGTACCTCCGCATCGATATCGTTCTCGACATCAAATACACCAGCTATGTGGAGATCCGTAGCGAGGAAATTGACAAGGCTCGCATTAAAGAGGTGGATCAGGCTCTCATCAAGTACAAAGGTCTCGGATACGAAGACGCCGTATGGGAGAGCGTCCCAACACCGGAAGATGGCGATAGATGGCTGGACTTTGTCACTGCATACAATGATTGGGTCGCGGGCCGTTATGTGAAGTGCCCAAAGCAAAGTGCCCTCAAGGCACGCCTCGACAAAGTGCGCAGCACACCGTTTGCAACGTTGGAGCGAGAGAAGCAGCCTGACAATCTCGTGGGCGGAGAACTGATGAAGTACCAGCTGGAGGGGCTCAACTGGCTCTACTACAAATGGTATGATCAAAAGAACGCCATTCTTGCCGACGAGATGGGTCTTGGAAAGACAATTCAAGTCGTTGCTTTCATGGCAACACTCGTCCAAGAACACAGCTGCTTTCCTTTTCTGATTGTTGTACCAAACTCCACTTGTGCCAATTGGCGACGGGAAATCAAGCAATGGGCACCGTCTCTCCGCGTCGTTGCATACTTTGGCTCGGCCAAAGCTCGTGAAATGGCCTACAAATACGAGATGTATCCCAACAATGCCAAGGACCTACGATGCCACGTTGTCGTGACATCGTACGAAGC